CAGATCTGTGGAGAGGCGACGCCGCTCACAGTCACAATGTTTGTTTTTCTCTGTATTTTTGAGCTGTAAAACCAACTTTAACTGAATAAACGTTAAGGTAAATTTGTTTAAAAAAGGTGACGGACCCCAAACGAAAAGTTACACAGTGCACCTTTATGTTTATGTTTACATCTGTGGTACAAATCAGTATATTTTTAACCAAATTAAGTCTATAATCTTTCCTCAAACGTGTAATAAAATGCAAATGTGTTTGTGTATTTGACCCGATGAAACGTCTATGCAAATCTGCTGTAACTCTGTCAAATAACAAGAATACAAGAATAACACATGGTCCGTGTTCAAGCTTTTGTTTGTTCTTTTTTGCTTTTCTGGAATGTTCCGCGGCGTCACGTTCGATGTTAAGGTCGGAGAAGTTACGGATCGTGTCTGCGGGGAGGCGGACCCGCTCGCACGGATCCAGAATCACGTCTCGGTTTGATACGGAGGGAAAAACCGAACACGATCGTCCGGTCAGATTTGTTTATTTTGAGTGAAGCGAGCGAAACAACGATAACAGATTTTGCCGGACGATTAATTGACCGAGAATTTATTGCGATAAACGATAATTTTTACATTTTGAGACCATTTTCAACTAATATAATGAACATGGAATAAAAATGCAGCTACATCCTTTCAAAGATTACGACGGAATATAAGGGTCAGATAAAAAAAAAAGATGCTGGTGCTACGAGAATAAAGTCGTAATATTATGAGAATAAAGTGATAATTTTTCAGGAATAAAGTCGTAATTTTACGAGAATAAAGTCGAAGTTAAAATAAAGTTATAATATCATGAGAATAAAGTCGTAATAAAATCAAAGTCAAAGTGAAAAATGCGGCAGAAGAAGAACCTTGTTTTTCAATATAAAACCAAAAATAAGAAACAAACAACAATTTTCTTCATTATTTGCGCCTCCGGACTGAACCAGGACTAAACCAGGACTAAACCAGGACTGAACCAGGACTGAACCAGGACTGAACCAGGACTAAACCGGGGGACTGAACCAGGACTGAGCCAGGACTAAACCAGGACTGAACCAGGACTAAACCAGGACTGAAACCAGGACTAAACCAGGACTAAACGAAGTCCGAGACCAGACCGGGACTGAGACCAGGACTTAGACCGGGACCAGACAAGGACTGAGTCAGGGACCAAGACTGAGACAAGAACTGAGACCAGGATTGAGACCAGGTACAGGACCAGGACTAAAAATGGTTTAGTCCTGGTTTAGTCCCGATTCAGTCCTGGTTCAGTCTGTATGCGGCGCATTAGTCCCGCATCACATTTTAAAGTCATGGAAACGCCATTTCCCATTTCCGTGACTTAAACCAGGACTAAACCAGGTCCGGGACCAGACCGGGACTGAGACCAGGACTTAGACCGGGACCAGACAAGCACTGAGTCCAGGACCAATACTGAGACCTGAATCAGACCAGAACTGAGGCCAGAACTGAGACCAGGACTGAAACGGGACCAGACCCAGACCACGACCAGGACTGAGACCAGAACTAAGGCCGGGACCAGACCAGGACCAGACTGTGATACCGGGACCAGATCTCAGTCCCAGTCTCTGTCCTGGTCCTGTTCCCGGTCTCAATCCTGGTCTCAGTTCTGGTCAGATCCCGGTCTCAGTCTTGGTCCCAAACTCAGTCCTTGTCTGGTCCCAGTCTAAGTCCTGGTCTCAGTCCCAGTCTGGTCCCGGACCTCGTTTAGTCCTGGTTTAGTCCTGGTTTAGTCCTTGTTTAGTCCTGGTTTAATTCTGGTTTAGTCCTGGTTTAGTCCTGGTTTAGTCCTGGTTTAGTTCTGGTTTAGTCCTGGTTTAGTCCTGGTTTAGTTCTGGTTTAGTCCTGGTTTAGACCTGGTTTAGTCCTGGTTTAGTCCTGGTTTAGTCCTGGTTTAATCCTGGTTTTAGACCTGGTTTAGTCCTGGTTTAGTCCTGGTTTAGTCCTGGTTTAGTCCTGGTTTAGTTCTGGTTTAGTCCTGGTTTAGTCCTGGTTTAATCCTGGTTTAGTCCTGGTTTAGTCCTTGTTTAATTCTGGTTTTAGACCTGGTTTAGTCCTGGTTTAGTCCTGGTTTAGTTCTGGTTTAGTCCTGGTTTTAGTCCTGGTTTAGTCCTGGTTTAGTCCTGGTTTAGTTCTGGTTTAGTCTGGTTTAGTCCTGGTTTTAGTCCTGGTTTAAGTCCTGGTTTAGTCCTGGTTCAGTCCTGGTTTAGTTCCTGGTTTAATCCTGGTTTTAGTCTGGTTTAGTCCTGGTTTAGTTCTGGTTTAGTCCTGGTTTAGTCCTGGTTTAGTCCTGGTTTAGTCCTGGTTTAGTCCTGGTTCAGGCACAAATAATGAAGAAAATTGTTGTTTGTTTCTTATTTTTGGTTTTACATTGAAAAACAAGGTTCTTCTTCTGCTGCATTTTTCACTTTCACTTTGATTTTATTACGACTTTATTCTCGTAATATTATAACTTTAATGTTTTTTATCCTCCGTCGTAACAAACAAAAACAACAGGACTAAATAAAACAGACTTGTTCACGTAAAAATATCCTGATGTGTCTGACTCACAGCGAGGACTTGTTGACAAAAATGCACTTGAATAAACCGTTGTTGAATCAAAACGATAAATAAAAATGGATTATTGAGTCTGTAACAACATGTGCGAGCGGAGAGTCGGAGCGCGCGGGGTAAAGGTCGGACCCGAGCTGCTTGTCTCGACCTGAGCGGAGTCAAAACATGAGGTCACGTCTCTAACGGCTCTCGCTTCACTAAACCCTGGATCAACACAAACAGAACCAGTCGAACCGGAGCGGCGCCTCAGCTCTGGTCCCGACTCGACTCCTCCTCCCACAGCTCTGGTCCCGACTCGACTCCTCCTCCCACAGCTCTGGTCCTGACTCGACTCCCGGTTCAGTCCTGGTTTAGACCTGGTTTAGTCCTGGTTTAGACCTGGTTTAGTCCTGGTTTAGTCCTGGTTTAGACCTGGTTTAGTCCTGGTTCAGTCCTGGTTTAGACCTGGTTCAGTCCCGGTTTAGACCTGGTTTAGTCCTGGTTCAGTCCTGGTTTAGACCTGGTTCAGTCCCGGTTTAGACCTGGTTTAGTCCTGGTTCAGTCCTGGTTTAGACCTGGTTTAGTCCTGGTTCAGTCCTGGTTTAGTCCCGGTTTAGACCTGGTTCAGTCCTGGTTTAGTCCTGGTTAAGTCTTGGTTTAGTCCTAGTTTAGTCCTGGTTCAGTCCTGGTTTAGTCCTGGTTCAATCCTGGTTTAGTCCTGGTTTAGTCCTAGTTTAGTCCTGGTTCAGTCCTGGTTTAGTCCAGGTTTAGTCGAGGTTTAGACCTGGTTTAGTCCTGGTTTAGTCCTGGTTCAATCCTGGTTTAGTCCAGGTTTAGTCCAGGTTTAGACCTGGTTTAGTCCTGGTTTAGTCCTGGTTCAGTTCTGATTTAGTCTTGGTTTAGTCTTGGTTTAGTCCTGGTTTAATCCAGGTTCAGTCCTGGTTTAGACCTGGTTTAGACCTGGTTCAGTTCTGATTTAGTCTTGGTTTAGTCTTGGTTTAGACCTGGTTTAGTCCAGGTTTAGACCTGGTTCAGTCCCAGTTTACTCCTGGTTCAGTTCTGATTTAGTCTTGGTTAAGTCCTGGTTTAATCTTGTTTTAGTCCCGGTTTAGACCTGGTTTAGTCCTGGTTTTGTCCTGGTTTAGTCCTGGTTTAATCTTGTTTTAGTCCTGGTTTAGACCTGGTTTAGTCCTGGTTTAGTCCTGGTTTAGTTCTGGTTTAGTCCTGGTTCAGGACCTAGAGCGGAGGCACTAGGTGGCACCAGTCTGACTACGACTCGATAGATGTAACTGTCAATTTAGGCTACGGGAGCTCGTTTCGACAGAACTCCGGTCCTCCACAGTATTTTCTGTTTCTCGTGTGGCTCAGTGGGAAAAACTTTGTAAAGTTTGTACATTTTTACCATAAATGACACGATGCCACATTGGTCTGTTAAAACGTTATTATAAAAAAATTTAATAAAATCTTGCGGTGTGCTCCTTAAAGAAATCTACATCCGTGTATTTACGCAGTAGATAATAATAATAATAATAATAATAATAATAATAATAATGTACAGTTCGTAAGATTTTACAGTTGTAGTTCCAGGTCCGGTCGCGGGGGGGCGCCACAGCGTTGAGCAGCGCCGCAGACGAACAGCAGAGTGTTTATGTTTTCGTCCTGCACACCGACGCTTCCTGCAGATTTGTACTTTGTCACAGTAAGTTTAAAACGCGTGTTAAATGTTTACAGCGACTCTCCACACGGAAAATGAGGTTTGGAAATGATTTAAAGACGGAAATTTAAGCCCCAAACTGAAAAAGAAGAAAGACAAAAGCGGATTTAAGTGAAGTAGAAGCGTTTATGTGCTGCAAAAAAGCGTAACATTTCCTACGGGGCTTGCATCTCCACAAACCTGATCTTACTTTTTGACTTCCTCGTACTTGTTTCCATGGAAATGTTGTTCCTTTGGCTAAAATGTTCCACAGTGTGGCAGAAAACATGTGGGTCATTCCGCTCTACCGTCTCAGATTTCACACTTTCCAAACAAAAGGAAAAGTCCCACATTTTATCTCCCAACTCATAGTTTTATTTAAGTCCTTATTACTTTAACTTTTCTCATTTCTTATTTTACTTTTCTATCTGAATACTTGTACTTTTGTTGTGATGGTTTTCCAATATTAAAGCTTTGTGAAGCGTGTAACAAAAAAATAATAATAATAATTTGAATAATCGTGATTTCAATATTGACCAAAATATTTCATTCACTTCGTTTCATTTATTTGTTTGTTTATTTGAGCCAGGTACAACAAAATCCAAAAACAATAACAAAAATAATGATATGTACATGAACATATTTGGGACCTGGTGCTCAAAAGGAGGAGGATGAAGTTTAAAAAACGTATAAAGTCCTACTCCAATTGTTTTACATAGTCACGTGGTTCACACTTTTTTTTATTTATTTTTTATTTTTTTAAATGTCACCTTTGGAGTGTTTACCTGTCATTATGCAAAAATATACACACATATAAACAAAAACATATCCACACATACATACATACATGCTTACATACATACATACAAACATACATGCATACATACATACATACATACAAACATGCATACATACATGCTTACATACATGCATACATACATACATGCTTACATACATGCTTACATACATGCTTACATACATACATACATACATACATGCATACATACATACATACATACATGCTTACATACATACATACATACATGCTTACATACATACATACAAACATGCATACATACATGCTTACATACATGCATACATACATACATGCTTACATACATACATGCTTACATACATGCATACATACATACAAACATGCATACATACATACAAACATGCATACATACATGCATACATACATACATACATGCTTACATACATACATGCTTACATACATACATACATACATACATACATGCATACAAACATGCATACATACATACATACATACATGCTTACATACATGCATACAAACATGCATACATACATGCTTACATACATGCATACATACATACATGCTTACATACATGCATACATACATACATGCTTACATACATGCATACATACAAACATGCATACATACATACATACATGCTTACATACATACATGCTTACATACATACATGCTTACATACATACATGCATACATACATACATACATACATACAACATGCATACATACATACATACATACATACATGCTTACATACATGCATACATACATACATACATACAAACATGCATACATACATGCATACATACATACATACATACATACATGCTTACATACATACATACATGCATACATACATACATGCTTACATACATACATACATGCTTACATACATGCATACATACATACATACATGCTTACATACATACATACATGCTTACATACATGCATACAAACATGCATACATACATACATGCTTGCATACATACATACATACATACATACATACATACATGCTTGCATACATACATACATGCTTACATACATACATACATGCTTATACATACATACATACATGCTTGCATACATACATACATACATACATACATGCTTGCATACATACATACATGCTTGCATACATACATACATACATACATACATACATACATACATACATATACTCAATATAAATGTTTATACACATACATGCATAACACACATATTCATACATGCAGAAACATATTTTCGTTTATGGTCGTACAAACTAATAATAATGTTATCGTAGGCACAAAGTTTATTGTTTATGATTGTTTAAAATAAACAGTAATGAGAATGAAAAATTTAAGAATTTTTGTTTTAATTTACGGTCATACAAACTAATAATAGTAATGAAATAGGCACAAAGTTTATCGTTTATGATCGTACAAAATAAACAGTAAAATAATCGTGATAATGATTTTTTCCATAATCGAGCAGCTCTAATCTGTTGTGGGTTTTTGTTTCATCTGTTTTGTTCTAAATGATGTTATAATGTCCACTCCTAAACTCTTTCCTCTCAGCAGAATGTCGTCCGTGTCTCTGGACCCGTCCCGGTTCGTCTGCCCGCTCTGCCTGCAGCTTCTGTCCGACCCGGTCACCGTCCCGTGCGGTCACAGCTTCTGCAGATCCTGCCTCTCGCCGCTCTGGAGCTCTGGAGGCAGCAGCAGCAGCAGCAGCAGCAGCAGCAGCAGGGGCCAGAGCAGCAGCTGTCCCCAGTGCAGAGCCACCTTCAACCCCACACCCGCACTGGGCACCAACCCCCTCCTGCAGGAGCTGGTGCGAGGTACGACCGAGGACACCCGGGAAACTACTGCTTCTCTGGGGGTGTTCTACAGGCACCTCTAGTTGGGTTTCAGTCACGTCATTACAATGACACGAGAATTTGTGAGGATTTAGAGCCAGTAACAAGGCAAAGGTTTGTGCAGTTAGTTGACAAATATGTTGTTGGACGTGACCCAGATCTTATGAAAATGAGTGAATTTTCGACCAAATTCAAACATTTTCACGACAATCGAGGCTGTGGAGATCACGAACTACCTCGTTCTCCAGACATCACACTACACCAGACAACAAATGAAGGAGTATAAAAGTTTGGAAGCATATAACTTTTTTTTAAATCAGCGGATGGGTCCACAACCTGATTATCAGTATTACACTTCTTTAAATGGACATTTAACGACCTAATGCTGCACAGCCACAAAAAACAAAATCTAAGCAAGTTAAGATGACTTGAATTAAGAAAGTTTCATCATGATTTTGAGTAAATTTGACTTGTCAAGTAAAATGATCTGCCAGTGGAACAAGACTTTCTGTACTTAAAATATGAAAATACATCTTAAAATAAGAAAAACAACAACTTTTTGCACTTAAAATAAGAAACAAAATCGAATATTGCTTGAATTTTGAAAAACAAATTTATTCCATTGGTGGATCATTTTACTTGTGAGGTTGAATCGACTCAAATAAAGCAAAATGTTCATAATTTAAGTCTTTTTAATTTACCTAGATGTTGTTTTTTCCAGTTTAGTTTTCTAACATACGTTTGACAAAGTGCTCACTGCAGACACGAGCATTTGCAGACTTAAAATCCACTTTTTACAGATTGTTGTGTGAGCTTTTCCTGTTTCTGACCTTTGTGAATGACTATTTTTGGTACTTTAAAAAAAAAAAACGCTTTTCCTTCTCTCAGTTAGACCAAATGGCACAGCCGTAAACTACACAAAACAAAGGGATTTTCTCGGACAAAGAGCCTCAGCGTTTCACTTCCTGTCCTCTGTCTGATTTGACAAAAGTATCTCTGTGACGTCATGTGAAACCAACTATAGACAGAATGTTTGTTTTTAAGACAAAAACAAAGCTCAGGTGAAGGGTCAGGGATTTGAGTAACAGAGTTTCTAACAGAGCAGTGTTTCTGTTAACTTCACAAGTCCGTGTATCATTCATTCATTGGTTTTTCAATATAAAACCAAAAATAAGAAAACCAAAAAACAACAGTTTTCTTCATTATTTGTCTCCAAAACCAAAATTAAAAAACAGATAATGATTCATTTTTTCAGTTTTTGATTTTGTGTTTAAATGAAGAATTGAAAAAACGGATAACGGCCGTTTCCCGTTTACGTGACTTCCGTGACTGCGATGTCGGACTTTTGCACCGCATACGGACTGAACCAGGACTGATCCAGGACCGGGACCAGAGCGGGACCAGGGTGGACTCCGAGCTTTGACTTTGAGCCTCCGCAGGGTCCGAGCCTCAGCTTCAAGCTCCAGCCCTGCTGTGGGCTCTGAGCCTCCAGTCTGGTCCCGGCCTGGTCTCGGTCTCAGTACCACTCTGGTACCGGTCTGTTTCCGGTCTGGTCTCAGTCCTGATCTCAGTCTCGGTCTGGTCCTGGTCTGGTCCTGGTCTGGTCTCAGTCCCGCTCTGGTCCCGGTCTGGTCTCAGTCTTGGTCTCAGTCTCAGTCTGGTCCCGGTCTGGTCCTGGTCTGGTCTCGGTCTCAGTCCCGATCTGGTCCCAGTCTGGTCCCGGTCTGGTCCTGGTCTGGTCTCGGTCTCAGTCCTGCTCTGGTCTCAGTCTGGTCCCGGTCTGGTCCTGGTCTGGTCCCAGTCTGGTCCCGCTCTGGTCCTGGTCTGGTCTCAGTCTTGATCTCAGTCTCAGTCTGGTCCCGGTCTGGTTCTGGCCTGGTCCCGGTCTAGTCCCGGTCTGGTCCCAGTCTAGTCTCGGTCTAGTCTCGGTCTCAGTCCTGATCTGGTCTCAGTCTGGTCCCTGTTTGGTCCCAGACCTGGATCAGTCCTGGTTCAGTCCGGCGTCGCAGTCACAGACGTCACGTAAACAGGAAACGGTCGTTATCCGTTTTTTCAATTTTTCATTTAAACACAAAATCGAAAACTGAAAAAACAAATCATTATCTGTTTTTTTTTATATTTTGGTTTTGGAGACAAATAATGAAAAAAACTGTTGTTTTTTCATTTTCTTATTTTTGGTTTTATTTTGAAAAACGAATGAACGAATGACACATGGATTCGAGTGCGACGTGCCGCTTCTAGACACGACTGAACAACTGAGTCACTGTGAACACGTCGACAATCCAGACAGCACCTCCCTACACGCCACAACTGAACAAAGCCCAGAGTCACCGTGAACGAACAAACAAACAAAACCACTCACACATCACACTGTTGTGTTTCATTTAAAGTCCCACACGGTTTATTTGTGAAAAAAGTTTAAAAATAGACCATTTAATGACAGTGCGCCTTATAATCCAGAGCGACTAATAGTGCAGAAAATACGGTAATATATTTTTAAACAGTAAATTCCAGAACGTGGTGCCATTATTTAACTCCTTACAGCAACTAGCATGCAAACACACACTTCCTACCCCTCGGACAATGAAATGATGATTAGTAATTAGACGCAGACGGGACACAACGGACTTATTTTAACCTCAGCAGCTTAACAGGTGCATAGTTTTTCATTAAAAGTCTCCTGTTTCTTCGTCGTTATCGTGTTCTCACTTGTGTTTTTTCGCCGTGGAGTTAGTGAGCGTTTTTTTTGTGACAGATCTGAGGGCCGTGAGTCTCCAGCATGGATCTGCCGCTGCACCTGAGAAGCACCGTGGACATGTGAGTCACGAAAACACATTTAGAAACATGATCGTTTGACCCGCGTACTTCAAAACCTCACTAATCACTCATTTTATCTCCTGCATTTGAAAGAAATATTCAAAACCCAGAAATGTTGTTTTTTGTTTCTGCGATTCAGTCGACAACCTGATTCTGAATTTTAACTGATAACATCTTTTGTGTGTTTTTGCTTAAAAATCTGAATAAACAGATCGCCCAGAGGGAAGCAGAGCTCAACAAACTCTGTCATGTGATGAAGGATTTCCCTGTGAGTAGAATTTGTTTTATCAATAACAAAATTTGGGATTGAATGGGCTGTAAGTTTTAGACAAAGTTTTGATTACCGTACTTTTTTTCATGGTTTGTGTGTTTCCTGTGACTTCTATATTAAAATGTTTGAGTGAAGCGGTGAGAGGTTCTAGTCTTGTGTGTGAGTATCTGCTGCTCCTGTTCCTCCTGTACCACTGTCACTTGGCTCTACTGCGCATGTCTCCTGCAGAAAGAGCCTCTGTCCTGCTGCAAGTCGTGAAATCTGCAGCTGAAAACGATAATCGAGCAGCAGAAAGAAAGTTTGGAGTGAGAGAGAAACTTGTGACACCGGGAGGATGCACCACGAAACTTTCCTGAAGTCACTGGATGGATGGACAAAGTCTGGACTTCAGTGACACAGAAACCATCCTGTCAGGATTCAGAAAAAATGGAACTGATGCTGAGTCTGACGACAGCGACACAGAAGAGGAAGCGTTGCTCTGTTTACCTCCGGAGGTCGAGGCCGAGTTGTTCAGAAGTGACACCGAGGATGAAGAATTGAATGGATTTAGTGATTTGGAGTGAGATGGACTTGACTTTACAAAAGAAATGTCAGTTCCTTGTCTCTGATTTTATAAAATGAATTTCCCCCAAAAAGTGCGACTTATATGTTTTTTCTTCTTCATTACACATTTTTTGGCTGGTGTGACTCCATCCATCCGTTTTCTTCCACTTATCCAGGGCCGGGTCGCGGGGGCAGCAGTCTAAGCAGGGACTCCCAGACTTCCTTCACCCCAGACACTTCCTCCAGCTCCTCCGGGGGGACCCCGAGATGTTCCCAGACCAGTACAGAGACATAGTCCCTCCAGTGTGTCCTGGGTCTTCCCCGGGGCCTCCTCCTGGTGGGACATGCCCAGAACACCTCCTGAGGGAGACGTCCAGGAAGCATCCGGAACAGATGACCGAGCCTCAACTGGCTCCTCTCGACGTAGAGGAGCAGCGGCTCTACTCCGAGCTCCTCCCGTGTGACTGAGTTCTTCACTCTATCTCTAAGGGAGCACCCAGACGCCCTGTGGAGGAAACTCATTTCGAGCGCTTGTATCGGCGATCTCGTCCTTTCGGTCACTACACAGTAGAGATGATCCTGGCGCGACTCATACTCCGAAAAATATGGTAATTGAGTCAAGCACCGTATTTTTCTGGCTATAAGATGCACCTGCCAAAAATGAGTAATGAAGAAGAAAAAAACATTTATTTCTGAATCCCGACAGGATGGTTTCAGTGTCACTGAAGTCCAGACTTTGTCCATCCATCCAGTGACTTCAGGAAAGTTTCATGGTGCATCCTCCCGGTGTCACAAGTTTCTCTCTCACTCCAAACTTTCTTTCTGCTGCTCGATTATCGTTTTCAGCTGCAGATTTCACTTCTTGCAGTTTGTAATCTGCAGAATCTGATTTTGTTTTTGGGGGCATTTGTGTTCAGTCTTCTCAGTCTTTGTCTTTATAAGTTTGTTTAAATGTTAAATTGTTCAGTGGTGCAGAAGTAATGTTGCGATCGACTGACATGATACAGACAGAACAGAGGCTCTTTCTGCAGGAGACATGCGCAGTAGAGCCAAGTGACAGTGGTACAGGAGGAACAGGAGCAGCAGATACTCACACACAAGACTAGAACCTCTCACCGCTTCACTCAAACATTTTAAAGCGCCCATCTCATGCAAAATCAACTTTTCAGAGCTTTCTACCTTCTAAGAGTGATGTGTGGGCCTTGTGTTTTGTTGCCAAAGTGTTTTTTAGATCGATTCGGTGTTTTTTTTTCATAAATTGCAGCGTATTTCTGCCACCCTCCCACGTGACGACGAACTAAAGCTGCTACAACGATGACGCGGCAGATACACCTACGACACTTTTGATGTAACAGAAAATGCTTCACACCCGCCTCCGCCCCGACTGCAGTGAACACGATATAATAAGTTTATCTACTAGTGTTTATTAATCCTTTACCAATCAGTAATGTTCAGCTGATGTGGACGCGGTGCTTGAGCTTCGTGCTCCTCAAAGTCCTCGTCCGATTCCGGGTCCAACACATGCGGCTGAACGCGCTGTATCTCCATGATGAATAAAAGTTTATTCCTGCCGCTATCAGGGTGCACGCCTGTCTCCCCCTCCCTCCCTGAGATGGCGGAGGAAGGGCGGCTCACTCGTCGCCTACGTCACGTTTGGAGGGCGGAGCCTGTGCTTTCTCAGGACGGGCGGGGGAGGAGCAATAGTCGGACTTTCATAGTTCCTGGTCTGTGACTGTCTCCAAGAAATCAGTAAGATTTCAGAAATATTGTGTCATGGATGTTCCAAAACCCAAATTGTGCTTGTTTATGTGCAGAAGATACAATGTGAAAAGAGTTATTTTGCATCAGATGGGACATTTAACATATAAGTCGCCGGAAACACCCAAACCTGAAAAAAGTGTCCGACAAATACGGTGATTCATCTTAAAATTGACTCGTTCAGACTCTCTTCCACTCTCTTGATAAATGTTTTTCTACTGGTCAGCGGTTGGCAGACACGGCGGTGGAGGACTGCAGAGGGATCTTCTCCGAGCTGCAGGTCTTCGTGAGGAGGAGCTGCGAGGAGCTGGAGGAGATGATCCGGGCTCAGGAGAAATCTGAACTGACTCGAGCTGAAAATCACCGTCGGCGTCTGGAGCGCGAGGTCCAGACGCTGAAGAGGAGCGGCTCCGAGCTGCAGGCAAGAAACACGAGCCACGAGAGAGACTTTATTTCACCTCAGGTTTTGTTCTTCAGCTTTGTTCTTGAGTCATTTAGTCGAGAGAAGTGAGTGTTTTTTTTTGGTGTTGATGTAAAAAGACTTATGGAGTTTACAGGTGGTTTTAAAGCTCAAAAATACCTAAACATTCTGACTGTGAGCGGCGTCGCCTCTCCACAGATCTGACCTGGAACCATCTGACCTAAACCAGGACTAAAACAGGACTGATCCCAGGACTGAACCAGGACTAATCCAGGACTAAACCAGGACTAAATCAGGACTGATTCCAGGACTTAACCAGGACTAAACCAAGACTAAACCAGGACTAAACCAGGACTTAACCAGGACTAAACCAGGACTAAAACAGGACTTAACCAGGACTAAAACAGGACTATAACAGGTCTAAACCAGGGCTAATCCAGGGCCCCTCCCTGTTTGTTTTAGTCCTGGTTTAGTCCCGGTTCAGTCCTGTTTTAGACCTGTTTTAGTCCTGTTTTAGTCCCGGTTTAGTCCTGGTTTAGTCCTTTTTTTAGTCCTGTTTTAGTCCTGGTTCAGTTTTGTTTTAGTCCTGGTTTAGTCCTTTTTTAGACCTGGTTTAGTCCTGTTTTAGTCCTGGTTCAGTCCTGGATCAGTCTTGATTCAGTCCTGTTTTAGTCCTGGTTTAGTCCTGGTTTAGTCCTGTTTTAGTCCTTTTTAGTCCTGTTTTAGTCCTGTTTTAGTCCTGGTTTAGACCTGGTTTAGTCCTGTTTTAGTCCTGGTTTAGACCTGGTTTAGTTCTGGTTCAGTCCTTTTTTTAGTTCTGTTTTAATCCTGGGATCAGTCTTGGTTCAGTCCTGGTTTAGTCCTGATTCAGTCCTGTTTTAGTCCTGGTTTAGTCCTGTTTTAGACCTGTTTTAGTCCTGGTTTAGTAGTCCTGTTTTAGACCTGTTTTAGTCCTGTTTTAGACCTGTTTCCTGTTTTAGTCCTGTTTTAGACCTGTTTTAGACCTGTTTAGTCCTGTTTAGTCCTGTTTTAGTCCTGTTTAGTGTTAGTTTTAGTCCTGGTTTAGTCCTGTTTTAGTCCTGTTTGTTTCCTGTTTTAGTCCTGTTTTAGTCCTGATTTAGTCCTGTTTTAGTCCTGTTTAGTCCTGGTTTAGACCTGTTTTAGTCCTGGTTTAGTCCTGTTTTAGACCTGGTTTAGTCCTGTTTTAGACCTGGTTTAGACCTGTTTTAGACCTGTTTTAGACCTGTTTTAGACCTGGTTTAGTCCTGTTTTAGTCCTGTTTTAGACCTGTTTTAGACCTGTTTTAGTCCTGGTTTAGACCTGGTTTAGTCCTGGTTTAGTCCTGTTTTAGTCCTGTTTTAGTCCTGTTTTAGACCTGTTTTAGTCCTGTTTTAGTCCTGGTTTAGTCCTGTTTTAGACCTGGTTTAGTCCTGTTTTAGACCTGGTTTAGTCCTGTTTTAGTCTCGATCGATGTTTCTTCTGTCTGTGAAGTGATGTTGTATTTTTGAGTCTCGTCTGTGAGTTCGTGTTCGTTCTGAAGAAATCGATTTTTTGTTTTTTTTGTTTTTTTTTTTATTGCTCCTCGGCCAAAATTGTATCAAACGGGACCGAACAATCCAACCTGCCCCGGGCTTTTTCACACGTCACCACGACACTAAACAGATCTTTCCTTTCTGTTTCCTTGGTGTTGTTGTTTTAGACGGGCGAGTCTTTGAGCCGGTCGGGCTCTTCTCCCGTGGTCCAGCCTCGCGTCTCCTTCGGCCCCGTGAGGAAAGCTCTGGTGGACCTGAAGAAACATCTGGAGTCTGTGTATGTCCAGGAGCTGCCCACCGTCACCAGAGCAGGTCCCACAACAAACACGCTCGGAAACACACGAAACCAACAGGAAAAAAGAAAGAAAACAGTGACGTCTAGATGAAGAAAAGCGGGACATTTTCTCAGTTTTCCCAGATTTTGTTAGAGACTAAACTAGGACTAAAACAGGACTAAAACAGGACTAAAACAGGACTAAAACAGGACTAAAACAGGTCTAAAACAGGACTAAAACAGGACTAAAACAGGTCTAAAACAGGTCTAAAACAGGACTAAAACAGGACTAAAACAGGTCTAAAACAGGACTAAAACAGGACTAAAACAGGACTAAAACAGGACTAAAACAGGACTAAAACAGGACTAAAACAGGTCTAAACAGGACTAAAACAGGACTAAAAACAGGACTAAAACAGGTCTAAAACAGGTCTAAAACAGGACTAAAACAGGACTAAAACAGGTCTAAAACAGGACTAAAAACAGGACTAAAACAGGACTAAAACAGACTAAAACAGGAAAACAGGACTAAAACAGGACTAAACAGGACTAAAACAGGTCTAAAACAGGACTAAAGGACTAAACAGGTCTAAAACAGGACTAAAACAGGACTAAAAAGGACTAAAACAGGACTAAATGAGGACTAAAAAGGACTAAAAACAGGACTAAAACAGGACTAAAAACAGGTCTAAAACAGGTCTAAAAACAGGTCTAAAACAGGACTAAAACAGGTCTAAAACAGGTCTAAAACAGGGTCTAAAACAGGACTAAAACAGGACTAAAACAGGACTAAAACTAAAAAGGTTAAAACAGGAACTAAACAGGACTAAAACAGGACTAAAACAGGTCTAAAACAGGACTAAAACAGGTCTAAAACAGGTCTAAAACAGGACTAAAACAGGTCTAAAACAGGTCTAAACAGGTCTAAAACAGGACTAAAACAGGTCTAAAACAGGACTAAAACAGGACTAAAACAGGTCTAAAACTAAAACAGGACTAAAACAGGTTCTAAAACAGGACTAAAACAGGTCTAAAACAGGACTAAAAACAGGTCTAAAACAGGACTAAAACAGGACTAAAACAGGTCTAAAACAGGACTAAAACAGGTCTAAAACAGGTCTAAAACAGGTCTAAAACAGGACTAAACCAGGTCTAAACCAGAACTAAAACAGGTCTAAACTAGGACTAAACCAGAACTAAAATAGGAATAAACCAGGACTAAACCAGGACTAAAATAGGACTAAACCAGGACTAAAATAGGACTAAACCAGGATTAAACCAGGACTAAACCAGGACTGAACCAGGACTAAACCAGGTCTAAAACAGGTCTAAAACAGGACTAAACTAGGTCTAAAACAGGTCTGAACCAGGACTAAACCAGATCTAAACTGGTCTCAGTCCCGGTTTCCTGATCACCCGACAGTCTACATGGGCCCACCTTTGGGTCCATCCCAGCACCCCTGGTTTAGTCCTGGTTCAGTTCTGGTTCAGTTCTGGCTTAGTCCTGGTTTATGACTGAGAACAGGACCAGTACCAGACTGGGACTGAGATCAGGACTGGTTTAGACTTGGTTTAGACCTGTTTTAGACCTGTTTTAGTCATGTTTTAGTCCTGGTTTAGTCCTAGTTTAGTCCTGGTTCAGTCCGGCATCGCAGTTTAAGTCACGTCGTTATTAGTTTTTTTTCCATTTTTCATTTAAACACAAAATTGAAAACTGAAAAAACAAATCTTTATCTGTTTTTTTTTTTTTTTTTATTTTGGTTTTGGAGACAAATAATGAAGAAAATATAATTAAATAAAGCCAATTTAAGTTTTTTTTCCATATAAACCTCAATTCAGAATTATTATTTCCAAACTTCCAAACTGTTTAACTTAGAACAATTAATTCAGAATTAAAAAAAACATCTAGATCAGGCATGTCCAAACTATGGCCCGTGGGCCAAATGCGGCCCTCAGACAAATTTTTCTTGGCCCTCAGGCTTCCAGGTGAATTGGCCCAAGTTACCATGTGTCAATTAAAATTTGACTTTTTACTGCAAGTTTTTTGAAAATCTACCTTGATAAAGTGAATATTTAATGTTTACTGTGTGGTTTTAAGGATCAATGCATGAATAAAGATGATGGCTCATTCTAATGTGTTAAACCTGCACATATTTTAATTATTCACGGTTTTGAGCACCAGTTTACGGCCCTCGATCGGCCTCTGCTTCATCTGTGTTTAGATATGTGGCCCTTGATGAAAAAAGTTTGGACAGCCCTGATCTAGATGAAAACAAAAAAAAAAAAAAAACTGTGACATTTTCTCAGCCCAAAATAAGCTGTCACGCGCATGTCGCTGTCAAAAACGTTTTAAGATCGTCTGAAAACTCAAGAAAAATCACAAAATGGATTTACGCAGCACATTTCCAGGAGTCTGTGATCGATAAGAGCGATAGATTATCTCGTTTAGGAGTTAAATCAGAGCTTTTCCAATCAGATTAAAGTCCAGTTTGTGTCATACAGGACTTTTAATCTGATCTTCTTTCTTGTTTTTCCAGTGACGTCTGTGAGTTTACTGCAGCAGGAGACACCGGCGAGAGGTTAAGTCCATTTAAAATACTTCACAATGAAAAAATCCTCTTCTTTTTACCACTTATTAAAATCTGTTTTGTTTTGTTTTGTTTTGTAATGGCAGATCATAAACCTGTAACTTTTGTGGACCTGGGCAGCAGAGAGAGTCTCCTTCAGTGTGAGTAAAAAACTGTACAAAGAAATACAAATACTAACAATTTATCAGAAAAATCGTGACTAGTTTGACTGTTTTAATAATCGTGAGTTGTTCCCTCGAATATACAGAGTTTAAAGCTGAAAAAACAAATGAACGATTGATACAAGAATCTGTGTGTCCTTCATTCATTCATTTGTTTTTAAAACAAAACCAAAAATAAGAAAATGAAAAAATAATGATTTTCTTCATTATTTGTCTCCAAAACCAAAATGAAAAAACAGATAAAAATTAGTTTTTTCAGTTTTTGATTTTGTGTTTAAATGAAAAATGGAAAAAACTGAAAACAGAGACCAGGACTGAGACCGGGACCAGACCGGGAAAAGACCGGGGACTGAGGCCAGGACTGAGACCAGGACCAGACTAGGACTGAGGTCGGGACTAGGCGGGGACCAGATTGGGACTGAGGCCGGGACTGAGGCCGGGACCAGGCCGAGACCAGATCAGGACTGAGACCAGGACTGAGATCAGGACTGAGACCAGGGACTGAGACCAGGACGGAGACCAGGACTGAGACCAGGACTGAGGCCGGGGACTGAGGCCAGGACTGAGACCAGGGACTGAGGCCAGGACTGAGGCCGGGGACTGAGACCAGGAGGAGACCAGGACTGAGGCCGGGGACTGAGACCAGGAGGAGACCAGGACTGAGGCCGGGACCAGGCGGGGACCAGATTGGGACTGAGGCCGGGACTGAGACCGGGACTGAGACCAGGAGCAGAATAAGACTGAGACTGTTTTAGTCCTGGTTTAGTCCTGGTTTAGTCCTGGTTTAGTCCTGGTTTAGTCCTGGTTCAGTCCTGGTTTAGTCCTGGTTTAGTCCATTATCCGTTTTTTTCCATTTTTCATTTAAACACAAAATCAAAAACTGAAAAAAATGAATCTTCATCTGTTTTTTCATTTTGGTTTTGGAGACAAATAATGAAGAAAATTGTTGTCGTTTTTTTTGTTTTCATATTTTTGGTTTTATTTTGAAAAACAAATGAACGAGAGAAACCCATCTCCAGGTTTGTTTTCGTCGAGGTCACGTCTTTAAAACGCGACGTCACTTTCATGTTCTGTGTTTCCAGACTTCTGCCCTCTGACCTTTGACCCCTTCTCTGCCCACCGCGACCTCCGTGTGTCCGAGGGGAACCGCGTGATCGGCCGCGGCGGGCCGACCGAGCCGCGCCCCGACCACCCCGAGCGCTTCGACTGCTGGGCCCAGGCGCTGTCGCACGAGGGCGTGAGGGGGCGGGGCTACTGGGAGGCGGAGTGGGCGGGGACGCAGGCGGCGGTGGGCGTGGCCTACAGCAGCGTCCAGAGGAAGGTGAAGAAGTTTTATGTTTTATCGTTGTTTTTGTTCAGTGTTTGTGTCAAGATTTAAACAGCTGGACTTAAAGCTGCACTGTGTAACTTTTATGGTTGGGTATTTGTCACCTGCTTGTTTCTATGGAGACGTCATTGCTCTGCCTGGAATGTTCCGCAGTGTGACATTAAACAGCTCTATTTTACATTTATTCAATTACAGGTGATTTTATGGCTCAAAAATACCTCGAAAAACAGATTTGGGACTCAGGAATCGGGATTCAAACTCGAAAATCGGGACTGGGACTTACACTCAGGAATAGAGACTCAAACACAGGAATCAGGAATCATACTCATACTCAGGAATCAGGAATCATACTCAGGAGTCGGGACTAAAACTCGGGACTGGGACTCACACTCGGGAGTCGGGACTAAAACTCGAGAATCGGGACTGGGACTCACACTCGGGAATCAGGACTCACACTCAAGAATCAGTAATCAGAAATCAAACTCGGGAATCGGGACTGGGACTAAAACTCAGGAAACAGGACTGAGACTCACACTCGGGAATCAGGACTAAAACTCGGGAAACGGGAATCGGGACGGGGACTCACACCTGGGGAGACCGGAACTGAGACCGGGACCAGACCGGGACTGAGGCCGGGACTGAGGCCGGGACTGAGACCAGGACTGAGACCGGGACCAAATCAGGAACACACCGGGACTGAGACCAGGACCAGACCGGGACCAGACTGGGATCAGGCCAGGGCCGGGACTGAGACTGGGACTGAGGCCGGGATTCCTACCAGGACTGAGGCCAGGACTGAGGCCGGGACCGGGTCGGGACTGAGGCCGGGACTGAGACCGGGACTAGACTGGGATTGAGGCCGGGACCAGACCGGGATTGAGGCCGGGACCGGGCCGGGATTGAAGCCGGGACTGAGGCCGGGATTGAGGCCGGGACCAGACCGGGATTGAGGCCGGGACCGGGCCGGGACTGAGGCCGGGACTGAGGCCGGGACTGAGGCCGGGACTGAGGACTGAGGCCGGGACCGAGGCCGGTTTAGTCCTGATTCAGTCCTGGTTTAGACCGTTATCTGTTTTTTTCCATTTTTCATTTATACACAAAATCAAAAACTGAAAAAACAAATCATTATCTGTTTTTTCATTTTGGAGACAAATAATGAAGAAAACTGTTGTTTTTTTCATTTTCTTATTTTTGGTTTTATTTTGAAAAACCAATGACACACGGATTGAGACAAACTGAAAAACTGTTGTCTCGGTTATTTAAGAGGAAGCTCAAAATAAAACTTGAGTCTCAGAGCTTCAGACAGAGCAGTGCCTTTAGTTAACGTCACAGCCCCAGAGAACGTTGACGTCGTTTCTTCTTCTTCTTCTTCAGGGCTCCTCCAACGCCTCCAGACTGGGACACAACTCCGAGTCGTGGTGTCTGAAATGCTCGGAGGCGTCGTGGACGTTCTGTCACGCCGGACGAGAACAGGACGTGGTGGTTTCCGCGGGTCACGGGTCCAGGAGAGTCGCGGTGTTCTCGGACCTGGACTCGGGTCTGCTCTGCTTCTACGCGGTCGCGGCTCGAGGGCTCCACCTGCTGCACCGGCTGGAGAACCGCTTCACTCAGCCTCTGCACGCGGCCGTGTGGCTGGGCAGCAACTCCACTGTGACCCTCTGTGCGGCGAGGGAACGAGAGCCCAGCTGAGCCTCTGACCTTCTGACCTTCTCCTCTCTTTCTTCCTCTGCTCCATCTGACGCTCTCCTCTCGTCTTCTGTTCCTCTTCTCCCCTAATCTTGTCCTCTGCTCCTGACCCTCTCCTGTTCCTCTGCATCCTCTGACCTTCTCCTTTTCTCCTCTGACCTTCTCCTTATGTCTTCTGCTCCAGTCCTCTTTTGACCTTCTCCTCTCGTCTCCTGCTGCTCTCTTCTGCTTCTCTGACCTTCTCGTCTTTCTCTGTTCCTCTTCTCCCTGTCTCTCTGTCCTCTGCTCCTCTGACCTTCTCTTCTGTTCCTCTGACCTTCTCCTTTCATCCTCCACTCCTGACCCTCTCCTGTTCCTCTGATCATCTCTTCTTCTCTCCTCCTCTGCTCCTCTGACCTTCTCCTCTGCATTCTCTACTCCATCTGACCCTCTCTCGTCCTCTGCTCCTGACCCTCTTCTGTTCCTCTGACCATCTCCTCTTCTCCTCTCCTCCTTTGCATCCTCTGCTCCTCTGACCTTCTCCTCTGCTTCTCTGACCTCCTCTCGTCCTCTTCTGACCTTCTCCCCTGCTCCTGTGCTCCTCTGATCTTCTCCTGTCGTGCTCTTCTCCTCTGACCTTCTCTTCCTCTAATCCTCTCCTTCGCTCCTCTGACCTTCTCCTCTGACCTTCTCCTTTTCTCCTCTGACCTTCTCCTCTCATCCTCTGCTCCTTTTCTTTGCATCCTCTGTCCCTCTCTTCTCTCCTCTGACCTTCTGTTCTGCTCCATTTGACCCTCTCCTCTGCCTCCTTTGCACCTCTGACCTTCTCCTCCTCTCCTCTGACCTCCTCTTGTCCTCTGCTCCTCTCATCTTCTGTTCCTCTGACCCTCTCCTCCTCTGACCTTCTCTTCTGCTTCATTTGGCCCTCTCCTCTCATCCTCTGCTCCTCTGACCTTCTTCTTTTGTCTTCTGCTCCTCTCCTCTGCTCCTCTGACCCTCTCTTCTTCTCCTCCTCTGACCTTCTCCTCTGCTCCTCTGACCATCTCCTCTCATCCTCTGCTCCTCTGACCCTCTCTTCTTCTCCTCCTCTGCTCCTCTGACCTTCTCCTTTTGTTTTCTGCTCCTCTCCTCTGCTTCTCTGACTTCCTCTTGTCCTCTTCTTATGACTCTCGTCCTCTGCTCCTGACCTTCTCCTCTCATCCTCCACTCCTGACCCTCTCCTGTTCCTCTGACCTTCTCCTCTCGTCTTCTGCTCCATCTGACCCTGTCCTCTCATCCTCTGCTCCTGACCCTCTCCTGTTCCTCTGCATTCTCTGCTCCTCTGAACTTCTCTGCATTCTCTCCTCCATCTAACCCTTTCCTCCCCTCCTCTGACCTTCTTCTCTTCTGACCCTCTCCTGTTCCTCTGCATCCTTTGCTCCTCTGACCTTCTCCTCCGCTCCTCTTTCCTTTCACTCTCTCCTCTGCTGCGTCTTATCCACATTTCTTCTGTGGAATTTTCCGTCTCTCGCTGTCACACCGAAAACATCTCCACTTATTATTGTTTACATTTCTTCGTCTTTCATTTTTGGACCAGACAAACTGTGAAAACATTTTCCAGGATTACGGACCTCCACACAAACCAAACCCTCTGACTCCACCGCCGTTCAATCAAAAGTTTTTATTTCATGTAAAAAAGCTGTACACTCTTCTGTCGTTTGTTTTTGTTACAGAATATTATGAACGTGATAAAGAAAACTAGAACTTGACTGTATAAGGCATTTTGAGAAGCGTTTAGTTTCTGTTTTCTAACTTAACGTTAAAAGAAAATAAACAAGTTTGAGTCTCTGAACAGAAGTGCTTTTCAGTTTGGTTTAGCAGACATTTCTACTCTACGTTTATTCATCCATGTTTGTGTAACTTTGTGAACCTCTCCCACGTGAAGAAAAGACTTAAGACTTTTTGAGTTTTTAGTTTTAAGACTTTTGAGTTTTCAGTCTGGTCTGACAAAATAACATTAGCTGCCGTCTTTATCGTCAAAAATCCGTCTCGGAATAGTGTTTTTACGTACTTGGTCCTTCACAACTGCTCTGTTTTGGCACAATTTTAACTTAAAAGTCGTCACAGTTTTCACATTTTTTCCAAACTTGGGAATGATTGAAGTGAAAAATGGGAAACACCGTTGTTGCGCACCAAAAAAATAAATTAAATAAAATAAACCGTAAACTTTAGGCCTGTCACGATAATTACTACACATTCTTATCGTTTACTTGATATTATGGAGTAACATCAGGCAGGGGGTGTCCCACATGTATCTCTACGGGTGGAATGTTCAGCGGTTGCCATGGCGCGACGCGACGCCAACGTTATTTTAATACTTTTTCGGCTCCGTTTGCGAACGTGGAAACTCAAGAAAAAAGCAAAATGGACTTTAATCAAGTGTCGAAAGAGAACTGGACGCTTTGCAGTGACGTCCTACATGCGTGTCTAGGGGAGAAATGTTCAGCAGCTACCACGGTGACACGATGCAAACATTATTTTGAAAACTTTTTAGGCTCCGTTTGCAAATCTGGAAACGCAATAAAGAAGAAAAAACTCAAAATAGATTTAAACCAGGTATCAAGAAAAAAACCTATGCTTTGCAGTGACGTCCTACATGCGTGTCTATGGAAAAAAGTTCGGCAGATACCACAGCAACACAATGCAAATGTTTAAAAAAAAAAAAAAGGCTCTGTTTACTAATCTGTAAACTCAAGAAAGAAAAAAAAAAACACAATATGGATTTAAACCAAGTATCAAGAGAAAACTGTTCGCTTTGCAGTGACGTCACGCTGGAGATGTCCTACATGTGTGTCTATGGAGAAATGTTCAGCAGCGACCATGGCAACACAATGCAAATATATGTTTACTCATCTGGAAATTCAAGAAAAAATCCAAAGTGTATTTATGAAAAGAGAAGTGACACTTTGCAGTGATGTCATGCCGAAGATGGTCCTACATGCGTGTCTATGGAGAAATGTTTAGCAGCGACCACAGCAACACACACGCAGCGCAAAATGCACAAACATTTTAAAACTTTTCCGGCTCTGTTTGCTGATCTGAAAACTCAAGAAAAAACGCAAACTGGATTTAAACCAAGTATCGAGAGAAAACTGACGCTTTGCAGTGACGTCCTACAAGTGTGTCTATAAAGAAATGTTCAGCAGTTACCATGGCGACATGACGCAAACATTATTTTAAAACTTTTTTGGCTCTGTTTGCGAATGTGGAAACTCAATAAAAACAAAAAAGCAAAGTGGATTAAAACAAGTATCAAGAGAGAAGTGACGCTTTGCAGTGACGTCACGCCGGGGATGTCTTATATGCGTGTTTATGGAAAAATGTTCAGCAACTACCACGGCAACACAATGCAAACATTACCAAACAGAGCCAAAAAAGTTTTTAAATAATCTGGAAACTCAAGAAAAGGCACAAAATGGATTTAAACCAAGTATGAAGAGAGAACTGTCGCTTTGCAGTGACATCACTCCGGTGATGTCCTGCATATGTGTTTATAGAGAAATGTTCAGCAGCGACCACAGCAACACGATGCAAACATTATTTTAAATCTTTTTTGGCTGTGATTGCTAATCTGGAAACTGAAGCAAAAAATATTTAAAACACAAAATGAATTTAAACCAAGTATCAAGAGAGAATTGAGGCTTTGCAGTGACGTCCTACATGCGTGTCAATTGAAAAATGTTCAGCAGCTACCATGGCAACACAATGCAAACATTATTTTAAAAAAATTGGCTCTGTAAAGTAATCTGAAAACTAAACTAAAAAATGCAAAATGGATTAAACCCAAGTATCAAGAGAGAACTGACGCTTTGGAGTGACATCCTACATGCATGTCTATGGAGAAATGTTCAGCAGCTACCACGGCGACACGATGCAAACATTATTTTAAAACTTTTTTCAGCTCTGTTTGCTAATCTGGAAACTCAAGAGAGAGAAAAAAAAAGCAAAATTGATTTAATCCAAGTATCAAGAGAAAACTCGCTTTGCAGTGACGTCACGGTGGGGGGTGTCCTGCATGCGTGTCTATGGAAAAAAGTTCAGCAGCTGCCATGGCAACACAATGCAAATGTTAAAAAAAAGAATTTGGCTCGGTTTACTCATCTGGAAAGTCAAGAAAAACTGCAAAATGGATTTAAACCCAGTATCGAGAGAGAACTGACGCTCTACATGCGTGTCTATGGAAAAAAGTTCAGCAGCTGCCATGGCAACACAATGCAAATGTGGAAAAAAAAAAAAAATTGGCTCTGTTTATTCATCTGGAAAGTCAAGGAAAAATGCAAAATGGATTTAAACCAAGTATGAAGAGAGAACTGACGCTTTGCAGTGACGTCACGGTCGGGGGTGTCCTACACGCGTGTCTATGGAAAAATGTTGAGCAGCTATCGTGGTACAATGCATACGTCGTCTCTGATTACGAATTTGGAAACTCAATAAAAAATGCACAATGGATTTAAACCAAGTATCAAGAGAAAACTGATTCTGTGCAGTGACGTCATACCGGGGATGTCCTACATGTGTGTCTATGGCGAAATGTTCAGCAGCTACCACAGCAACACAACGCAAACGTTATTTTTAAACTTTTTCGGCTCCGTTTGCCAATCTGGAAACTCAAGGGGAAAAAAAAAAAAAAAACACTCAGCAAACACTGCAAAAAAAAAAAAAGTTTAAAATTGTCTGAAAACTTGAGAAAAAATTGAAAATAAATTTAAGCAGCACATTTTTAGGCGCTTGGGGTCAATGCGAGCGTTCATGGTCCTGTTTAGGTGTTTGATTTTCGACAAAAAGGTCAGAGTGACAAAATAATCTCGTTTGCGGATCAATAAAGTTTGTCAAAGCCGGTGACTGTAATGTTGTAATGTTGTAATGTTGTTCCTGTTGTAGTTCAAGTTAAAACAGTTTTTCTGGTTAAATTGTGTTAAAATAAAAGTAAATTAAAGTTTAATTTGAGTGACAGAGCTTCAGACAGAGCAGTGCCTCCAGTTAGCGTCACAGCAGTATTTCTGGGGGTCAATATTTACCATCTGTACTTTTTTCTTTGCACACTCAGGGAGATTTTTAGTTACTTTTTTGATTACGTAAAGTTGAATTAATGACTTTTATGACTCATTACAGATGCAAACTAAATACTAAAGTGTTTAATCCATGTGTCGTTCGTTTGTTTTTCAATATAAAACTAAAAATAAGAAAACAAAACAAAACCAAAAAAAAACAATTTTCTTCATTATTTGTCTCCAAAACCAAAATGAAAAAATAGATGATTCTTTTTTTTTTTTTTTTATTTGTGTGATTTGTGTTTAGGACTGAGACCTGGACTGACCTGGTTTAGACCTGGTTTAAACCTGGTTTAGACCTGGTTCAGACCTGGTTTAGACCTGGTTAAGTCCTTGTCCAGTTCTGGTTTAGACCTTGTTTAAACCTGGTTAAATCCTGGTTTAGTTCTAGTTTAGTCCTGGTTTAGTCCTGATTCAGGTCGTTATTTGTTTTTTTCCACTTTTCATTTAAACACAAACTCGAAAACTGAAAAAATGAATCTTTATCTGTTTTTTCATTTTGATTTTGGAGACAAATAATGAAGATTTTTTATTATTATTATTTTCCATTTTCTTATTTTTTGGTTTTATTTTGAAAAACTAATGACCGAACGACACACTGATTTTGTTCATTCATGTTTCGTTATTACACCTTTTGACTTTTTAACAGTATTTTACATTTGAATCGTTTCCGTGGTTTTATTCTGTTTTTATTGTGTCGTTCGCTTTAATATTTTCATTTATCGTCCGTGTTTACTTCATAAAAATCGCACTTCAGACTGCGTCGTTATCGTGACAGGCCTACGTTAAATCGATAGTCGCTCCGTCTTTGCACACCGTCGCTTTGTGGTTGAGGAAGTTCGCCTTGGACAGGAAGTGGATGCTGCAGGCGGCGCAGTAAAACGACGCCACGTCTTTGCGTTTTTTGTGTTTTTTCATGTGCGTGCAAAGGTTCGACTTGAGCGTGAACCCCGTGTGACACACCGGACACCTGAACGGTTTGTCGCCCGTGTGCACCGCCATGTGCAGCTGCTGCGACGCCTCGTCCTTAAACTTCCGGTTGCACTTCGAACAGCCGAAAGGCCTGACCGCGATGTGCGCCATTTTTTTGTGCCGCATCAGGCTCTCGAAGTCCGGGAAACTCGACGTACATTCTTTGCAGTTGAAGATCTTCTCCTTGCTGTGGATCGCCATGTGGTTTTTGAGATAAACTTTCCGTCGGAACGTCTTCGGACACTCCGGACAGCTGAACGGTCTGTCCGCGACGTGTACCATGATGTGCGCTTGCAAGTACGCTTTCAGTTTGAAACTTTTTTGGCAAACGGGGCACTTGAACGGCTTCGCTGCGGCCGTGTCCATCGCCCGGGGTTTACTCCCGCCGGGCCGACTGAAGGCGCTGTCCCGCGTGTGCGTCCTCATGTGCGAATTGAGCGTTGAGGCTTGGACGAACCGCTTGTCGCACACGGTACACGCATAAAGTCGCTCTCCCGTGTGAATCCGCATGTGGATTTCCATGTTCTTCTTCACCGTGAACCGTTTCCCGCAAATCGAACACGCGTAAGGTCTCTCTTTGACATGAGTCTCCACGTGTTTGAACAAATCCTCCTTACTCACGAAGACCTTCCCGCACTCGCAAGTTTCCAGTTTGATGTTACTGGCGTCGTCGCACACGTCGCTCGCAGCGCTGTTGTTGTTGAGCTGAATCATGATAGGTTCTTCCTTGAAAACGCGTCGGCTCCTCTGCCTTTTTTGCGTAACTTTGCTGGAGCACGGCGCCCACTCGTCGTCGTCGGTGTCTCGCGTCGGGATCAGGCCCTGGGGATGCGCAGGTGAGACGCTCGTCGCCGCCGCCGCCGCTTCCTCCTCTTCTTTGTCCTGCAGTGGCCCCGCGTCCTGCTCGTTCCCGAAAATTCCCAACCCGAATTCCAGCGCGTTCTCCTGGTCCACGCACACCGCCTCGTACTCCTCTTTGATGTGCACGATCTCCACGGGTTCCTCCTTGACTTTCGCGCACGGCGTCGGCGCGGGGCTCACCAGGTCGATCCGCGCGGGCTCCAGGACGACGCGAGGGTTGTACGCCGCGTTGAGGAGCCGCTGCTGCCGCTCCGTCTCCTTCCCCAGGCGGATGATCTCGTTCTTGTACTCCAGCACCGCGGCGTCGAAAAGCGAAAAGATCTCCTGCGCGGCCAAGGCGAGGCGCTCCCCCACCAGCACGTCCAGTCTTTGGTTGTTAGGCATCATTTTTATTTTTATTTTTTTTTATTTTATTTTTTTTAGGCAGATTCGGGGCAGTTCGGGGGTCTCGCTTTAGCCTCCGCTGCTAACGGTGTGCGCTGTGAGAGTGCGCAGAAGTGACGCCAGTGCGCGCGCCAGGAGGAGGGGGAGGAGGGGGGAGGGATGTCATTGGGTCCCACAGTTGTCACTCATCCCAAAAAACACCACAAAGTTGGAAAAATCGGTCAAATAACGAAGGAAAAAAACAAAAACATCTAAACCAGGACTAAACCAGGTCTAAAACAAGGACTAAACCAGGACTAAACCAGGACTAAACCAGGACTAAACCTGGTCTAAAACAAGACTAAACCAGGACTAAACCAGGTCTAAAACAAGACTAAACCAGGACTAAACTAGGACTAAACCAGGACTAAACCAGGACTAAACCTGGACTAAACCTGGACTAAACCAGGACTAAACCTGGACTAAACCAGGACTAAAGTAGGACTAAACCAGAGCTGAACCAGGACTAAACTAAGACTAAACCAGGAATAAACTAAGACTAAAACAAGACTAAACCAGGACTAAATCAGGTCTAAACCAGGACTAAAACGCGTCTAAACCAGGACTAAACCAGGACTAAACTAGGACTAAAACAGGACTAAAGTAGGACTAAACCAGGACTAAACTAAGACTAAAACAAGACTAAACCAGGACTAAATCAGGTCTAAACCAGGTCTAAACCTGGACTAAACCAGGACTAAACCAGGTCTAAACTGGGTCTAAACCAGGACTAAAACAGGACTAAAGTAGGACTAAACCAGGACTAAACCGGGTCTAAACCGGGACTAAAACAGGACTAAAGTAGGACTAAACCAGGACTAAAACAGGACTAAAGTAGGACTAAACCAGGACTAAACCGGGACTAAAACAGGACTAAAGTAGGACTAAACCAGGACTAAATTAGGACTAAACCAGGACTAAACCGGGTCTAAACCAGGACTAAAACAGGACTAAACCAAGACTACACCAGGACTAAACCAGGACTGAACCAAGATTAAGACAAAGAAAAACGACAAACTCACCACTTCAGTCCAGGTTAAATACTTTGTGACGCTCGTTACTCACATTTGTACACAGTCAAATATGATTTTTTTTTTTTCCTGTAACGTCACATTACTGTGTTACAACAACAACAAAAACTACGCAGTACAATAACTTTTTACTTTTATAACACGTTTCTCCCAACACTGGAAACGAGTCGTAATTAAGGAAAATTATTCTGGACTCTGCTCATTCACGACGAACATGAGTCAGTATAGTCACATTTTCTTTGTGTTTTGGTCGTTTTTAAGCAGCTTTTCTGTATTTTACTTAAACAAATGACAGTTTATGTCTCTCTTTACTGTTGGCAGGGATCAAATTTGTTAAAAAATAGGGACATTTCTTGTATAAAACTGGGACAAATCAGTGGTTTTGTATAAATCCACTGGGACAGGGGACACAGGCTCAAAACTGGGACTGTCCCGGGTAAACAGGGACGTCTGGTCACACTCGTCATGACTTAAACTTAGAGTGACCAGATTTTCAAAATAAAAAACTGCAGACATCCCTGGTTTGGGTTTGTTGGTAATAGTAAAATTGTGAAACAAATGTGTAATTAAGGAAAATTGTTCTGCACTTAGAGCCAATATAATCATATTTTCTTTGTGTTTTGGTCGTTTTTTAAGCAGCTTTTCTGTATTTTACTTAAACAAATGACAGTGTATGTCTTGCTTTACTGTTGGCAGGATCAAATTGGTCAAAAAAAGCGACACCTGGGACATTTCTTGTGTAAAACTGGGACAAATCACTTGTTTTGGTATAAATCCACTGGGACAGGGGACACAGATTTAAACCTGAAACTGTCCTGGATAAACAGGGACGTCTGGTCACACTCGTCTTGACTTAAACTTAGAGTGACCAGATTTTCAAAATGAAAAACTGTGACGCTCTCAGTTTGGGTTGTTGGTAATAATAAAATGGTGAAATGAGTCGTAATTAAGGAGCTTTTCTGTATTTTACACTGCAAAAAACTAAATCTACTCAAGTTCAGATGAATTGAGTTAACAAAAGTTTCATACTGATTTGGGTAAATTTCTCTTAAGTAAAATGATCTGCCAATGGAACAAGACTTTTTGTACTTAAAATATGAAAAACAACAACTTTTTACACTTAAAATAAGAAACAAAATTGGATGTTGTTTGAATAAAAAAAATTTAAAAAAATTATTTCATTGGTAGATGTAATTTTACTCGTCAAGTTGAATCGACTCAAATAAAGTAAAATGCTCTTAATTTAAGTCAGGGGTGTCAAACTCATTTTGGTCCAGGGGCCGTATCCAACCTTGTTTGATCCCAAAGGGGCCGGGAAAAAAACTCATGGCATATAAACCCCAAAAATAGTTTTAAAAAAAAGTTCAAATATTTGTGCAGAGAAACGCAAATCTATTCCAGAAATATTTTTTAATTGATGAACTCTTTCTTTTACAAAATATTGCAATTTCAACACAATGTCAACACACAATCCTGCACTCGGCTCCACTTTTCTCATGTTGGACATTTTTCTGATGAGGGTGTCACGGTCAACAGTCAAAACGATCGTCCTTTAAGAGCGTTTGGAAAGAGACAAGTCTTCATTTGTGCTGCTCTGGTGGGAGGGGCCACGTACAGAGACGCTGGAGACGCTGCTGTGATAAACACCACAGAAAATTAACAAGATTTTAATAGAAAATATAATTAAAATTTTTTAGTAGAAAATCAGATGAGGGCCAGATTAAAGGTCTTGGAGGGCCGGATTCAGCCCCCGGGCCATATGTTTGACACCCCTGATTTGAATCATTTTCACTTAACTAGATATTGCTTTTTTTTTTTGTTTTTTTTTTTCCAGTGAACATAAACAAATGACAGTTTTTGCCTCTTTTCACTGTTGAAAGGATCAGATTGGTCAAAAATAGCGACACCTGAAACTGTCCCGGGTAAACAGGGACGTCTGGTCACACTCGTCATGACTTAAATTCAGAGTGACCAGATTTTCAAAATAAAAAACTGGAACACTCTTTCGTTTGTGGTGGTTGGTAATAATAAAATGAGATAAAATTGTGAAACGAGTGTGTAAATAAGGAAAACTGTTCTGGACTCTGCACTAACATGAATCAGTATAGTCATATTTTCTTTGTGTTTTGGTCATTTTTAAGCATTTTTTTGTATATTTTACTTAAACAAATGACGATTTATGTCGCTTTTTACTGTTGGCAGGATCAGATTGGTCAAAAATAGGGACACTTGGGACATTTCTTGTATAAAACTGCGACAAATCACTGGTTTTGTTTAAATCCACTGGGACAAATCAGTGGTTTTGAATAAATCCACTGGGACAGGGGACACAGGCTCAAAACTGGGACTGTCCCGGGTAAACAGGGACGTCTGGTCACACTCGTCATGACTTTAAACTTAGAGTGACCAGATTTTCAAAATAAAAAACTGCAGACATCCCTGGTTTGGGTTTGTTGGTAATAGTAAAATTGTGAAAAAAGTGTGTAATTAAGGAAAATTGTTCTGCACTTAGAGCCAATATAGTCACATTTTCTTTGTGTTTTGGTCGTTTTTAAAGCAGTTTTTCTGTTTTTTACTTAAACAAATGACAGTTTATGTTGCTTTTTACTGTTCACATTGGTCAAAAATAGAGACACCTTGGACATTTCTTGTATAAAACTGGGACAAATCAGTGGTTTTGTTTAAATCTGCTGGGACAGGAGACACAGACTCAAAACCAGGTAAACAGGGACGTCTGGTCACACTCGTCATGATTTAAACCTTGAGTGACCAGATTTTCTAAATAAAAAACTGGGACACCCTCTGTTTGTGGTGGCTGGTAATAGTAAAATTGTGAAATGAGTCGTAATTAAGAAAAATTGTTCTGGACACGGCCCGTTTATGACGAACATGAGTCAGTATAATCACATTTTCTTTGTGTTTTGGTCGTTTTTAAGCAGCTTTTCTCTCAAAAATAGAAACACCTGGGACAGTTCTTGTATAAAACAGTGATTTCCAAACAAATATACTACATGAACTGAACAAGAAATAAAAAGGATCCAGAAGTCGCCTGTTTGGACTTTAAATGTAGCCAATTTTTTTTTCTTTTCAACATTCAACTGAACCAGCAACAATGGAACAAAACAGTCAATAAAATAATTACAAAACGATTAGAAATGATACAAAACACGTCTTAACATTTGAACATTTCTAAAAAAGAGTTGGGCCTGTGTGTGTTTTTGCAGCGTGTCTAGTCCAGGTGAAGGAGGAGACGCAGACCCAAAAAAAATCTCTTGCGACCCACCTGAGGGCCGCGACCCAGACTTTTGGAAACACTATTTTTTCCCATCTGTTCTAATGCAGTTTCCTCGTCACAAACAGAACTAAAGTCTTGTGTTTTGTTTCTTTCACACGTGTTTAACACACAAACCCTGCACATTTAGGTTCTTAGTTCTTCTCACAAACTGAAAACACAGCTTATGATGTCATGTGGTAAAACAGGAAGTGCTCCACTGTGTTTTTAAACTCTGGAATTGCCGATCTGTACCGAACTAAAGACTGACAATTAAAGACAGATGTATTATAGATATTTGTGAATAAGAAGGATTTATTCAAACACGTGGAAACACATGTTAAAGAGAAACCTTTCGGGTGTTCAGTTTGTGGAAAACGGTTCACGGTCAAGAAAAATAATATAATACTCCCTACAACTGCCTTATGTAACAGATAATACTCCCTACAACTGGACAACAACTCGCTCTTATGTAACACATAATACTCCCTACAACTGCACAACAACTCGCTCTTATGTGACAGATAATACTCCCTACAACTGGACAACAACTCGCTCTTATGTAACACATAATACTCCCTACAACTGCACAACAACTCGCTCTTATGTAACAGATAATACTCCCTACAACTGTACAACAACTCAGCCTTATGTAACAGATAATACTCCCTACAACTTTAAAACAACTCACCTGTATGTCATAGATAATACTCCCTACAACTGTACAACAACTCGCCCTCATGTAACAGATAATACTCCCTACAACTGGACAACAACTCACTCTTATGTAACAGATAATACTCCCTACAACTGGACAACAACTCACCCTTATGTCATAGATAATACTCCCTACAACTGCCTTATGTAACAGATAATACTCCCTACAACTGTACAACAACTCGCCCTCATGTAACAGATAATACTCCCTACAACTGGACAACAACTCACTCTTATGTAACAGATAATACTCCCTACAACTGGACAACAACTCACCCTTATGTCATAGATAATACTCCCTACAACTGCCTTATGTCACAGATAATACTCCCTACAACTGTCTTATGTAACAGATAATACTCCCTACAACTGTACAACAATTCGCCCTTATGTAACAGATAATACTCCCTACAACTGCCTTATGTAACAGATAATACTCCCTACAACTTTACAACAACTCACCCTTATGTCATAGATAATACTCCCTACAACTGTACAACATCTGTATGTAACAGATAATCTAATATATTGTCTTTTAATTTCACTGTTGCTCTGTTTTTCTTCATGACGTCTTGTATAAAGTTCAGATATTGTTGTATTATTATATTTCTATTTTTATTTATACTTGTACATTTACATTTATATAATTATTCTTTATTTGACACTGGTCTCTTGCTATTTTGAGCAACTGTGTCCAAATATTTTTTCTTGTAGATCAATAAAGTTTGTCTAAATCTATTACAACTTTAGTAAAACGTTCACATTTTGATCATTGTAAATCATAATATTGATCTAAAATGGCTTAATCCAGTCCAACTTTATTTGTATAACACATTTTATAAACAAGACAGTTTCCAAAGTGCAGTGTAAAACGTTTAACTTTAAAAGAAAAAATAAAATAAAAAAATAAAAAATAAACTAATAAATAATAATAATAATAATAATAATAATAATAATAATAATAATAATAATAATAATAATAATTTTTAAATTAATTAACAAAAAAAAATCAAATCAATACATAAAAGCTGTACTAAAAGAAAAATAAAAGTATAAGTGTGTAAGTTATAAGTACTTTGTGTTTCTTGTCCTTCCACTGGGTGGCGCTGCAGCTCTGTGTTATATAATTGGCTGCTCAGGCGCTGCAGAGTGGAGGTGTTTTATTTTTATTTTTTTATTTTAATGGAGACTGAGATCTGTGTTTGTTTTGGAGCTCAACAGTGAACGCCCACTGAGCTGACGATAAAATAACATTAAAAAAAATATATAATAATAATAATAATAATAACGCCCAAGTAATTCCCCTTGTGGATGAATAAAGTCTGTCTGTGTCTAAAAAACACAAACAAAAAACGTCTCATTCATTTTTCCCGTTGACTCGATGTTTGAAAACTCAGAGTTCGTCAGCGCTTTGGTGACAAACGACCACGAAACCACATCACCATGGCAACGCTTCACCACAACAAGCACCGGGTTTTTATTCATGTGGTTTTACTGCTGAAAAATGGAAACGTGACACTTTTGGAACCTCCCTGTTTTTCACAAATATAAAGAGAGCTGTGGGCGGAGATAGGGGGTAGGTGAAAACAGGAATTTATGGAGCAGTACAGGATTTTTACTCAAACATCACTGTTAAAACATGGACAAAACTCAGGTAAATAAGTCTAAGTTTGATAAAAATGTGTTATTTACTACACAAATACACAACTGTACAACAACTCACCATTATGTAACAGATAATACTCCCTACAACTGTACAACAACTCACCCTTATGTCATAGATAATACTCCCTACAACTGTACAACAACTCACCCTTATGTCATAGATAATACTCCCTACAACTGTACAACAACTCACCATTATGTAACAGATAATACTCCCTACAACTGTACAACAACTCACCCTTATGTCATAGATAATACTCCCTACAACTGTACAACAACTCACCATTATGTAACAGATAATACTCCCTACAACTGTACAACAACTCACCCTTATGTCATAGATAATACTCCCTACAACTGTACAACAACTCACCCTTATGTCATAGATAATACTCCCTACAACTGTACAACAACTCACCATTATGTAACAGATAATACTCCCTACAACTGTACAACAACTCACCCTTATGTCATAGATAATACTCCCTACAACTGTACAACAACTCACCCTTATGTAACAGATAATACTCCCTACAACTGTACAACAACTCACCCTTATGTCATAGATAATACTCCTACAACTGTACAACAACTCACCCTTATGTCATAGATAATACTCCCTACAACTGTACAACAACTCACCATTATGTAACAGATAATACTCCCTACAACTGTACAACAACTTGCATTGATGTAACAGATAATACTCCCTACAACTGTACAACAACTCACCCTTATGTAACAGATAATACTCCCTACAACTGTACAACAACTCACCCTTATGTCATAGATAATACTCCCTACAACTGTACAACAACTCACCATTATGTAACAGATAATACTCCCTACAACTGTACAACAACTTGCATTGATGTAACAAATAATACTCCCTACAACTGTACAACAACTCACCCTTATGTAACAGATAATACTCCCTACAACTGTACAACAACTCACACTTATGCCATAGATAATACTCCCTACAACTGCCTTATGTAACAGATAATACTCCCTACAACTGTACAACAACTCACCCTTATGCCATAGATAATACTCCCTACAACTGCCTTATGTAACAGATAATACTCCCTACAACTGTGCAACAACTCACCCTTATGTCATAGATAATACTCCCTACAACTGCCTTATGTAACAAATAATACTCCCTACAACTGTACAACAACTCACCCTTATGTAACAGATAATACTCTCTACAGCTGCCTCATGTAACAGATAATACTCCCTACAACTATACAACAGCTCACCCTTATGTCATAGATAATACTCCCTACAACTACAACTGCCTTATGTAACAGATAATACTCCCTACAACTATACAACAACTCACCCTTATGTCATAGATAATACTCCCTACAACTGTACAACAACTCACTCTTATGTAACAGATAATACTCCCTACAACTGTACAACAACTCACCCTTATGTCATAGATAATACTCCCTACAACTGTACAACAACTCACCCTTATGTAACAGATAATACTCCCTACAACTGTACAACAACTCACCCTTATGTAACAGATAATACTCCCTACAACTGTACAACAACTCACCCTTATGTCATAGATAATACTCCCTACAACTGTACAACAACTCACCCTTATGTAACAGATAATACTCCCTACAACTGTACAACAACTCACCTTTATGCCATAGATAATACTCCCTACAACTGCCTTATGTAACAAATAATACTCCCTACAACTGTACAACAACTCACCCTTATGTAACAGATAATACTCCCTACAACTGTACAACAACTCACCTTTATGTAAAAGATAATACTCCCTACAACTGCCTTATGTAACAGATAATACTCCCTACAACTATACAACAGCTCACCCTTATGTCATAGATAATACTCCCTACAGCTGCCTCATATAACAGATAATACTCCCTACAGCTGTACAACAACTCACCCTTATGTAACAGATAATACTCCCTACAACTGCACAACAACTCACCTTTATGTAACAGATAATACTCCCTACAACTGCCTTATGTAACAGATAATACTCCCTACAACTATACAACAACTCACCCTTATGTAACAGATAATACTCCCTACAACTGTACAACTCGCCCTTATGTCATAGATAATACTCCCTACAACTGCCTTACGTAACAAATAATACTCCCTACAACTGTACATCAACTCACCCTTATGTAACAGATAATACTCCCTACAACTGTACAACAACTCACCCTTATGTCATAGATAATACTCCCTACAACTGCCTTATGTAACAGATAATACTCCCTACAAATGCCTTATGTAACAGATAATACTCCCTACAACTGTACAACAACTCACCCTTATGTCATAGATAATACTCCCTACAACTGTACAACAACTCACTCTTATGTAACAGATAATACTCCCTACAACTGCCTTATGTAACAGATAATACTCCCTACAACTATACAACAACTCACCCTTATGTCATAGATAATACTCCCTACAACTGCCTTATGTAACAGATAATACTCCCTACAACTGCCTTATGTAACAGATAATACTCCCTACAACTGTACAACAACTCACCCTTATGCCATAGATAATACTCCCTACAACTGTACAACAACTCACTCTTATGTAACAGATAATACTCCCTACAACTGCCTTATGTAACAGATAATACTCCCTACAACTATACAACAACTCTCACCCTTATGTAACAGATAATGTCCTGTCAATCATCATATAATTTTTGCACTATGACCTCTTGTATAAAGCTGTGATTTTATATTTTATTACTTATTTTTAATTTTGACTTTTTATTTTACATTTATATATTTACATTTATATAATTATGTTTTATTTCACACGTGTCTCTTGCTGTATTTTTTGCTACTTATTTAGAATTTATTATTACCATTTATAATTTTTACTTTGTTATTATATTTTATTGTGACGCGTGAGCTGCTGTGTCCAAATAATTTCCCTTGTGGATCAATAAATTTTGTCTACGTCAAATTTTAAAAATGTACATTACGGTTTAGTTACGTTCAATTTCTAGTAAAAAAAAAATCCTTGTTTTGTTTAATGTAATTTATTTTTATTTACTTTTTTTTGTCCTTTGCTAAATTGATTTCTTATGATGCTGAAAACTGCGTTAAAAAAATAAAATTATATAAAAAATAAAAAAAAGGTTTCGTAAATACATGACGTCATGGACACGCGACGCCCGACACACGCCCCCTTTTTACTTGTATAAACCGATTATTTTACACTATAACCTCATAAATCGAGTGTTTTGTAATGCTTTTTCAAGATGTTTAGTGTAAACAAAAAAATATATAATAATATAAAAAAAATAGTCACGCGTTTGTTTGTGCGTGTTTGGCCTCGTGGAGCGGTCACGTGTGCGCGGCTCGGTCTCCTCGGCGCCTCGCGCAGGGGGCAGTTGCCTAATCGCCACTTTTGCGCAGCGATCGACCCGAAACTTCGCATCCCAAACACGAGGGTGAAGAGGTGAAAAGGTGACGGGGGTGAAGGGCTTATCTGCTGGAGGAAAACGCCCCGCCTCGGTGCACTTTTATCGGGCGGAGACAGACCGGCACCTCGCGCTGCAAAAAAAAAAAAAAAAAAACAAACAGAGAAGACCGCGGCTTTTGTCTCAATAAAGCTTCATTTTTTTTTTTTTGGAAAGGTACGTAATGTTCACTGCGCTTTTGTGATGTGCTTTTGCATGCTGACACACGGGCATCTTTTATCTTTTAACACGCGTATTGTGGAGTCTTTAAACATTTAGATTTTTTTTTTTTTTTTTTTGACAAGGTGCATTGTGTAACTTTTACTTTAACGCTTTTTTTACGTGGAGGTGTTATTGCTTTGTCTAGAATGTTTCACAGTACGGCATTAAACTGTTCTGTCTTCACGGAAACCGAACCAGACCACGGTTACGCCAGTTACGGTTCAGATCTGCGGAGAGGCGACGCCGCTCGCAGTCAGAATGTAAGTTTTTCCAAGTGTTTTTGAGCTGTAAAACCACCTGTAATCGAATAAACGTAAAGTAGAGCTGTTTAAAGTCACACTGCGGAACATTCTAGGCAGAGCAATGACGTATCCATAGAAACAAGCAGGTGACAGACCCCCAACCAGAAAGTTACGCAGTGCACCTTTAAGTGTTTTTTTTTTTAACTCTTGCTTTTTCTTGGACTTCTGCTTTGTTTTTCTACTTGAGTAATATTATTTTGAAGTAACTGTACTCTTAAAACCGAGTAAAATTGTGGTTTTAAAGCTCAAAAATGCCTAAAAAAACCAAAAACATTCTGACTGTGAGCGGCGTCGCCTCTCCACAGATCTGACCTCAGAAGTGTCCTCCACTTAAGTATTCATTTTATTTGTGTACTTTTCAACTCACTGTCCAATGTCTTATCTTTAAATATTTATAAATTTTAGCACGACAAGATAAAATTGGGCAAGAAGTAGTGACGCTGACAATTTTACTCGGAGGAGTAAAATTAAGGAAGAAAAGTGACTGACAGACTTTCCGAAAGAGAAGTTACACAATGCATCTTAAAGTTAAATACACTGCTTCGTATTTTTTTTTAAAATTCCGTACTTTTATTTTACTTTGAACCAGCCAAAACACACTCGATCGCCTAAAGTTAGTCCAGAACGTCGTCGTATTTTAACCGGAAGCAACAAACGCGATCACACGACCTTTTTTTTTTTTTTTTTTTTTTTGACAAGGTGCGTTGTGTAACTTACTTTTAACGCTTTTTTACGTGGAAATGTTATTGTTTTGTCTGGAATGTTTCACAGTACGGCATTAAACCGTTCTATCTTCACGGAAACCGAAGCAGACCACAGTTACGCCAGTCACGGGTCAGATCCGCGGCGAGGCGACGCCGCTCGCAGTCAGAATGTAAGTTTTTCTAGGTGTTTTTGAGCTGTAAAACCACCTGTAATTGAATAAACGTAAAGTAGAGCTGTTTAATGTCACACTGCGGAACATTTTAAGCAGAGAAATGACGTATCCATAGAAACCCCCAACCAAAAAAGTTACACGGTGCACCTTTAACTTGTGAATCATGAGTTTAAAGGTGTGCTGCGTTGGTTGAGGCTTCATCACCTTGTTTCTATGGATACGTCATTGCTCTGGAGCTTTTGGAATGTCCCGCAGTGTGACATTAAACAGCTCTACTTTACATTTATTCAATTACAGGTGCTTTTAAAGCTCAAAAATACTTAGAAAAAAAACATTTTTTTTGAATGTGAGCGGGGTCGGCTCTCCACAGATCTGACCCGTAACTTGGTCTGGTTTGGTCTCCGTGAAGATAGAAAGCCAAAACACACTTTATCACCTAAAGTTGGTCCAGAACGTGGTCGTATTTTAACCGGAAGCAACAAACGCGATCACACAACCTTTTTTTTTTTTTTTTTTTTTGAGAAGGTGCATTGTGTAACTTTTACTTTTAACACTTTTTTTACATGGAGATGCTATTGCTTTGTCTGGAATGTTTCACAGTACGGCATTAATCTGTTCTGTCTTCACGGAAACCGAACCAGCCACGGTCACGGGTCAGATCTGCGGAGAGGCGGCGCCGCTCACAGTTGTTATGAGTTTCCTTCCTCTAGACAAACAACAAAACTGTAGCTGTAACAAAATAATTAAGTAAAATAAACCAAAAAATACTCTTTGGCGATATATCGATACAGCAGCCCACGATATCGACGCTGTATCATCACATTAAACAATACGATATTTTTGCTGAACTGATATTTGAAGCCGATATCTGCGCTGTTGTCCGATACCAGTATCATATCGGTGTTTTTATTTGTCCCATAAACACATGAAATCCAGCCTCTACTTTTACCTTTTGATTTCATTTTTTCTCGTTCTTCTCTTGTTTCTGTGTCTCCAGGTTCGTGTCTGTTCCTCGGTGAGATGTTCGGAGCTGTGGTGGTGGGTCTGGGCGTGGCCGGGTCCGTCCGAATCAGGGACATGTTGGCTCCTTTACCGGGCAGCGCCGCCGAAAAACTCACCGTCAAAGGCTTCGTCTCCAGGTGAGCTTTTATTTTAACACAATCTGACCAGAAACAGCCGACAAGTCTCTTTCAAATAACATTACAAGTTTGCGTTTTTTTAGTTAGTCACTCTTTCTCTCACCTTTTTTTTGTTGTTGTTGAAACTCGTATTGATCACGGGCTCCTGAAAATCTGTCCGTTTGGTGGTTTTTCTTGAATTTTCAGACTTTGTTAACTTTTTTTTTGTTGTCTTTTTTTCTTTCTGTGTGTTGTGTCACGTGTCAAGGTGTGCGAAAATGTTGAAATATCGACATCGTATCGTTTCATGTGATGATACAGTATTGATATCGTGAGCTGATGTGTACGGAAGCCGAGAGGGGTCACAACAAACGCAAACGCCGCGACAAATACAAATGCGACAACACAACAAAAAGCCACAACACACCAAAAAAAGCCACAACACACCAAAAAAAGCCACAACAGAAGTGACCGCGGGACTCTATTTTCCGACAGACCGATCAAGCGGGAAGTGAAGAAGAAGAAGAACTACAACGTGAAACGAATAATGATAAAACAATACATTTTTATTATTTTTTAATTTTACGTTTCCAACTTCTCCGTTCCTTTACTTTTCACGTTGTAGTTCTTCTTCTTCTTCACTTGCCGCTTGATCGGTCCGTCGGAAAATAGAGTCCCGCGGTCACTTCGGTTATGGCTTTTTAATGTGTTGCGGCTTTTGTATTTGTGTTGTGACGTTTGTATTTGTTGCGGCGTTTGCATTAAAATAAAGTCCCGCGGTCATTTCCGTTGTGGCTTTTTTTGTTGTGTTGTGGCTTTTTAATGTGATATGTCGATATTTCAATATTTTTGCACACCCCATCTGTCACTGCAAAGTATCAATCAGAACTGTTATTAGACAAACGAAATTTCCAAAATCACTACGTTCAATAAAGAAATGAGACGTTTTAATGTTTTAATCTCACGTCTTTGTATGGAAGCGAGCAGGAAGTGCTCCTCCTCCAGGTCAAATGAGAACAACGACAATTAATCATGTTTCCTGACAGAGAAAAGGCGTCCAGATATAGAGCTCTGTGTTTGCCCTGACTGAGCCTGTGTAATTTATAAACCCGTTCGTATTGACATGTGTGTTTTATGTATGTTTTGTTATTGTGAAACTCTAAGCTCATGTTCAATATGAAGAAGACAAAGTCCAGCCTGAGTGATACGAGTGTTTCAGAACATAGAAAAACTGGTGGACCAAACCCCCTTTCTTTAGACAATAGACTCTGATTTGCAGGATTAAATGGTAGTACTGTATTTGTCAGACTATAAATCACTCTGGACAGCCAAAAAATGCAGAATGAAGAAGAAAAAAACATATACAAGTCACACTTTTGGGGGGAAATTTATTTTCTAAAATCAAAGATCAGGAGCAGACATTTCCTGTGTAAAGTCAAGTTGTAGTAAAAACAACAGAAGAGAGAACAACAGACTGTTAACGTCACATATGAACAGGCCTGTAACGATAACACATTTTGCTGGACGATTAATTGACCAAGAATTTATTGCGATAAACGATAATATTGACAATTTCAACTAATGTAATGACCATGGAATAAAAATGCAAATACATCCTCTCAATGATGAATAAACTTTACTTTCTGAAGAACATTTAACACAGGAACTGTAAGACAAACAAAAACAACAGGCCTAAATAAAACAGATTTGTTAACACAGGTATTGAAGAGTAAGTTTAAGGACTGTATAGGTGTTAGCTCGGATTGTGATATTGGCCCTGGAGCGCCGGTCAGGATGCAGGATGGTGTATTTAGGAGGTTTAATGAAGCTCAGGCAACATCGCAGAACATTATTGGTCGTATGTGTGGTCTATAAAGAAAAAGAATAACTACACAGGTATTATAGGAACATGAACACATCCTGACACGCGTAAAACCAATAAAAAAGGACTTATAAAACATCCATATAGCCCCGAATACCATAAACTTACTTTAGTCAACAACGCACAACTTGAGCTGACGATACGTGTCTGCACGCCCGAGCCTCAGGAACTAATTAAGACAGCGGTGCCGTGCGCTCTGAACTGAAGCATGCATTAAAGGTTGTATGGAGGATTTTTTGTTTGTTTCAAATTGTCAGTGAAAGTTTAAAATACCATTATAGAGATGCAGCAGCCTTGTAATTATGATGACCAAAAAAAAAAAAAAGAAAGAAAATCTATCAACTGTGGACGTGTTGAGGCCAGATAAACATCAGCCAATAGAAAACGAGGCTGCCTCATTTTCTATTGGCTGTTAGGTCGTCAATCAAACTCCCTACGTTTCTAAGGTAACTATGCAGCAGTTCTTAGAGGGTTTTTCTAATTGTGGCTCTCTCGCAGTTCGCATAAAGTTTGTTGCAATGTCGGACGAGAATCCGCGACCAGTTCGCCGCAAAAGAAAGTCGGTTTTTGAGGTCGCTGAAAGACGAAGAGAAGGGGAAAAGGAGCGAAGACGAACTGAGGTGATTCTTGGAGATTCCTTTCAGTGATTGCACAACTGAAGCAGACAAAGGGTCTAAAAACTGAGGTGTCGGTCTCTAAATTATTTCTAGAGGGACCTGTGGAGGAGGAAGGTGGTGTCAAGGACTGTCGCTGGATTTCTCTTTCCTTAAAAAAATCCTCTATACAACCTTTAAGTCACAGCACCTCTAGTGGGCGCTCTTGACAAAGCTACTTCCTTTCTTACAACAGGACTAGTCTAATGTGTCTGTCTCACAGCGAGGACTTGTTCACAAAAATGCACTTGAATAAACCACTGATGAACCAAACACAACCAAAACAATAAATAAAATGGATTATTAAGTCTCTGTAACAAAATTGCCCTAAAAGTCACCGACTTACATTTCTCGTCTACATGTTCGTATTAACATTATGTTGATAAAAAATTACATTGATTATTTGTTCAGCTCTGGTGTCGCGATTGTCAAAATCGGATCATCACGAGACGTCATGTGGAATGTCAAGGTCCAATTCACCTGAAGAGGGCCAAGAAACTGCAGCTTTGGCGATAAGATTGGCCAATTTTTTATTTTCAACATTTTTTTTTTTCATTCATTCCCACAGACTTGTAGTTGCTTCTCGATCTTTTGACCTGTTCACTCCAAAATGACCCACATCATCTTTGTATAAAACTCTGCACAGACATTGTCCTGCACATCAAAGAGTCCAGATTTCACACACGAGTTCATGACCCAAGATGAGAAAAAGTCACAAAATTATAGGAAGAAAAAAATGGATAAACAGTACTTTGGTCAAAACAAAAACTGAAATGGGTCAAATTGACCCGTAACATAATACAAGGGTTAACCTGCGACACAGCAGCAGCCACAGAGACACGAGACACAATATTCCAATGTAAGTCGGTGACTAAAATCACTTTTAAGGGCAATTTTGTTACAGAGACTTAATAATCCATTTTATTTATTGTTTTGGTTGTGTTTGGTTCAACAATGGTTTATTCAAGTGCATTTCTGTGAACAAGTCCTCACTGCGAGACAGACACAACCAAATTCAAACCAATTCAAACTTCACCTTTTAAATATTCAGCACAGATATTTTCAAGCCCCGAAATTCAACAGTCAAAATTAGGAGTGTAAAATAGACCTTTTTTTCACCTTTTTGAACAAACGGCTGAAAGTGCCGCGCTGTAGTTTTGCGGAACTTCTCGTTAATGGTTTTCTGTGGCGAAATGTGTTCGTAGAATGCTAAAAAAGTGCCTTTTAGACACGCAAATGTGTGAACACTAAAACTTTTATTGTATTTTTTGTAACCTTATTGTACATTTGTGTCATTTTTGATTTGATTATTAATTTTTTATTTTCGTTTTGGATGCCTTTTTGACATCTGGCGAAGGGACTACCGACGCAAATGAGCTCTTATCAGCGAACTCGGGCACATTTACATTGTTTTGATGTTGATTAATGTGCATTGTCCCTTTTCAAATACATAAATAAAAGTAAATGTGTGTCGTATTCTCGGATTTATGAAGCTGCTGGAGAATACGACGCGCACGTTTTCCCACAGAAAACCGTTAACCTGAAGTTCGACAAACCTACAGAGCAACGGTCACTCTGCTCCCCGCTTTTATATTTACTCTGTGCTCTCTCTCTCTCTCTCGCGCCCCCTTGTGTTCAGGCGGAGTATGGGCGCGCAGGAGGGCGTGGAGCAGCTGTCGATGTCGGAGGCCCTGAACAGAGACGACGTCAGCGCGGCGTTCGTCTGCACCGAGAACGAGTCGCACGAGGAGGCGGTCAGGTACGCCGTTTATTCTATTCAATAAAATTCAATAAAACATAAAACTTAACCTTTTAAAATCAAATTAATTAAAGTTGTCTTATCTTTAAATATCTATGAATTTTAGCACGACGAGATACAGCGACAGGAAGCAGTGACGCTCGTGATTTAACTTTTTTTTTTTTGTGCTTTTCAAAATTTTAACAAATGTACATAAAAGAACAATCGATCTGTGGGGTTCTACAAAACAAAGAAAAAAAACTGAGCTTTGTAAACAGACCATTTGGACCATCGCTTAGTCAAGACAAACCCAAGACTGAACCAGGACTGAACCAGGATTAAACCAGGATTAAACCAGGACTAAACCTGGACTAAACCAGGACTGAACAAGGATTAAACCAGGACTAAACCTGGACTAAACCAGGACTGAACAAGGATTAAACCAGGACTAAACCTGGACTAAACCAGGACTGAACCAGGATTAAAACAGGTCTTAACCAGGTCTAAACCAGGACTGAACCAGGACTAAACCAGGTTTAAACCAAGACTGAACCAGGACTGAACCAGGACTAAACCTGGACTAAACCAGGACTGAACAAGGATTAAACCAGGACTAAACCTGGACTAAACCAGGACTGAACAAGGATTAAACCAGGACTAAACCCGCGGTCATTTCCGTTGTGTCTTTTTTTGGTGTGTTGTGGCATTTGTTTTTGTCGCGGCGTTTGCGTTTGTCGTGACCCCTCTCGGCTTCCGTACTTATCGATACCTGTGAAAAATTCGTGTCTGGGTTCCGTACTAGTTTCAGTATCGATGAGAGTCCGATTTTCGACTCTACAACTAAGAGTGTCGTGTAAGAGAAACTGGACGTAACATCTGATTTATCATTTGTAAAGCTCAAAATCTGGTGTTTTTGAAAGGATGGACACAAAAATGAGGAAACCTAAAATTAAAACAACCTTAAGGAGCACAGCAAGAAACACAAATGTTCAAATAATCGCCTGTAATATTGTCAACATAAAGGTTTTGTCACTTGTACGTTCGCTCACAGTGGAATAAATGTGCACTGAAAAAGGCGTGTATTTATATTTTTGTTTTTATTTTTGTTTTTGTTTGCTGCAGACAGTTTCTGGAGGCGGGGAAGCACGTGTGTGTGGAGTATCCCATGACCCTGAGCTACAAGGCGGCTGTGGAGCTCTGGGACTTGGCCGAAGAAAAAGGTGAAGCGCCGTTCTACTAAACGACCACTAGATGTCGCTCAAAGTCTGTGATCGTTCGCGCTGCTTTATGTTGGAGAGAAAAACATACAGACTATATTTGTGTTTTTTTGTTTTTTTTTGTATTTATATTTCTTTGTTTTTTATTCTAATCAAATACTGCTTGTTTTTTTAGTTAAATGAGAAGGAAACGAATTGCTATAAATATTGAGATTGAATCACCTCTAATCCAGGACTAAACCAGGACTTAACCAGGACTAAACTAGGACTAAATCAGGACTAAATCAGGATTAAACCAGGATTAAACCAGGACTAAACCAGGACTAAACCAGGACTAAACTAAACCAGGACTAAATCAGGACTAAACCAGGACTAAACCAGGACTAAGGACTAAACCAGGACTAAAACCAGGACTAAACGGACTTAAACCAGGACTAAACCAGGACTAAAACTAAACCAGGACTAAACCAGGACTAAACTAGGACTAAACCAGGACTAGGATTAAACCAGGACTAAACCAGGATTAAACCAGGACTAAACCAGGACTAAACCAGGACTAAACCAGGACTAAACCAGGATTAAACCAGGACTAAACCAATATTAAACCAGGACTAAATCTGGACTAAACTAGGACTAAACTAGGACTAAACTAGGACTAAACCAGGACTAAACCAGGACTAACTCAGGATTAAACCAGGACTAAACCAGTATTAATTTTGGACTAAACCAGGACTAAACCAGGACTAAACCAGGACTAAACCAGGACTAAACCAGGATTAAACCAGGACTAAACCAGGATTAAACCAGGACTAAACCAGGACAAACCCAGGGCTAAACCAGGACTAACTCAGGATTAAACCAGGACTAAACCAATATTAATTTTGGACTAAACCGGGACTAAGCCAGGACTAAACTAGAACTAAGCCAGGACTAAACCAGGACTAAACCAGGACTAAACCAGGACTAAACCAAGACAAATCCTGGATTTAACCAGGACTAACCCAGGACTTCACCAGGACTAAACCAGGTCTTTTGCTCGTTTCAGGAGTGATCTTACATGAGGAGCACATCGAGTTGTTCACGGCGGATTTCAAATGGCTGAAGGAGAAAGTTGAGGGACAGAAGCTGCAGGAGGGAGTTCTGCATTTCACCGGTGAGAACATTTTAACAAAACAAATAAAAATAAAACACACCACGGAACATTCTCCACGGAAATAGACGAGTTTTATGAGTTATTTCCACAGTTTCACTCAAATGCCACATCTGGTGATTTGTTTATTCAGCGGAGTGTCTTGCCCAAGGACACAGCACCGGTACAAACCCGTGCGTGATGCGTCTGTGTGTTTTGTGCAGGTGGTAGTTTGAAGCCGAGGTTTGGTTTCCTGGCGTTCAGCGGGATCGCGCGGCTCACGTGGCTCGTGGAGCTGTTTGGAGAACTGAGCGTCCACCGAGCGACGCTGGAGGAAGATCAGAGCAACAACTACAGCAAGATGACGGCCCACCTGCTGACCGCCGACAACAGGTGAGGGAGGGGCCGTAACCGGGGGCAACAGGCAAGGGAGGGGCTGTAACCAGGTCCAACAAGTGAGGGAGAGGCTGTAACTAGGGGCGACAAACGAGGGAGAGGCTGTAACTACGAGCAACGGATGAGGGAGGGGCTGTAACCAGGCGCGACAGGTGAGAGAGAGGCTGTAACTATGGGCAACGGATGAAGGAGGGTCTGTAACCAGGGGCGACAAACGAGGGAGGGGCCGTAACCAGGGGCAACGGTTGAGGGAGGGGCTGTAACTAGAGCACAGCCGATATGGATTTTTGTGAAACCGATATGATGCCGATATAATGCCATCAGGCTTTGCCGAGAGCCGATATAATCACCAATAATTCTTAAAAATAAAAAAATTATATACACACGCTTAATAATCTTGTAAACCTTCACCTTTTTCCAAAAAGTTTTATTAGTAACAATCAGTTGCAATGTTTTATGTTTTAGCATACTGAAACCGCTTTAACCAGAACATAATAATTAAATATTAAAATATTTAAAAAAAAAATATATATATATATATATATATATATGTACTATTAATAACTAAATAAAATATGTTGTTCAATGACCGTAATAATAATCTTTGTCAACAAAATAACACAAAATAAATATCTCTATATAAAATAAAAGGCAGCGAAAAAACTGCACTTGTTTTTGCTTCATTAATGTCCAGTTTGTACAGTTTCACTCGGCTCTGAGCTCCACCCGGCCGTGGGCTCCAACCCTCAGCACCAAACTCACGGAGGCTCGAAGCCCACGACCAGGCCGGAGCTCGCAGCTGGCAGTCGGAGCTCTGGTCCCAGTCTGGTCCCGGTCTTTTCAGCCCACTCGATGTAGTCCAAGTCCACCATTTATCCAAATGAAAACAGATACAGAGGACACCGTGCAGCTGCAGTTAATCCTTCTGGAGCAAATAGAGCGGATTTACTCACGCGACCAAATTTCCAAACTCAAGCGACCTGGACGCACAAAAATGAAGCAAATGACTCAAAAAAGTCAAGCGACAAACTAGGGGCGTTTGATGCAATTTATTCGCACCAGACGCTTTTGGTTTGAACACGGCTTTACAGGGCTGTAATAGCGGAGGAAAAAGAAAAATGAAAAATATTGGCACTGATTGGCGGAATTTCATATCGGCCGATATATCGGTCTGGCTCTAGCTGTAACCAAGGACAATGAACAAGGGAGGGGCTGTAACCAGGGGCAACAGACATCTCTTTATAAACACAGAAGTAGTATGAAGTTCAAGTGGAGTTGACGTGTCTCTGTCGTCCTCAGACCTCTGACCTGGATCGAGGAGCGAGGACCGGGGCTTCCCAGAGCCAAGAAAATAAACTTCAAATTCGAGTCGTTCGCGCTGACGGAGCTGTCCCCTCCGGCCAGCAGGGGCGCCGTGGGGCTCTTCATGCAGGACTTGGTGTTGTTCGGGGCCAAGTTGACGGGGCAGGTGTCGGCCGAGGAGCTGCAGACGGAGAAGAGGAGAGTCCAGCACTGCCTGAACCTCGCACAGACAATACAAGACCTGTGCCAAAAATAAACACAGTCTGCTGGAGTTTAGGGGTTTGGGTTTATTTTGACTGAACCAGGACTAAAACAGGACTAAAACGGGATTAAATCAAGACTGGAGCAGCACTGAGCCAGGTCTAAACCAGGCCTAAACTAGAACTGAACCAGGACTAACCAAGACTAAACCTGGACAAAACCATAACTAAACAAGGACTGAAACAGGACTAAATCAGGACTAAACTAGGACTGAACCAGGATTAAACCAAGACTAAAACAGGACTGGACCAGGACAAAACCAGGACTACCCCAAGACGACAACAAGACCAAACCAGACCTACGTAAGAACAAAACCAGGACTAAATAGGACTGAAATAGGACTAAACTAGGACTAAACCAGGACTAAGCCAGTGCTAAACCAGGACTTGACCAAGACTGGACGAGGACTTCCCCAAGGCGAACCAGGACTAAATTAGGACTGAAAAAGGACTAAACCAGGACTAAACCAACAGTTACTCTGGACTAAACCAGGACTACCCCAAGACGAAAACAAGACTAAACCAGAACTACGTAAGAACTAAACCAGGACTAAATAGGACTGAATCAGGACTAAACTAGGGCTAAACCAAGACTGAACCAAGACTGAACCAAGACTGACCCAAGACTGAACCAGGACTTAACCAGGACTTAACCAAGACTAAAACAGGACTGGATCAGGACTAAACCAAGACTAAAACAGGATTAAATCAAGACTGAACCAGGACTAAACAAGAACTAAACTAAGACTAAACCAACAGTAATTCTGGACTAAGCCGGGACTAAACCAGGATTGGACCAGGACAAAACCCATAACAAAACCAGGACTACACCAAGACTAAACCAGACCAAAGTAAGAACTAAACCAGGACTAAACCCGAGCATTAACAAGAACTAACCATGCGCTTGCGAGTCTAAATAAATCGCGACTAAACCAGGACTGTCCATTTGAAGCCCGTTGTCATGGAGACGAGGTGTTCGGTCGGTTGATGGTCTCAACAAAACGACAACACGACAAAACAAGACAAAACGACAACACACGGCTCCTGACGTTTGGACTGAAGGAAAAACAAGGGCTGATCCGAACAGTGAAGGAAAAGGAACTAAATACTAAAAAAGTTCCTGGGACTCATAGTCAAGACTCTGGAATCATCGATCTCTACTGAACTAAAGGTAAAATGTAGCTGAAAACTACCACTTCATGACATCACCAGGTGGAACAGAGCGTTTTGAGCTTTGGAAATGCAAACGGACTAATGATAAAGATTTACTCAAACATGTGAATGAAACAAAACACAACTCCAGGATCCGTGTGTCATTCGTTCATTCGTTTTTCAAAATAAAATCAAAAATAAGAAAACGAAAAAACAAAAAAGAAAACTGTTTTCTTCATTATTTGTCTCCAAAACCAAAATTAAAAAAAAAAAAAAAACAGTTAATGATTTTTTTTTTTTTTTTTTTCGATTTTGTGTTTAAATGAAAAATGGAAAAAACGGATTTACGTGACTTAAACTGCGACTCCGGACTAAACCAGGACTAAACCAGGACTGAACCAGGACTGAACCAGGACTAAACCAGACTGAACAGGACTAAACCAGGACTAAACCAGGACTGAACCAGGACTGAACCAGGACTAAACCAGGACTGAAACTGAACAGGACTGAAAACCAGGACTGAACCAGGACTAAACCAGGACTTTTAAACAGGACTCCTGGTCTGGTCCCAGTCTCAGTTCTAGTCTCAGTCCCAGTCTCAGTCCTGGTCTCAGTCCTGGTCCCGGTCTTAGTCCCGGTCTCAGTCCTGGTCCCGGTCTTAGTCCCGGTCTTAGTCCTGGCCTCAGTCCTGGTCTCAGTTCTGGTCTGGTCGGCCTCAGTCTTGGTCTCAGTCTCAGTCCCGGTCTCAATCCCCTGGTTCCGGACTAAGTCTTGGTCCTGTTCCTGGTCTCAGTCCTGGTCTTGGTCTGGTTCCGGTCTGTTCCCGGACCTGTATTAGTCCTGTTTTAGTCCCAGATTTAGTCCTGATTTAGTCCGACATTGCAGTTTTTATCCATTTTTTCCATTTTTCATTTAAACACAAAATCAAAAACTGAAAAAACAAATCATTTTCTGTTTTTCCATTTTGGTTTTGGAGACAAATAACGAAGAAAATTGTTTTGTTTTTTTCGTTTTCTCATTTTTGGTTTTATTTTGAAAAACGAAAGATTCTCCAGGTTTGTTTTTGAGGAGGAAACAACATTGTAACTTGCTTGAAGCTCAATTTTGCGTAATATTATCTAACTTTTAATAACAATAATAATCACGTACAACTAATTTCTGATTGCTGAATTAACTTGAAATCTGAAGTTTGTGAATGTATTTTAAATCAATAAAAACAATTAAAAATGTGTCACTGTTTTGATATAATGTTAAAAACAAATAAAAAGAGGCTTGAAAACAAAACTAATATTGTTTTTATTTGGAGGTTTTGAACAGTTTTTTGTAGTTTTATTTTTTATTTACACAGTATAAAGTCGTCACGTAAAGAAAATCACCTTAAAAAACAGTTTATAATTTTGTTTTTGAACATTTCATTTAGTGTTGTACTTCGATAACTTTCTGATTAAAGATGAAATAATAAACAGAAACGTGAACCAGCAACAGAAAAAGAAATTACCAAAATGTTTTACCATCTTCAGGTAAAATTAAACTTAAAATACATTCGTAATAAAGGCTGAAAAATTCGGGAAAATAAAAAAAAAAAAAAAAAAGATTTGAGATTTATAATGTGATTCTGTTCAAAGTTCATGTTTAAACTCGTCCAGAAGAATTACACCCATTTCTGAACCAGGACTAAACCAGAACGAAACTAGAACTAAACCTGTACTAAATCTGGACTAAACCAGAACTAAACCTGGACTAAAACCAGAACTAGACCAAGACTAAATCAGGACTAAACTAGGGATGAACTAGGTCTAAACCAGTCTAAACCAGGTCTAAACCAGGACTAAACCAGGTCTAAACCAGGACTAAACAGGACTAAAGGGACAACAGGACTAAAGACCAGGTTAAACCAGGACTAACCAGGACTAAACCAGGTCTAAACCAGGTCTAAACCAGGACTAAACCAGGACTAAACCAGGACTAAAGGAATAACCAGGACCAGGAAACCAGGACTAAACCAGAACCAGGTAAACTAACAGGTCTAAACCAGGACTAAACAAAACCAGGACTAAACCAGGTCTAAACCAGGACTAAACAGGTCAAACTAAACCCAGGTCTAAACCAGGTCTAAACCAGGAACTAAACCAGGTCTAAACCAGGTCTAAACTAAACAGGACTAAACCAGGACTAAACCAGGAAACCAGGACTAAACTAACCAGGTCTAAACAGGTCTAAACCAGGTCTAAACCAGGACTAAACCAGGTCTAAATCAGGACTAAACCAGGACTAAACCAGGAATAAACCAGAATTGAACCAGGACTAAACTAGAACTAAATCAGGACACCAGGACTGAATCAGGTCTAAACCAGGTCTAAACCAGGACTACACCAGAACTGAACTAGATCTAAACCAGAAATAAACCACCAGGTCTAAATCAGGACTAAACCAGGACTAAACCAGGTCTAAATCAGGACTGAACCAGGACTAAACCAGGTCTAAACCAGGACTCGCAGGTACCCAAACCCAGTGCAGGACCATTGAAAGCAGAGCAGTAACATCTCCATGGAGACCAGCAGACGGCACATCCCAAAAAGTCCCACAGTGCAGCTTTAAATTCAGTCCATGTCCATGAGTTTGTGCTTGAGCTTGAAGAGTTTGACGCTGGGCTGGGACTGCATGGAGTCCAGACCCACCAGGAGCTTCTGGAACAGCTCCAAGGTCTTGAAGAGGTGAGGAGGAAAGTCTTTGTTGAGCGCGTAGAGGAGGCCGAAGAGCAGGCAGCAGGCGGACGAGAGCGACGGCAGACCGCGAAGCACCACCGCCCCGTCCAGCACCACCCCCACGGCGTCGGGCAACACGAAGACCTTCATCTGCTCGCTCCTCAGCTCCTCCACGACCTCCTGCTCCGACAACGACGACGACGACGACGACGACGACGACACGCCCTGAGACCAGAGACACCGTGAGGATCTGAGAGACGATCCAAAACCACTGACAGAATCTAAACTCCTCATGAGAACAACAAAAAACAACAACAACAACAACTCCAGAACCACACAACAGTCAGGACTAAACCAGGACTAAACCAGGACTAAACCAGGACTAAACCAGGACTAAACCAGGACTAAACCAGGACTGAACCAGGACTGAACCAGGACTGAACCAGGACTGAAACCAGGACTGAACCAGGACTGAACCAAGGACTGAAACCAGGACTAAACCAGGACTAAACCAGGACTAAACCAGGACTGAACCAGGACTAAACCAGGACTGAACCAGGACTAAACCAGGACTGAACCAGGACTAAACCAGGACTGAACCAGGACTAAACCAGGACTGAAACCAGGACTGAACCAGGACTAAACCGGAAACCAGGACTAAACAGGACTGAAACCAGGACTGAACCAGGACTAAACCAGGACTAAACCCAGGACTAAACCAGGACTAAACCAGGACTGAACCAGGACTAAACCAGGACTGAACCAGGACTAAACAGGACTGAACCAGGACTAAACCAGGAAAACCAGGACTGAACCAGGACTAAACCAGGACTGAACCAGGACTAAACAGGACTGGAAACAGGACTAAACCAGGACTGAACCAGGACTAAACCAGGACTGAACCAGGACTGAACCAGGACTAAACCAGGACTGAAACTGAACTAAACAGGACTAAACCAGGACTAAACCAGGACTGAACCAGGACTGAACCAGGACTAAACCAGGACTAAATCCAGGACTAAACCAGGAATGAACCAGGACTAACCAGGACTAAACCAGGACTGAACCAGGACTGAACCAGGACTAAACCAGGACTGAACCAGGACTGAAACCAGGACTAAACCAGGACTGAAAGGACTAAACCAGGACTAAACCAGGACTAAAACCAGGACTGAACCAGGACTAAACCAGGACTAAACCAGGACTAAACCAGACTGAACCAGGACTGAACCAGGACTGAACCAGGACTAAACCAGGACTAAACCAGGACTGAAACCAGGACTGAACCAGGACTAAACCAGGAAAACCAGGAATAAATCAGGACTAAACCAGGACTGAAACCAGGACTAAACCAGGACTGAACCAGGACTGAACCAGGACTAAACCAGGACTAAACCAGGACTGAACCAGGACTAAACCAGGACTGAACCAGGACTAAACCAGGACTGAACCAGGACTGAACCAGGACTAAACCAGGACTGAACCAGGACTGAACCAGGACTGACCAGGACTAAACCAGGACTAAACCAGGACTGAACAGGACTGAACCAGGACTAAACCAGGACTGAAATGAACCAGGACTAAACAGGACTAAACCAGGACTGAACCAGGACTGAACCAGGACTGAACCAGGACTAAACCAGGACTGAAACCAGGAATAAACTGAACCAGGACTAAACCAGGACTAAACCAGGACTAAACCAGGACTGGACTAAACCAGGACTGAAAGGACCAGGACTGAACCAGGACTAAACCAGGACTGAACCAGGACTGAACCAGGACTAAACCAGGACTAAACCAGGACTGAAACCAGGAAAAACTAAAGGACTGAACCAGGACTAAACCAGGACTGAACCAGGACTAAACCAGGACTAAACCAGGACTAAACAGGACTAAACTCTGCCCTGAAGAATCTTGGACCTGACAGAAATCAGATGTAAATGTTGGGAAGGTCAATTTAAACCAGGACTAACCCAGACTAAACCAGGACTAAACCAGGTCTAAACCAGGACTAAACCCAGGTCTAAAACCATGTCTAAAACCAGGACTAAACCAGGTCTAAACCAGGACTGAACAAGGACTGGACCAAGACTGGACGACGACTAAACCAGAACGAAACCAGGACTAAACCAGGACTAACTCTGGACTAAATCTGGACTAAATCTGGACTAAAACCAGGACTGAACAAGGACTGGACCAGGACTGGACCAGGACTGGACCAGGACTAAACCTGGACTAAACCTGGACTAAACCTGGACTGGACCAAAACTGAACAAGGACTGAACAAGGATTGGACCAAGACTGGACCACGACTAAAAAGAACGAAACCAGGACTAAATCTGGACTAAATCTGGACTAAACTTGAACTAAACCAGAACTAAACCAGGACTAAAACCAGGTCTAAAACCAGGTCTAAAACCAGGTCTAAAACCAGGACTAAACCAGGACTGAACAAGGACTGGACCAAGACTGGACCAGGACTGAACCACGACTAAACCAGAACGAAACCAGAATGAAACCAGGACTAAACCAGGTTTCAATCAGGTTCCAATCCACTTTATTTCTGTCGCACATTTCACAAACAAACAGTTTCCAAAGTGCTGCACAAATACAAAATAATAACAACAATAATAAAAAGATAAAATAAACTACTAAAATAACCACACTAGTCTTAAAATAATAAAACCAGTAAAATAAATTAAGAGCAAAACCACAGAATAGCAATAAATAAATAAATAAAACCAATAAAAATACATAAAAAATTAATAAATAAATTTAAAAAAACACAGAGGAGCACACAACTCACGCGGTGTTAAAAGCCAAAGAATAAAAGTGGGTCTTAAAACGAGACTTTAAACTCTCCACTGTGGGGGCTGTTCGAACATGGAGGGGCAGAGCATTCCAGAGCGTTCCAGAGCGTTCCAGAGCGTTCCAGAGCGTTCCAGAGCATTCCAGAGCGTTCCAGAGCGTTCCAGAGCGTTCCAGAGCGTTCCAGAGCGTTCCAAGAGTTTAGGGCCGACCACAGAGAAGGTCCTGTCCTCCTGGTTTTAAGTCTCGTCTTAAGCACCCTGAGCCGGAGCTGGACCTCAGACCCCAGAGCGCGTGCGGGGCTATAAATTTGGATGAAGTCCGAGACGTAACGTGGGGCCAGAACATTTAAAGCTTTAAAAAACAAACAATAAAATCTTCAAATCAATTCTGAAATGAACAGGAAGCCAGTGCAAAGACGCGAGGATCGGGGTGATGTGCGCTCTCCTTTTGGTTCCTGTTAAAAGTCGCGCTGCAGAGTTTTGGACGAACTGTTGTCGGTAAAGTGCGTTTTGCGAAATGCCAAAATAAAGTGCGTCACAGTCGTCCAAAGCGCGCATAACTTGTTCAAAAAGTTTAAAAGATAAAAAAGGTTTAACCGCAATACTTGGACCACTTTGGCCAGTTTCCCCACAGAGCCTCTTGTATTTCCAGCCTGTTCTCTGTGTCTGAACATCTCATAAACAAGTGGCCACAGATACAGACACAGACACAGACACAGATACAGACACAGATACAGACACAGACACAGACACAGACAGACAGATACAGACACAGACACAGATACAGACACAGACACAGATACAGATACAGACACAGATACAGACAGATACAGACACAGATACAGACAGATACAGAGACACAGACAAGACAGACACAGATACAGATCAGATACAGACACAGATACAGACACACAGATACAGACACAGATACAGACACAGATACAGACACAGATACAGACACAGATACAGACAGACACAGATACAGACACAGACACAGATACAGACACAGATACAGACACAGATACAGATACAGACACAGACACAGACACAGACACAGATACAGATACAGACACAGATACAGATACAGACAGACAGACAGATACAGACACAGATACAGACACAGACACAGATACAGACACAGATACAGATACAGACACAGATACAGATACAGACACAGATACAGACACAGATACAGAGACAAACACAGACACAGACACAGATACAGACACAGACACAGACAAGATACAGACACAGACAGACACAGACACAGATACAGACACAGATACACAGACACAGACAGACACAGACACAGACACAGACACAGACACAGATACAGACACAGATACAGACACAGACACAGATACAGACACAGACAGACAGACAGACACAGATACACAGATACAGATACAGACACAGACACAGATACAGATACAGACACAGACAAGACACAGACACAAGACACAGACATACAGACAGACACAGACACAGATACAGACACAGATACAGACACAGACACAGATACAGACACAGACATAGATACAGACATAGACACAGACACAGACATAGACAGACACAGACAGACACAGACATACAGACATAGACAAGACACAGACACAGATACAGACACAGACACAGATACAGACACAGATACAGATACAGACACAGACACAGATACAGATACAGATACAGACACAGACACAGATACAGACACAGAGACACAGATACAGACACAGATACAGACACAGACACAGACAACAGACACAGACACAGATACAGACACAGACACAGACACAGACACTCACAGAGAAGTCAGACACCAGGTCGGTCACACTGTCTCCGATGTACTCGATCAGACACCTCAGAACCACGTCTCTCCTCTTCACCACAGAGGCTGCAGTGTCCTGGAGCAGAGAACAGCCGCACTCAAGCACATCTGTCTGTTTAAACGGCACATTTCACACCGTTTTTTATGTTCTAATGTTGGGTTATAATCTGCTATTCCGACACACCGCTATTTTAACAACGACGTCTAATTGTTGGAGTAGCAGCATCAACATTATTCAGGGTCCCCACTCTTTTTCACTGATAAACTTTTCCACTGATAAAGTGAATTTTCCATGACTTTACAGCACCTACATGTGTAGAACTGATCAGACTTTTAGGATTAAATATGAAATGTGAACTCTTTCCACTCACTTTATGGTTTGGGATTATAGTTTTTTAACGTTCAAAATCCTGTCAATGCATTTATTCTCGTCTCTTTTAAACAAAAGGCGCAGACGTTCAGAAATGATTATAATAGTCTAATGAGAACTTGTGTTCAAGTTCAATTTCCATGACTTTTCCAGGATTTCCATGACCCTGGGAACCCTGATTAGAACATGATTTAAAACTCACAGGAGTCAGTTTTGTGTAATATAAAGATTATAAATGTGAAATGATCTGAGCGTCACCTGCACCAGTTCGAGCCACTGTGACTTGAGGCGTTCTCCGAGAGCGCCCCCTACAGAGCTGAAGAGGGTCAGCAGTTTGGGGATGTACTTGTCCAGGTTTGACATGAAGCTGGACTGCAGAGGGACTGTGGTGCACCGTCTGAACTCTTCATTGATCTGTGAAGAACAACACAAAAATGAGAGCTGCTCATTTGTGGAGTTCACCCCGGTGAACGAGAGGGTCGCGTCCCTGCGCCTTGGGGTCGGGGTCAGGTCTCTCATGGTGTCCATCAGTGCACGTGGCACCAGGACGGCCTAGGCCGGAGGTCGATGATCGACTTTGTCATCGTGTCATCTGACCTCCGGCCGCGTGTCTTGGACAGTCGGGTGAAGAGAGGGGCAGAGCTGTCAACCGATCACCACCTGGTGGTGAGTTGGGTTCACTGGCGGAGGAGGAAGCCGTTGGGAACGTCTGGCAGAGCCTCTGTCAGAGGGAATATCAACTCTCACCTCCTTCTCCCAGATTCCAGGGGAGGCTGGGGACATGGAGTCCAAGTGGGCTTCGTTCTCGGCCTCTATTGTTGATGTGGCCGCTCGTAGCTGTGGGCATAAGGTCAGCGAACCCGGTGGTGGACACCGTAAGTAAGGGAAGCTGTCAGGCTGAAGAAGGAGTCCTATCAGGCGTCGTTGGCTCGTGGGACTCCTGAGGCAGCTGACGGGTACTGACGGGCCAAACGCACTGCAGCCTGTGCGGTCGCAGAGGCAAAAACTCTGAGCTGGGAGAAGATCGGGAAAACCATGGAGGATTCCACTTATCTGGGGCCAGGCTGCGGGGGCAGCAGTCTAAGCAGGGACTCCCAGACTTCCTTCACCCTGGACGCTTCCTCCAGCTCCTTCGGGGGGACTCCGAGGCGTTCCCAGGCCAGCCCAGAGACATTCCTGGGGCCTCCATGCCCGGAACACCTCCTGAGGAAGGTGCCCAGGAGGCATCTGGAACAGATGCCCTCCCCTCAGCTGCTCCTCTGCGTGGAAGAGCAGCAGCTCTACTCCGAGCTCCTCCCGTGTGACTGAGCTCCTCACCTTATCTCTAAGGGAGCGCCCAGACGCCCTGCGGAGGAAACTCATTTCAGCGGCTTGTATCCACAATCTCATTCTTTTGGTCATTACCCAGAGCTCATGACCAGAGGTGAGGGGAGGAACGTAGACTGACGCCTTTCAGCTCAGCTCCATCTTCACCACAACGGTCCAATACAGCGACTGCATCACTGCCGACGCTGCACCGAGCCCCCATCAAGCTCACGCTTTCATTAATGAAATTTCATTTACCAAATTTGAGTTATTCAGCACTATACGTATAATTCAGAACTCCCTTGGCGAGCTGCTTGGACGGGGCTGGAGAGCTACAGGTAGGAGACCCCTGATGTAGTAAACAGTGTCTGTAGTTTGTGTAAAACAGCACTGGGTTAATAACACGTCATATTCTAAGTGTAATATTGAGTCTCTCCTGGTTTTCTGACCTGCACTGGACTGAAGAGCGCGGGCCACCTCTCCTGGACCTCCACCACGGTCAGCTCCCTCACCACCACCTCCTGCCGTCTGTAGCTGTAGGTGCGCTCCATCAGCTCCTGCACCTGGGCCCAGTCTCTGCTCTGGTTCAGCTCCACCAGCCTCCTCCTCAGCTCCTCCAGGCTCTGCTCCGTCTCTCCCTCCGGAAACGGCGGCAGGAAGTTCACCTCGGACTTCCTCGGCTTCTTCGCCTGCGACGGAAACCTGCCCCGATTTTGTTTGAGCGAGTTCACGAGCAGCTCCTGAGTGCCCGTGTTTCGGAGTTTAGATCTGTAATTACCGAACTTGTACTTTAAACTCACGGACCACTCTTTAAAGCCACTCAGCGACCCCCTGTCCCTTAAATACGGGTGCTGTTTGATCAGCTCCTGGCACACGATGTCCCTCTGCTGGTTTTGGGGATACGCCGTGTACATGTACATCCTCTCTACAAGCCGCTGCAAAATGTCCGATTTCACAGACTTTAACTGTTCAGGCGAGATCAGAGTTCCGTCTTTGCGAAACCTCTCACTGGCTTGTTGCAAAATGAGCTCTGTGGTCAAGGAAAAAGTCGGGATTTCAAAAACAGCGGGCCACAACTTACGAAATGTGGAAGACCCTCCGTTCGGTCTGTTCTGCGGTTCGGTAGAGGTCGGGAGATTTGAGGGAACAGCGTCTTCAGAAGCTACAGACGCGAAATCCAAGTTCATATCCAGATGTTCCCCGGAGTTTAGCTGCTGCGTTTCTCCAACAGACGAAAAGTCCGGCATCTCCAAGGCCGGGATCTCACTTAAACTGTGAATTTCCGATATAGTAGGAGTGAGGTTTTGCGTTGGCGTAGTACTTGTTCGTTCGTGAGTCCTTGAGAGCTGCACCACTTTGAGCGTGTCCTTGTCCCTCAGGTCTTGCGTGGAGGTCAACGTGAAGAAGTCGTCGAAGTCGGAGTCTTTGTAGTACAGACGGATGTGGTCGTCGAGAGAAAAGGCCTGTCTCAGCACCTCCGCAAAGTCGTTCACGCAAAATGGCAGCCCGTTTTTGAACGTGATCTTTCTGATGTCTTCGCCGACGATCACGCGGAACCTCACGGCTTGTGGACAATCTGAGGACAGACACAAACACACACAGCAGTAATGTGAAAACTGAAATGTTGTGTTATTCCACCTTAATATCATTATTACCCTGATTACAACTGGACGAGGGCGACCGGGACAGTCCCAGTGTTGAGTCCTGTTTCTCCTGTCCCAGAACTACAGGCAAATGTGTCAAATGTGTCAATTGTGTGAACCACCAGTGTATCACGGCCCTCAGTTGGTCCTTCGGTTCGTCTGTGTTTCGATTAGGGATGGGCATTCGATTAAATTTTCTTAATCGATCGTCGGAAGAATTAACGATCGATTATCGATTAATCATTAACGTTTTTATATTAAAATGATCATCATTATTATTACTATCTGCACTACTAATCTGCATAAATAAATTCAACTTTACAACATATAAACTGTAACGACTCTAGAGCCACATCAGCCCGTTTGACATTATAATGTGTTTAATTCAGTTTTGTTCAACTCTCACAGAAACTAAACTTAAAACCACATCACTAATTTACATAAACTCAGCGAAGATAAAACTACCAGCTCTTGTGTCGCTGATGTGGTTCAACTTCTGTTGGATTAAAAGACATGACTCAGGTGAATACAGGTTAGTGTGACCAGATTTGTGTTTGTCAAAACCAGGACACCGTACGGGGGGAGGGAGGTGGGGACTCGTCATCCACATTGAGCGACTCTCACCTGGAAAAACTTTTTCCCACTGGACACAGAAACATATGTGCTGCTTTATACACTGTGCACATGGACTCACACTTGTCCCGAACGCAACAGAAAGTGTGGATTTTCTTGTACAAATCATTGTTAAATACACATTTGTGCTTCGGTTCGTTACAGACTGACCCACTGTTTGTGTCTCGCTCCTTCTGATGCAGAGACACATGTACACACCTGTTTGGTCACGATACACACAGCAACATACATGATGTCTAAGATGTTTAACGTTGTCCATTCTTGTCTCACGTGTGGGTCAGTATATAATCTAAGGGACTTTTTGTGTGATTGTATTTCTGTTAGAGGGTTAGTACCGTATTTTTCAGACTATAAGTCACACCGGACTATTAAGTCGCACTTTTTGGGGAAAATTTATTTTATAAAATCAGTGGCCAAGAAAAGTGCAATTTATAGTCCGTGTTGTGGAGTAACAGATTACATGTACCAGAGTTACGTAATCAGAGTACAAATGATGAGTAACTGTATTCAGTTACAGTTACTGTTTCAGTGAGTGGTAATTGGATTACAGTTACTTTATTGAAATAAATGGATTAGACGGCAGGATTTTCCTGTTTTCACATTTTGGGCTGTTTCCCATTTTGATTTTTATTTTTATTTTGGTAATTCCATTCATTGCTGGAATCTAAACCAGGACTTAACCAGGACTTAACCAGACTAAACCAGGATTTAACCGGACTAAACCATGCTGTACGGACCGTGTCTGCTCCCATGCACCACACTGTTAATAACCTGATTCTGCATCATTTTTAATAAAAAAACATCAAATATTACAGATTTTTACTGCGCTGGCGCCTTTATGTTTGTACTGAAAGTGAGTTTTTTAATAAACAATATGACAATTTAAGGCAGCAGTGATCTCATGTAAAAATAATTTCTCTATCAATAATATTTTTAATTTGGTTAAGTAAAGACTGGACTTTTTATTTTCTTTCAGCAGACAAAACTTCTTATGTTAAGATTTCCTAGTTTTTGCTTCTCTACAGCAAATCAGGTAATCCAAAGTATTCAGATTACATTACTCACTTTAAGTACCGTATTTTCTATAGGCGAGTTTCAGCTAACGTCATTGTTATTAAAAGCCCGCGTTGCTGCTGGGAAATATTTTGGTCAGAGGCAAGAAACATGGTAGCGTCAAACACAGTGCGTAACCTCGCGTATTTATCCTCGATAATGGTAAATTCCTGCTGCATTATCGGATGCACAAATAGAAGCACGGAAGAAGGAAAATGTCTTTTTCGTATTCTGAGTGAAAAGAACCACTAACGGTGAATTAAACGACTTTCAAACATCTGCAGAACAAACGTAGAAGATCCTAACAAACCGTGGACTCCAACAAGTTCAACAACACATCGAGACTCTTGGAGGTTTTCATCTTTTCTGCTGTGAATGGCCCAGGAGTTTCCACCAAGTCATTGTGGATATCGCCCAAGTGAATATTTGTCCAGGTAGTTGGAGATTCTGACCAGAAATTTGGTTTGGTCCAACTTTTGTCGGGGTTGAAAAGGGTGATTTGGCTCCATCGATGCTTATGACCAATTTCTGGTCAAATGGTCTTGGGTCCTCTGCCGTTAGAGTGGATAAATAACCAGGATCAATACCCTTTACGTGCTTTCTCGCTCCGTCCGTCATGTTGAATTAGTGTTTCTTGCCACCGACCAAAATAATTCCCAGCATGCAACGCGCGCTTTTGTCAACAATGAAACTCGCCTATTAGACTCACTCTTAAGCCTCCAACCCCATCAGAAAACGAGTGCGCGCCACAATCCAGAGCGCCCCATACACGAATCCACTCAGGTGTCCCAGCACGACTTCAGTAAACTACAAAACAGCAAACACACACGGAGCAGACACAGACACACTCATCACTCCACGCCGACGAGGAACGGAACGGAGGAACGAACCGAAAAAGGGAGCGCGACGTGCCGCTTCTAGACACGACTGAACAACTGAGTCACTGCGAACACGCCGACAATCCGTTGGTCCCAGACAGCACCTCCCTACACGCCACAACTGAACAAAGCCCAGAGTCACCGTGAACGAACAAACAAACAAAACCACTCACCCATCACACTGTTGTGTTTCCTTTAAAGTCCCACGCCATTTATTTGTGAAAAAAGTTACGAAAATAGACCATTTAATGACAGTGCGTCTTATAATCCAGAGTGACTAAGGCTGCGTTCAGACTGCACCTGAAGTGACCCAAATCTGATTTTTTGGCTTCTATGTTCCTGTATCTGATCTTTTAATGACAGTCTGAACCACACAGATCCGATTTTTTCAAATGTGACCCAGGACACTTGGATATGTGCTCCTGAAACTGATACATATCTGATCTTTTGACATGTGACTTCAGTCTGAACGGTCCAAAGTGCATTCATCCACCTACACGTTATCAACAAGACACAAACGTCACTATTCTGTGCTGAAGTAGGCGAAAATTGTTAATGAACTCTGTGTCACTGAAGCGAAGCACATCACCACTCACCACTCTTGGCTCCGTCTCCACATCCACACGTTCCTTTCAACGGACTGAACCACAAAACACCACGACCAAAAACCTCGTCCTTCTCCTTCTCAATCTCCTCCTTAAAACAAGTAAGTTGTTCATGTTCTGGCTCCGGTACGAGAGGAACTTTAAAATCTCCAGGTGCTCGATGCTGCGTCCATGTTTGGACAACTTCTGTAAACACAGAGACGCTCGCTGCGGTTGACGTCGTCGTGTCTCCAGTGTCACATGTGGGACACTTTTGGGCCGTTTAACGTTCACACTGGGGATCGAATACAAGTCGCGTTTAATTGGAAATGTGAACCTCTTCGTAGTTCTGCACGTAGTTGCTTTATTTTGCTGTATTTTGGCTAAACAAATGACAATTATGCCCGTTTTTACTGTTGGCAGGGATCAGATTAGTCAAAAAATGTTGATAGTTTTGTAAAACCAGGACTAAAAACAGGACTAAAACCAGGACTAAAACAAGGACTAAAAACAGGACTAAAACAAGGACTAAAAACAGGACTAAAACTAAATCAGGACTAAAAACCAGGACTAAAACAAGGACTAAACCAGGACTAAAAACAGGACTAAAACCAGGACTAAAAACAGGACTAATAACAGGAACTAAACTAAAAACAGAACTAAAAACAAGACTAAACCAGGATTAAAACCAGGACTAAAACAAGACAAAAACAGGACTAAACAGGACTAAAACAGGACTAAAACCAGGACTAAACCAGGACTATAACAGGACTAATAACAGAACTAAAAACAGAACTAAAAACAAGACTAAACCAGGATTAAAACCAGGACTAAAACAAGACAAAAACAGGACTAAACCAGGACTATAACAGGACTAATTGTCCTGTCAAAAAATATCAATATCAAAAAATTGTGATAGTTTTGTAAAACCAGGACTAAAACCAGGACTAAAACCAGGACTAAAAACAGGACTAAAAACAGGACTAAACAAATGACAATTATGCTCGTTTTTACTGTTGGCGTAGATCAGATTAGTCCAAAAATGTTGATAGTTTTGATTTAGTTCTTGTTTTAGACCTGGTTTAGTCTCAGTTTAGTCCTGGTTTAGATCAAATTGGTCATTTCTTGTACGAAACTGGGATCAAATCACTGGTTTTGGGTGTAAAAATTGGATAAAAATGGCTCAAAAGTGGGGAAAAAGGGGACGTCTTCTGTTCCCAGTGCAATCTTGAAATGTTTTTAATTATCAAATGTGCAAATTTAACCCAATGTAACCTGGCGCGTGCACCACGTGTCCTCACGACCGTACCTGTGTTATTGTTATGAACCATGCTCTGAGCCCTCTCCAGCTCTATGATCCGCTTCTGCCGCTGGATTTCCTCCTCGTAGTTCTGCACGGTCGTCTCCACCAGCCCCAGGATCTCGTCCACGGCTCCCGCGAGTTTCTGGTGGATAAACGTCTTGAGAGTTTGCAGCGTGTTCATGTTTGCGGGGGTCGGGAAACGCGTAGGGGAAAGAGGGGAAAAAAAAAAAAAAAAAAAAAAAGAGGCTCCAGGCACGTGTCTCCCGAGCGCCTCTGTTCCGGATCGTCTGGAGATCGTTTTGGCTGGGAAAGGCGGAGCCACATCTGGAGCGCGTGGAGGAGGGAGGAGGGAGGAGGAGGTACATATGGTACAAGATTAGGTTGAAAAACTTTTTACTTTTTGAGTAATGAGATTTTTTATTAAGAAAGGTCATGGTAACGGAGGGAAAAGTAACGGAGGGAAAATTGTGCAAACAAGTAGAAGGTGCAGGATTTTACATAATTTGTCGCTTTTTTCTTCCGAATACTTTAATATTACTTCAAAATGAAAGGAAACTATTTCTATAAAATATGTCAGTCCTTCCAAGCAAATTTTTATCATTTTAAATACATTTTTTTTTTTTTAAATCATGTACCTTCATCAACAGTTCAAAGATGGAATAACACAAGATATGATGAAATACATCCATTTATTTACATGATTTTCAGGTCTTTGAAATTTGGGAAATAATTTTTGTTCCATGTTTCATACATGGTCTGTTTAAAACATATGTAACTTTAGAACCAAAAACGGTACAGAAAAAAGGTCAACAGTTTCATAAACTAGAGCACATATGTATCTGTTCAATACATTTTTATATCAGATGAATTAACTTGATTTTTTGACCTTGCTGTTTACTTCTGCTTGACCGGGCCCACATACATAACATAAATATATATACATACACAAAAACATACATACATACATACATACATACATAGACATACAGACATACATACATACATACATACATACATACAGACATACATACATACAGACATACATACATACATACATACATACATACATACATACATACATACATACATACATACATACATACATACATACATACATACATACATACATACATACATACATACATACATACATACATACATACATACATAACATGACAATACATACAGACATACAGACAGACATACAAGACACGGACAGCATTTTGTGCTTGACCAAACGTCCGTTTTTCACGTCCTGTCCTGGCTGTTCATTGTTTTTTTGTTTTGTTTTGTTTTGTTTTTTTTTTGATAAAGTGATGCAAATGGTTTTCATTTCCTTTCATTGGGCCATTAAATTGAGCGTCTCTCGTAGCTCTCTGCACTCAGAAGAAGCGAGACACAAAAAGTCTCAGCCTTCAACACGCCGAAGCACAAATGCACATTTAACTATGACTTGTACAAGAAATTCTCCGTTTTCAGTCCCGGTCGGGTCAAGTGTGGTGCCATGTGCACAGGCTGTGAGGTGAGAGGAGCTCAGTGTCGAGGCCCTGTCCCCGGGAAGGTGTCCGGGTTTTCATAAACGGAAATATGGTCACCCTAAAGCTGCTTGACCATTTTTATTTGCAGAGTCAAACGCCTGGTCTTTATGGAAACACGTGCGGGAAACGTGGATTATTTTTCAGTGGAAATAATACAAACGTTTAACGCGACAATAGAAGCTCCTGCGGGTTTGTGTCTGTGTCTGTGAGAGTAAATGGACACGCCCCCCTCCTCGCGCTTCCAGATGTGGCTCCGCCCCTTCACCAGATAAACCGATCTCCAGACAATCTGGAACACCTCCCGCTCATCCGCTGTTTCCGGGATTTTTGAGTTGACTTTACGCAACAGGAGCGAGTTAGCGCCATCTTATGACATAACACGAGTCCATGCAGTTCATAAATCTAAGTTCAGTCTGATCACGCTGAACACGGTTTAAATAGCTAATTAAAACGAGATATTAAGATTTTTATGATGATTTTCTTGCTAATCAAAGTGTTTATAGACTTAGACTTGGACACAGTAGCTCACACATCACATTATATATAAAAACACAAAAATGGCAAGAAACTTCTAAATAAGTAACAATAAAACATAAGACATAAATTATATAAATGTATGTACAGTATGTAAAAAACAAATATCGTAATATAAATACAGTATATCCTTGTTATATGTATAAATGTTTATAAATGTAAGTGCACAACATTTCAGTTTTATTCTGACATTGCTTTAGTATTTGATAAAATCAAATATTTATTTTTTCCAAACATTACACTATGAATAAATAGAGATATTAATATTTTTTATGATGATTTTCTTGCTAATCAGAGTGTTTATAGACTTAGACTTGGACACAGTAGCTCACACATTATATATTAAAACACAAAAATAAACTTTTAAATAAGTATCAATAAAAAAAATAGCAAGAGCTCATTATCAATAAGACATAAATTATATAAATGTATGTACAGTAAGTAAAAAAAAAAACAAAAAAAATATCATAATATAAACACAGTATATCATGTACACACATATATATATATATATATATATATATATATATATATATATATATATATATATATATATCATATTATTCAGTTTTATTCGGACATTACTTTAGTATTTGATAAAAAATATATATATTATTTTTTTCAAACATTACACTATGAATAAATTGAGATATTAATATTTTTATGATGATTTTCTTGCTAACCAAAGTTTTTATAGACTTAGACTTAGACACATCACATTATATATATATATATATATATATATATATATATATATATATATATATATATATATAGATAGATAGATAGATAGATAGATATAGATATACTATAATATATATATATCTATAATATATATATATATATATACACATACATAAAAATGGTAATAAATAAAATAGCAAGAGCTCAGTATCAGTAAGACATTTAAATAAATGTATGTACAGTAAGTAAAGAACAAATATCTTAATATTAATACAGTTTATTACAGTTATATACATGAATGTTTATAAATGAAAGTTCGCAACATTTCAATTTTATTCGGACATTATTTTATATATATATATATATATATATATATATATATATATATATATATATATATATATATAGCATATAGTTATAAGCTTGTTAAAAGTCCGTTAATATATGACAAACATAAAAATTATATATATAAAAATAATAATACTAAAAAAACTACGGAAAATTGCTTGTGTGACGTCATAAAAAAGCGCCCCCCCTCCGCCGTCCCTCAAACAGGAAGGTAAACAAACAAGGGCAAGTTGGTCACGTAATGAAACAAAATGCGCAAAGAAATTTTAATCTGAAATAAAAGAGACGCTGTTACAAAGAAAGTTATGATTCAAACACGGAATATATTGTTTATACAGTGAAGTTTAGACCATCGTGAGTTTATTTTGATGTGTTTTGCGGCTGGGAAGCACATTTTACTTCACTTTTCTGCATTCAGTTTTAACTTTTGAACGAAAAATGAGGATTTCTACTAAAAAGCTGCAAGAACTCGCGATATTCACCACTGTAGTGACTGGAGGAGGAGTGGGAGTCATGTACTACCTGATGCAAAGTGAGTACTTTAATCCTTTTGTTATCCAAGAAAAAAAAAAATAAAATAATAATAGTAATTCTGAAGAAAAGCGTGAGTAAATGCTTGAATACTTGAGGTCACATAACATTAAACTGGTTCAGTCCAGTCCAGTATGTTATGTTGTAATAATGATTTAGTAATGTATATTTCCACATAGGATACGACTTGTAGCCACACCTCAGAATCAGTCAGTGTAACATTTTTTTTTTTTTTTTTTTCTATTAAGAACGAAAAAAAAGAAAAGAAAAGGAAAACAGGTTGTTATTTCATTATTCTGCTTTAGTGTCAAACAAACAAAAACAAAAAACGATTTCAACCTCTATTTCCAATATTTAATCTGAAGTTTATTTCAGGTAACACCACTCAAAAAACAGTCTTGGTGTCTATTTAAATTTTATTTTATTTAATCTCTCTGGTTTATATGAAGTTCTGCTGCTAGAACAGGGATGGGCAAACTACGGCCTGTGGACCATATGCGGCCCTTTAAGCTTTTTAATCCGGTCCGCCGAACTTGAAGAACAATAATAATAATAATCATTTTCAGTATTTTAAAGTCATTTCAATAAATAGTAAACACTGTGGAACTTGAACAGCAGATATTTTCTTGTAATGCTTTGTAATGATTTTCAGTTATGGGATATTTGTTATTTTTTTCTCTTATGAGGTGGATTACTAAAAAACTCGATCCATCTGCTCCTGGTCCGGCCCTTCTGTCAAATTTTAGAACCATTTGTGGCCCATGAGTCAAAAAGTTTGACCATCCCTGATTTAGAAAGACTTAACTGAAAAATTGTTGCAATTCTGTGGACAAATATGTCGTCTTCTTTTACAGTGACACATTTGCTTTCACATCCTAGAAAGTCATTGTTTTTTTTCTATGTATGATTTATTTATGCTTTTTTAAAATATAAAAGACAGTTAACATAGAGATGTATAATAGTAGTATAATAACAGTATACAATGTTAACAGTTCACAATGTACACATCTTAAAAAAAGAGAGAAACAGAAAAAAAGGAAGAAAAAAAGGCCTACAAAAAAAGGACAAAAAACACAGAATATGTGCGACTACTAGAAAGTCATTATTGAGAAACTCGTCATGGAGTCAACCTGGAGGACGTCAACTCAAGAAACTTGTTCACTTGACTCCATAGAGCTATAATAAAAATATAATTTTTTGTTATAGATCCATGATTGACACTGCAGCAGAACTTCCGGGGCAAATAAACCAGAGAGAATAAAATATCAAAATTAAAACAGACACCAAGATTGTTTTTAATTTGTGTTATTTCATTAAATATTGGAAATAGAGGTCGAAATTAGTTTTCTTTTTTTTTTTGTTTGACACTAAAACGGAAAAATTAAATAACCTGTTTTTTTTGATTTTATTGATTTTTGTTCGTTCAAAAGAACAAATGTTACATAGACCGATCAGGCCTAGTCCAGTGACAACTATGGGCACTATTGGGCAAGTTACTTTAAAACTGTAATGCATTTTTATTTTTATTTTTATTACTTGTTACTGTCATTTCAAAGTAATTCGGTACATTACAATATTACTGTAGTTATGTCTTATATTACTGCGTTACAGTAAAAAGTAATGCATTACAGTAATTCATTATTTTTATAACACGTTGCTCCCGACACTGACTAGGGGTGTGCATCAAAATATCAATATATTGTATAGTTTAATGTGATACTGGGGACTGTGTCGATATATCATTTTATCATATCAACATTTTGTATGTTTTGGTGTATTTTGTGAAATTATTTTTTTTACAGAGCTTTAGTTTTGTTGTGTGTTTAGAGGAAGGAAGCTCATTTATGCGACACATTTGACATTTTCACTGTTTTAATTATTAAAATGTTTGTGTTTCACATGAACTTTGCACAAGACGTGGTTTAACAAAGACTTTTAGTATCACAGACATGATTTAGCCTTTATTTTTTATTGAACCGTATCGAATCAATTTGAAATATATCGTATCGAATCAAAAGTGCACTGTATCGAGGTTTGTATCGTATCTGAAACTTCTTATTGATCCCCAGCCCTAGTGACAACATTTGGTTTAGGTTGCTTATCATACCTGACAGTTTCGACTGCTCCCTGCGCTCTTTCCTCAGAGTCTCGTGATGTTTCTTTGACATGTCGCTCAGCTGATTTATAAAGTTTTTAGGCACCGTCTTCTTACTGGAGGAGGCAGAAGGACAGTGCCATCTCAACAAACATCATCGCTGGATTAAAGACACAATTGAAATACGGAAACGTGCCCACGGGACGATAAACCGGGACGAGGGGCTTTTTTACTCTCACACACCTGGGATACTGTCCTGAGGAAGTTGGACTGCAGATGGCGCTGTCGTCCTGCCTCTGCCGGTAGGAAAACAGAACCAAAACCTGTTTAAATCAGCTGAGCGACACGACACAGAAACATCATGAGACTCTGTGGAAGACGAAACTGTCAGGTCTGATTCGCAACCTAAAACAAATGTTGTCACTAGGGCTGGGGATCATTTAAGAAGTTTCAGATACGATACAAACCTCGATACAGTGCACTTTTGATTCGATACGATATATTTCAAATTGTTTCGATACGGTTCAGTAAAAAATGAAGGCTAAATCATGTCTGTGATACTAAAAGTCTTTGTTAAACCACGTCTTGTGCAAAGTTCATATGAAACACAAACATTTTAATCATCAAAACAATGACAATGTCAAATTGTTGCATAAATGAGTTTCCTTCCTCTGAACAAAAAAAAACAAAACCGTTGCACTGTAAGAAAATCATTTAGTAAAATATACCAAAAAAAACCTCTTGGTGATATATCGATACAGTCCCCGATATCGATACTGTATCATCATCATCATCAATTAAGAACAAAAATCAATACAGTCACAAAACAGGTTATTATTTCATTATTCCGTTTTAGTGTCAAGCCAAAAAAAAAAAAAAAAAACAGATTTCAACCTCTATTTCCAATATTTAATGAAATGACACAAATTAAAAACAATCTCGGTGTCTGTTTTAATTTTGATATTTTATTTTATTTGCTCCCGATGTTCTGCTCCAGTGTCAATCATGGATCTATAACAAAAAAATATATTTATTATAGTTTTGTGGAGTCAAGTGAAAAAGTTTCTCGAGGTGACAATGTCCAGTGTTGGGGAGTAACAGATTACATGTACTGGCGTAATCATAGTAGAAATTATGAGTAACTGTACTCAGTTACAGTTACTGTTTCAGTGAGTGGTAATTGGATTACAGTTACTTTGTTGAAATAAATGGATTACATTGTGGTATTTTCCTGTTTTCACATTTTGGGTTGTATCCCCCTTTTTTTTTTTTTCTTTTTGGTAATTCCACTCATTGCCGGAAACTAAACCAGGTCTAAAACTAGATCTAAACCAGGACTAAACCAAGACTAAAACCAGGTCTAAAACTAGATCTAAACCAGGTCTAAACCAGGTCTAAACCAGGAGTAAACCAGGTCTAAACCAGGTCTAAACCAGGAGTAAACCAGGTCTAAACCAGGTCTAAACCAGGTCTAAAACCAGGTCTAAACCAGGACTAAACCAAGACTAAAACCAGGTCTAAACTACATCTAAACTAGATCTAAACCAGGTCTAAACCAGGACTAAAACAAGACTAAAACCAGGTCTAAACTAGATCTAAATTAGATCTATACCAGGAGTAAACCACGTCTAAACCAGGTTTAAACCAAGACTAAAACCAGGTCTAAAACTAGATCTAAACCAGGTCTAAACCAGGACTAAAACCAAGTCTAAACCAGGACTAAAACAAGACTAAAACCTGGTCTAAAACTACATCTAAAACTAGATCTAAACCAGGACTAAACCAAGACTAAAACCAGGTTTAAATTAGATCTAAACCAGGTCTAAACCAGGAGTAAACCAGGTCTAAACCAGGTCTAAACCAGGAGTAAACCAGGTCTAAACCAGGTCTAAACCAGGTCTAAAACCAGGTCTAAACCAGGTCTAAACCAGGACTAAACCAAGACTAAAACCAGGTCTAAACTACATCTAAACTAGATCTAAACCAGGTCTAAACCAGGACTAAAACAAGACTAAAACCAGGTCTAAACTAGATCTAAATTAGATCTATACCAGGAGTAAACCACGTCTAAACCAGGTCTAAAACCAGGACTAAACCAAGACTAAAACCAGGTCTAAAACTAGATCTAAACCAGGACTAAACCAAGACTAAAACCAGGTCTAAAACTAGATCGAAACCAGATCAAAACTAGGACTAAACCAGGTCTAAAACAGGATTTAACAGGACTAAATCCCGCTGTGTGGACGTGTCTCCTCGTCTTTTATCAATAATATTTTTAATTTGGTTCAGTAAAGTCTGGACTTTTTATTTTCTTTTATCAGACAAAACATCTCATATTACGATTTCCTCGTCTTTGCTTCTCTACAGCAAATCAAGTAATCCAAAAGTAAACTTCCCAACACTGACAACGTCCGTGTTGCCTCCAGGAAGACCAAACTGTCAGTTCTGAAAACAAACTCTTGGTCTAAAAAAGAACCTATTGAACATAAATTATCGGAAAACCAATTCAACGTCACTGGACTTCTGTAAAACCAAAATAAGTGCTTGTTCTAATATTGGGTCAGTCTTTCCAGTTAATTACAATGTAACTTATTTTTTGTTCCTCATTTTCACCACTCTAGAATTGAATCCTTATTTGTCGTGTCTTTGAGCAAGGCACTTCAGTTCTATCACAGTCTGTGACTCAGTCTGTGGTTTCTGTGGTGTTCGAAGTGGTTATAGACACAAAAAGCAAAAGAATTATGAAAGAATTTTGCAAAAAAATTGAACAGTTAACAGGTTTGACTAATCAACGAGAGTATTATTTTTAGATTCATTACAAAACCAACAAATTGTAATGCAACGCAAGGCTTGTTTATTTGTAGAGCACAATTCGTACACAAAGTAATTCTAAATGCTTTAAAGAATAAGAAAAACATTGAAATCACAATACAAACAAATCAAAACATAAATAATCATCATAAAATGAAAAAGAGAGAGAGGAGTGCAGAATGAAAACCTTTCAGTCAAACGTAACTAAACAGAACAGTTTTGAGTCTGGATTTAAACAGAGTCAGAGTAGAATCTGTCTCACATCTTCAGACTGTTCCAGGTTTTAGCTGCGTGAACCTGAAACTCTGACTTCCTCGTGTTTAGTCGTGACTCTGGGCACCAGCAGGAGGCCGGGACTAAACCAGAACTAAACCAAGACTACAGCAGGAGGCCGGTCCCTGAGCTCCTCACAGTGCAGATGGTTCATGTGGCACTAACATGTGGCCACACCGGTTTGTCAAAGCCTGATCCCGTCAGATCTCAGAAGCTCAGCAGGACTGGGTCTGGTTAGTGCTTGGATGGAGACGCTGGGAAAATCAGGAGCCACAGGAGGCGCCAGTCACAAAAACTGTCGTTGTGTCCTTAGGCAAGACACTTCACTCACATTGTCTAGTATGAAAGTGAAGTGTGTGAGTGTTGGTGGTGGTTGGAGGGACTGACGGCGCCAATTGGCATGGCAGCCATGCTTCCGTCACCACGCCCCAGGGCAGCTGTGGCTACAATAGTAACTTACCATCACCGGGTGTGGAGAAAAAGAATAATGAATCTATAAATGCTCTGCTGTATATAAATAAAAGTAGGGATGGGCATGATTAGTCGATTAATCGATAATTGATCATTAAGAATTTCATCGATTACATAAATTTTATTCGACAAACCGAATGTATGTTGTTGTGTGTGTCGTGACCAAACAGGTGTGTACATGTGTCTCTGCATCAGAAGGAGCGAGACACAAACAGTGGGTCAGTCTGTAACGAACCGAAGCACAAATGTGGATTTAACGATGATTTGTACAAGAAATTCCACACTTTCCGTTGTGTTCGTGACAAGTGTGAGTCCATGTGCACAGTGTATAAAGCAGCACATATGTTTCTGTGTCCAGTGGGAAAAAGTTTTTCCAGGTGAGAGTCGCTCAATGTGGATGACGAGTCCCCACCTCCCTCCCCCCGTACGCTGTCCTGGTTTTGACAAACACAAATATGTTCACACTAACCTGTATTCACCTGAGTCGTGTCTTTTAATCTGACAGAAATTGAACCACATCAGCGACACAAGAGCTGGAGTTTTATCTTCGATTAGTTTATGCAAATTAGCAAACTGAAATTAAACACATTATAATGTCAAACGGGCTGATGTGGCTCTAGAGTTGTTACGGTTTATTTGTCATAAAGTTGAATTTATTTATGCAGATTAGTAGTGCAGATAGTAATAATAATGATGATCATTTTAATATAAAAACGTTAATGATTAATTGATAATCGATCGTTAATTCTCTCGACGATCGATTAAGAAAATTTCATCGAATCCCTAAATAAAAGACTTACTTACTTAACATGAACACACAGATGTTAAGCCAATGATGTTCATTTTGTCTTCTTATGTACTTTAACTTCTTGAGATCTTTTTAAAGACAGTGAAGTGTATTTACCTCGTTGACGTGTTTCTGCTGCTGCATCTTCAGATCTGTCCCCGGTGTTGGTGGTGACGTGTCGTACATCAGCTGTTACTTCCTGTAGGCCTCCTTTCCCTTTCACACACCTGGGACACCCTCCTCCAGAGAACACCGGGCGACGGGAGGCGTGGCCTGCGGGTCCATCAGGTCTGACCACGCCCACAGGAAGTAACAACAGCTGATGTACGACGCGTCACCACCAACACCGGGGACAGTTCTGCAGATGCAGCAGCAGCAGAAACACGTCAACGAGGTAAATACACTTCACTGTCTTTAAAAAGAACCCAAGAAGTTAAATGTCACAGATGGACTTTGGTGCTCGGCCGTGGACAGACTTGTACAAGCAGAGCCGCTTTAAAGTCTCCGAGCCACAGGGCAGAGACCCGAGACCAGGACGCATGTGCTCGGACTTCCTGGTTCGAGTCAGGACGCGAGCTGCAGCGTTCTGGATGTTCTGGATGTTTCTGGATGTTCTGGATGTTCTGGATGTTCTGGATGTTCTGGATGTTCTGCAGTGTCTCACAGCTCGTTCGGAGAGACCAGTGAGCAGAACAGTGTCTAACCTACTGGAGACAAACACATGGATAAGTCTCTCTGAGTCTGATTTAGGCAGTAAACCACTGATTTTTGATGATTTTTTAAATGGTAAAAGTGCAGATGTTTTGCAGTTTGTTTTCGGTTGCTACCCTAGAACGACTATTAAAATACACTTCTTCTCTGAAACCAAAAAAAAAAGCCAGTCTTTCCAGTCAATTATAATGTAACTTCTTTCTTGTTCCTCATTTTCACTACACAAGAATTTAACCCTCCACAGATTAAGAACCCGGTAGCAAAAACAACGGCAGTAGTAGTAATGATATCGGGCCGTTTGTTTGCGGTGTCGTTGAGCAAAGCACTTCGTTTCCGTTTTATTGTGTGACTGTGTCTGATTGTGGTGGTTGGGGAGAGATCGGCGGCCACACTTCACTCGGTCTGACTCGGGGCAGCTGTGGTAGATTTGAAAACCTTGCGTGACCAAAAAGGGGAAGATTTTTGTGCCTTCGTTAATGTTGTTATTAGTTTGTACGACCATAAACGACAAAAACAAATCAAAGCTTGTTAGTTAGTTTATGGACAGTGTTGTGGAGTAACAGATTACATGTACCAGAGTTAAGTAATCAGAGTACAAATTATGAGTAACTGTATTCAGTTACAGTTACTGTTTCAGTGAGTGGTAATTGGATTACAGTTACTTTGTTGAAATAAATGGATTACACGGAGGTATTTTTCTGTTTTCACATTTTGGGTGAACTTTTTTTTTTTTTTTTTCTTCTTTTTTTTGGTAATTCCACTCATTGCCGGAAACTAAACCAGGTCTAAATCAGGTCTAAACCAGGTCTAAAACCAGGACAAAAACCAGGACTAAACTAGATCTAAACCATTTCTAAACCAGGACTAAACCAGGACTAAACCAAGTCTAAACCAGGTCTAAACCAGGACAAATGCTAGGACTAAAACCAGGACTAAAACCAGGACCAAAACCAGATCTAAACCAGGTCTAAACCAGGTCTAAAACCAGGACTAAAACCAGGTTTAAACTAGATCTAAACTAGATCTAAACCAGGAATAAACCAGGACTAAAACCAGGACTAAACCAGGACTAAACCAGGACTAAAACCAGGACTAAACCAGGACTAAAACCAGGACTAAAACCAGGACTAAACCAGGACTAAAACCAGGACTAAATCCTGCTGTGTGGACGTGTCTCTTCTTCTTCTATCAATAATATGTTTAATTTGGTTCAGTAAAGTCTGGACTTTTTATTTTCTTTTATCAGACAAAACATCTTATGTGAAGATTTCCTCGTCTTTGCTTCTCTACAGCAAATCAAGTAATCCAAAGTAATCAGATTACATTACCTTAAATAATTTAATGGATTACGTTACAAACTACATTTTGGGGTCTGTAATCTGTAATCTGTAGGGGATTACATTTTAAAAGTCACCTTCCCAACACTGTTTATGGAACAACATCAGTGATAAGTATAAAGTATTTGCAAAGTTTTCAAAGATACAGAGCTCTGGAATGAATGAATTATGCATTAAATTTAGTTTGTTTTAATTTGTAAGTGAAGTTATAAATGCAAACTTGTTGTTCATGCGCTGTTTTCTTTCTTAGAATTCTGCTTCAATTTCACTTTTGCTTCGGCTTGGAACATTTCTGCCATTTCATCAAGATTTATGTAGTTGTGGTCTGTTTTGTTGAAAAGCAGACCACAACTACAACAGACGAAAATGACTCACCGAAGTAAAAAAAAAAAAAAAAAAAAAAAGGGGGAAGAACCACACAACAAAATTGAACAGTTTTGAAGTTACAGAAAATTAGTGTTAGTCTATTCTGTCTATTAATTCCTAAACAAACGGTTGGAATAACTAAATCCTCTTCGTTGTTTTGTGTTCCAGAGAAATTTGCCGCGTCGGAGTATCACCAGCTCGCCGTGCAGAAGCTGGAGGCGTGTTCTGTCGCCATGGAGAGTCTGGGAGCTCCGCCTCTGAAAGTCTACAACCTGAGACTGACCGATAAACAGAACTACATCGACCAGCACTGGGCCCAGGTAAAACCGGAAGAGCAAAGGAAGAGGTCATGAGCCTTATCCCGGTTACGAGTCTCATCCCGGTTACGAGTCTTATCCCGGTTACGAGTCTTATCCCGGTTACCCGGTTACGAGTCTCATCCCGGTTACGAGTCTTATCCCGGTTACGAGTCTTATCCCGGTTACGAGTCTTATCCCGGTTACGAGTCTCATCCCGGTTACGAGTCTTATCCCGGTTACGAGTCTTATCCCGGTTACGAGTCTTATATCCCGGTTTACGAGTCTTATCCCGGTTTACGAGTCTTATCTTATCTTATCCGGTCCCGGTATGTCTTATCCGGTTTATCCAGAGTCTTATCCCGGTTACGAGTCTTATCCCGGTTACGAGTCTTATTCTGGTTATGAGTCTTATCCCGGTTATGAGTCTTATCCCGGTTACGAGTCTTATCCCAGTTATGAGTCTTATCCCGGTTACGAGTCTTATCCCGGTTACGAGTCTTATCCCGGTTATCGAGTCTTATCCCGGTTACGAGTCTTATCCCATTATGAGTCTTATCCCGGTTACGAGTCTTATTCTGGTTATGAGTCTTATCCCGGTTATGAGTCTTATCCCGGTTATGAGTCTTTATCCCGGTTATGAGTTTTATCCCGGTTACGAGTCTTATCTGGTTATGAGTCTTATCCCGGTTACGAGTCTTATCCCGGTTACGAGTCTTATTCCCGGTTATGAGTCTTATCCCGGTTACGAGTCTTATCCCGGTTAAGTTTATCAGTCTTATCCCGGTTACGAGTCTTATCCGGTTATGGTTAGTCTTATCCCGGTTACGAGTCTTATCCCGGTTATGAGTTTTATTCCGGTTATTCTGGTTACGAGTTATCCTGGTTATGAGTCTTATCCCGGTTACGAGTCTTATCCCGGTTATGAGTCTTATCCCGGTTACGAGTTTTATCCCGGTTACGAGTTTTATCCGGTTACGAGTCTTATCCCGCTTATAGTCTTATCCCGGTTACGAGTCTTATCCCGGTTATGAGTCTTATCCCGGTTACGAGTCTTATCCCGGTTATGAGTCTTATCCCGGTTACGAGTTTTATCCGGTTATGAGTCTTATCCCGGTTACGAGTCTTATCATGTCTATAAGTCTTATCCCGGTTACGAGTCTTATCCCGGTTATGAGTCTTATCCCGGTTACGAGTCTTATCCCGGTTATGAGTCTTATCCCGGTTACGAACAGAAGAAATAGAAATAACAAAACCACAAAAACTTAATCTTATTGTTTGTTTGTTCATTTGTTTGTTTTTTGTCAGGATTTGGACAGTTCTGTAATCTGGGCTCTTTAATATTACAAAAGAAAATCAAAAAATTCCGTTTTACAGGAATATTAACCACAAACGAGTCACACAACAGCATCTCACGGGTTCAGTGTGTGTCATTATAGTTGTTTCTTTTCCATCAGCGTCTGTATCGATGTCGTGAATTTAAGAACTGAAACTGTCTTTGTTTTGGATAGAGGATGTGTATTTGACTCAAAGCCAAACACTGAACCTGTTTGTTTTGTTATGTTTTGGTTTCAGATCAAGATCCCCGTGAAAGGTTCAAAGACCGGAGGATATTTGTACACTTCTTCACACAGAGACGAGAGAGAAAACAGGTGAGACTACGATCTGTCAGTAGACTCTGATCACGCTTATCGGAAGACGTTTGGAAACACGCGGACGATGACTTCCGGTGTATTTCCCGACACTGGGCATGTGATAAAACCGTGGATTCAACAGCAGCGTCTTCACAACCTGACAAAGCTTTTCATGTGGGACGGGACTCTAATCTAAGAGTGTTTACCCAGTCTCAGTTTTGAGTCTGTGTCCCCTGTCTCAGCAGATTTATCCAAAAACGTGGTTGAAATGAGTTTTCCTCCGCCCTTCACATCAAGGCGTCAAAGCGTCCAGTTTCTATGTAAAGTCGATGTGGACGCGCGACTAGAGCGTCCTGCGTTTTTGCAGCGCGAATCGACGCGAAAAGCACCAGCGCGTCCAAGGCGTCAGAGTCAAGAAGTTGAAAATTTGAACTTTTCGCGTTAGATGTGCCGCGTCAACCAATCAGGGACGAGTATCCAGAGACGCAGCGACGTTATTATCAGGAAGAAAAACCCGAGAACCAGAACGAGAACCACAAACATGAGCGGAGCATAAATATATACACCACAATCACAGAGTGGATCGCGAGGACTACACCAGGACCGGACCAGGACTAGACCAGAGACTAGACCGAGACTAGACCGAGACTAGACCGAGACTCGACCGGGACTAAACAAGGACTAGACCAGGAATAGACCGGGACTAGACCGGTATTAGACCAGGACTAGACCGGGACCAGACCGGTATTAGACCAGGACTAAACTGGGACTCGACCGGTATTAGACCAGGACTAGACCGGGACTAGACCGGGACTGATCCAGTGTCATTAGTGGAGTATAAATATATATACGCCCCAGTCGTCGACCCGATCTCCTCCGCTGATGTTTTATGTCATAAAAACACTAAAGTCTCTCAGTCTGGTCTGACATTGTTTTGGGAAAAGACCTGGACCGGGCTCTTGTTTCCAGGGCAACGGACGCGCGTCAAGTATTTTTCTCCCGTTTGTCCACAGCGTCAAAGATGCGCGTCGGGGGCGTCTAAACTCAAATGCAAAGGCTCCAAATAGAGACGTCAAGGCGTTTTTTTAACGCTTTGATGTGAACGGCCCTTTAGAGATCGGGTGAGGAGCTCAGTCACATGGGAGGAGCTTGGAGTAGAGCTGCTGCTCCTCCATGTCAAGAGGAGCAGCATCATTTCCGGTCTCTGGGCTGGCCTGGGAACACCTCGGGGTCCCCCTGGAGGAGCTGGAGGAAGTGTTCGAGGGGAAAGAAGTCTGGGAGTATCTGCTTAGACTGATGCCCCCACGACCTGACCCCGGATAAACGGAAGAAAATGGATGGATGGAGATTTATCTGTCACAACCATCACCACTGATTTGACCTTTGACCTCTGAGTGTACAGCTAAAGTGCAGAAAATGAGGTGGTCTGAGATCTTTACTGTGTTAGAGAATGAGAAAATGTGAACGTTTCAAGTCTGTGTTTGAAGTCTGTATTTTGTCCCATTTCAGAATTAGACCTGAAACACGTTGCTTTATTTGTGTCCGTGTGAGTTGTGTGAAATTCTCCAGTAAAACCCAAAAGTGCAGCTTCTGTGTTTGAATTCATCAGTTAGAACATTCTGAGCTGCTGTCACATAAACATTTCTCAAAAACGAGACACAGCTGAGACAAAATAAACCAACCAATTAAAACAGGTCGTATGAAGTCAGTTTGGACAAAATACGAATAATTGTGTTTTTCCTTTGTAGTGCAGACTAGCGAGCACCAGATTTTCTACCAAAATAACAACGCGACGCTGCCGAATCCTCCCTGTATCACCGAGTAATGCCGGGCGTACACTGTGTGATATTTTGGGTCGTGTCACTCAGCCTCAGCTTAAACTGTACGACCAAATCTCAGGGTTTAGAAATTCACAGCTCACGAATCATGTTCTCACACTGAACGAACCGATGCTGCGCACACTGTACGTTCACATAACGACCCGAGTTTTTGTTCCGGAAAAAGAAAACCACAAAGAAGAATACCACGGAATTAGAAAACCACACACACAATGCTGATCCAGACAAAAAACAGACACAGACTGGTTCTTTGGCAAGTTTGTGTCAGTCCAGTAGTTTTCTCTGCGCGCACGGACAAGCCCAAAAAGAAGAAGCGATGAATCTGCTCAAAGAAATGTCTGGGTAGACATGGCAGACGTGGGCAGTCGTGGACAGACGTGGGGCAGACGTGGGGCAGACGTGGGGCAGACGTGGACAGACGTGGGGCAGACGTGGGGCAGACGTGGACAGACGTGGACAGACGTGGTTCAGACGTGGGGCAGACGTGGACGTGGGCAGACGTGGGGCAGACGTGGGGCAGACGTGGGCAGACGTGGGCAGACGTGGGGCAGACGTGGGCAGATGTGGGGCAGACGTGGGCAGACGTGGGGCAGACGTGGGGCAGACGTGGACAGACGTGGGGCAGACGTGGGCAGACAGACGTGGGACGTGGAGACGTGGGGCAGACGTGGGGCAGACGACGTGGGCAGACGTGGGGCAGACGTGGGGCAGACGTGGAGACAGACGTGGACAGACGTGGGGCAGACGTGGGGCAGACGTGGACAGACGTGGACAGACGTGGGGCAGACGTGGGCAGACGTGGGGCAGACGTGGGCAGACGTGGGCAGACGTGGGGCAGACGTGGGGCAGACGTGGGGCAGACGTGGGACAGACGTGGGCAGACGTGGGGCAGACGTGGGGCAGACGTGGGGCAGACGTGGACAGACGTGGGGCAGACGTGGGCAGACGTGGGCAGACGTGGAGACGTGGGACAGACGTGGGCAGACGTGGGCAGACGTGGGGCAGACGTGGACAGACGTGGGGCAGACGTGGGGCAGACGTGGGTGGGGCAGACGTGGGCAGACGTGGGGCAGACGTGGGCAGACGTGGACAGACGTGGGGCAGACGTGGGGCAGACGTGGGGCACAGACGTGGAGAGATGTGGGCAGACGTGGGGCAGACGTGGGCAGACGTGGACAGACGTGGGTAGATGTGGGCAGTACGGGTTGTCAGTTCTTCAGAAGGAACTAGAAGTAAATAGCATCAAGTTTTTCACCAAACTTCTGTTCTTTGTTGCTGGATCAGCTGCGCCTCCATGTCCTGCATCCAAAACACTCACCGGCGCCATCGTCCTCCACAACCTCATATCCTGCTTCCTCTTCTGTGTCCGCACATGCTCAGTCTGACAGATTCTGGCCAATCGTCTCATGGAACGACTTCAACAGAACGAAACCCTCACGAGAGGCGACTGGATTTCAAACAAGTTTAATATTCTTGTGACCTATGAATGCCGATCTGGAGCTGGTCGTGAGATTTTCTTTACCCCATGTTTACGACACGAAGCACGACACACGATGAAGCCAAAACTCGGCCCGATCCCCAAAACAGTCGCACGAGTAAAAAATCTGCTCAAAAAGGGTCAAAAGTCGCAGTGTTCTTAAGAAGATAGCGGTGTATCTGCAAAATGTGTGTGGAAATTTGGGGTTCAACATGTAAAACTTACCTACAACCTTTATTTATTTTACAAAAAAGGGCCTTGAAAATGATCACCAACAGTCATTGTAGAGAGCCATCCAAGCCAATATTTGTTCAACTTAAAGTGTTGAAAATGCAGGATATTGTCGACTTAAGTCTCCTCAAAGTCATGTATAAAGCAAAGTGCAATTTATTACCTGTAAATATTCAAAAACTGTTTGAGATGAGAACAAGCCACTACAGTTTAAAAGGAACCTACATGTTTAAAAAACCCAGAATCAGAACCAAGGTTATGGAGCGAAGTGTCGCTGTGAAAGGAGTTAAACTTATGGAAGAGTCTTGACAAAGAAATAAAAGAATCAAGTACGGTGACGACATTTTAAAAACATATAAAATCGAATGCACTGTGTCTGTATGAAAAAGAAAACTAAGTTGTGTATAATAATGAAGATTTACTGTTTGCAATTGATCAGTAATTGTGCCTGAACTGATCTGGAATGTTTCGTGATCATCGGTGTTGATGTTTTGTCTTGAAAAACGGAAAGGGGGGCAGATAACATAAGATTTTTTCTTTTTTCTGCTCCTTTTCATTCATTTCTTGTGTGTTTGATGTTGTGACACTGTCGATGTCTTTTTATGCTTTATGAATGAAATAAATAAATTAAATAAATAAAACTAGAAAAGCACTCAGTGAGCGCAGACCTCCGCCAAGGACTACAGTCCCCCTCATATTAATTGTGTTTTCCATAAATATTTGTCTTGTAACTTTCAATTTGGAATATGAAAGAGGATCCCATTGTCCATCCCTGAGTCAAATTTCATGGGGTTTGGTCAATAATTAACCGAGATATTGAGAAACAAAATTTTTTGGCCCCATTTACCACAATGTTAACTAAAATTTCAAAGTGATCCAGAATCCAGGATTTCTTCCGGATCACCCCCAAAATGAAATCAGTTCTTCCTTTTCACATTTCCAACAAATCCTGAAAATTTCATCAAAATCGGTCCATAACTTTTTGAGTTATGTTGCTAACAGACAAACAACAAACAAACAACAAACAAACAAACGCCGGCAAAAACATAACCTCCTTGGCGGAGGTAATAAAATAAAAAATGGCGTCTTGAAACTAAGCGATTAAAGTTGACTCAAACATGCACGAATCACTCCAAGTACAACTTTAAACCATCAATGAGAAGAGAAACAACTGTAACACGGTTAAAAAAATTCAATTTTGCGTAATAGTTTATACGGTTTAAGTTTTTGTGACAGGGCATCAGGTGTAAATGTTGCGGCTGAAGTGCAGTGACGGTGTTTTTTTCCCACAGGTGGCGTCTGAAACAGGCCGTCCTGAAGCTGCGGGAGGGAGACACCATCGACCTCCTGAACCCTCCTCGGACTGAAACTGTGACGACGCAAGAGGTTTTAGACACCGGGGAGTGGGAGTGAGACTCAACCTCAATAAAACATATTTATAAACTCAAGATCTGACCTTATGTGATGATGTTTAATGAGGAGGTATTAAACTTCTACCGTTTGGTTTTCTGTGTCAAAATGTGTGTGTAAATGTGTGTCGTATTCTCCAGCAGCTTCATAAATCTGCCCCAGTCACCAAATCTTCAACCAACAAGCTCCACAAAGGATAAACATTCTAACATGAAGAATTTATCCACAACTATCAAGAGAAGAAAGACGAAAACTTAAAGGAAACAACGAAGACGACGCATTAGAGACACACTGAACAAAACTAATGTTGTGGTCATGAATAAAACAGAAGGAACTTAAATTAAAATTAAAAATGTATTTCATGATGTAAATATTGGCATGGACCAGGACTAAAACAGGACTGAAACAGAACTAAAACCAGGTCTAAACTGTCGGGTGATCAGGACTGAAACCGGAACCAAAAACAGTTAAGTCCTGGTTCAGTTTGAGTTCAGTTCTGGTTCAGTTCTGGTTTAGTCCTGTTTTAGTCTTGTTTTAGTCCTGGTTCGATCGTGGTTTAAACCTGGTGCAGTTTTGGTTTAGTCCTGTTCAGTCCTGTTTTAGTTCTGTTTTAGTCCCTGGTTTAGTCCTTGTTTAGTTTTGGTTTAGTTCTGATTTAGTCCAGTTTTACTCCTGGTTTAGTCCTGTTCTGGTCCTGTTTTAGTCTCGTTTTAGTCCCGGTTTTGTCCTGGTTTAGTCCTGGTTCATTCTTGTTCAGTCCTGTTTTAGTCCCGTTTTAGTCCCGGTTTAGTCCTGTTTTAGTCCAGTTTTAGTCCTGGTTTAGACCTGGTTCAGTCTTGATTTAGTCCTGGTTTAGTCCTGGTTTAGTCCTGTGTTTAGTCCTGGTTCAGTTCTGGTTTAGTCCTGTTTGAGTCCTGTTTTAGTCCTGGTTTAATCCTGATTTAGTCCTGGTTTAGTCCTGGTTCAGTCCTGGTTTAGTCCTGGTTTAGACCTGTTTTAGTCCTGGTTTAGTCCTGTTTTAGTCCTGGTTTAGTCCTGATTGAGTCCAGTTTTAGTCCTGGTTCAGTCCTGGTTCAGTCCAGTTTTAGTCCTGTTTTAGACCTGGTTTAGTCCAGTTTTAGTCCTGATTTAGTCCAGTTTTAGTCCTGGTTTAGTCCTGGTTTAGACCTGGTTTAGTCCTGGTTTAGTCCTGGTTTTAGTCCTGTTTTAGTCCTGTTTTAGTTCTGGTTTAATCCTGATTTAGTCCTGGTTTAGTCCTGTGTTTAGTCCTGGTTCAGTTCTGGTTTAGTCCTGTTTGAGTCCTGTTTTACTCCTGGTTTAGTCCTGTTTTAGTCCTGGTTTAGTCCGGGTTTAGTCCTGGTTTAGTCGTGGTTTAGTCCTGATTTAGTCCTGTTTTAGTCCTGGTTTAGTCCTGGTTTAGTCCTGGTTCAGTCCTGATTTAGACCTGGTTTAGACCTGGTTTAGACCTGGTTTAGACCTACAGTCCCATGTCCCGTGACCCCTGCCCCGATGCTTTTATTTTATTATTTTGGAGCTTTCAAAGATTGTGTATGAACTTAAAGGAACAGTCAGAGTCTCGGGGGCATATGCGCGTGTGGGGCTTTCATCAGGTTTCTCGCTTCCTCTCAAAAGTGTGAATAGTGTACGTGATTTTGTGCTTCCTCTCAAACCTGCCACTTTTATAATGACTCTTGATGCATATAAACAGTTTTGAAAGGAAGAAAATGATAAAGAACTGAACCAAAACAGTCAAAATACAAAAACTAGATGATACTTTCGCAAAATATTTCATGAAATTGCAATTATATTTTGGATAACCATATTTTTAGGACTATAAGTTGCACTTTTTTTCATGGTTTGGGTGTTTCCTGCAACTTAAATTTTCTTAATCGATCTTCGAGAGAATTAACGATCGATTTTTGATTAATCATTAATGTTTTTATATTAAAATTATCATCATTATAAAATAAATAAACTTTACCACATATAAACCGTAACCACTCTAGAGTCACATCAGTTTGTTTGAGATTATAATGTGTTAATGCAGCTTTGATACTTTTTTTTTACTTTTTACAGAAACTAAACTTAAAACCACATGACTCATTTGCATAAACCAGAGGTGTTCACACTTTTTCATCATGTGAGCTACTTACAAAATGACAAATGATCTACCTAATACAAAGCCAAACAAACTGCACTGAAACACTCTGTGCCCCTTTTTTGGCCCTTCCCCCACAGTTTGAGAACCTCTTCTTTAAGAGAACTTCCTCTGGCACTTTACACAAAACTGTGAAAAAAGTGAAGGAAGATTTTTAAACCTGTTTTTTAAAGTTCCAAACTGGAGTTACATTCTTTTCTGGTTTTGCAGTGATATTTACCAGCCTCTGCACGTTTACCAAATCAAACGCACATCGTGACAAACACAGATGCATTTGTGCACTTTTGTTAGACAAACTTCAGCCAAATGTGGCAGTAGGTCTGTTCTGTAGATCCGCTCTATGCTGTAGACCTGCTTTGTGCCAACACTGTAACACAGATTTAGACTGGTTTTTTGCTTCACGTTTGGTCTTGCTCTTCTAATCAGCCGCACTGTGGGAGGGGCTTGTGTTCGCTGTACGCAGGAAGGAGCGAGAGCGTGAAAAGGCGAGGGGCGGCGTGCTGACGTGAGGCAGATGAACAGGTAGGATGTTTAGGAAGTTGAACCTGCCCTGTGATGCACGCTGGTACACGAGGGCACACGCTGTTGCAGACGAGCCGTGCATAGGGAGCGTGTGTGTTTGTGATGCGCCGTAGAGTCTCCGCGGGTTTCAAATGAGCGCACAGGCTGCACTGAGACGCCCCACACGCTCCTGCACCCGCTACAAGTTTTATTACCAACAGCAGCGGCCGGAATGAAATATGATCACACTTGTTGAGTGTCAGACCTCGAGTGAGAGACAAGACCGAGTCCAAACGCGATCGAGTCCGAGACGAGACACGGCGATCTACCCACACGACCTTGGCGATCGACTGGTAGATCGCGATCGACGTATTGAGCACCACTGGCATAAACTATAAGCGCTGCTCTTATCTCTTAGTGCAGCTCTTTATTTAACATCATTTCACTTTATTTATGTTGGTCACTTTATTTATTTTGGCTACCTGTTGTGATGAAAAGACTGAAAAGTGTTTGTTTTTTGGACGCATGCGACTCAACTTTATGTTGCAGTAACCGGGATACTGCGTTTACATGCACCGTGACCAAACCGGGACACTCAAAAAAACTGCCAGAGCCCAAACTTGGGACTGTGAGGCCAAGATTCCAGTGTTTGTGTCAGACGCAGCCTCGTCTCGTTACGCTACACACAACAACTACATTCAGTTTGTTGAATAAAAATTAACGTGATCGATGAAATTCTTAATGATCAATTATCGATTAGTTGACTAATCATGCCCATCCGTAATTTCCAATCCAGTCCATTTTATTTCTAGAGCAAATTTCACAAACAGTTTCCAAAGTGCTGCACAAATACATAATTATAACAGCAATAATAAGATGATAAAATAAACAACTAAAATAATACTAGTCTTAAAATAATAAAACCAGTAAAATAACATAAGAGCAAAATCATAGAATAGAAATAAATAAACCAAAAAGTAAATTAAATCAATAAAAGCAATAAAAACACATAAAAATAAATAAAAAGACACAGAGGAGCACACAACTCATGCGGTGTTAAAAGCCACAGAATAAAAGTGGGTCTTAAGACGAGACTTGAAACTCTCCACATTGAGGGCTGTTCGGACGTGGGGGGGTAGAATATTCCAGAGTGTTCCAGAGCGTTCCAGAGCATTCCAGAGCGTTCCTAGAGCATTCCAGAGCATTCCAGAGTGTTCCTAGAGCATTCCAGAGTGTTTCAGAGTGTTCCAGAGCGTTCCTAGAGCGTTCCAGAGCGTTCCTAGAGCGTTCCAGAGCATTCCTAGAGCATTCCAGAGTGTTTCAGAGCATTCCAGAGTGTTCCAGAGTGTTCCTAGAGCATTCCAGAGCGTTCCTAGAGCATTCCAGAGTGTTCCAGAGTGTTCCTAGAGCATTCCAGAGCATTCCAGAGTGTTCCTAAAGCGTTCCTAGAGCGTTCCTTGAGCGTTCCTAGAGTGTTCCTTGAGCGTTCCTAGAGCATTCCTAGAGCGTTCCAAGAGCATTCCTAGCGTCCCAGAGTGTTCTACAGCATTCCTAGAGCGTTCCTAGCACGTTCCAGAGCGTTCCAGAGCGTTCCAAAGCGTTCCTAGCACATTCCAGTGTTCCAAAGCGTTCCTAGAGCGTTCAGAGTGTTGCAGAGCATTCAGACCACAGAGAAGGTCCCGTCCTCCTGGTTTTAAGTCTCGTCTTAGGTACCCTGAGCTGGAGCTGGACCTCGGGCCTCAGAGCGCTGGGGGAGGGGGTATAAATTTGGATGAGGTCCAAGACGCACTGTGGGGCCAAAACATTCAAAGCTTTAAAAACAAACAATAAAATCTTTCAAATCAATTCTAATTTGGAGTGAGATGGAGAGTTTGTTAAACTTGTTCTGTTCTGTTGTTTATGTTATAGTTTTTCTGAAGAACTGTTCATGTGTGACGTTAACAGTCTGTTGTTCTCTCTTCTATTGTTATTGTTAGAACTTGACTTATAACAGGAAATTTCGCTTCCTGGTCTCTGATTTTACAAAATAAATTTCCCCCAAAAAGTGCAACTTATATATGTTTTTTTCTTCTTCATTATGCATTTTTTGGCTGGTGCGACTTACACTCCGGAGCGACTTATAGTCCAACAAATACAGTAGTCTCTGGAGATGTCCTTGATCTGCCTGGAATGTTCCACAGTGTGACTTTAAGCAGCTCTCCTTTACATTTATTCAATCACAGGTGGTTTTAAAGCTCAAAAACACCTACAAAAACAGACATTCTGACTGTGAGCGGCGTCACCTTTCCACAGATCTGACACAGGTCTTCATGAAATGCAAAGTAAAATGATCAGTTTTGTGGGGCACTGCTTTTTTTGTTTTAACCGTTGGAAAGATCTTGTTTTTTTTTCCGCTGATCGTCACAATAATCAGATGAAGTGTTTGCAGTTCAGCAGAACGGGCCCAGAGCTGAGGTTGAAGTGTTGCACAAACGTCTGTGAAGCAGAAGCACCACATCCTGCCTCATTCATCTTTTATTCATTTTGTCTTTTTGCAGCTTTTCCACACTTTTACTCTTTTACAATTCTTGATTTTAATTCAATCAGTGCCAAATCTGCACAATATATTTACTCATTTCTTCTGTTTTTATTTTGAGTGTCATTCTTTGTTGTTGCAGTCAAGTTGTTGTCCTGTGTCCATGAGTCCCACACAGGCTTCAGCGTTCCCACGGTCATGGAAATCCTGGAAAAGTCACGGAAATCTGTAAAGTCAATGAAAGTTTTAGTATCTCTTTCATGCAACTACAGCATTTTGTTAAGTTTTGTGTCCACTGTCCCAGCATTTTTACCCAAAACCAGTAATTTGTCCCACTTTTACACAAGAAATGTCCCATGCATCCCTATTTTTGACTAATTTCATTCCTGCCGACAGTAAACAGAGACTAAAATTGTGATTTGTTTAGGTAAAATACAGAAAAGCTGCTTAAATACGACCAAAACACAAAGAAAATGTGACTATACTGACTCACAAATGGGCCAAGTGCAACAATTCTGCCTTCATTACACATTTCTCTTTTCACAATTTTATTATTACAGGGTTCCCACGGTCATGGAAATCCTGGAAAAGTCATGGAAATGTATAAATTCAATGAAAGTTTTGGAAAAGTCATGAAATTTGAGAATCTCTTGCACTTAACTACATTGTTCTGTTACGTTTTGTGTCCCCTGTCCCAGCAGATGTATCCAAAACTAGTGATTTGTCCCAGTTTCATACAAGAAATGTTCCCAGGTGTCCCTATTTTTGACCAATCTGATCCCTGCCAATAGTAAAAAGAGACATAATTTGACATTTCTTTGGGTAAAATACAAAAAAATCTGCTTAAAAACGACCAAAACATAAAGAAAATGTGACTATACTGACTCACAAATGGGCCAATTGCAACAATTCTCCTTATTTACATGTTACTCGTTTCACAGTTTTATTATTACAGGGTTTCCACAGTCATGGAAATCCTGAAAAAGTCACAGAAATTTGTATATTCAATGGAAGTTTTGGAAAAATCATGACATTTTTGTTTCTCTTTCATTCAACTACATTGTACTGCTAAGTTTTGTGTCCCCTGTCCCACCAGATTTACCCAAAACCAGTGATTTGTCTCAGTTTTAACACAAGAAATATCCCTATTTTTTAACAAATCTGATCCTGCTGACAGTAAAGAGAGACTGAAATTGTGATTTGTTTTGGTAAAATACAGAAAATCTGCTTAAAAACAACCAAAACACAAAGAAAATGTGACTACACTGACTCACAAATGGACCAAGTGCAACAATTCTCCTTATTTACATGTTACTCGTTTCACAATTTTATTTTTACAGGGTTCCCACGGTCATGGAAATCCTGGAAAAGTCACAGAAATTTGTAAATGCAGTGAAAGTTTTGGAAAAATCATGAAATTTTAGTTTCTCTTTCATGTAACTACATTGTTCTGTTAAGTTCTGTGTCCACTGTCGCACCAGATTTATCCAAAACTAGTGATTTGTCCCAGTTTCATACAAGAAATGTCCCAGGTGTCCCTATTTTTGACCAATCTGATCCCTGCCAATAGTAAAAAGAGACATAATTTGACATTTCTTTGGGTAAAATACAAAAAAATCTGCTTAAAAACGAACAAAACGTAAAGAAAATGTGACTATACTGACTCACAAATGGGCCAAATGCAAAAATTCTCCTTATTTACACGTTACTCGTTTCACAGTTTTATCATTACAGGGTTTCCACAGTCATGGAAATCCTGGAAAAGTCATGGAAATTTGTAAATGCAATGAAAGTTTTGGAAAAATCATGAATTTTTTGTTTCTCTTTCATGCAGCTACATTGTTCTATTAAATTATATGTCCCCCGTCCCAGCAAATTTATCCAAAACTAGTAATTTGTCGCAGTTTTACACAAGAAATGTCCCAGGCGTCCCTATTTTTAACCATTTTGATCCCTGCTGACAGTAAAGAAAGACTGAAATTGTGATTTGTTTTGGTAAAATACAGAAAATCTGTTTATAAACAACCAAAACACAAAGAAAATGTGACTATACTGACTCACAAATGGGCCAAATGCAACAATTCTCCTTCATTACACATTACTCGTTTCACAGTTTTATTATTACAGGGTTCCCAGAGTCATGGAAATCCTGGAAAAGTAACAGAAATTGAAAATGTCATTGTCCAGGCCATGGAAATTTCTATATCCAATTAAAGTTGTGGAAAAGTCATGACATTTTAGTATCTCTTTCACACAACTCCAGTGTCCTGTTAAGTTCTTATTTGACTATTCTGATTATTTCTGAACGTTTGCGCCTTTTGTTTATTAAAATAGACGACAATAAATGCACTGACAGGATTTTGAATGTTCAAAAAATATAATTCCAAACCATAAATTGAGTGGAAAGTGTTAACATTTCATATTTAGCTCTAAAAGTCTGATCAATTCTACACAGGTCGTCATGAAAAATTCACTTTAGGTCATAAAAAAAGTCATGGAAAAGTTTTGAAATTTTGTCAGACAGGGCTGTTGGGAAGAAATGATTGAATTTTTGAGACATATTTCAAGTCTGTTTTCATTTTCTAGAGCTGGATGTCTCATGTTTGTGCCGGAAATAACTTAAAGTCTGCACGTATTTATGAACCTTATGGGTGATGACATTTCCTGGACACATATTTATACACGAATATTTATGGACAAATAGACGCATCAAGAATTTCAGACTTCTGGTCATCGCTCAATTCATACTGGGAAGGATTTTCTGAAAAAGTGAGCATCAAACCTCCATGTTTGTTTTCCCAGTGGGATGTGTCGATCTTTTCAAGTCTTTTGAACCATATCACTTTTGTTTCTGGTTCTGATATTGTCAGATTTTAGTTTTGGGATTCGGACATCGTTAATTGTGTGGTTGTTGGATCCTAACAGCGGAAAACGACTCGAGAAATGTGTTTGTGAACTTCATAAATGCAAAAGTGAATCAGATGTGTGTGACTCAAACCTCTGTTCAAACTGTTTCTCTTCCCAACGGAATTGAAAAATAGTGAAAGGTGAAGGCGATGGGCAGGATTGATTAACAGGAAGAACCAAAAAGGAAACATTTGTCTGACTAAATCTTCCTGAGTTTGTAGAGAACATTTTGTATGTGGAGCGACGACAAAACAAAATCCGGTTTGTTAATGGAGAGGAGCAGAAGACAAACAGACTGAGCTGCACTTTCTTGTTCTTGTGGTTTTACAGAAACATCACGTCTTTGTCTCTTTGCAGTGGAAGATGTTTCTTAGTGCCTTTCACTTTCGCGATGACTTTTTAAATTCGTAACTGAGGTTGAGCGAGGGATCAGGGTTTTGTTTTGTCGTCGCTCCACATACAAAATGTTCTCTACAAACTCAGGAAGATTTAGTCAGACAAATGTTTCCTTTTTGGTTCTTCCTGTTAATCAATCCTGCCCATCGCCTTCACCTTTCACTATTTTTCAATTCCGTTGGGAAGAGAAACAGTTTGAACAGAGGTTTGAGTCACACACATCTGATTCACTTTTGCATTTATGGAGTTCGCAAACACATTTCTCGAGTCGTTTTCCGCTGTTAGGATCCAACAGTCACACAATTAACAATGTCCGAATCCCAAAACTAAAATATGACAATATCAGAACCAGAAACAAAAGTGATATGGTTCAAAAGACTTGAAAAGATCGACGCATCCCACTGGGAAAACAAACATGGCGGTTTGATGCTCACTTTTCACAAAATCCTTCCCAGTGTGCAAATTCTTGATGCGTGTGTGTATTCATGAACAGATATTTCCGGACAGATTTCTGTGAAGAGATAATTATTCGGAAACATTTATGGACAGATGTCTGAAAGTAAAACTATCACCTCATCACAAAGTGCAGGATGTGGTTGATGTTTCACAGTCCAACAGGTGCAAACAAAGACACGACCTGTAAGAAGTTTCATATTTACTGAAGACTCCAGTGACGAGAAAAGGTCCAGCGTCACGTTATCAGTCCAATCCTCGGCCTCTCACCTGCCTCGACTCTGCACCCACGGGCTTCTCTCTGCCTCGGGTGCAACTTTATGCTTAATTAAACGAAGGGAAACTCCAAAAACATGACTTATGTTTGAAAAGAGGTGACTGGGCCTCTTGTTCTTTTGATGGCCTTTGATAAAACAACAACTTAACCTTTTTAGATTAAAGAAACGGAAACACCTCGCAGTTTCCTCGAGATCGCTTTCTACGCTATCTGCAAACATGTGAAGCTTCTTGTCTTTGCACAAAATAAATGTGCACGTATGTAGGGATGTTTGTGCGATACTCTGCTCCTTTTAGAGTCAAATTTAAAGAGCCCAGAGTCACAGAAGTTTGAGCTGAACTATAACGAAACTCAGTAAAACCACAGTGAAACCCACAGCAACAGACGCGAGCTCCAACAGCCACATCAAATCAACAACATCCACAGCGTTTTACCATCTAAAAAAACAGCAAAAATCAAAGGTTTATGGCCCACACTGGAAAAAAAACAACATCTACACTGAAAAAATTGTTCAAGAGGGGTTGTTCAAATTGCAAAAACAAATTTGACAACAATAACAGGACTTTTTTACATTTCTCTGTCCAGCATGTTTAAATCTTACAAAGGTCGCTTGATTGTGGCGGATGTTAGACCTGCATGTTTTAACCAGACTGAGGAAGCATGACTTTATTATCATTTCTGGTGAGGCTCCTCCCTCTGGAATTCTCCTCCCCAATTTTTTGGAGGGAAAATTCAAATGCAGCAGGACACAGGACAGATCCAGGAGCAGAGACACACAGTGTGGAGCAGGAGGATTATCAGAGCTGATGTGGAGGTGAGACTTTTTAAAGATTTTATATGTTTCTCCAGCCTAGAATGTCGTCATTGTTAAAACATGTTTGTGGTGTTTTATTTGAAATTAGAGTTAATGTAAGGACAGCTTGAAACAAATAGTATTTGACTGTCCATCTACAAGAGTGTACAGAACGAGAAAGAGAGAGAGAAAGAGAGTGCAAAACCCTATAGACGCACAACTTTCAGTCAACAGGTTTTATCAGTCAAGGGCACAGAAATCTGGAACAACATCCCAGCTGCTATAAGAGACTCCACCACATTCAGTTCATTTAAAACTAATCTGAAGCGACGGCTTAAGAGAAACCAGATCTGTGATCACTAATGTTCTGCTCCTATGTAAATGTCAGTGTTGTGTGTCATGCTTGTGTGTTTGTCTATTGTGACGCGTTTTATGTTCTTATGTTTTGTGTCTCTGTGTCTCTGACCTGCCAGGGACGACAGATGAAGCCTTAGGGCTGATTCTGGCGTATTTACAAGTGTATGTTCATGAATATGCATTGTCCCTTTTAAATAAATAAATAAATAAGTGTGACAGTTGTACTAAGATGTGAATGTGTTTGTTCCAGAGTCTTGTACAAACACAGAGTGACGTCCAGGTTCTGCTGAAGCTGTGGGGAAGTTCATGAATGTTACAGCTGATGTTTCAGGAAAAAGGAAGATGTTTGAGAACCAACAAACCACAGAGCACAGATGAACAAAGTAAGTAAAACAACTAAAATGATTTTAAACGAATTTTTCAAAATGAACTTCCTATTGAAACAGTTCGTGTTTGTACAGGGTGATGTGACACTAGGAGACTTTATACCAGATGCCCTCCCTGTTACTGTGTTTAGAGGAAGAAAAGCAGCACACGGTGAGTTTTCTTTCTGCAGATACAGTTTCTAATGTTCTTGTGATTCTGTTCTGGTCCATTATTGTAGTAATAAGTGCTTTAAGTGTATTTAAACATGTACAACAGAGTAGATCATCATAATGTGATCATCATGTGTTATTCTGTGTCCACAGGCAGAGACCAGAGCTTCTTCACTGGAATAAATCTTCACACTGTCCAGCTCCAAACTGTGTGTCTCTGTACTTGTGTGTCTCTGTGTGTTTGATTCTGTTTAAGACAATACAGAACTGTGTAAAACTAAAGACTGTTTTTGTATTATTTTACAGAATTAGATCAATTAAATTAAATTATACATTGTGGGGAAGCTGGCCAAAGTGGTCGAAGTAGGAGGCAGATGACACAAAAAAAAAAGGTGTCTTACGTGGACAAAATTTATTTAAAAAAACAGACTTCTGGGTTTAACCAACAAAAATACAAATAGACAAAAAATAAGTAACTCAAAGCAAAACACCAAATACCTGCACAGAAGTCTCTCCCTAATTAGTGACACCTGCTTGCCTTTTATACTCCGCCCAGCATTCCCCCAGGTGAGTAACAATTCCAGGTAAAGCAAAGCAAAAGGTGTCTTTCCAAAATCAAAATGGTTAACATAAATTAAGGTGAGTTTAAAATAAGACAAAGGCCCACTTTGTCACATACATATTTATACATTTCATGATAAGGCAACATAAGATAAATATGTATATTCAGCATGATTTGATAAAATTTCATCAACATGAAAAAGTGATGTTCATGTTCTGAGAAAAGTATGTGTAGAGGAGATCGAAATAAGTTTCAAAGCCTAAACATAATTTTATTGCAGCAACCGCTTTCCATAACTTTTTTACACAAATCCAGCAACCTTTTTTTTTCAGTGTAGGTAAGTTAAAATGATTTAAATTAAGAATGTTCGACTTTATTTGAGTCGATTCAGCTTCACAAGTCAAATTATCCACTAATGGAATAAGAGTGGTTTTCGTTAATTCAAGCAACATTTGATTTTGTTTCTTATTTTAAGTGAAGCAAGATGTATTTTCAGATTTTAAGTACAAAAGCTCTTATTCCACTGGTAGATCATCACCCAGTGCCTTCGCTCAATTACATTTTTCTCCAGCGACTAGTTCAGGAATCAGAATACACTGGACGATTCGCAAAAACCCCAAAAGTGCGAGTTCGGGCACGAGCCAATCAGTGAAGAGACAGACATTCTGTGTTGGCGACGATTCCTGAGAGGATTTAAAGCTGGAAAAAAGAGAATGTTTGGTGAATTTTATCAAGGGGAAAGACGTTATTGTTCTTCTTCCTACATTTGGATTTGGTTCATTACATACGTCACGACCAAATAGCAGAGATTTTCTTAACACAAGTCGTCTGAACTTGGTTAGATTTTGTTTTTTGCAGTCTAAATCAAACTTGGAGAAACTTATCCATGCGTTTGTCTCCAGAAGGTTAGATACTGTAATGTTCTGCTCACTGTTCTCTCCAAACAAGCTGTAAGACGCTGCAGAACATCCAGAACATCCAGAACATCCAGAACATCCAGAACATCCAGAACGCTGCAGCTCGAGGCTCGGGGTCGTATCCAACTGACTCTGATCCAAAGGGGCCGGATCAGAAAACTCATGTCATATAAACCCCAAAAATAAAAATAAGTTCAAATATTTGTGCAGAGAAACACAAATCTATTACAGAAATCTTTTTTAATTGATGAACTCTTTTTTTTACAAAATATTATAATATTATGAACAACCTGAAACTTTAAGAAAAATACAATTTCAACACAATGTTTTAACATGAACTTGTATAAATAGGAATAAGTCAATTTTTGTTGTAAAATCCTGCACTCGGCTCCACTTTTCTCATGTTGGACATTTTTCTGATGAGGGTGTCACGGTCAACAGTCAAAACGATCGTCCTTTAAGAGCGTTTGGAAAGAGACAAGTCTTCATTTGTGCTGCTCTGGTGGGAGGGGCCACGTACAGAGACGCTGGAGACGCTGCTGTGATAAACACCACAGAAAATTAATACGATTTTAATAAAAAATAGAATTTAAATATTTGAGTACAAAATCAGACGAGGGCCAGATTAAAGGTCTTGGAGGGCCGGATCTGGCCCCCGGGCCGTATGTTTGACACCTCTGATCTACAGTGTTTATGTTTATATGTTGTAAAGTTGAATTTATTTAAGCAGATTAGTAGTGCAGATAGTAATAATAATGATGATAATTTTAACATAAAAACGTTAATGATTAATTGATAATCAATCCTTAATTCTCCCGACGATTGATAAAGAAAATTTAATCAAATGCCCATCCTTAATTCCCACCAAGACAGAGTGGGACACTTGAGTCGGTATTCGTGTCCATATGTGAATATCTTGGAGATGTGTCTCTTGTGTTTTAGATGAGAAATTATCATTTAATTGAATATTTCACATTATAATGTCAAACGGGCTGATGTGGCTCTAGAGTGTTTATGTTTATATGTTGTAAAGTTGAATTTATTTATGCCAATTAGTAATAGTAATAATAATAATGATACTTATATAAAAACATTAATGATAGTATGAAAATAATGTAATAATGAATTCAAATGAAAATACTTCAAGTTGAAGCTTTTCTCAGCAATTTTTAGTTGAGATTTAAAAAAAAAAGATTAATTAGATGAATTAATTACAGATCATAATTAATTAACCTCTCAATTTTTTTAAATCGCTTGACAGCACTATTAGTAACAATTAATAAATATTAACAAAAGGATTAGGTCATGATTAGTTACTGTGTGTGTATCCAAAAAATTGCAAAGTAAAAAACCACAAAAGCAGAGACGGGAGGGAGCGTGCAAACTTGTGAAAATAAAAAAAAAAATGCTGCAGTAGTTCTTAGTAAACGTCCTTTAAATGGGCACGTCTCCTGTCTGCTAATTCGTGCACAAAGCCACACACGCACAAAAAAAAAAAAAAAAAAAAAAAAAAAGAAACAAAGCACCAGCCCACTTTTTTAAATCACCACAGAAACACAAACGCACACACAGAGTCACATCCTCCCAGCCTCAGGGACCTGCAGCCTCCACCGACGGTGAGTCAAAACTAAAAACGCAACTGAACAAACACAAACACGCGCAATATGTTAAAGAATTTTTAGTCATATTTACGTCAAAACACACAGACGTTTCTCTGATTTAGTCACTTGGTTCTTAGTTCTCACAGATGAGCGCACACTGCAACCAAATCCATTCACCGAAATCCATTCACGCTTTTTGTAAATTAAAGCCGCACTGTGGAACTTTTTGGTTTGTCGCCTGCTCTTCCAGCGGAGGTGTCAGTGCTCCATGAATTATTATAAATCAAGGGAGTCAAAGTCAAATTCAGAGTGACAAAATTAAGAACTGGGACTAAATCGTGGACCAAACGAAATATTTATTGCAAACTTTCAACATTTCTGCAGTTATTACAGTTATTTTATCGTGTAGGATCATGTTCTGAAAACAAAATTTGATGAAAAACGACCTTTTGTAAGCTGAAAATTGAAAAAAAAAAAACACACTTTGTACAAAAAATGCACAAGAGATAGAGAAGTAAATAAAAGTGAAGATACAAAAACGTGTTTGATTTACATTTTTGTGTATTACTGTAGTACTTTTGAGGATACTACATCACAGTACTTCAGTTCATTTTGTCTTCTTATGTACTTTAACTTCTTGGGTTCTTTGTTAAAGACTTTAAAAAGAATCCAAGAAGTTAAAGTTTGTTTCTGTAAATCAGGAATGGAAAACTCAAATTCACAAAGGGACAAAAATTAAAAACTGGGACTAAATCGTGGGTCAAACTAAATATTTATTGAGAAATTTCAGCATCTCTAAAGTTATAACAGTTATTTTGTCATTAAGGATCATGTTCTGTGTATTTCCCTCTGTTTTACTCTATTGTTTTGTGTATTACTGTAGTACTTTTGAGGATACTACATCACAGAACTTTAGTTACATCCAAAGTGCACGTTCAAATTTAAGCCAAAGATGTTCATTTTGTCTTCTTTTTAAACACAGTTACATCCAAAGTAAAAAACAGAAGTGGAACGGACATGTTCTAGTTTGTTCCCGTAAATCGGAGTGTGTCAAACTCAAATTCACAAAGGGACAAAATAAAAAAACTGGGACCTTTTCTTATTAAAATAAATGTTTAATAATAGTTTTGCTTAAATATTGAATCCAGAACAAGCAAAATATAAATTAAATATGTTTTTTGTTTATTTATTTCATTCATAAAGTATAAAAAGTCATCAACAGTGTCACAAAAGGAGCAGAAAGAAAAGAAATCGTATGTTTTCTGACGCCTTTTTTTTCCCCTTTTCAAGACAAAACATCAACACCGATTGTTACTTAAAAACATTTCACATCAGTACGTTTCAGTTCAGGCACAATTATGAATCAATTGCAAACAGAAATCTTCACTTTTATGCACAACAACTTCGTTTTCCTTTTACATACAAACACTTTGCATTCGATTTTATGTGTTTTTTTTAAATGTCGTCATTGTACTTGATTCTTTTATTTCTTTGTCAAGACTTTTCTGTAAGTTTACTCCTTTCACGTCGATGCTTCGCTCCATAACCTTTTTTTTTTTAACATGTAGGTTCCTTTTAAATTCTAGTGGCTTCTACAAAGTGAATAAAGCTGCACAATTTAGTGAGAACTTTACTTGATGCAACATGGCGATCGCTTGGGAAATTTTGCCTTTAGTGTAATAACAAAATTTTAAATAAATAGTTAGGGGTGTAACGATACCCAAATCTCGCGATACGATATCGTCACGGTACGATATTTATTGCTATATCGTGGGAAAGTTCACGATTAAGGACGTAACAGCATCCGAATCTCTCTGGACGATATTTTCACGATGCACATCTCACGGTACGATATTTATTGCGATATTTTGTGGAGGCTAAAACTGTTAACATGCTTCTTTTTTCCTCTTAAAATGCCTCGACAAGATTTAATCCAAAGAACTAAGACTTAAAAGTGTTAGAACTGTACGATATTTATTGCGATATCATGAGAAAGATCACGATATGGTGGGGAGGCTCACGATTAGAAATGTAACAATATCTAAATCTCTCGGTACGATATTTCCACGATATACATCTCATGGTACGAAAAATATCAAAATATCGATATATCGTATCGTTTAATGTGATGATACAGTATCGATATCGGGGACTGCTGTATCGATATATCGCCAAGTCTATTTTTTGGTATATTTTACTCAGTTATTTTGTTACAGCGCTAGTTTTTTTTTTTTGCTTGTTCAGAAGAAAAAAAACTATAATTTATGAGAAACATTTGACATTTTCACTGTTTTGATGATTAAAATATTTGTGTTTCATATGAACTTTTGCACAAAAATTGGTTAAACAAACACTTTCGGTGTCACAGCCACGATTTAGCCACTATTTTTTATTGAACCGTATCGAATTGATTTGAAATATATCGTATCGAACCGAAAAAGCACTGTATCGAGATATGTATCGTATCGTGACCTATGTATCGAGGTATGTTATCGTATCGTTGCCTATGTGTATCGAGACATGTATCGTATCGTTGCCTATGTATCGAGACATGTATCGTATCGTTGCCTGTGTATCGAGACATGTATCGTATCGTTGCCTATGTATCGAGACATGTATCGTATCGTTGCCTATGTATCGAGGTATTTATCGTATCGTTGCCTATGTATCGAGGTATTTATCGTATCGTTGCCTATGTATCGAGGTATTTATCGTATCGTTGCCTATGTATCGAGACATGTATCGTATCGTTGCCTGTGTATCGAGACATGTATCGTATCGTTGCCTATGTATCGAGACATGTATCGTATCGTTGCCTATGTATCGAGACATGTATCGTATCGTTGCCTATGTATCGAGACATGTATCGTATCGTTGCCTGTGTATCGAGACATGTATCGTATCGTTGCCTATGTATCGAGACATGTATCGTATCGTTGCCTGTGTATCGAGGTATTTATCGTATCGTTGCCTATGTATCGAGGTATTTATCGTATCGTTGCCTATGTATCGAGATATGTATCGTATCGTTGCCTATGTATCGAGACATGTATCGTATCGTTGCCTGTGTATCGAGACATGTATCGTATCGGCAGCTTCATAATGATACCCAGCCCTAATATTTATTGCGATATTTTGTGGAGGTTAAACATCTAAAACTGTTAAAAATTCTGCTTCTTTTTCCTCTTAAAAGATTTAATCCAAAGAACTAAGACTTAAAAGTGTTGGAACTGTTATTTCTTCTTGTCGTCTGCACTGAAACGGAGCAAAGGATCATGGTCTATGTAGTTCCCTCTGTCTTTTTTTTTTAGCTCTTGCTGCAACTTAACTCTTCATTTAAGCAAAGAGACTTGTAATTCAATATCGTATCGAATCTTTGTATCGGTATCGATCGCGACGGTCCACGATATCATTGTGAAAACTCTGACGATACGATATCACGATATTTCGGTTATTCTTACATCCCTATAAACAATGTCTCTAAAGTCTCTCTGAGTCTGACATGTCTGCAGTAATTCCTCCTGTGAATAGGCTCGCCTTTCCACAGATCCGACCTGTAACGTGGTAGTCTGTGGAACGTTCTAGACAAAGCAATAACATTTACATAGAGACGAGCGGGTGGCGGACCTTTCACGAGAAAAGTTACGCCGCCGTGCTAAAAAAAAAGTACGATACTGGAGCAAAAGTAAAAGTATCACGTGAAAAAGTCGACTAAAGTAAAAGTATTAAAGTACCTGATTAAAAATGTACTTAAAGAGTAAAAAGTAAAAGTATTTTGCACAGATTTTGACATAGATTAAAGCTTCAAATGTAGTTTTCGTTTGTTTGAATTACAAAACACTTTCCGGCAGGTCTTAAACGATAATCAGAAATACTTTAACTTTTTCAGTCCTGTCCAAAAATATACTCGAGTAGAAAGTACTGACACTTGATCTCTCCACTTTAAAAACCTAAATATTCTACTTCAGTACCAGGATTTTAATACTTTTAGGACAAAACGTGCAGCTACACTCAGTCACAAAACGAACGCACAAATAAAAATGTGAAAATTTGATCTGAGAAAGCTGAATTTGGGCCAAAAAGTGCAAAAAATTGTGCTAAAAAGTGCAAAAACAAGAGCGGTAAATCTTTATATAGTACAAATTGTGAAACATACACATTATAAGTTGTTGTATTTGCAAAGAAAACCATTTTGAAAACAAGAATAGTGCCAAAATTTGATGAAAAACTACCTTCCTGCAGGAAAAAAAAACGTGTTCGATTTTCATTTTTGAGTAAATTATCTCATCTTTATAAGACGCAAAAAGAAGAAGTGAAAAACAGATGGTTTAAGTTTTCCATATCAGCGATTTCTGTTCCTTTTTTCGATGAGCAGATCTTGAGTCATTAACTAGAAGAGCGCCGCCTGTGTGTCCTTGGGCAAGACGCAAGATCCTGCCCACGAAACGAAGGAGTGTTGATGTGGTTGGTGGTTACACGTGGCTGAGGAAACGCAGAGTGACTCAATCGGAGCGAACCAGGATCTTACCTCAGCAGAAAGAGCGTGACGAAACTTTTACAACAGACTCGATTTGACTCACGATATAATTATATTTGTCCCGCGAGATCGTTTCCAATCTGGATCAGAGCCGCAGATCGACGACAGACACATTATTTATTCAAAATGTTGTTATTATTTTATATTCTGTTTGTTCTGGATTCAGTGTTTAAGCAAAACACTGAAATGTCCTGGTTTAGTCCTGTTTCAGTTCTTTTTTAGTCTTGTTTTAGTCCTGGTTTAGTCCTGTTTTAGTCCTGGTTTAGTCCTGTTTGAGTCCTGTTTTAGTCCTGTTTAGTCCTGGTTCAGTTCTTTTTTAGTCTTGTTTTAGTCTGATTTAGTCCTGGTTTTTTAGTCCTGTTTAGTTTTTAGTCCTGTTTAGTCCTGTTTAGTCCTGGTTTAGTCCTGATTTAGTCTTGGTTTAGTCCTGATTTAGTCCTGGTTTAGTCCTGATTTAGTCTTGGTTTAGTCCTGATTTAGTCTTGGTTTAGTCCTGGTTTAGTCCTGATTTAGTCTTGGTTTAGTCCTGATTTAGTCTTGGTTTAGTCCTGGTTTAGTCCTGATTTAGTCTTGGTTTAGTCCTGATTTAGTCTTGGTTTAGTCCTGTTTTAGTCCTTTTAGTCCTGATTTAGTCTTGGTTTAGTCCTGATTTAGTCTGGTTTAGTCCTGTTTAGTCCTGGTTTAGTCCTGATTTAGTCTTGGTTTAGTCCTGATTTAGTCTTGTTTTAGTTCTGGTTTAGTTCTGTTTTAGTCCTGTTTTAGTCCTGTTTTAGTTTTTAGTCCTGGTTCAGTCCTGGTGTTGTCCTGTTTTAGTCTTGTTTTAGTCTTGTTTTAGTTCTGTTTTAGTTCTGTTTTAGTCCTGGTTTAGTCCTGTTTGAGTCCTGTTTTAGTCCTGGTTCAGTTCTTTTTTAGTCTTGTTTTAGTACTGATTTAGTAATGGTTTAGTCCTGATTTAGTCTTGGTTTAGTCCTGATTTAGTCTTGGTTTAGTCCTGGTTTAGTCCTGATTTAGTCTTGGTTTAGTCCTGATTTAGTCCTGGTTTAGTCCTGATTTAGTCTTGGTTTAGTCCTGGTTTAGTCCTGGTTTAGTCCTTTTAGTCCTGGTTTAGTCCTGGTTCAGTTCTTTTTTAGTTTTGTTTTAGTCCTGGTTTAGTCCTGGTTCAGTTCTTTTTTAGTCCTGCTGTAGTTGTTTTAGTCTTGTTTTAGTTCTGGTTTAGTCCTGTTTTAGTCCTGGTTTAGTCCTGTTTGAGTCCTGTTTTAGTCCTGGTTCAGTTCTTTTTTAGTCTTGTTTTAGTCCTGATTTAGTCCTGGTTTAGTCCTGATTTAGTCTTGGTTTAGTCCTGGTTTAGTCCTGATTTAGTCTTGGTTTAGTCCTGAGTTTAGTCCTGGTTTAGTCCTGATTTAGTCTTGGTTTAGTCCTGATTTAGTCTTGGTTTAGTCCTGGTTTAGTCCTGATTTAGTCTTTTAGTCCTGGTTTAGTCCTGATTTAGTCCTGGTTTAGTCCTGATTTAGTCTTGGTTTAGTCCTGATTTAGTCCTGGTTTAGTCCTGATTTAGTCTTGGTTTAGTCCTGATTTAGTCTTGTTTTAGTCCTGTTTTAGTCCTGTTTTAGTCCTGGTTCAGTCCTGGTGTTGTCCTGTTTTAGTCTTGTTTTAGTCTTGTTTTAGTTTTGTTTTAGTTCTGTTTTAGTCCTGTTTGAGTCCTGTTTTAGTCCTGGTTCAGTTCTTTTTTAGTCTTGTTTTAGTACTGATTTAGTCCTGGTTTAGTCCTGATTTAGTCTTGGTTTAGTCCTGAGTCCTGATTTAGTCTTGGTTTAGTCCTGATTTAGTCCTGGTTTAGTCCTGATTTAGTCCTGATTTAGTCCTGTTTAGTCCTGATTTTAGTCCTGGTTTAGTCCTGATTTAGTCCTTGGTTTTAGTCCTGGTTTAGTCCTGATTTAGTCCTTGTTTAGTCCTGGTTTAGTTCTTTTTTAGTTTTGTTTTAGTCCTGGTTTAGTCCTGGTTCAGTTCTTTTTTAGTTTTGTTTTAGTCCTGGTTTAGTCCTGGTTCAGTTCTTTTTTAGTTTTGTTTTAGTCCTGGTTCAGTTCTTTTTTAGTCTTGTTTTAGTCCTGATTTAGTCCTGGTTTAGTCCTGATTTAGTCTTGGTTTAGTCCTGGTTTAGTCCTGATTTAGTCTTGTTTTAGTCCTGATTTAGTCCTGGTTTAGTCCTGATTTAGTCTTGGTTTAGTCCTGATTTAGTCTTGGTTTAGTCTTGTTTTAGTTCTGGTTTAGTCCTGTTTTAGTCCTGGTTTAGTCCTGTTTGAGTCCTGTTTTAGTCCTGGTTCAGTTCTTTTTTAGTCTTGTTTAGTCCTGGTTTAGTCCTGATTTAGTCTTGGTTTAGTCCTGGTTTAGTCCTGATTTAGTCTTGGTTTAGTCCTGGTTTAGTCCTGATTTAGTCTTGGTTTAGTCCTGATTTAGTCTTGGTTTAGTCCTGGTTTAGTCCTGATTTAGTCTTGGTTTAGTCCTGATTTAGTCCTGGTTTAGTCCTGATTTAGTCTTGGTTTAGTCCTGATTTAGTCTTGGTTTAGTCCTGGTTTAGTCCTGATTTAGTCTTGGTTTAGTCCTGATTTAGTCTTGTTTTAGTTCTGGTTTAGTTCTGTTTTAGTCCTGTTTTAGTCCTGGTTCAGTCCTGGTGTTGTCCTGTTTTAGTCTTGTTTTAGTCTTGTTTTAGTTCTGTTTTAGTCCTGTTTTAGTCCTGTTTTAGTCCTGGTTTAGTCCTGGTTTAGTCCTTTTTTTTAGTCTTGTTTTAGTCCTGATTTAGTCCTGGTTTAGTCCTGATTTAGTCCTTGGTTTAGTCCTGATTTAGTCTTGGTTTAGTCCTGGTTTAGTCCTGATTTAGTCTTGGTTTAGTCCTGGTTTAGTCCTGATTTAGTCTTGGTTTAGTCCTGGTTTAGTCCTGATTTAGTCCTGGTTTAGTCCTGGTTCAGTTCTTTTTTAGTTTTGTTTTAGTCCTGGTTTAGTCCTGGTTCAGTTCTTTTTTAGTTTTGTTTTAGTCCTGGTTTAGTCCTGGTTCAGTTCTTTTTTAGTTTTGTTTTAGTCCTGGTTTAGTCCTGGTTCAGTTCTTTTTTAGTTTTGTTTTAGTCCTGGTTCAGTCCTGGTTCAGTTCTTTTTTAGTTTTGTTTTAGTCCTGGTTTAGTATCGGTTCAGTTCTTTTTTAGTTTTGTTTTAGTCCTGGTTTAGTCCTGGTTCAGTTCTTTTTTTAGTTTTGTTTTAGTCCTGGTTTAGTCCTGGTTCAGTTCTTTTTTAGTTTTGTTTTAGTCCTGGTTTAGTCCTGGTTCAGTTTTTTTTTTAGTCCTGGTTTAGTCCTGGTTCAGTCCGGCATCACAGTTTAAGTCATGAAAACTGAAAAAAAAAAAAAAAAATCAATTTTCAGTTTTTTTTTTTTTTTCATTTTGGTTTTGGAGACAAATAATGAAGAAAATCACCGTTTCTTCATTTTCTTATTTTTGGTTTTATTTTGAAAAAACGGATGAACGAACGACACGCGGACTCTGACGTGATTTACGCGCGATCGCTTACTTTGTTTTTCTTGTTTTTCCAGTCTTTGAATCATGGACGACACTTCGGACTTGGACAACCTGTTGGACATAGAGTACCTCCTCGGCCTGTACAACCAGTCGGAGAACACCACGGACCCCGCCTACGTCGTCGAACACAGCGTCAAATTCTGCTCCAAGTCCGACGTCAACAAGTTCGGCGCCCAGTTCGTCCCCGCCTTCTACTTCGCCACCTTCGTCTTGGGTTACCTCGGCAACGGCCTCGTGCTCGTCATCCTCTTCAAGTACGAGGAGCTCCGGAACGTCACCAACATTTTCCTCCTGAACCTCGTCCTGTCCAACCTGATTTTCGCCTCCTCGCTGCCGTTCTGGGGCACGTACCACTTGTCCGAGTGGATCTTCGGCGGGTTCATGTGCAAAGTCGTCAGCAGCGCCTACCTGATCGGCTACAACAGCTCCATCCTCTTCCTCACCCTCATGACCTTGGACCGTTACCTCGCCGTGGTCCACGCCATCGCGGCCGCCAAGAATCGCAAGAAGGCGTACGCCGTCGTGGCCTCCGTCGTCGTGTGGCTGGTCAGCGTCGCCGCCAGCATGAAGGAGATCGTCTTGCGCAACGTCACGGAAAACAAGCTGCACGGAATTCTTTGCGAGGAGACCGGATATTCGCAGGAGGTCATCGAGCGCGGGCGTCTCGTCAGTTTGTACCTGCAGTTCTCGGTGTTTTTCCTGATCCCGCTGTGTTTGATTTTGTTCTGTTACGTCAGCATCACCGTCCGCATCCTCGCCACGCGCATGAAAGAAAAATGCCACACGATCAAGTTAATCTTCGTCATCATTTTCACCTTCTTCGTCTTCTGGACGCCGTACAACATCGTGTGTCTGCTGAGGGCGGTGCGGCTGTCGAGGGCGGACGACGGCTCGTGCGAGGACTGGGTCAGCCTGGACTACTCCCTGTACGTGACGCGGAACGTGGCGTACTTCTACTGCGGCATCAGCCCCGTCTTCTACACGTTCGTGGGGAAAAAGTTCCAGAGTCACTTCAGGAGACTCGTGTGCAGACACGTGCCTTGTCTGAAGAGGCGTTTGAGTCTGAGCAGCCAAAGCTCCAGGACGACGTCGCAGAAATACCCCGCGAGCACCAACCAGGCCAGCGTCTTCAGCCACGTGTGAGCCGCAGCCGGACTCAAAAGACTTGGACTCGAGACTTCGGACTTGACGTGATAAAACGGACTAAGACTTGGGACTTATCTTGGACTTGAAGGTCAGTGACTTGGGACTTGAGAAGACTTGACGCTTCTCCTAAAAATATATATCTGATTGTATAAAATACTTGCGCCGCTGACTACGAGAGAATGTTGTTGTTGTTTTTTTACATCGGGCTTTTCCGCACGTGAGCAGTGGCTGGTCGACAAAAAGTCAGTGTGGTCGCTCGTTTGTTTTGTCAGTTTCGTTGAGTTTGTTTGTCATGAGAAAAACGTGTCTTATTTTGAAGTAGGTTTTTCATTTAGTAGTTTTGACGTGACTTCATCATCTTCCTCTAAGGCGACGTTCAGACTGCACCTGAAGTGACCCAAATCTGATTTTTTGGCCCCTATGTTCCTGTATCTGATCTTTTAATGTCAGTCTGAACCACACAGATCTGATTTTTTTCAAATATGACCCATGACACTTGGATATTTGCTCCTGAAACTGATACATATCTGATCTTTTGACATGTGACTTCAGTCTGAACAGTCAGGTCACATTCATCCACCTACACGTTATCAACAAGACACAAACGTCACTATTCTGCGCTGAAGTAGGCGAAAATTGTTAATGAACTCTGTGTCACTGACAGTGTTGGGAAGTTTACTTTTAAAATGTATTCCCCTACAGATTACAGATTACATACCCCAAAATGTAGTTTGTAATGTAATCCATTAAATTACTTAAAGTGAGTAATGTAATCTGAATACTTTGGATTACTTGATTTGCTGTAGAGAAGCAAAGACTTGGATTTCTTCACATAAAATATTTTTTTCTGCTAAAAGACAATAAAAAGCCCAGACTTTAGTATTGATGGAAGAGGACGAGACACGTTCCGCAGGGCGTGGTTTAGTCCTGTTAAATCCTGTTTTAGTCCTGGTTTAGACCTGGGTTCAGTCCTGGTTCAATCCTGATTTAGACCTGGTTTAGTTTCCGGCAATGAGTGGAATTACAAAAAAAAAAAAAGAAAGAAAAAAAAAAAGGGAATAGCCCAAAATGTGTAAAAAGGAAAATGCCACCGTGTAATCCATTTATTTCAACAAAGTAACTGTAATCCAATTACCACTCACTGAAACAGTAACTGTAACTGAATACAGTTACTCATAATTTGTACTCTGATTACTTAACACATGTAATCTGTTACTCCCCAACACTGTTAACAAAACACCACGACCAAAAACCTCGTCCTTCTCCTTCTCAATCTCCTCCTTAAAACAAGTAAGTTGTTCATGTTCTGGCTCCGGTACGAGAGGAACTTTAAAATCTCCAGGTGCTCGATGCTGCGTCCATGTTTGGACAACTTCTGTAAACACAGAGACGCTCGCTGCGGTTGACGTCGTCGTGTCTCCAGTGTCACATGTGGGACACTTTTGGACCGTTTACTGTTCACACTGGAGTCACACACGTCACATTTAACTGGAAACGTGAACGACCTCGAAAAAACATGGGATTTCACAAAAAAATCTGAATTGAGCGTCAAGCCCTGCAGTCTGAACGTAGACTTAGTCACTGAATCCTGAGGATCAAAAATGTTATTTTGAAAAGTTAAAACTCACCGATGACTGTGGATGTTGTACGAACATAACTGTGGACGATGTTGATGTTGTACGAACATAACTGTGGACGATGTTGATGTTGTACGAACATAACTGTGGACGATGTTGATGTTGTACGAACATAACTGTGGACGATGTTGATGTTGTACGAACATAACTGTGGACGATGTTGATGTTGTACGAACATAACTGTGGACGATGTTGATGTTGTACGAACATAACTGTGGACGATGTTGATGACGAACATAACTGTGACGATGTTGATTGTTGTACGAACATAACTGTGGACGATGTTGATGTTGTACGAACATAACTGTGGACGATGTTGATGTTGTACGAACATAACTGTGGACGATGTTGATGTCGTATAACTGTGGACGATGTTGATGTTGTACGAACATAACTGTGGACGATGTTGATGTCGTACGAACATAACTGTGGACGATGTTGATGTTGTACGAACATAACTGTGGACGATGTTGATGTTGTACGAACATAACTGTGGACGATGTTGATGTTGACTTGTTGATACCGACGCTTTTTGCCGACCAAAATCTCTGTTGTGACGTCATTTGCGTTTTCTCGTTTTTTACAGGAACAAACTGGAACATGTCCCTCCCACTTCTGTTTGGTACTTTGGATGAAAACTGAAGTACTGTGATGTAGTATCATCAATAGTACTAAAGCAGGCATGTCCAAACTATGGCCCGTGTGCCAAATGCGGCCCTCAGACACATTTTTCTTGGCCCTCAGACTTCCAGGTGAATTGGCCCAAATGACCTTGCATCAATTAAAAATTAACTTTCTTCTGCAAGTTTTTTGAAAATCGACTTCGATAAAGCGAATATTTAATATTTAGTGTTTGGTTTTAAGGATCTTAGCGTGAATAAAAACTGATGGTTCATTCTAACGTGTTAAACTGCACATACGGCCCTCGATCTGCTTCGTCTGTGTTTAGATTTGTGGCCCTTGATGAAAAAAGTTTGGACACCCCTGTACTACAATAATATAAAGTACTACAGTAATATAAAGTACTACAGTAATATAAAGTACTACAGTAATAAAGTAAAACTGAGGGAACTACACAGAACATGATCCTTAATGACAAAATATCTGTTATCTCTTTTAAATCTGAATTCTTTCTGTTCTGACTCTAGTGATTCACACTCAGGTCTTGACAAAACATTTAAAAAGACAAAATTTACTTTCTACAACTCTTATATAAATATTCATATATAAATGTAACAGGACCAAGAACAATTTAGTTTAAAATTCATATAAACTGCAAAAATCTAAACTGTATTTGGTGCTTTTTTGGTTTAAAGATTTGAAATGACTTGAAGCTCAAAGCAGACGACTTGAACTTGACTTGGACTTATTGGCTAGTGACTCGAGACTCAACTTGGACTTGACTCGGACTTGACTTGGGACTCGACTTGGACTCATGGGCCAGTGACTCGAGACTCAACTTGGACTTGACTTGGACTTGACTTGGACTTGAATTGGACTTGACTTGGACTTGGTTTTGGACTTGACTTGGACTTAACTTGGACTTGACTTGGACTTAACTTGGACTTGGCTTGGACTTGACTTGGTTTGGACTTTTGGGCCAGTGACTCAAGACTCAACCTGGACTTGCCCATCTTTAACTTGGGACTCGACTCGGACTTGAGGTGTTCGACTTGAGACTTACTAAACAACGACCTGGTCCCACCTGTGGTCTGGGCACTTTCACACTGCCACTGTTGCCAGCAGAGGGCGCAGCACTTTTTTAAATGACAGTTTTTAATTTTTCTGAATTGAGAAAAACTGAAAAATACAACAGAAGCGTCTTTAAACTGATGATTTATTATTGTTTTTTAATCTAATGTCACAAACAGACCTGGACTTGTGTTTTGTTTGATTCCTGAGCTCTTCTCTCAAACTGAAAACGCTCTGCTCCACCTTGTGATGTCATGCGGTGATACAGGAAGCGCTCCACTGTGTTTTTAAACTCCACACACCTTCACTAGAATCATTTAGATTTGGATTTCAGCCCCGAAACTGTCCGAATCTCGACTGAACTACAAAGTAAAAAGTAAAAGATAAAAAACCGCTCATTTAAAAACCACCGCTTCGTGACATCACAAGGTGGAACAGGGCGTTTTGGGCTCGGGAGAACACAACTCCGGGTCTGTTTTTTGAGAAATTAACGGCATTTTAACGGTCGGAAGAGTCTAATTTGCGAAATACTGGACCTTTAAAACGGACTTATGATGTCGTAAGACGTTAAACTGCCGACGTGTTCAGGATCTTGTGCAAAACTCGGACTAAACCATGACTAAACCCGGACCGGACCGGAACTCAACCAGGACTTCAGCTGCACACACTGATGTCATATATAAATGTATTATTGAACTAAAACTATTTGCTTTTTCATATTTTATTGTTTTTATATTATTAGAGATTTTTTTGTAGCTTTTTCCTTTATTATTTTCGTTCATGTCAGATTATTTTATTATGTAGTTTAGGTCAGATCTGTGGAGAGGCGACGCCGCTCGTGTCAGACCGTCGGTTTTTCTGGGTATTTTTGAGTTGTAAAAAAAAACATCCTGTTATTGTTATTTCTGTTCAAATAAAAAACAAAGAGTCGAAGTTTGTAGTGATTTTCAGATTTTTTTATTACGGAAAATGAAACTCAACACATTAAACCTTAGAAATGTTGTTAATTTTCAGGACTAAACCAGGTCTAAACCAGAACTAAAACTGAACTAAACCAGGACTAAACCAGAACTGAACCAGGTCTAAACTAGGACTAAACCAAACTCTAAACCAGGACTAAAACCAGGACTAAAAACCAGGTCTAAACCAGGACTAAAACTGAACTAAACCAGGACTAAACCAGAACTGAACCAGGTCTAAACCAGGACTAAAACTGAACTAAACCAGGACTAAACCAGAACTGAACCAGGTCTAAACCAGGACTAAACCAGGTCTAAACCAGGACTAAAACTGAACAAAACCAGGACTAAAACTGAACTAAACCAGGACTAAACCAGGACTAAAACTGAACTAAACCAGGACTAAAAGGGACTAAAACCAGGTCTAAACAGGACTAAAAAAACTAAAAGGACAAAACCAGGACTAAAACAGGACTAAACCAGGTCTAAACCAGGTCTAAACCAGGACTAAAACAGGACTAAACCAGGTCTAAACCAGGATTAAAACAGGACTAAACCAGGTCTAAAACAGGTCTAAAACGGGACTAAACCAGGACTAAAACAGGACTAAACCAGGACTAAAACAGGACTAAACCAGGTCTAAACCAGGATTAAAACAGGACTAAACCAGGTATAAACCAGGACTAAACCAGGTCTAAACCAGGACTAAAACAGAACTAAACCAGGACTAAAATGGGACTAAACCAGGACTAAAACAGAACTAAACCAGGACTAAAACAGGTCTAAACCAGGACTTCAGCTGCACACACTGATGTCATATATAAATGTATTATTGAACTAAAACTATTTGCTTTTTCATATTTTATTGTTTTTATATTATTAGAGATTTTTTTTGTAGCTTTTTCCTTTATTATTTTCGTTCATGTCAGATTATTTTATTATGTAGTTTAGGTCAGATCTGTGGAGAGGCGACGCCGCTCGTGTCAGACCGTCGGTTTTTCTGGGTATTTTTGAGTTGTAAAAAAAAAACATCCTGTTATTGTAATTTCTGTTCAAATAAAAAACCAAAGAGTCAAAGTTTGTAGTGATTTTTTATTACGGAAAATGAAACTCAACACATTAAACCTTAGAAATGTTGTTAATTTTCAGGACTAAACCAGGACTAAAACTGAACTAAACCAGGACTAAACCAGAACTGAACCAGGACTAAACCAGGACTGAACCAGGACTAAACCAGGACTAAACCAGGACTAAATCAGGACTAAGACAGAACAAAACCAGGACTAAACCAAGACTGAACCAGGTCTAAACCAGAACTAAACCAGGACTAAAACAGAACTAAACCAGGACTAAAACTGAACCAAACCAGGACTAAAACAGGTCTAAACCAGGACTAAACCAGGACTAAACCAGAACTAAACCAGGACTAAACCAGGACTAAACCAGAACAAAACCAGAACTGAACCAGGTCTAAACCAGGTCTAAACCAGGACTAAGCCAGGACTAAACCAGGACTAAACCAGGTCTAAACCAGGTCTAAACCAGGACTAAAACAGGACTAAACCAGGACTAAAACTGAACCAAACCAGGTCTAAACCAGGACTAAACCAGAACAAAACCAGGACTAAAATTGGACTAAACCAGGACTAAACCAGGTCTAAACCAGGTCTAAACCAGAACTAAAACAGGACTAAACCAGGGCTAAAACAGGTCTAAACCAGGACTAAACCAAGACTAAACCAGGTCTAGACCAGGACTAAACCAAGACTAAACCAGGTCTAGACCAGGACTAAATCAGGACTAAGACAGAACAAAACCAGGACTAAACCAGAAACTAAACCAGGACTAAACCAGGTCTAAAACTAACAGGACTAAACCAGACTAAACCAGGACTTAAACCAGGTCTAAACCAGGACTAAACCAGAACTAAACCAGACTAAACCAGGTCTAAAAGGACTAAACAGGACTAAACCAGAACTAAACCAGGTCTAGACCAGGACTAAACCAGGACTAAACCAGACTAAATCAGGACTAAAACCAGGACTAAACCAGTCTAAACTAAACCAGGACTAAACCAGGTCTAAACCAGGGACTAAACCAGGACTAAACCAGAACTAAACCAGGTCTAGACCAGGACTAAACCAGGACTAAATCAGGACTAAACCAGAACTAAACCAGGACTAAACCAGGACTAAAACAGAACTAAACCAGGACTAAAACAGGACTAAACCAGGACTAAACCAGGTCTAAAATGGGACTAAACCAGGACTAAACCAGGTCTAGACCAGGACTAAACCAGGACTAAATCAGGTCTAAACCAGGACTAAACCAGGACTAAACCAGGTCTAAACCAGGTCTAAACCAGGACTAAAACAGGACTAAACCAGGACTAAAACTGAACCAAACCAGGTCTAAACCAGGACTAAACCAGAACAAAACCAGGACTAAAACAGGACTAAACCAGGACTAAAACTGAACCAAACCAGGTCTAAACCAGAACTAAACCAGGACTAAAACAGGACTAAACCAGGACTAAAACTGAACCAAACCAGGACTAAACCAGACTAAACCAGAACAAAACCAGGGACTAAACCAGAACTAAAACCAGGACTAAACCAGGACTAAAACCAGGACTAAACCAGGACTAAAACAGGTCTAAACCAGGACTAAACTGAAACCAAAAACCAGGACTAAACAGGACTGAACCAGGTCTAAACCAGGACTAAACCAGGACTGAACCAGGACTAAACCAGGTCTAAAACAGGACTAAACCAGGTCTAGACCAGGACTAAACCAGGACTAAATCAGGACTAAGACAGAACAAAACCAGGACTAAACCAGAACTAAACCAGGACTAAACTAGGACTAAAATTGGACTAAACCAGGACTGAACCAGGACTAAGACAGAACAAAACCAGGAATAAACCAGAACTAAACCAGGTCTAAAACGGGACTAAACCAGGACTAAACCAGGACTAAAACAGGACTAAACCAGGGCTAAAACAGGTCTAAACCAGGACTAAACCAAGACTAAACCAGGTCTAGACCAGGACTAAACCAGGACTAAACCAGGACTAAACCAGAACTAAACCAGGACTAAACCAGAACTAAACCAGGACTAAACCAGGTCTAAAATGGGACTAAACCAGGACTAAACCAGGTCTAAAATGGGACTAAACCAGGACTAAACCAGAACTAAACCAGGACTAAACCAGGTCTAAAATGGGACTAAACCAGGACTAAACCAGAACTTAACCAGGTCTAGACCAGGACTAAACCAGGACTAAATCAGGACTAAACCAGGACTAAACCAGAACTAAACCAGGACTAAACCAGAACTAAACCAGGTCTAAAATGGGACTAAACCAGGACTAAACCAGAACTAAACCAGGTCTAGACCAGGACTAAAACCAGGACTAAATCAGGACTAAACCAGAACAAACCAGGATTAAACCAGGACTAAAAACAGAACTAAACCAGGACTAAAGGAACTAAACCAGACTAAACCAGGTCTAAACCAGGACTAAAACTGAACCAAACCAGGACTAAACCAGGACTAAAACAGAACAAAACCAGGACTAAACCAGGTCTAAAACAGAACTAAACCTGGACTAAACCAGGTCTAAACCAGGACTAAAACAGAACTAAACCAGGTCTAAACCAGGTCTAGACCAGGACTAAACCAGGACTAAATCAGGACTAAACCAGAACTAAACCAGGACTAAAACAGAACTAAGCCAGGACTAAAACAGAACTAAACCAGGACTAAAACAGAACTAAACCAGGACTAAACCAGGTCTAAAATGGGACTAAACCAGGACTAAACCAGACTACTAAACCAGACTAAACCAGTCTAAAAATGGGACTAAACCAGGACTAAAAACAGAACTAAACCAGGACTAAAACTAAAAGGACTAAACCAGGTCTAACCAGGACTAAACCAGGACTATCGGTAAACAGACTAAACCAGTTCAGTTCTAGCTTAAACCTGGTTTATCAGATTTTTTTTCATTTGGGGAGACAAATAATGAAGAAATTTTTTTTTTTTTTCATTTTTAATGTTGGTTTTTTTGAAAACAAATGAACAAACACACACAGATTGGTGACCTGAGTCTGGGTTCAAATCACATTACAACCATGAAATAATCTTAATAGCCTAATGATAATTTAACAGAATACTAAAATTCCATGACTTTTCCAGGATTTCCATGACCGTGGGAACCCTGGACTCATAACCGGGATTCTCGAGCACATGTAAACTCACTTTATCATCACATTCTATCTGCAAATCTGTAAACCAACACCAGCAGAAGGAGGTCGTGACGCCGTCTGAAACCCGACAACCCAATAACATCACCATGACGACGAGCAGGTAGCCGCCGTCCGACAGTAAAGTTACGAAATGCAGCTTTTAAACTCTTTCGTAATCCCTCTCGTCCTCAGATCCTCTCCCGTCAGACCACCACGGGCTGGATCTCGTGGTTCTTCAGGTGCTCGTGATACAGGTCCCTGTCGTTGAACTTCTCCGCGCACACGCCGCAGGAGAACGAGTGGTTGGCGTGGCCCTCGCAGTGTTCCTTTAGCCGGGCCGCCGAGCTGAAAGTCCTCTCGCACTGGTCGCAGGACAGAGAGCCCGGGTGGACCAAGCGCTGGTGGTTACGCAGAGTCGACATGTAACTGAAAACCTACACAGAAACAAAACATACGATGCGTTTAATGGTGGCACAGTGGAGAAATTAATTTGACAGTTTTTTTTACCAGTTTAGTTCAGAGTAAACACATCCCAAGCATTAACAGTTGAGAGGATTTCAAGACGTTAATAGCGTTCATTGAAAAGTATTTGAATGTACAGTATTTTTTGGACTATAATCCTCTAATTTTCTCAAAAATCAACAGTGCGTCTTATAATCCGGTGCGAGTGTTACGGCTACCGGAGTCAGGAACCTCAAGGAGTAATACACAACGCCGGGCGAATTACACCACGATCTGCGGATGGATCGGTCTCGAGTGTCTTCCGAGCTTTCACCAAGGCCGGAATTGTTAAACTCAGACGCTGAACATGAACAATATGATGGATTTGTGCATGAAGAATGAACTGAAAAAGTGAGTGTATTGTTTTGTATTTTATGTGTTACTGAACAACTGAACAATGTTCAGACTAGGGACGGGCATTCGATGAAATTTTCTTAATCGATCGTCGGAAGAATTAACGATCGATTATCGATTAATCATTGACGTTTTTATATTAAAATGATCATCATTATTATTACTATCTGCACTACTAATCTGCATAAATAAATTCAACTTTACGACATATAAACCGTAACGACTCTAGAGCCACATCAGCCCGTTTGACATTATAATGTGTTTAATTCAGGTTTGTTCAACTCTCACAGAAACAAAACTTAAAACCACATTTGCATAAACTAAGCGAAGATAAAACTCCAGCTCTTGTGTCGCTGATGTGGTTCAATTTCTGTCGGATTAAAAGACATGACTCAGGTGAATACAGGTTAGTGTGACCAGATTTGCGTTTGTCAAAACCAGGACAGCGTACGGGGGGAGGGAGGTGGGGACTCGTCATCCACATTGAGCGACTCTCACCTGGAAAAACTTTTTCCCACTGGACACAGAAACATATGTGCTGCTTTATACACTGTGCACATGGACTCACACTTGTCCCGAACGCAACAGAAAGTGTGGAATTTCTTGTACAAATCATCGTTAAATACACATTTGTGCTTCGGTTCGTTACAGACTGACCCACTGTTTGTGTCTCGCTCCTTCTGATGCAGAGACACATGTACACACCTGTTTGGTCACGACACACACAACAACATACATTCGGTTTGTCGATTAAAATTAACATAATTGATGAAAATCTTAATGATCAATTATCGATTAATTGATTAATCATGCCCATCCTTAGTTGAGAGTATTGTGAATGAGTTGAATAAAGTTTGACTTATCTGTTTTGTTTCGCTCCATGTGCCTTATAGTCCGAAAAATACGTAAGTACGTACCTGTAGTGAACCAGCAGCGTGAATGAATTTTATTATTGTATGTTGCATACAGATATACAATAGGTCAGACTACAAACACAAATTAATTCATTTAAATATTGTAGTCTGCCGTTTCTTCTAGGCTTTACACAGAAATTATTCCAACTTATAAATATTTCAATTAAACACTCATTTGAACTTGTGATCATCATTACACCAGAACATATCAGGGCACTGGGTGAACATTCAATCAAAGGATTCCTGAATACTTGGCTCACACACAGTTTTTGAAACTTTTTGTTTGTTTTTTTTAGTTCAGTTTTTGACGTCATATCATGAGATTTTAACAAACCAAGAAATGCAGCATGTGCAGTTCAAAGGAAACAAGATCTACTGATCCTACCTGATCAGTACTTCTGCCTCTCCATCTGTCTCTCTCCATCTGTCTCTCTCTCTGTCTGTCTGTCTGTCTCTCTCTCTCTGTCTCTCTCTCTCTCTCTGTTCTATTGCTGTCTCTCTGTTCCGTCTCTCTCTCTCTCTCTCCCTCTCTCTTTCTTTCTGTTTTCTCTGTCTGTTTCTCTCTTTTCCTCTCTCTCTGTCCGTCTCTCCCTTGGTCTGTCTCTCTCTCGCTAAAAAGACCAATACAACAAAAAAATATCTTCACTTTCTTCTCCCAGCTCACACTACTCGTACTGTTTACTGTTGTATTTAGATTTTTCTACTGTATCTTTACCTTTTCACACTGGTCACACGGGTACGGTTTCTGCGCCTGGTGCGTCTGCTCGTGCCGTCTGAAGTCGCTCACTCTCACAAACTCCTTCCCACACTGGTCGCAGGTGTAGGGCTTCTCTCCGGTGTGAAGCCGAATGTGGATCTTCAGGTCTGTGGATCGGACAAAGCCTTTGGAGCAGAAGTCGCAGATAAACGGGCGGGGGTCGGTTTCGTGGTGCGTGCGGAGGTGGATGGTCAGACCGCTGGAGTAGGAGAAGGCTTTCCGGCACAGAGGACACCCGTACGGTTTCTCGTTGGTGTGGATTCGCTGGTGGATCTTGAGCGAGCTGGAGATGGAGAACCGCGAGCCGCACTGGTCGCAGCTGAAGGGTTTCTCCCCCGTGTGGACGCGGAGGTGGACTTTGAGGTTGGCGGCGCGCGTGAAGTTTTTCCCGCACTCTTGGCAGGTGAAGGGGCTCTCGCCGCTGTGGGTGTACTGATGCGCCTTCAGAGTGTTGGGCCTGGCGAAGGTCTTACCACACTCCTCACAGCCAAACATGGTCAGGGCTGAAGGTCAGAGTCTTCGCTTGGAGTTTCTGTAAAAAAAGATAAAAGATGAATGAATAAAACAGTTTCTTGGCCTGTCACGATATTTACTACACGGGCTTAGATCAGGGGTAGGCAAACTTTTTTACTCGTGGGCCACAAAGGGTTTTAAAATTTGATGGAAGGGCCAGACAAGGAGCAGATGGATGGAGTGTTTTAGTAATGCACCTCATAAGAGAAAAAAAATAACATGGGATATGTAGAAAACATGTGCTTGAATTTCAATTGAAAATCATTACAAAGCATTACAACTTTTACTATTATATTTTTATTAAAATATATTTATTATTAAAGGGCCGCATTTGGCCCCCGGGCCGTAGTTTGCCCACCCCTGACTTAGATCGTAGTTTTCAGACTACAAGTCACACCAGCCAAAAATGCGTAATGAAGAAGAAAAAAAACATACAAGTCGCATTTTTGGGGGAAACTACGAATAGACATTTCCTGTTGAAAGTCAAGTTCTAGTAAAAACAATAGAAGAGAGAACAACAGAACAACGTCACATATGAACAGTTCTTCTTCAGAACTATAACATAAACAACAGAACAGAACAAGTTTAACAAACTCTCCATCTCACTCCAAATCACTAAATCCATTAAATTCTTCATCCTCGATTCCTCTGTCACTTCTGGCAGGATGGTTTCGGTGTCACTGAAGTCCAGACTTTGTCCGTCCTTCCAGTGACTTCAGGAAAGTTTCATGGTGCATCCTCCCGGTGTCACAAGTTTCTCTCTCACTCCAAACTCCAAACTCGTTTTCAGCTGCAGATTTCACGACTCTGCAAAATCTGATTTTGTTTTCGGGGGCATTTGTGTTCAGTCTTCTCAGTCGTCTTTATAAGTTTGTTTAAGTGTTAAATTGTTCAGTGGTGCAGAAGTAATGGTGCGATCGACTGACATGATACAGACAGGACAGAGGCTCTTTCTGCAGGAGACATGCGCAGTAGAGCCAAGTGACAGTGGTACAGGAGGAACAGGAGCAGCAGATACTCACACACAAGACTAGAACCTCTCACCGCTTCACTCAAACATTTTAATATAGAAGTCACACCAGAGTATAAGTCGCAGGAAACAAGCAAACCATGAAAAAAAGTACGACTTATGGTCCAAAAAAATACAGTAGTTAAATATATGAAAACTGGAATGATTTGGGAATCAGTATTTCTCATGTTTACAATTTCTATGCAAAAATGGGGAGATTTCTGTTGTACTACAATAACATTTGAGCTGTAAAACATCGAACAAGTGACTTCTATGGACAATTATTGGTATATTTTGATCATTTATTTGTTGTAATTCATGACAGGTTTAACTTGACCCTGTTGGAGTGTAACTCTTTCCTACATTCTGATACTTTACTTATTTCAATAGTCCCTCTAGTTTCTGAATAAGAGACTTTTGAATGTAAATAATCTGCCTGTTTCCCTCTCATTACCACTTGACCAGACCCATATCTCACCTAAAAATAAAATGAACTGAACTTTGAGCTAGTTCTAAATTAAAATTGTGAACTATGAACATGAACAGTTCACTTTGACCATGTGTGAACTGAACTTTAAACTAGTTGATGAAAAGTGTGAAGTTGCACAACACGGCAAACGAACGTGCTGCAAGTAACACAAAGTTGGGACAGTCATTTTCAAATTACCAGACGTCCGCAGTTTGTACTTATGGGTTGTACTTAAAGACAGTGTTGGGGAGTAACAGATTACATGTACCGGAGTTATGTAATCAGAGTACAAATGATGAGTAACTGTATTCAGTTACAGTTACTGTTTCAGTGAGTGGTAATTGGATTACAGTTACTTGGTGTTACTTACATGGTGGTATTTTCCCGTTTTCACATTTTTGGGCTATTTTTATTTTTTTGTAATTCCACTCATTGCCGGACATTAAACCAGGTCTAAACTAGGTCTAAACCAGGTCTAAAACCAAGTCTAAAACCAGGTCTAAAACCAGGTCTCAAACCAGGTCTCAAACCAGGTCTAAAGCAGGTCTAAAGCAGGTCTAAACTAGAACTAAAACCAGGTCTAAATAAGGTCTGAAACCAGGTCTAAAACCAGGTCTAAAACCAGGTCTAAAACCAGGTCTAAAGCAGGTCTAAACTAGAACTAAAACCAGGTCTAAATAAGGTCTGAAACCAGGTCTAAACCAGGTCCAAAACCAGGTCCAAAACCAGGTCCAAAACCAGGTCCAAAACCAGGTCTAAACCAGGACTAAACCAGGACAAAACCAGGTCTAAACCAAGATCTAAACTAGGTCTAAACTAGGACTAACCAGGACTAAAAGGTCTAAACCAGGTCTAAACCAGATCTAAACCAGATCTAAACCAAGGTCTAAACCAGGTCTAAACCAGGTTTAAACCAGGTCTAAACTAGAACTAAAACCAGGACTAAAACCAGGTCTAAATAAGGTCTAAAACCAGGTCTAAACCAGGTCTAAAACCAGGTCCAAAACCAGGTCTAAAACCAGGTCTAAACCAGGTTTAAACCAGGTCTAAAACCAGGTCTAAACTAGAACTAAAACCAGGACTAAAACCAGGTCTAAATAAGGTCTAAACCAGGTCTAAACCAGGTCCAAAACCAGGTCTAAAACCAGGTCCAAAACCAGGTCTAAACCAGGTCTAAAACCAGGTCTAAAACAGGTCTAAATCCTGCTGCGTGAACCGTGTCTCCTCTTCCTCTATCAATAATATTTTTAATTTGGTTCAGTAAAATCTGAACTTTTCATTTGCTTTTATCAGACAAAACATCTTATGTGAAGATTTCCTCGTCTTTGTTTCTCTACAACAAATCAAGTAATCCAAAGTAATCAGATTACATTACTCACTTGAAGTAATTTAATGGATTATGTTACAAACTACATTTTGGGGTATGTAATCTGTAATCTGTAGGGGATTACATTTTAAAAGTCACCTTCCCAACACTGCTTAAAGACTTATGATGCACTGTAATATATTTTATCTTCTGCACAGCTGCCCTTTCGTCTGACAGCGAATACACACGGAGATCTTTGTACACTTCCTTTAATGATGTCGCAGCGTTAATTCACATCTCCAGGGTGACAAACGGACAAAAAGGATGTGAGAGTCTGTAAGTGTCTAGCAGAGGGTTTCTGAGAGTCTGAGAGTCTTGTCAAAAGGTTAAGTATTGTCCATTTATAAACGTTGTCTTGAGCTGATAAGTTTTACCCTGGGGAATCTTCCAGAGTATTAAGTATGAAATGAAAATACAGTGAGATTATTGTTCACACTGAGAGAGTTTATCATTTCTTTAAAGCTGCATTGTGTAAATTTTCTGATGGAGATGTTATCGCTTTGTCTGAAATGTTTCACAGTGCGGCATTAAACCTTTCCATCTTCACAGAGACCAAGTTACAAGTTACAGGTCAGATGTGTGGAGAGGCGACTCCGCTCACAGTCAGAACACCTCTTTTTCTAGGTATTTATGAGCTATAAAACCACCTGTAATCAGTGTTGGGGAGTAACAGATTACATGTACCAGAGTTAAGTAATCAGAGTACAAATTATGAGTAACTGTATTCAGTTACAGTTACTGTTTCAGTGAGTGGTGATTAGATTATAGTTACTTGGTTAAAATAAATGGATTACACAGAAGTATTTTCCTTTTTTCACATTTTGGGCTATATCCCTTTTTTTTGGGGGGTAATTCCACTCATTGCCGGACACTAAACCAGATCTAAAACTAGGTCTAAACTAGGGAACTAAACTAGGTCTAAATCAGGACTAAACCAGGACAAACCAGGTCTAAAACCAGGTCTAAACCAGGTCTAAACCAGGACTAAACCAGGACTAAACCAGGTCTAAATCAGGTCTAAACCAATGTCTAAACCAAGGTCTAAACCAGGTCTAAACCAGGACTAAACCAGGACTAAACCAGGACTAAACCAGGTCTAAACCAAGGTCTAAACCAGGTCTAAATCAGGACTAAACCAGGACTAAACCAGGACTAAACCCAGGTCTAAATCAGGTCTAAACCAGGTCTAAACCAGGACTAAACCAGGACTAAAACCAGGTCTAAACCAGGACTAAACCAGGACTAAAACCAGGTCTAAACTATGTCTCAAACAGGATTTAACAAGACTAAACTTCTTCTATCAATAATATTTTTAATTTGGTTCAGTAAAGTCTGGGCTTTTTATTTTCTTTTATCAGACAAAACATCTTATGTGAAGATTTCCTCGTCTTTGTTTCTCTACAGCAAATCAAGTAATCCAAAGTATTCAGATTACATTACTCACTTTAAGTAATTTAATGGATTCCATTACAAACTACATTTTGGGGTATGTAATCTGTAATCTGTAGGGGATTACATTTTAAAAGTCAAATCCCAACACTGCCTGTAATTGAATAAATGTAAGGTAGAGCTGTTTAATGTCACACTGTGGGACATTCCAGGCAGAGGAATGACATCTCCAGAGAAATGAGGAGGTGAGGGACCCCCGGAAATGCGAGTTCGGGCAACAGCCAATCAGAGAAGAGACAGACATTCTGTGTTGGCAACGATTCCCGAGATCGAGGATTTAAAGCCGGAACAAAGAGAATGTTTGATGAATTTTATCAAGGGGAAAGACGTTATTGTTCTTCTTCCTACAGGATTTGGTGCATTACATACGTCACAACCAAACAGCAGCGACTGGTTAAATAAAAAAAGTACCTGCCTACTGTCGAGCGAACGAATCCTAATGCTGCGATGTCACACAAAGTTTCTAGTGAAACCGGCTGATGAATCAGGTTTGAGGCTTGAGTGCTCCAAAAATGTCTATTTTCAACTACCCCCTATCATCACCTGTGACTCAGTGTTGACTAATTGCAGATTTAAAAATAAAACAAAAACACAACTCAGTTACACTAGGGGTTAAAAATGTCACATGGACAATTCAAATCCAAATCATGAATATAAAACAAAATATAAAAGTGAATACAGTGAAACTCCACTGAAGAGGCGGAGTCTGTCAGGTCTGCAGTTCTGAACAGGTTTAGAGTGACCAGATTTTAAAAATTCCAAACTGGGACACACCCGGGTTTGGGTTGGTGTAAATAAAGATGTGAAGAGCGTGTAACACGTGCATTCTCGTGTCCCGTTGTTGCTTTTTTTTTTTTTTTTTTTTGCTTTATGGTCATTCACAAACACTGATTTAGGTATTTCAAATAGATTTGATACAATAAGTTCAATAAAAAACAAGCACTAAATCATGTCTGTGATACTAAGTCTTTGTTAAACTACTTCTTGTGCAAAGTTCATATGAAACACAAACATTTTAATCATCAAAACAGTGAAAATGTCAAATGTGACGCATAAACGAGTTTCCTTTCTCTGAACAAACAACAAAACTGTAGCTCTGTAACAAAATAATTTAGTAAAATAAATAAAAAAAAAATACTCTTGGAGATATATTAAGGCTGTGCAATCAATTGAATTTTGATTTCTGAGTCATCTCAAAACTCATATAATCCAGTTGAAATGCTTAACAAAGTTTATCTGGGGATATTTTTTATATAAATATCTATATATATATTTTTTTTTAATAATCATGGCCATACCGGTTTGTCAAAGCCTGATCCCGTCAGATCTCAGAAGCTCAGCAGGTCTGGTTAAACTTGCATGGGAGACCAGAGGGAAAATCTGGTGCCACAGGGGGGCGCCAGTGGCAATAACTGTCGTTGTGTCCTTAGGCAAGACACTTCACCCACATTGCCTAGTATGAAACTGGTGTGTGTGTGAGTGACGGTGGTGGTCAAAGGGGCCGATGGTGCCGTTTGGCAGCCTCGCTTCTGTCACTCTGCCCCAGGGCAGCTGTGGCTACAGTAGTTTACCACCACCAGGTGTGGAGTGAATGAACAATGCTCTGTAAAGCTTCTGAGTGTCCAAAAAAGTGCTATATAAAACTGATGCATTATTATAGAGATTGTAGAACAGCTGGATATACGGTTTATTTTTGATAATTTATGTCTATTTCATGTTCAAAGTATGTTTTATTCATTTTATTTTTTATACATCGCAAAACTGCTCTAAGGCACATATTCGTAGCCTATATTTCGAATTTTAAAGTTTTGCGTAAATTATCAATAACAAAGTGCTGAATAAATGCATCGTGTAACTAATAGTTTGACTAATCGTGATAAAGATTTTTTTTCCATATAATCGATCAGCACATGATATCGATACATTAAACAATATGATGTGTCAATATTTCAACTTTTTTTTTTATTAAATTGTGATAGTCCTGTTTTAGTCCTGGTTTAGTCTTAGTTTAGTCTTAGTTTAGATCAAATTAGTCAAAAATATGGACACCTGGGACATTTCTTGTATAAAACTGGGACATATCAGTGGTTTTGGATAAATCTGCTGGGACAGGGGACACAGGGCGTTTTTTTTTTTTTTTTTTTTTTTTTTTTTTTTAAACAAAAAAAAAAAAAAAAAAAAGTAAAATAAACATCTCTACGTATGCGGTAGTTCAGTAAAAATTACCAGACCAAAAAATTAAAATTAAAATTAAAAAATAAACAAATTTGACAGAACATGGCGTCGATGTTTTGACCACGTGACTCCTAAAGCGACAGAAGTAGCTGCAGCGAGACACAGTTCGTTTCACATTTAGCGCTAAACCCGCACACTGACGAGTCAAATCTCCGCAGCCTGACTCAAAACTTACGCATTTTCACCGGTAAAAACGACAAGACACGAGCAGAGAGCGGATGAAACACGGACCCGTGACAAAAACAAGCTAACGACGCTAACCCCAAACAGACGCGACCGCAGAATCACGCATGTGCACACGTTACACTGCGCAGGAGCATCCAGCGGTGCGCAAACACAAACCTGAGATGCGCAGATGGTCGTCCGTAACAGAATCCACGTGCTTTTGGGTTGTTTTTAAAGACAAATGTCCCAAATGTCAGAGACGAACCAGAAGTACACCGCTCTTCTTCTACTGCTGTAACAAAAACAAAAAAAACAAGCGCGCCCCCTGGAGGATGTTTACTGTCAGTACAAAATAAACTGTCAATGTTTTATACTTAAATCAGGGCGACCAGACGTCCCTATTTCCCCAAGACACTCCCAGTTTTGAGCCCTGTGTCCCTGTCCCAGCAGATTTATCCTAAACCAGTGATTTGTCCCAGTTTTATACCAGAAATGTCTGAGGTGTCCCTATTTTTGCTCAATTAGATCCCTGCCAACAGTAAAGCGAGACATACATTGTCATTTGTTCAGGTAAAATACAGAAAAGCTGCTTAAAAACGACCAAAACACAAAGAAAATGTGACTATACTGACTAATGCTAGTCATGGATGGGCCAAGTGCAGAACAATTTTATTATTACCTACCACAAAAAGAGTGTCTCAGTTTTTTATTTTGAAATTCTGGTCACCCTAAGTTAAATGCGGCCCTCGGACTGATTTTTGTTAACCCTCTTCTGTAAACTGGCCCAACTGATCATAAGCACAATTTTTACAACAAAAATAAGTAAATCTAACACTATAACCTCAATAATATCACATGGCATTGTAATATACACACAATGAAAATTAATGTAAAATGTGAGGAAGTTCATATAAAATCATGTTTGAGATATTTGGTCCACCAGTTTATTGAGGGAAGACAGTCTCTGATACACACAATATAAAGGCTACATAAAGGCAGGTTTAACTGTTCTGCACATTTATGTTTATCAAAACAAAATACAAAATACTTTGAATTTTAACCTTTAACTTGTCAACAGTTACTCTGACTTCACAGGGTACAAACTATGAGCCTGACAAACCAGAACTTTTAGTTTAGTTTTATCTAAATTGCCCTCCCAAAGCCCACACACTGGACCCTTTCACTGCTGCACCGGATCAGCCGCTGTGTTCCAAATAGGAAGTGAGCATGGGGGCACTTCCGGCTCCATCGACTCTGGCTGCAGTTCACTTTACATTGAAATAATGACCACGTTTACATATTTTTAATTAAATTCCGAATTAAATGTTCTGAAATAAATAGTTTTGAATTCAAATACTCTCCTTCGAGTTTAAATGGACATAATTCCGAATTGAGGTTTACATGGAAAACTCGTTATTTAATTCCGCTCAGCATCTGGAGGTGGGGAAGAGTTCTGATTGGACAGAGACACGAATGTATTTACGTCGACCGGAAGAAAACACACACTTCAGCTGCTACCGGCTTTCCTGTCATCTCGGTTTGTCATTACGCCACGGACACAAACACGATCCAAACTTTTTCCGTAGTGGTTCTGATGATAATTGTGCAGCAGCTGGAGAATTGTCTCATCACGCTTTACGTCTGTCGGCTGAGGAGGAAAAGGGAAGAGTGTCGGAGAAGGGAGGAAGAAGACAAACTGATTTTGAGGCTGCTCTACCTCAACCCACTCCCACATCCCGCTCACAAATCTAAAGAGACGTGGATGAAAGTCCGAAGCCAGGACTGGTGGAGCCGGATTGCGAATCGCGTCAGAAGAGCGACACAACGAGCATGCGCTGAACGACCGGAATTATTTTTATGTTTACATGATCGAGGAATAAATTAATTTGGCTTTAAAATCTGAATAAACCACACATTTACTTCGGAATTAAGTTTAATTTCCAAATAATCATTCTTGTTTAGAATTAAAGCTCTCATGTAAACGTGGCAATTGTCTCCCCTTTCTCTGTACCTGCTGCTGTGAGCCTCGTCATTTTGGTCTTAAAATGTTCATATTAACCCGCTCTTTGTGATCCTGGCGTTTTTATTTCGCTATTTTGACATCACCCTCCATTAGTCCACTTCTTTATACAGTTTAAGATTAAATCACAATGAGTTCGATCTCGTGGTTCTGCAGATGTTTGTAATATTGATCTTTGGTATTAAAAGTCTCTGAACACACTTCACACGAGATCTCAAAGTCAACGCCGCCGTCCCCTGGTTCGTTACGTGAGACCGTTTGTTTTCTAGTGGTAGTGCAGCGATGTTTGGCGAGGTTTTCGGGTCGGATAAAGGCCAGACCGCAGTATTCGCAGCGCAGTTGATCCGTGTTGTGGATATCCTGGTGCTGTATGAAATCATCCGACTCCTCAAACTCCATCCCACACTCGTCGCATTTGAACGACTTGGGGTGGAAACGCTGGTGTCCGACGTAATCCGCGTGAAGCTTGAATTTCATGCCACACTCCTCGCAGCAGAACAGCGCCTTCGCTTTGTGGGTCCTGCGTTTGTGCAAAGTGAGTCTGTACGCTCTGTTGAAAGCCATTTTACAGACGCCACATTTGTATTTGTTTTCTAACCTGTGGCTGTGTTTGTGTATTTTGAGATAATACGATTTCGCGAAGGACTTTTTACACTTTTTACAACCGTACGGGCGTTTGTGGCCGCGAGAGCACGTGTGGCGTTCAAGTTCAGACGCCTGGTTGAAGGTTTGCGCACAGTTCCGACAAGCGTACGTGCTGTCGTCTTTGTGAGTGAAGCGGAGGTGCGCTCTGAGATGACCCGACTGCGTAAACGTGCTTTGACACTGGTCGCATTTAAAAGGTCGAACTCCCGAGTGAAGGCGTTTGTGGCTTTCGAGACTCGACGACAACGCGAAACTCTCGTCGCACACTTCGCACCTGAACGGACGCTCCCCTGTGTGCGTGCGGAGGTGCATTCTGAGAACATACGACCCGTTAAAAGACTTCGTACAGTACTGACAGTTGTAAGATTTGACTCGGCTGCAAGAGCTTTCTCGACTTCGCCCGTCGTCGTTGGAGTTTTGGTCTAGCTGAGTTCGCTCTGCAGTCTGATTGTTTTGCTCCCTTATGTGACGACGGTGGTGAATTAGGAAATTACTGGACCGCGCGAAACTCTTCCCGCACACGTCGCAGGTGTACGGTCGCTCGCCGGTGTGCGTGCGGATGTGCATCTTCAGGTCATACCCTCTCGTGCAGGTTTTCCCGCAGTACTGACAGATGTAGAGCCTGCCTTCGCACAGCGCGCACCGATGTTCGTCCAGTTCCAGCCAGTGTTCGAACGTCCTCTTGCAGTGCTCGCAGCTGTACGGCCTCTCCGCGCTGACCGTGGTGTCGTGGGCGCACTTGTGGCGCCTGAGATGGACTGTGCGCAAGAATCCCCGCCCGCACTGTTCGCATTTGTAAGGGCAGTCGCCGGTGTGGATGAGCTTGTGTTTCTCCAGAGTCTCCGAGACCGCGAATCTCTTCCCGCAGACGTCGCAGCTGTACGGCCTCTCCGCGCACTCTCTCGTTTCGTGGACCCACTGATGCTGTTTGAGACCGGCTGCGTGTAAGAATCCTTTTCCGCACTGTTCGCACTTGAAGGGACGCTCTCCGGAGTGAAGGAGCTTGTGCACGGCGAGAGTACTGGCAACGGCGAATCTCTTTTTACACACTTCGCAGCTGTACGGCCTTTCCCCTGTGTGGGTCCTAATGTGTTTCTGGAGTTCGTTTGGTCTGGTGAACTCCTTTGCGCAAAATGGACACGTTACATCTTGACTATCAGAACAATTTTTCAGATTTTTTAGCTTTAATGACGGTTTGACTTTGCGTTTATACTTGTACGGCTTCTCTCCGCTCCCTCGGTCTCCGTGGACCCACTGGTGTTGCCTGAGATGAGTTAACTGCGAGAATCCTTTCCCACACTGGTTGCATTTGTAAGGCCGCTCTCCCGTGTGAATTCTCATGTGCGTTTTAACACTACTGGACGACGTGAAGCTCTTGCGGCAGACCTCGCAGCTGTACGGCCTCAGTCCCGTGTGGCTCCGAGTGTGTTTCTGGAGGTCGTACCTTTTGGAAAACGTCTTTGAACAGAACTTGCAGCTGAAAAGTCTGTCTTTGTTGATAGAACATTTGTGATTTTCCAGTTCGGAGGATTGTTCGAAATATTTTGCAGTGTTGACATCTGTACGGTCGTTCTGTGGGGTCATGAGGGCAGCGGTGGTGTTTGAGAGTACCAGATTGTGCAAAACCCTTCCCACACTGGTCACATTTGTATGGACGCTCGCCTGTATGAACGCGCTGGTGTCGTATATAAGCGTTAGACAGCGCGAAGCTCTTCCCACACTTCTCACAACTGTACGGTTTTTCCCCCGTGTGTGTCCTCGTGTGCATTTTAAGATGGTACGCTCTTTTAAAAGACTTCGGACAGTGTTTACAAGTGAATGGCTCGTCTTTATTTCGCCTTTTCCGACACAGTTTAGACGACTGCGCGACGGACTTGCAGATCTCGCCCTCGTCCATGCCGTGCTGGATTCGCAGATGCTGTTTGAGGCTCGAGGACTGCGAGAAGGCTCGGTCGCAGCGGTCGCACTGGTACGGCCGCTCTCCGGAGTGGGTGCGGTTGTGTCGTAGCAGGCAGCTGGAGAGCGCAAACCTCTTTCCGCACTGTTCGCAGATGTACGGCTTCTCTCCGGTGTGGGTGCGCTGGTGCAGCTTCAGGTGGGTGGAGCGGGTGAAAGTCTTCGTGCAGAGGCCGCAGCGGAAAGGCCTGTCTCTGGTGTCTAGGCCTGCAACCTCGTGTTTCGGAGAAGATGTTTCCTCACAGGAGAGCATGATCTGAGCCGGAGATGATGTCTGTAAATGAAAAAAAAAAAAGTCAAAGTCAAAGTTAAATCAGCAGCTTTCATCACTTCTTAATTCTTTGTATCATTTACACGTTTCAGTAATCCTTTATTATTACTGTATTTTCCGCACTATAGGGCGCACTTAAAAGCCTTTAATTTCATCCAAAAGTGACTGCGTGCCTTATAATCCAGAGCGCCTTATATATCAATTTATTGTGGAGTCTTAGTACGACTTTAGTAAACTACAAAGCCGCTCCACTTGCAGCGTTACGGCTCCCGTAGTCAGGATCATCATGAGTAAAACATACTGTGATTCCTTTTAATATCAAAATGCACCTGTCAAGAGACTCGCTCACAACGCCCACTTTAAACTCAAGGCTGTTCTAAAGTGAAAGTGCGTTTAGCTGCGTGGGAGCAGTGGATGAGAGAAGGAGAACACACATTCACCAAGACAGAGAGACAGCACCAAGCAACTTACGCCACGATCTGCTGACGGATCGTGGACGCCCGGGCGAAGGATCAGTATCAACTGTGGTCCGAGCTTTCACCAAGACCCGAATCCTCACCGAACTGAACTCCAGGGGACAGTAACCACACTGACTTGGATCATGACGAGAGGGATGTGGACGTGCTGGACGCCGTAATCAACTGTTTAACTCGGACATTGAAGATGTCCTTGTGGACAAGGAATGAACTGAAAAAGTGAGTGTAATGTGTTATTTTTAGTTATAACTGAACAATCATGACTTATTGTGAATACTCTAAAATTAAGCATCTCAGACAGTATTTTTTTTATGAGTTACAATTTTTTTTACACATTTGACCAATTTATCTAACTGTTGTGTTTCGTTTAATGCACCTTATAGTCCGGTGCGGTTTATATGTGAAGTAAGTTCAAAAATAGACCATTCAATGACAGTGCGCCTTATAATCCAGAGCGCTCTATAGTGCACAAAATACGGTAGTCTGTCTACATCTCCAAAGCTCAAAATGCTCAGTTCGTTTTCATGTTAACAGCGAACTTTTGTTCAGTAGAGATTGGCAATTCCAGATTTGAAATGATCCAAATGATTCTCGTTAAGGTGTATGGAGTTTAAAAACACTCTGGAGCACTTCCTGTCTTAACACATGACATCACAAGGTGGAATGGAACAGAGTGTTTTCTGTTTCAGAGAAGAGCACAGCTTAAATCTACAGGGTTTGTGTGTTAAATATATGAATGAAACAAAACACAACTCCAGGTCTGTTTGTGTTGAGGTCATTCCACACCAAATCTCCGAATGTCCCCACTCGACCATCTCAGATTTTACTGGAAAAAATTGTAGGAGGTTCACACACTATACATAAGTAAAAGTCCCAAATTTTAGCCCCCAACTCCTTATAGTATTGTCATAAAAAAAAATTTTTTTTATTAACTACAACACTAGGGAAACTACATTTTAACTTGGATTTAAAAAATAGCATAACACGGGCTCTTTAAAACAGGAGTAAAAGCCAACACAATTAGGCTGACCAGACCCGAACAGTCCCAGTTTTGAGCCGTGTCCCCTGTCCCACCAGATTTACCAAAAAACATTAATTTGTCCCAGTTTTATACAAGAAATGTCACTATTTTTGACCAATTTGATCCCTGCCAACAGTAAAGAGAAGCATAAATTGTCATTTGTTTTGGTAAAATACAGAAAAGCTGCTTTAAAATGACCAAAACACAAAGAAAATAAGACTATAAAAAGGTGACCACATTTTATAAACTGGGACACACCCTGGTTTGGATGGTTGATATAAATAAAACTGTGAAAAGAGCGTGTAACTTTGGATTCTCATGTCAGTCATAAACTGAGGAGCTTCTGATGCTGCATTTTTCTGCGTTATGGTCATTCGCAAACACAAATTTCTGTATTTTACACAAACAAATGACAATTTATGCTCCTGTTTACTGTTGGCAGGGATCAGATTAGTCAAAAATTGTGATAGTCCTGGTTTAGTCCTGGTTTAGACCTGATGTAGTCCTGGTTTAATCTTAGTTTAGTCCTGGTTTAGCTCACATTGGTCAAAAATAGTGACACCTGGGACATTTCTTGTATAAAACTGGGACAAATCAGTGGTTTTGGATAAATCTGCTGGGACAGGGGACACAGGGCTCAAAACTGGGACTGTTCCAGGTAAACTGGGACGTCTAGTCACACTAGACGATAATAAGTCATGAAATGTCTCTGCAGAACAATTCTCCTTAATTCTGCACTCGTTTCACAATTTTATTAACCAACCACCACAAACCGAGAGTGTCCCAGTCAGAGGTGGGACCAAGTCTTTGACCAAGTCAAGTCACCCCAAGTCAGAGTCAAGTCCAAGTCTTCTGCTTTGAGCTTCAAGTCATTTCAAGTCTTTAAACCAAAAAAGCACCAAATATAGTTTACAATTTTGGAATTTATATGATTTTTAAACTGAATTGTACTTAAATAGTCACGGAATTTGATTATTTACTGTATATAAGTGTTGTAGAAATGCAATTTTTTCCTTTTTAAATGTCTTGACAAATCATAGTGTGAATTATTATGGTCAAAACAGAAATATTTATTTATTTAAAGTGCTTAATAACAGGTTTGTGTCGTGTAGTCTGCACTGAAAAGGAAGGATCATGTTCCCTCTGTTATACTGCATTGTACTTTATATTACTCTATTGTACTGCATATGCTGTATTGTACTGTGTATTACTGTAGTACATTTGATGACAGTTCTTCAGTTACATCCAAAGTAATAAACAGAGAAGTGGGAATATCAACTGTAAAGAGGAAAGAATTTTCTAAAAACATATATTTTTTTTTAGGAAAAGCATCAAGTCTAATCAAGTCACAGGTCTCAAGTCCGAGTCGAGTCCCAAGTCTTTGTCTGTTTAATCAAATCAAGTCTGAAGTCTTAAAAATAGTGACTCAATTCTGACTCGAGTCCAAGTCACGACTTGCAAGTCCCCACCTCTGGTCTCAGTTTTTTATTTTGAAAATCACACCAGGTATGTGACTAACTTATTGAAGTCTTGTTTATAAAGTAAAGAAACTAGAAAAACAGACGATAATCCGTCCTCTGGTTACAGTTTTACCACAATTTTTATTTTATTGATAATCTGTGCATGGAAAACGACAAACAAACTGACCCTTTAACTCACGAATTTCACCGTACGAGTTGCATATGACTCGACAGTACGCGTGACATTACTAGTGCATGTTATTACCGCATCGTAAAACAGTATTTACGTTACGCACACGCCAAATTCAACCGTATTTATGCCCAAACTGTGCGCGTTTGTTGTTTGTTGTTAGCACGTGCACGTCTTGGGTGATTTTGCGTTTTTTGCGTCACTACGTGGTCACGCCATGCTGCAAATCCACCGCGTAACTCTTCAAACCTTTCGTCCCTGTGGAGTCGCGTTTGGAAAAAAAAAAAAAAAAAGAAAAAAAAAAGTGGGCACACACCTGGACAGCTGTGGTCATGATCACAAAAACGCAAAAGCAGAGGAGCTGCAGCAGATGATCCTCCTCCCGCAGCGCCGTCCTCCTCTCTGTGCGTGAGGGAGTCTGCGTGGAGCTCACAGCGCCGCCTACAGGTGGGTGGTAAGAACAGCAGCCAAGTGTGCAAAATCTGAAACACTTAAAAACTCTACAATGTCTCATAAAAACGTCTGAGCAGCATAAGTAAACAGTGTTGGGGAGTAACAGATTACATGTACCGGAGTTAAGTAATCAGAGTACAAATGATGAGTAACTGTATTCAGTTACAGTTACTGTTTCAGTGAGTGGTAATTGGATTACAGTTACTTTGTTGAAATAAATGGATTACACAGAGGGATTTTTCAGTTTTCACATTTGGGAGGCGACCATAAATTAAACCCAAAATCCCTACTTGTTTCATTCTTTTTAGTGTTTATTTTGATACGATCATAAACTATAAACTTCTGTGCCTTCTTGAAAATGAAGTGAAAACAAAAATCCTTACTTTTTCATTCTCAATGTTGTTTATTTTGTACGATCATAAACGATAAACTTCAATGCCTTCCACATCACTATTATTAGTTTTAACGATCATGAACAAAAACAAAAGATCATTACTTTCTTCATTCTCAATGTTGTTTATTTTGATACGTTCACAAACGATAAACTTCTGTGTCTTCTTCATCATTATTATTAGTTTGTACGACCATAAATGAAAATATATTTGTGCGTGTACATATATAAGTGTTATGCACATGTTATGTATGTATGTGTATATATATATGTATATTGAGTATATGTACTGGATAGTGTCAACCATGTGATTATGTAAAACAATTGAGGTAGGACACTGTAAGTTTTTTCATCCAACTCCTTTTGAGCACCAGGTCCCGATATGTTCATGTACATGTCCTTGTTCCTGTTGTTGTACTTTGCTCAAACAAATAAAATGAATGAATGAGTGTGAGTCAGTGTAGTCACATTTTCTTTGGTCATTCTGAAGCAGCTTTTCTGTATTTTACCTAAACAAATCACAATTTTTGCCTCTTTTTACTGTTGGCAGGATCAGATTGGTGAAAAATAGAGACACCCGGGACATTTCTTGTATAAAACTGAGACAAATCACTGGTTTTGTATAAATCTGCTGGGATGATGTTTCCTGCAGTGCTCTTTCAGATAATATTTATTTATTTGTGTCCATCCTATGATAAGTTCTGATATTTTTTTAGTGTTTTGTTGTTCCAATTAAATCAGCTTTAAATTATTAATCAGATGGTACGTTCTAACAGTTCTTCTTTATATAACTACTCTTAATTTTCCCAAATACTTTAATATTCTTTCTTGAATAATATCTTGGAACACTACTTTGTACTTTTACTTACCAAACACTCACAAACAAACACACACACAACACATTCATACTGGGCAGTGTGGGTGAAGTGTGTTGCCTGAAGCCTCTGCTGCCCCCTTGTGGCACCTGAACACCTCATCATTCTCACATCCAACGACTAAATCCAGGCCCAGCAACCTCACGACATCAGGTTTGGACAAGCTGGACACTAGGGTGGTCCAGAAAAACATGTAAAAAAATAAAAGTTTTAAATTTCTCGATTTGAACCCAGCAAACATTGACCATAAATACAAAAGCAACAGGGTTAAAATTTCAGTGAAATCCAACATGATTTAGAGGTTGCACAAGCCTTTTTAAGTTTCAAGAATTCTCTCTCAAATAACAAAAGTGTGTCTGTTTGTCACACTGCTTTGTGTCTGATGAGCTGGCAGGATTACACACTCTACATTTTGCCACTTTTCATTAAATAATCCATTATATTCTTTCAATAAGCAATAATCTCTGCAACAGTCATACCAATTTAGCAGAGACAGAATAGTTGTCATATGAGATCAACACTCACAATCAGTTTACAGTCATGTATACTGTACAGCATGACTGCTGAAGACAAACTTTAGACAAAGGCTATGAGGAAAGATTTGTCAGTTTAACATTGCTGATAGTGTTGGTAAGTAAATTTCTGTTTTCTATATACAAAACCTATGCAATAGTTTGTCAAATTTAATATGAACAGTGCTAATATTAATTAAACACTGACTGATTTTTTTTAAGTTTGTACTAAATTTAGTGGATTATTTTGCTGCTGTAGTAGCCTCTTTGGATGACTGGAATATTTCCAGATATGTCAAAGGTCTCTGCTTTGACACAACAGCAAGCAACACAGGCCGTTTCAATGGCTATTGGACGAAATCTTCTACACTTTGCATGCCGCCACCATATCTTGGAAATTGTCCTGGACAAAGTTTTTCATGCACTGCATATAACAACCTCTTCTGGACCAGATATTGCCATATTTAAACGTTTTAAAGAGAAGTGGTCTTCACTTGACACTGCCTCATTCTCTACAGCTGCTGAAATGCCAGATGTAACCCCTTTCAAAAATGAGATATTGTTGTTTGCAAAGGAACATCTTGAAAATAAACAGCAAAGAGATGACTACAAAGAATTCTTAGAGCTGTTATCTTTCTTGGTGGATCTCCAGCAAGAGGAGTGCATATTCAGGCCCCTGGTACAGTACATAGAGCACGCTGGATGGCAAAAGTTCTTTACTGTTACAAAATCTGGCTGTTCAGGAAACAATTTAAACTAAGAGTATGTGAAGAACGTGGGGTCTTCCACTTCCTGTTGTTTGTGACCCAAGTTTACATCCGTGCTTGGTTTACAGCACCCATGGCCGCTGAAGCACCATCAAATGACTTGCAATTCATGCAGGTTCTATATACATACAGTAATCCAATTGTTAAGGAGACACCTTTGGTACTTGAGTGAGGTCATGATGGGGCTTGCTTTCTTTGATCACAATGTCAACACACATCAAAAGGTACAGATGGTTAGGGACATGCAAGAAAGAGAGGGATCACCCCACGTTCCCCACCGTCTTGATGCAAATGGAAGCTATGAACAGAAGACCCTCAGCAATTTTGTGACAAAGAATACAAATGCATTCTTTACTATTCTTGGTCTGCCACAGTCATTTCTTTCTGCAAACGCCACCTGAAACATGGAAGGAAAATGAGGAGTTCACTTATGCAGAGAAGGTCGTCCGATCCCTGAAAGTTGTGAACGACACAGCAGAACGGGGAGTGAAGTTGATCCAGGACTTCAATGCTATATTAACCAAATCAGAAGAACAGAAACAATTCCTACTACAGCTGGTTCAAAATCACAGAAAAAGCTACCCTGACTCAAAGAAAGACACAGTTGTCAAAGGTCTTGCCACTTCTTCAAGTGAGCAGGCAGTTTGAACTGACTTGGTTATCGGGTTAGTCATTTTCATCAAATGATATTTTTTTTTATATAAGTTTCATTATATTATGTTACAACATGTGCTTTATGCATATATATTATATAAATAATATATATATTAAACCTATAGCATATAAGGAATAAATACTTTGAAAATTGATATTTCTGCTGATTTATACTATTTGGCTAATAAAGAGAGATAAAAAGGTGATTTTTCTATGGTGTTGTGCAACCTCTAAATGTCATTTAATGTAGCTCAAATTTTTATGTGTTAACTTTAACTGGTAGTAGGCCAAAATGCACGGTTCAAATTAGAAGAAAAAAGAAAAAAGTTTTTTTGGGTCACCCTACTGGACACACATGATTAAGTCTTAAAACACGCAGCTTAAGTTGTGTTAGTTTTTTAATCAGAAGTGCGTGGAAATTACATGACCTCTAGTAGTTAATTCAGTGTTAAATCCACACGCCGTATAAAGAATATAAACAGTCTATGGTTAAATCACAACAAGTTCGACCTCGTGGTTCTGCAGATTTTCATAATTTTGGTCTTTGGTATTAAATGTCTCTAAACACACTTCACACAAGATCTCCAACACCGTCTAATTCTTAATCTGGTAATCTACTTCTTGATTTGATGTTTATGTATATTTTCTCCAGTGATTAAACTCCTCCTGCTCCTCTTGGTTGGTGAAAACCTTCCCACACTGGTCATGAGTGCGCCGGCTGTCCCAGGTGACTCTGTGTGACTCTTCCACGCCGTCCACGTGGTTCATATCGAAACACCGGTTGAGGGTGTGAGCGAAGAAGTTCCTTGATCTTATTAAAATAAAGATCAGATTAATTAAGGCCCTGTTTACAGGAGAACGCTTGCGGGTAAAAACAACGAAATATTTTATCGGAAGTGTCTTTTGTTTAGACGGTGACAGCGTTTTTGGAGCTTTAAAATGCAAAAATCTGAAACCACCCTCCAGAGTGGAAAAGTTGAATACGCTCCGCTGTTGCGTTTCCGTCTACACTGCCCAAGACGCAAAACTCTGGTCGGATCTGCTCAGGTCACGTACACGTTTACGTCACAAACATCACCACCGAGCGTCACCAAAGAGCCGCCTGGCATGCATACACAATCCAACTCCACACACTTTTGCGTCACCGTATGCACACAGATTTCCTCCTGAAAACACTCGTCTAAATGTGGAATAAAAAGTGAAGACGCACCGCCACTTTTGCGTCTTCTGTTCAGACCGTCAGCATATAAACGTAGCCTAAATCCAACACACATCAGCTGCAAAGAATCAAAACCTTATGAATATTTACAATTATTAACCAATTAATCTGGACATGTCAGTGGTACCGTCTGCCGCTTTTCTAAGAAGTAATGGCATCAAATAGTTGTACAAGTGTTTTAATGATTATAGTACATGCTGTAGCTCATCAAACACATTTTTGCTTTAGTGTTTTCGTCTTTCTTTCAGTGTTATACCACGACCAGCTCGATCTCGTGGTTCTGCAGATGTTCGTAATATTGGTCTTTGGAATTAAAAGTCTCTGAACACACTGCGCACGAAATCTCCAAATCCTCATCCTGAAAACTGTCCACCTCCACAGCGTAAACATCGTCCAGTTCTTGAGCTGGTGAATCGTCTCTAGACTGAACGTCAGACATTTCTACAGCTGGAGTTTTAAGTTCTTCAGCGTGTATGATTCTATGCTCTTGTAGATTTTCCTCTGTGATGAAACTCCTCTCGCACATGTCGCAGGCGAACGAGCCGGAGTGCACCAGGTGGTGAGTCCGTAGAGTGGACGGGTCGGTGAAAACCTTCCCACACTGGTCACACGGGTACGCCTGCTGTCCCAGGTGACTCCGCATGTGTCTTTTGAGATTGGCGAGGTGGGAAAACCTGGTTCCGCATCGCTCACATTTACCGAGCTTTGGGCCCGGGTGCGAGAAGAGATGTTCCTTGAGTTCATCTACAACGTCAAACGCAGCTTTACAGTAACAACAACCGAACGGCTTCTCCCCGCTGTGTTTCCCCAGATGGACTTTAAGAGAATTTGGTCGTGGAAATTTCATCCCGCAAATGTCGCAGCTGAACCTGTATCCTTTCTCCTTGTGAATGCCCTTATGGCGCTTCAGGTCGAACGATCTGGTAAAAGTCCCCGGGCACTGGTCACATTTGTACGGTCTGTGCCCGCTGTGGATGAAGACGTGTTCTCTGAGCTGCCCTCGCCGTATGAACGATTTCTCACAGTGCTCACACTTGTACGGCCGAGTGTTGGCGTGGACAGGCTGGTGTGCTTTCAGTGCAGCTTCACTGGTAAATGTTGTTCCACAGGTGCTGCACGTAAAAGGATTCTTCAGCGGGACATCAGTGGGATTTGACTGAGACATAAGCGGGTCATGCTGTAGATCACTTTCACTTTCTTGTTCTGCAGCTTCACTTGTGCTGAGCGACTGGTGCGTCACTGGTGCTTCACTTGTGAGCAGCACGGGCCCCTGTGAGAAAGGCTGGTGCTGCTCGTTGGTGCATTTGTGTTTGGCGAGGTTGTGAGGTCTGACAAATTCCATTCCGCAGTAATCGCAGCTGTAGAGTTTCTCCTTCGGGTGCGTCTCCTGGTGTTGTTTCAGCTCGTCTGCGTCTGTGAACACCACGTCACAGCGCTCGCACTGGAACTCTTTACTGTGGAGACGCTGGTGTCGGACGTAAGCGCTGCACAGAGTGAACTCCATCCCACACTCGTCACAGCTGTACTTGTCCTGGGCGCTGTGGCTGAGCATGTGCTCCGTGAGGCTGTCGGCTGTGGGGAAAACCGTCCTGCAGCGATCACACTTGTACGTGTTTTCTTCAATCAGGGCACAGTTGTGTTTTTTCAGGTCATATTCTCTGACAAATCCCTTTTTACACAGGTCACATCTGAAAGGTTTCTCTCGAGAGTGGATGCGCTCGTGCATTTTCAGATTGTATCGTCTTGTGAAAGTCTTTTTACATTTGTCACAACTGTGCAGGTGTTTGTTTGCCTGTTCGTCGCTGTGGGAGCACGTGTGGCGTTCCACTTCAGATGATTGAATAAAGGTTTTCTTACAGTTCTGGCAGGTGTAGGTCCTGTTGTCTTTGTGAGTGAAGCGCAGGTGTGCTTTGAGATGACTCGACTGGATAAATGTGCTTTGACATTGGTCACATTTAAAAGGTCGATCTCCCGAGTGAAGGCGTTTGTGTCTGTCAAGAGTCGATGACAGCGCAAAAGCCTTACCGCACACTTCACATGTGAACGGCCGCTCCCCCGTGTGTGTGCGGATGTGCATTCGGAGAACATACGGCCTCCCAAAGGACTTAGCACAGTACTGACAAGTGTACGGTTTGTAAGAGTTTTCTCCTCTTTCCTCGTTGTCCCCGGAGCACTGGTGTTGTTCTAGTTGGTCTGGTTGAGAGAACGCGCTCCCACACTGCTCACATTTGTGCAGATGCTGTTCCTTGTGAATGAGTTTGTGTTGTCGAAGAGAAAATAAGATTGAAAATCTCTTCCCACACACGTCACAGCTGTAGGGCCTGGGTCCTGAGTGCATCCACTCGTGCACTTCCAGAGTCGCCTGCGTCGGACATTTCTTTCCACAATATTGACAAATGAAAAGTCTTTCTTCGCTGAGAGAGCTGTTGTTTTTAAGTTCAGACGCGTCTTTAAAGGTGATCTCTGTGGTTTCATGGGTGAATGTGTGTCTTTTCAGATGGGTCCATTGTCTGAATCCCTTCCCACACTCCTCACATTTAAACGGCCGCTCTCCAGAGTGAACGCGCAGGTGTGCTATAAGGTTTGAGGTTCGGGAAAATGTCTTGTCACACTCGGTGCAACTGTACTGCTTCTCTGCTCCGTGGGTACTCACGTGAACCTTCTCCTGATGTTTTTTTAGAGATTTTTCACTCGGGAATTTCATCCTGCAGTCGTCGCAGCTGTACTCTTTCTCTTCGTGGAGGCTCTTGTGGCGTCTCAGATCGGCAGCTCTGGCATAAGCTCCATCACACAGGTCACATTTGAACGGTTTGTCTCCGGTGTGAGTGTAGACGTGTTCTCTGAGCCGACTCCTCTGTCCAAACGACTTCTCGCAGTACTGGCACTGATGGGCCTTAACGTCGCTCGTGTGCGCGGCGTCACGTTGCGTCAGAGCGTCAGGTCGCGCTCTCGTCCTCCTGCGCCGGTCACATCTGTAGGGGTTGTCTCCGGTGTGAGAGCGTTTGTGCAGTTTGAGCTGAGTGGAGCGGGTGAAGGTCTTCGTGCAGAGGTCGCAGCTGAAGGGTTTGCCTCCGCTGGGTTTAGGAGCAGAGCTTGGGGTCGTCTCCTGCTCGCTCTCCTGTGACATGATCAGAGCCGGAGATGGCGCCTGAAAGCACAAAAGAACAGAATAGACTACGTAAAAATCACAACAAGTAAAACTATAAAAATGTGATGTCAGAACTTAAAGACGCCCTATGGAGACGGTGTTTCTTCGTCTTCAAGCAGTAAACTTGAATAGATTTGAGTTAGAGTGACCAGACGTCCCTGTTTACCCGAGACAGTCCCAGTTTTGACTCTGAGTCCCCTGTCCCCAGCAGATTTATACAAAAACAGTGAATTTTCCCAGTTTTATATGAGAAATGTCAAGAAGGTGTCTCTATTTTTGACCAGTCTGATCCCACAGTAAAGACAAACATAAATTGTCATTTGTTTAGGTAAAATACAGAAAAGCTGCTTAAAAATGGCAACAGTAGCTTAGTCGGTAGAGTGTTTGTCCACTGTTCTGAAGGTCTGTGGTTCGAATCCCGCTCTCGTCTAAGACTGGGTGTCATTAAGAAGTTGCCGATACAATACATATCTTGATACACTGAGCTTTTGATTCGATACGATTCAATACAATATACTTCAAATCAATTCAATAAAAAAAAAAGGCAAAATAATGGCTGTGATACTAAATGTCTTTGTTAAACCACTTTTTGTACAAAGTTCCCCTTAAGCCGGGCGTACACTGTGCGATTTTTGACCCTTTTTGAGCCGATTTTTCGCTCGTGCGACTGTTTTGGGGATCGGGCCGAGTTTTGGCTTCATCGTGTGTCGTGCGTCGTGTAGTTTACATGGGGTAAAGAGAACCGATTAATGGCTCACGACCAGCTCCCGATCGACATTCGTAGGTCGCAAGAAAATCAAACTTGTTTGAAATCCAGTCGCCTCTCGTGAGGATTTCGCTCTGTTGAAGTTCTTCCACGAGCCGATTAGCCAGAATCTGGCAGACTGCGCATGCGCGGACACAGAAGCGGAAGTAGGATATGAAGTTGTGGAGGACGATGGCGGGCCGGCGAGTGTTTTGGACAGTGGACATGGAGGCGCAGCTCATCGAGCTTTGGCAGACTCACCCAAGCCTCTTCGATGTGGCCTCACAAGGCTACCATGACCGCAACAGAAGAGAGAAAAGTTGGGAGGACATTGCCGCTCAGTTGCAGCTGCCAGGTAATGTTTTTGTATAGACTAGCAAAATAGAAATGTAGTTAATTCGTTGTTGTTGTTGGTTTGTGCATGCGTGTGTGTGACAGAAAGAGACAGAGGAGCGAGAGCGATTTTGTGTAATATATTGGCTCCAGTAATTCAGATATCACTACACTACCAAGCTAGAATTAGCCTGCATTGTGTGTGTATATGAGTCAATGAAACCAATAATATTCTTTTTAGCAAGCAGTACTTGCTAGTAGCAAATAAACAACATAAAGAACATGTTAATTGTATTTTTCAGTGAATGAGGTGAAAACCCGCATGACATCACTGCGCACGCAGTACGGGAAACTTTTGAAACCCAAACCCAGCGGCAGTGGACAAAAACCTCTGACCTCCAAACAGACGTGGATTCTACAGCACTTGGATTTTTTGAAGGCCCATGTCATACACAGGCATACCGAGTCCACACTCAGAGTAAGTCCATAACCACGTTGTTGGAATAAATAAATAAAATATATATAAAATGTATAATAAATATTTATATTTAAGAAAATTAAATGCCACAGTTAATAATAATACATTTTTTTTAAAGCAGCCCTGAATTCAATGTAAATTATCCTAGTTATTATTATTATTAGATTATATAATATATTGTAGTCTAGATCAAAATCTGACCTAAACAACACTGTTAACAACTTTTGTGTAATCACTTTCTCCCTGTCTGCTTCCTGTGCTGTTTCTTACAGCTTGCTACAGAGTCAGAGGACACAGGCCCAATGGAAGAGGGAGATGAGGATCAATCAACTGTGGAAACTGAATCAGATGTCTTTACTTCTTCAGACACCGCCAGTCCGGTTTCTGTGACGCAGGAAGAAGAAAACGCCTCCAACAGTTCAACAGTCACACCGTCCACAGATCAGCCTGTCAAAAGACCCAAAGTGCAGAAAGTGAAGCCAAAATCCACAGAGCACAGCATTGAAATGGCCAAACTGTCCTTGCTTCAGCAGGTCCAGAACACACTTTCTGGATCTAATGCAGATTCTGAGGAGGTATTTGGTCAACAGGTAGCCTCAGAGTTGAGAAACATTAAGGACAGAGCTCTACAGTTGAGGCTCAGAAGAAACATAATGAACATTATTTATGACACACAGGAGGCAGAGCAGGCTGGTCATTCTCAATTTGCAGGTCCACATCCTACACCAGGTCCACAACCTAGGCCTTACACAACTACACCCATGTATCCCATGCACCCTTATCAGGCCCAGCCACCCTCCCAAGACTACCAGGCCCCATCAACCCAGCCAATGTCCTTTCTGAAAATGATAAACTCTGAGTAGCTGGGTACCTTAAAACCAAAATGTCCAACATTAGTATTTGGTCGGCTATTTCTCAGTTAACTTGTTCCTGCACAGGCTGAAAAGCTGTAGTTTCATTGCACCAAGTGCATATAAATTTAGTTTGACACAGTGTGTATGCTAAAGTGACTTTGCCATCTACCTCAATGCTGCAAGGTGGTACAGAATTGTTGGCACATTCTGTGAATCGAAAAAAATATTTTTTTATTTTCACAAAACAAGTCATTGTTGTGATGCCCCACAGAGGTAGATTTATTTATGCTAGTAATTACAAAGGGAATTATTTGTGTTATTTATTTCATACCTCAGTTTTTATACAAAAAGAAAAAATATTTAAGTATGTGTTACCAAGTTAGTGTTTCCAAAAATAAAGAAAAAAAGAACCTTTCTTTACATTTTGTGAATTTTCATTTCAAAATTCTCATAAACCAAAAAAAATTCTTCACAGTAAGGAGAAATGAGGTTTGAATCCATCCATAGCCCCGTTGCTGGAAGTCAAAGAGTTCACACACAGTCCTCTGTTATCTCAAACAATAGGGCTACCGATTGATTCACATCAGATTTGTCTTAACTTTGGCCTACACCATGTGTTCTTGCCAAGATACACTTCCTGCAGGTGACACAAAGTACTGGCAAAGGACATCTCGTTGTTTCTTTGCTTCAACTGAAGGGTTCCTAGCTTGGCCCATGGAAACAGACTGAAGCCCTCCCTCCCTTCTCCATGCTCCTTCCATCAACTGATGATTGGCATCTTCGCAGTCTATGTAGCCAGGTGGTACATAGGCATCAGCGCTGTGGTGGCGGAGGAAGTTGTGCAAACAAAGACATGCAAAGAGGATAGTGACAACCTTGTCAGGATCCAGGCAAATTGTTGTTCTGAATACTCTGAATCGATTAGCAAGAATTCCAAAAGCATTTTCTACCACACGCCGTGCTCTTGAAAGACGGTAGTTGTAGATTCTCTGATTTTGGTTGAGATTGCGTAAAGGATATGGTTTCATTAGATCTGCTCGTAGGGGATAAGCTTCATCTCCAACCAACATATATGGCATCATGGCATCAGTGTGTGGCAAGGTATCAGCAGGGGGGAAGCTCAGCATGCCTGTGTCCATCGCATGTTTCAGGTCGGAATGGGCAAATACTCCAGCATCAGACACCCTTCCCTGTGTCCCAGCGCTGGCATACAAGAACTTGTAGTTGGCATCAACTACAGCCATAAGAATAATGGAAAACCTAGATTTGTAGTTGTGAAACATGCTTCCACTCTTGGCAGGGGGTTGAATGAATATGTGTTTCCCATCAATGGCTCCTAAGCAATGTGGAAAGTGCCACTTGTCCGCAAAGTCTTTAGCAACAGCCTTCCACTCAGAGATAGTCGATGGTGTCTGTGGAACACATGCAAAGGTGATACACAAAATTAATCTCAGGTGAATTAATGTTTTCCATTTCTTAACCACCCATTCAAAACTGTCACAGTTCACTTCACCTTTTATTTACACATTTCACAAAGACTGAATGAATACATCCAGAAATCAGAGAAATGTTTCTGTTGAAAATGTATTGCTTAATTAACTGATGGGACATTTTTAATAATGTTTGAGATAACAGCTATCACCCTGGCTTTGATCTGTTTGACCTGTTGCCCTCAGGGAGGTGCTACAGGGGCATTAGCACAAAGAGAAACAGGCCATGAAGTGAAATTTACCTTCAAGTAATCTTCCCGTAGTACAGAGGTTAGGGCTGTGCATGTTTCCATCACAATCCTGCTCACTGTGGTGCTTCCAATTCTATACTGAAAACTTAACGAGTTGAAGGTTTCACCTGCCAAAGTGAAAAGAGTGTCAAAGATGTTGATTTTCTCTTCTTATATACTTTAACTTCTTGGGTTCTTCTTAAAGACAATACAGTAAAGTGTATTTTCCTTGTTGACATGTTTCGGCTGCTTTAAAAAGAACCCAAGAAGTTAAAGGTGAAGAAAGTGTCTTTTAAATACTCTAACATAGATTTTGATAGTTAATGTATGGGGAGGTGGACAAAGATGGATGTTGATAGACTGACAGATTGTGACTGATGGATGGAGGAGAAAAGAATGTAGTAGTAGTAGTAGTATGAAAGTGATTTGACAGATGTGCAGTTAGAGGGTAAGTGCAACTGATATAGAAAAGGGAAGGTATGATGAAGTTACCGGGCTGTATGTAGTTCAGTGGGTGAACTGATCTACAAGCTTAAATAGATAGATGACTTTGCTTCATGTCCACCTCTCTATATTTTAATTGGGAATGTTACTGAAATGTAATTTACATGCACACACTTACCTGTTGCCAAAAATCGAAGGGTAACAGACAACCTCTCCCTGGGACTGATGGCCTTCCTGAGATGAGTATCTCTCTTGAGGATATGTGGAGTTACCCTCTCCAGGAGGTAATTGAAGTCGTGCACAGACATTCGGAGAAGGTCCCGAAAACCCATCATGTCATCTACCTATTAACACATAACACCCCATATGAATACAGCATTATAGATGTGGGATGCTATTGCCCACTGAATAGTCTGTAACTGATTGGTGGTGAAATCTTTTATGACTTAGACATAACACAGAACTGACACTGATACTTAACCAGTATTGTAGACCTGTAATGGACCTGGATGTCACCTTTGAGTAGAACTACCTCCCTCAAAAAATCCTTTTGTAGGTGTTCAAGCCAGCCACTACAATGCTACACTTGTACAAGTTACTTGGCTAGTTTTTACTGTGCTTAAAAATACCAAATCTAACAAGAACAGAGGTGTAATTAACACAGCTCTGTGTGTCTGACATTGATTCAATACTATGATAGCAAACAAAACTAGGTCACTTCTGAAGTTAGTTGTGATTGCCCGGACCATTGATGTCAACAACACAGAACAGTGTTGTTATAAGTTTGGTGAATAACTTGATGCTACTTACCTCCAGTTCCCTCTGAAGAACTGACAATCCATACTGCCCACGTCTGCCCAGCCATTTCTTGGACCAGACTCGTCGCTTCTTCTTTTTGGGCTTGTCTGAGCACAGAATGGCACAAATTGCCAAGGCAGCGCGTCTGTTTTTTCCGTGGCTCAGCATTGTGTCTCCGCCAATAGATCCATGGTCTCCGCACATCTGTGGTTTTCTAATTCCGTGGTTTTCTTCTTCGTGGTTTTCTACTTCCGGAACAACAACTTTGACAACTCCGGTCGTTATGTGAACGTACAGTGTGAGCAGGCAAGTCGCATCCGAGCATCGGTTCGTTCAGTGTGAGAACATGATTCGTGAGCTGTGAACTTTTAAACCCTGCGATTTGGTCGTACAGTTTAAGCTGGGGCTGAGTGACACGACCGAAAATATCGCACAGTTGCCGGCCAACCACTCTAGAGCCACATCATCAGCTTTTAATGCAGCTTTGCACAACAGCTCTTGTGCACTGATGTGGTTCAATTCTGTCGGACTAAAGTGAAGTGTGTTCTTTCTGTGACAGACGGGTGTTGATGATGATGATGATGATGATGATGATGATGATGATGGTGAGTCTGTTCTGTGTGTGTCACGTTGGAGATGGTTCATTTTTTCAGATCATTCGTGTGCAGGTTTAGTGCAGCTCTTGATGTTGCAGTAACCAGGATACTGCGTTTACATGCACCATGATGGAATCGGGAGAGTGATGTGCTGTAAACACATCACTGACTGGAACAGTGTCTCAAAGGAGCCAGAGCCCAAACGTGGGACTGTGTGGATGAGACTCCAGAGTTTGCGTCAGACGCAGCCTCGTCTCCTTATGCTACGCACGCGACACACATTCAGTTTGTCGATTAAAAATGAACATAATCGACGAAATTCTTAATGATCAATTATCAATTAATCGACTAATCACGCTCATCCATAGTTGATATGAAACACAAACATTTAATTCATCAAAACCGTGAAAATGAAAAATGTGTCGCATAAACGAGTTTCCTTTCTCTAAACAAGCGACAAAACTGTAAAAAATAATAATAATAATAATAAAATATACCAAAAAATACTCTTGCAGATATATCGATACAGCAGCCCACGATATCGATACTGAGTCATCACATTAAATTATACGATATTTCAGTATTTTTGTACACTCTCACTCTCAACATAAACATCATTGGTTATGCGGTCAGATCCACAGACCCACAGGTTGCTGGTGTGATTCCAGCTCCCACAGATGAATGGTGTCATTGTGTCCTTGGGCAAGACACTTAAACCTCGCCCCTAGTGTCTGTGTACACTGGTGTGTGAATGTGTGAGTGGATCCTTGTTGTAAAACACTTTGAGACTTGAGGGTGGAAAGGCGCTGTATAAAAATGTGATAATTTAAAAATGATCAAAACAGAAAGAAAATGTGACAATACTGACTCACATTAGAGCCAAGTGCGGAACAATTTTCCTTAATTACGAGCTCGTTTCACAATTTTATTATGACGAACCAACCCAAACCTCCAGTGGATGTTCCAGTTTTTTATTTTGAAAATCTGGTCACCCTAATTTCAGTCTATTTGTGTTCAAAGGCAAAATAAACAAAAGTTAAACTAACATTTGTTTATCAAGCGCCATTACGGAGAAATAAAAGAAAAGAATGTGTTGCTCTTTGACACGAGGAGGACTTTAGTTTTACTGACCCGTGCGTTTCTGCTGCAGGTCACGGCCTCATAAACCATCCTTGACTTTATCTAAACCCTCAAATAGACCAATAAACATCAAACGCACGGGACAACTTCTTTGATGCGCGTGTCTGCGGTGCGCTCTTTTTCACGGCGCGCTCCCGCACACGCGCGTCCTGCTCTCACGCGTCTGTTTACGTGCACGCGGGGACGAGGACACAAACCTGCACCGCTGGGGTCGTGGTCTTGCTTTAATTACGGGAGCTGATTGCCTTTCGAGAGCTGCGTAAAATTGTCCACCAGAAGCACCGTCCTTCTTCTGTTTCCGATGCTTTCCGCGGAGGAGCTCATGCTGCCCCCTACAGAAACAAAATCTGTTCTGTGCAGCGTTCAGAGTGTTTCTTAGAGCTTCCACAGCCCCTACATACTTCAAAATCTTTCCTTATTAGTGCAGACTCTTATTATGTTGGGCAAATTTCATATTCACAAAACAAAACCAAATCAGAACCACTTCCAAAACGAAATACAGCAAAATTTTGTGTTAATATTTAGTGTGTTTAGGTAAAAATGTTCCAAGATGCAGAACCTCACTTGGTCAGTCGTTATTCTCCCGTAGAGCCATAAACCCCTGGAACAGCCTCCCACGTGAAATTACATCTTTTTGAAATGTTTTAATCAGACAAACCTGTGCACATGAATCTGTCCTGAATCACTGCAGCAACATGAAGTGTAAATATGTAAATAATGTTTGGACGTGATGACTCAGACTGAACGGGACTGTGACAAAGTGGGCCTTTGTCTTATTTTAAATTCACCTTAATTTATGTTAAACATTTTGATTTTGGAAAGACACCTTTTGCTTTGCTTTACCTGGAATTGTTACTCACCTGGGGGAGGTACTTCCTGCTGGGCGGAGTATAAAAGGCAAGCAGGTGTCACCAATTAGGAAGACTTCTGTGCAGGTATTTGGTGTTTTGCTTTGAGTTACTTATTTTTTGTCTATTTGTATTTTTGTTGGTTAAACCCAGAAGTCTGTTTTTTTTAAATAAATTTTGTCCACGTAAGACACCTTTTTTGTGTCATCTGCCTCCTACTTCGACCACTTTGGCCCGTTTCCCCACAGGGACAATAAATGGTAAATGGTCACATTTTTCTATAGCGCTTTTCCACCTTCAAGGCACTCAAAGCGCTTTACAACAATGAACCACTCACCCATTCACACACCAGTGTACACAGACACTGTGGGCAAGGTGGGTTAAGTGTCTTGCCCAAGGACACAACAGCAGCATTCATCTGTGGGAGCTGGAATCACACCAGACAACCTGCGGGTCAGTGGATCTGACCGCTCATCCTGATGTTTTTTTGTTTTGTTTTTTTTCAAGAGCTGGATTCAAACCGCCAACCTTCACATCAGTGGGCAAATGCTCTACCAACTGAGCTACTGCCGCCCCCAATAGTTTGACTTATTGATTGACTGGATGAATAATTGCATTAATATATGTACATTGTGTTTGATTTTATTGGCATATGTACCAATTCTGACTCAGCCTGTCCAGAGACTGAAGATGGAAATGAGTCATTTTGCTGTAACCTGCACAAACACAGACAAGGCAAGTTTATTTGTAAAGCACAATTCATACACAAAATAATTCCAAATGCTTTACAGAATAAGAAATATTTATTATTAATTAATTCATCATTGCATTTATATCACACATTTCAAAACCCCCAAAGCATTTTACAGTTCATTATTCAGTCACTTCACACTCAACGGTGGTAAACTACTATTGTAGCCACAGCTGCCCTGGGACAGACTGACAGAAGCAAGGCTGTTAATCTGTGCCATTGGTCCCTCCGACCACCACCAACACTCACACACACCACATTCATACAAGGCAATGTGGGTGAAGTGTTTTACCTAAAGACACAATCACAGTTTTTTGTCACTGATGCCTCCTGTGGCTCCTGATTTTCCCAGTGTTTCCATCCAAGTCCTGACCAGGCCCGGCCCTGCTGAGCTTCTGAAATCTGACAAGATCATGCTTTGACAAACTGGTATGGCCATAAATATAGTAAAATCAGAATAAAAAACAAATCAAAACATGAATAATCATCATAAAATTAAAAAGAGAGAGAGAGACATTAAAGGTTGTATGGAGGATTTTTTGTTTGTTTCAAATTGTCAATGAAAGTTCAAAATAGAATTATAGAGACGCAGCAGCCTTGTAATTATGATGACCAAAAAAAAAAAAAAAGAAAAAAAAAGAATGAAAATCCATCAACTGTGGACATGGTGGGGGCAGATAAACATCAGCCAATAGATAACAAGGCTACCTCATTTTCTATTGGCTGTTAGGTTGTCAATCAAACTCCCTACGTTTCTAGCGTCAACGACTTGCCGGCGCGCTGGGATTACGTGGTTTACGTTCGCCTCTCAGGCACTGATGCCATTTACTCAACCAGCGCAGCGGTTCTTGCCGTCTTTTTCGAACTGTAGCTTCCTCTCAGTTTGCACAAAGTTTGTTGTAATGGCCGACAAGAATCCACGACCAGTTCGCCGCAAAAGAAAGTCAGTTTTTGATGTCGCGGGAAGAAGAAGAGAAGGGGAAAAGGAGCAAAGCACAACATTTAAAAAAGGGCAAACAGTCGCTGCATTTCTCTTTCCTTGGAAAATCTTTTATACAACCTTTAAATGAGAGAGAAGAGTGTGGAATGAAAACCTTTCAGTCAAATGCACAGTGAAAGAGAAATGTTCTGAGTCTGGATTTAAACAGAGTCAAAGTCGAGTCTGTGTGAATCTGAAACTGACTCCCCTTGTTTAGTCCTGACTCTGGGCACCAGCAGGACACCGGTATGTAAGTGTGTGTGTGTGTGTGTGTGTGTGTGTTCTCTCACATCTCGTCCATTTCCTCCTTGTTCCAGTAGTCCAGCACAGAACTGCAGGTGTAAGATGCTGCAGGGAAACAAACATGGAGCGACAGAACCAAGTGGCGGGCAGAGTGTACAGAAACATCTGTGCAGAGTACGAGGCTGGAGACCCCAGGATTAAGGTGGGAAACACCAGATACAGACAGACAGGACGGTGATGGACCAACCAGACATAGTGGTGGTGGATAAACAACAGAGCAGAGCCGTGGTGGTGGAACATCACAACACCAAGAGATGGAAATATCAGGAAAAAGGAACATGAGAAACTAGAGAAACACCAGGGGCTCAAGGAGGAGCTGGAGAAGGTCTGGAAAGTGAAGGCATCAGTGGAGCCTGTGGTGATTGTAACAGCAGATACCAGGAAAAACCACAAACATCTCAGTCCAGAAAAGTGCAGGACTGAAACAGAAAAGATACTGAAGAACTGTCAGACTCCCAGGCCTATAAATGTATGTGTGTGTGTGTGTGTACAGTACATTATTAAAAAAAAAAAAAAAAAAAAAAAAAAAAAAGGTTTGGGGTTAAAGTTATATTAAATATTTATTAAGTTTCGTGATCAGATTTCATAAGCAACCACATCATTTCTGAAACTATGTCTTGAACAGTTTTGGATTAATATTATAAGTTTTTCTTTTTCCCACTCCTTTTTGAGAAATGTGCTTTTCTTTTGTTTACAGTGTATATGTAGTATATTTATGACTATTGTTTCTCTCTTGGCACAAACTCGAAATAAAAACGAATCAATCAATCAAAAAAAAAAAAAAAAAAAAAAAAAAAAAAAGCACCGTTATCTCCCATCAAAAATTATGTACATTTCATTGTGTAAATAATATTTTTTTTTAATTATCAAATCAAACTAAATAAAAAACGTTTGCGTTACCATTTATGTGTAATTAATAAAAAATAAAAAATAAAATAAAAAAAATTAAGTTTAAGCGAAACATAAGCCCCGCCCACTTCCGCACACGTGCCTTTGATAAGACGCGGTGTGCGGTTTCTCCCGGAGACTCGAGTTTTTCGTGATTTACAGAAAAACACACCACAAATAGAGATCGTCTCATCGTCTGCGTGAGTAAACATTTTATTTTATTGAACATCTAGAGCTGGAAATAATTTATAAACTAACCGAGGTGGACGAGGTTTTGTTTTTGTCTAAACAGAACTATTTCATATTTACCACTTTTTTCTGGTCTGGTTTTCCTCCATTTGTGAGCTGTGTTTTTGTAATTTTCTTGGGAATTATTCCATTAATATGCTTATCTGCGATTCTATTGAGTTGATTTGATTAGATTGCATTTCTATGTTATGGAGATGGTAGTGGGAGGTACAGTGGGTTTACACTTTGTCCCCTGTCCCTGCAGATTTATACAAAACCAGTGATTTGTCCCAGTTTTATACAAGAAATGTCCCTATTTTTAACAAATTTGATCCCTGCCAGCAGTAAAGAGAAGCATAAATTGACGTTTGTTTACGTAAAATACAGAAAAGCTGCTTAAAAATGACCAAAACAGAAAGAAAATGTGACTGTACTGACTCACATTAGTGCCAAATGCAGAACAATTTTCCTTAGTTACGAACTAATTTTATAATTTTAACCCCGTCCCAGTTTTTTATTTAGAAAATCTGGTCACTGTCTGTAATGGAGACGTGTAGATCTACGTCCTCCTACACAAGCATCAATAATAAAAGTGCAGGAGCTTGGATGAAAATGATTAAAATGAGTTTGAAAAGCTCAGAGCTGCATTTATCTGTCTTTAACCTAATGACTAATACTAGTACTTTCGCTTTAGTATAATCTGTAGTCAGTGTTGGGAAGGTGACTTTTAAAATGTATTACAGATTACATACACCAAAATGTAGTTTGTAAGGTAACCCATTAAATTAAAGTGAGTAATGTAATCTGAATACTTTGGATTACTTGATTTGCTGTAGAGAAGCAAAGACGAGGAAATCGTAACATAAAAAGTTTTGTCTGATAAAAGAAAATAAAAAGTCCAGACTTTACTGAACCAAATAAAAAATATTATTGATAGAAGACGAGGAGACACGTCCACACAGCAGGATTTAGTCCTGGTTTAGATCTGGTTTAATTCTGGTTTAGTCCTGGTTTAGTCCTGGTTTAGTCCTGGTTTAGACCTAGTTTAGTCCTGGTTTAGACCTGGTTTAGACCTGGTTTAGGGTTTAGACCTGGTTTAGTCCTGGTTTAGACCTGCTTTAGACCTGGTTTTAGTCCTGGTTTAGACCTGGTTTAGACCTGGTTTAGTATCCAGCAATGAGTGGAATTACAGAGAAAAAAAAAAAGGATATAGCCCCAAATGTGAAAACAGGAAACTCCTGCCGTGTAATCCATTTATTTCAACAAAGTAACTGTAATCCAATTACCACTCACTGAAACAGTTAACTGTAACTGAATACAGTTACTCATAATTTGTACTCTGATTACTTAACTCTGGTACATGTAATCTGTTACTCCCCAACACTGACTGTAGTAACATACAAGCACACAGAGGCTTAACCTGGCAAACTGTTTCACCCCCAAACGAGGTGTAAAAGTGAATAAATAACAATTGTTTTTTAAAAACACTTCCCCATCCCCCGTTTCTCTCTGAAGAAACATGTGCTCAGCAAGAATGTGGAGGACACGAATGGGGCAGTTTGTCTCCACCCTTGGTTCTTAATCTTTTACTTGTGTGTTAGGGATTTTTAATGTAGTTTATTTTTATTTTAATGCTTTTTGTTCAACGTGTGGATAATCAGAAGGTTTGTTGGGGACAGGAGTCTGTGTGTCTGCAGGTTTCTTCACACATGTTAAGGTGTGGTCCAGACGAAAAGCAAAAAACACACGAAAGACAATGAAAATGTAAATCTCAACATGAATATTCGATCGATTTCTGTGACACCTAAGTCTTTTCAAGCTTCAGTGTGTATTAGGGCCAGGAATAACTCAGAAGTTGCCGATACGATACATACCTCGATACAGTGCACTTTCAAATTGGTACAATATGTTTCAAATCGATTTACAGTTCAATAAATAAAGGTTAAATCGTGGCTGTGATACTGAAAGTCTTTGTTAATCCACATCCTGTGCTAAGTGAATATGAAATATTATACTGAGCTCCAAAGCAAGAAAAATATCTGATGATGTTTTTTGTTTTGCCGAAGCGTTATTTAAAAATTAAAAAAGCTTTTGGACATTGGCCACCTGAGTGTGCTATGCTTTTTTCACTTTTATTTTGCTGTTCCTTGTATTTTCCGCTCAATTTCATTTCTCTCCACCGACTAAGTTAGGAATCAGAATCCACTAGACAGTTCACAAAACCCCAGAAGTTGTAGACGGCGCACCGACCAATCAGCTGTGAGCTGTGAAGTCATAATGTCAAACTCGTGGCGTCTGTCTGTGTCCTTTTTTGTGGAACAGCACAACAGTAAACAAAGCGTCGCGATGGATGTAGACGAAGACAGACATTCTGTGTTGGCAACGATTCCCGAGATCGAGGATTTAAAGCTGGAACAAAGAGAATGTTTGGTGAATTTTATCAAGGGGAAAGACGTTATTGCCCTTCTTTCCTACGGGATTTGGAGCATTACAGACGTCACGACCAAATAACAGCGATTGGTTAAATAAAAAAAGTCTCTGCCTACTGTCGAGCGAACGAATCCTAATGCTGCGAGGTCAGGCGGTTTCCACGAAGTGAAACCAGCTGATGAATGAGGCTATACTTTTGCACCGCTACAAAGTTCATATGAAACACAAACATTTTAATCATCAAAACCGTGAAAAGGTCAAATGTGTCGCATAAATGAGTTTCCTTCCACTGAACAAACAACAAAACTGTAGCTGTAACAAAATAATTTAGAAAAATATTGTAGGGAAAGGTGCCTGTTCAGGGCCTGGTCCCCCATTCTGACAGAATCCACAAACCAGGAACCTAGAGAAGTCGGTTCTGCCTGACTGCCTCTTGGTATTTACAACCCCAAGAGAACCGACCTTTGGTGCTTTCACCCCTCCCTTCCCCCACGCCAGGTGGGACATGAATCAGAAGTGGGAAATTGACATGGCTCTGCTAAAGTGATAAGGACTGTTAAATAATGACATTCCTCATTTTGCTTTGAAGAAACTGACCCACATCATCTACATACCAGACCATCAGGCGCCAATGCTTGGACCGGTTAAACCCACGATGGACTGTGGTTGCCACTTTTTGGACACTAGAGAAGGACTGGATTAAACGCATCTTGATAACTAGTTACAAATGTTTTTAACTGTGTTCTATATAAGGCTCATGTTGATGCAAGATAAGTATGCCACATTGCTTAATTCATGTGTTCATGGTCTCTTGTGTGTATTTCATGTCATGTTCCCGCGGAGGTATTTACGGTAACTTCACGGCGTGTTTTCGGACAGACACACCTTTGATTTCTCTGTATGAATCATCGGCTAATGTTATCGTAAACAGTTATGAAGTACCTGAAAGTGGGAGGTTATCAAATTAATATTTACAAATGATATTTGTACGGGGACCAGTTCAGCTCAGACCTGGGCGTGCCTTAAATTTGCATATAACAACGCCCACCAAGCGCACTGACCAAAACGAAGCCTCACGCGCGAAAACATCGCTTCGCCTTTCTTCGCTCTTCGCCTTGCCTCGCCGCCGCGAGGACCCGCCGAGGAGGACCAGGGAAGACGGCCGGTCGGAGAGACCCAGGGGGAGCTGTAACAGACCTGGAGTCGCACCTGCCGAGAGCTGAGGACCAGAGCCGGTGAAGGAGGCGTGGACCGCCCTGCCCGAGTACCGTCATCACGCCGCTGCCTGCCCGTGCGCACGACCACCGCCGAACCCCGCCATCGCCGCATTCCACACGGACCGAGAACAACATCGCCAAGTAAGGCTGGTTCTGAACAGTGAATGAATAAGGGTTGGCATCCCTCTTACGATTGCGTCCAATTATTCCCAAGGCAAGCGCAGTAGCGACTTAGCGAAACGCCATAACTGAGCTAAACTGAACCCCGTTTTTATAACTACCTCAGGTTGTTAAAATCGGTGCTTTAATGTTACGTAACCAGAACTTGGAAGCTGGTGTCTAGTTATTGTTTGTTAATAAACCACACAAAGGAATTTGCTGGTTTCAGTGATTTTTCTTAAAGTTATCATCAGGTCACTTTTTCGGGTACGTTCCCTTCAGATTGATTAAATTGATAAGTTGTTGTTGTCGTATATGGTTAAGTTTGATTCGGTCAGAATCTGGTGCCCCGCAAATGTATTGTGAATGTTCGTCAAAAGCTAAACCACATGCCCAACACGCACATCTTACAACACGTCAAGTCGTATTTCTCCTACAGTATACCAAAAGATAGTCTTGGCAATATATAGATACAGCAGCCCATGATATTGATACTGCATCATCACATTAAATGATACGATATATTCACTTCATGGAAAACATCTGATCTCGCAGCATTAGATTTCGTTCGCTCGACAGTAGGAGGTCACTTTTTGTCATTTAACCAATCGCTGCTGTTTGGTCGTGACGTATGTAATGCACCAAAATCCCATAGGAAAAAGGACAATAACGTCTTTCCTCTTGATAAAATTCACCAAACATTCTCTTTGTTCCAGCTTTAAATCCTCGATCTCGGGAATCGTTGCCAACACAGAATATATGGTTCTTCGCTGATTGGCTGGTGCCTGAACTCACACTTTCGGGGTTTTTGTGAACCGTCTAGTGTATTTTGATTCCTGATCTAGTCGCTGGAGAGAAATGAAACAGCGGAGGCACTAGGTGGCACCAGCCTGACTATCTAATTATTAGTAACCACATTATAATAACAGTAAATATAGTGAGAGACTTTCCAAAAGGTTTGAACTGATTTTCTATCTTTATATTTCTCTGTTTGTTCATAGAAGCGATTTTCATCTGGACCCATGGCCTCACCGTCTTTGCCTAAAAAGTTCCGCTGTGACCAGTGTGGGAAATCCTTCTCCACCTCTGCTCACCTCAAAAGACACTCTGTGCTTCACTCTGGCGTCCGTCCGTACGAATGCGACCAGTGTGAGCAGACCTTCACCCAGGCCTGCCACCTCAAGAAGCACCTGCAGACCCACACCGGAGCCAAACCCTTCACCTGCGACCAGTGTGGCAGCAGCTTCACCACTGGGGGGAGCCTCCGCCGACACCAGCTCATCCACACCGGCGCCAAGGACCACACGTGCGACCAGTGTGGGACGGCCTTCACGCTTTTAGACGATCTGAAAAAGCACATGCGCATTCATTCCGGCGAGCGTCCATACCGATGTGACCAGTGTGGTAAAACGTTTCCGTGGGTTAAATCATACAAAAAACACCTAAAGATCCACAGCGGACTCAAGCCGTGCACCTGCGAGACGTGCGGGAAGTCCTTCATCTCGAGCACGGTTCTGAAGCAGCATATGAAGAGCCACAGCAAAGAAAAGCCCTACACTTGTGCCGAGTGTGGGAAAAAGTACAAAAGCGCTCAGGCGTTTAAGCTGCACTGCGTTCTCCACTCGGGACTGAGGCCGTATCTCTGCGACCGCTGTGGGACGAGCTTCACGAACCCGTCGTCGCTGAATTCTCACAACCTCAAACACACACGGGAGCTGGTCATCCCCTGTGAGGTCTGTGCAAAGGTTTTCTTCACCAAACCAGAGCTGAATCAACACATGAAGGTGCACAAGAAGATCAAGGCCAAACAGAAGAACTAAACCATTTATCACTTTTACATTTTGTAAACTGTAAAGCGCAATTTAATTATAGAAATGGGAAGAACCGAATGAACTCCATCAGTTACAAAATCGTAACTAGATAAAATGTGTTTTTATTATTGTTGAAAATGACCACAAGACTTGCATAACACACATAAATGCATAACACACTCAGATGGTCGATGTCCAAAAGCTTTTTTTTATATTAACGTAACATTTTGGGGAAAAAAAAAAAGCCTTCGTCAGATATTTTTCTCGCTTTGGACCACAGAACTATCCAGGCTGGCGCCACCTTGTGCCTCCGCTCAATTTCATTTCTCTCAGCGACTAGGTCAGGAATCAGAATACACTAGATGATTCGCAAGAACCCCGGAAGTTGTAGATCGCGTATCAGCCCATCAGTGAAGAGCTGTGAAGTCATGACGTCAAACTCGTCACGTCTGTCTGGGTCTATTTTGTGGAACAGCACAACAGTAAACAAAGTGTCGAGATGGATGTAGACGAAGACAGACATTCTGTGTTGGCGACGATTCCCGAGATCGAGGATTTAAAGCCGGAACGAAGAGAATGTTTGAATTTTATCAAGGGGAAAGACGTTATTGTCCTTCTTCCTACGGGATTTGGAGCATTACATACGTCACGACCAAACAGCAGTTATTGGTTAAATTAAAAAAGTACCTGCCTACAATCAAGTGAACGAATCCTAATCAGACGGTTTCTACGAAGTGAAACCGGCTGATAAATCAGGCTACCACAGAAGACAAACAAGAAAAATATCTGACGAAGCCTTTTTTTTTTTTTTGCCAAAACGTTATTCAAAAATTTTAAAAAAGCTTTTGGACATCAGCCATCTGAGTGTACTATGCATTTTGTCACTTTTATTTGCTGTTCGTTGCATTTGCAAAGGCATTTGGAAACATACGATGACGGCTCTGTTCGCAGTAGTACCGTATTTTCTGGGCCATTAGACTCACTCTTAAGCCTCTAATCGCATCAAAAAACGGCCACGTGCCACAATCCAGAGCGCCCCATACATGAATCTACTCTGGTGTCCCAGCACGACTTCAGTAAACTACAAAGCCGCAGACAGCGACTGCACAGCGAAACACACCTGCAGACACACTCGTCACTCCACGCCGACGAGGAACAGAACGGAGGAACGAACCGAAAAAGCGAGTCCAATGTGCCACTTCTAGACACGACTGAACAACTGAGTCACCGTGAACGCCACAAACCAACAAAACCACTCACCCATCCAGCTGTTGTGTTTCCTTTAAAGTCCCACACGGTTTATTTGTGAAAAAAGTTTGAAAATAGACCATTTAATGACTTAATGTCTTATACTCCAGAGCGCCTAATAGTGCGGAAAATACGGTAAGTCAAAGTCTTGGAAAAATGAGAAAATGTCCCAGTTTTCGTCATCTCCATGCCTTTGTAGTGTTCCGTTATGTTCGTCTCATCAACCACCCCTCAGTTTTAAGTGCAGAGCTGTGGGCGGGGGAAGGGGGTTGGTGCAAACAGAATTTTTCTGAGCACTCGAGCGTCGATCGCAGGAACATATAAGATTATTCTAACCTGCAAGAATCACTCATAATTACACAAATGCAACATAATGAAGAGGTGACACTGGGTAAAAGCTCATAAAGGCAATTTTGCACAATTATTCTCTTTTAAAATAATAATCTAGTCTATACTTTTGACACTAAAAGCTCCGGTTACATTTTTGTGCCAAATGTAATTGCCTTACTGTAAAAACTATGCTTATTATTGTATGTTTAATGCATCTTTTTTATTGAGACTATACAAACACTGATAGAAAACACAGACTTTTGTTTTAAATTGGAGTCTTGAAGAAGCTTTAGCCTGAATAAAGCATCAGAGATAATGATTCTAATTTATCAAACAAATGGAGAAAGTTGATGTTCTAATACAAAAGTGAAATGCGTCTGTAATGTTTGTTAAATCACTTTATAATCCTCTGTTTGATATGAATTCACTGTGATGAAATAAACCCCTAGGCCCAGTCTGCGGTCGACCTTTCCTCGTCTGCTGTTTAATTTGAGTCATTATCAAGTGTCCACATTATAATCAACTCACAGTATTTTTTTGTTGTTGTTATTTACCTTTTTTTTTAAATCTGACTCTGTCCTAGAACCTTGTTGCCTTTTCAATATAAAACCAAAAATAAGAAAACGAACAACCAATTTTCTTCATTATTTGTGCCTCCGAACTGAACCAGGACTAAACGAGGTCCGAGACCAGACCAGGACTGAGACCAGGACTTAGACAAGGACTGAGACCAGGATTGAGACCGGGAACAGGACCAGGACTGAGACTGGGTTCAGTCGAATGAACGAATGATACACGGATTCTTCTCCTTTACAAAATGCTCCAAATTCTCCATTCTGCACTCGTTCAGACTTTCAGAGCAGCCGATATTCTCATAATATTACGACTTTATTTTGACTACGACTTTATTCTCATAAAATTACTACTTTATTTTCGTAAAATTGCGACTTTTTCTGGCTTTGATTTTATTCTCATAATATTATGATTTTAATGTCGAAATGTTACGACTTTATTCTTGTAGCATCAGCATTTTTTATTTTTTTTTTTTTTTTTATCTGACCCTTATACTCCGTCGTAGTTTTATTTAATATTCTACAAAACCCTCTGTGCACATCGTTTCTTTTTGGATCTGTCCGCACGTGCGCTGCAGCTCATCCCGACTCATTAACGCCCCTTTTGTCGCGCTGTTGTGATTTATCGATTCCTCCTCCTCCTCTTTCTCCAAAAAAAAAAAAAAAAAAAAATTTAAAATCACCCGGGGGCCCTCGCTCTGTGCCCTATCCGCGCTCGGGCCCCTCTGCCTCCCACCTGGCCCCCGCGCGCGGCCCCTCCTCGCTCCTCCATTGTTGTGCGCCTCGGGTCGTACCATTCCCCGGGTAAGACGCGGGGGTGTTTCGGCTGGAGGAGGAGGAGGGGGGTTCTGTGCGTTTGTGGCTCGGGAAGATGAGATGCACCTGAGCTAGCGCGGCCATTCATCCTTTTTGCGCTTGTTTTTACGTATTTTTTTGGTTCGCGTGGCGCACTGGGCGGACCGGGGCGAGACGCGCTGTGGATTATTTTGCGCGTAAAACAAAGCGTATTTTTGGTTTTGTTTTTGGTTTTTTTTGTATTTTTGGAGGGGGGGGCTGTGGATTGAGGTGGAGGCAGAGGAGCTGGACCATTGTCTCTCTCTCCTCGAAACCCAAAATACCACAGCGGTGTCGCGAGCTCCGTGAACATGTTGTGGATGTTGGCGTTGGCGTGCGCTTGGAGGAGTTCTGCCGCAGCGTCCCGTAAGTACCACATCGCACAAAGAAGGAGGGGGCGCGGGTCCGGGCGGAATGGGACCAAAGCCTGGACCTGGTGCGCCGTTTCCAGGCCCGGTGAGAGGAAAATAAACCCGTGAAAATGTCCAGTCGCGCTTAAAATCCCCAAACGTGGGCTCGGTTCGGTTTTGGCGAAGTGTGCGCGCGCAGGGTTTGGGGTTTTGGGGGTTTTGGGAAATGAAACCAGGCCCCGGTGCTTCGCTCATAAATCATAACGCGTGACGTGGAAGGTGAATTACTCAGACTCTCGGTGTGGTGTTGTTGGGTTCACGCGGGACGATGTTAAGTCCTGGTTTAGTCCTAGGTCTAGGTCTAGTCCTGTTTAAGTTCTGACTCAGTCTTTTAAAGATTGTAAGTTTTAGTCCAGGTTATTTGCATCTAGTTTATTCCTAAATAACAGCTGGGACCGAGACTAAACCAGGACTAGGACAGGACCAAAACAAATCTACACCAGGACCAGGACTAAACCAGGACCAGACCAGGATCATCACTTCATAATTGGGACTACCAGGACTAAAACTGAACCAAACCAGGTGTACATCAGGTCTAAACTGGGTCCAAATCAGGATCATCACTTCAAAATTGGGACTCAACCTTGACCTAAACCTGGACTAGACCAGGTACATGAGGACTAGGACAGGACCAAAACAAATCTACACCAGGACCAGGACTAACCTAGGTTCAAATCAGGACCAAACCAGGATCATCACTTTTATAACTGGGACTAAACAGGGCCCCAACCAGGATCAAAAACAGGATCATCACTTCAAAACTGGGACTCAACCTTGACCTAAACCTGGACTAGACGAGGTAAACCAGGACTAGAACCGCACCAAAGCAATTCTACGTCAGGACTAACCTGGGTTCATACCAGGATCAAACCAGTACCAAAACCAGCATCATCACTTCAAAATTGGGACTAAACTCCGACCTAAACCTGGACTAGAACTAGACCAAACCATATCTACACCAGGACAAAACTGGGTTCAAACCAGGACCAAACCAGGATCATTACTTCAAAACTTGGACTGAACTCTGACCTAAACCTGGACTAGAACAAGACCAAACGAAATCTACACCAGGACTAAACTGGGCCCAAAAAAGGACCATCACTTCAAAACTGGGACTACACCCTGACTTAAACCTGGACTAGACCAGGTAAACAAGGACTAGAACTGGAATAAACCAAGCCTACATCAGGCCTAAACACGGGTCAAACTAGGACCAAAACCAGGATTATCACTTCAAAACTAGGACTAAACCCTGACCTAAACCCGTAACCAAACTGAGTCTACATCAGGACTAAACTGGGCCCAAACCAGGATCATCACTTTAAAATTTAGACTAAATCCTGACCTAATACTGTAATAGACCAGGTAAACCAGGACTAGAACCAACCCAAACCAAATTTATACCAGGACCAGGACCAAACTGGGTTCAAACCAGGACAAAACCAGGATCATCACTTCAAAATTGGGATTAAACCCTGATTTAAACCTGGACTAGACCAGGTAAACAAGGACTAGAACTTAAATAAACCAAGCCAAGCCTACATCAGAATTAAACTGGGTTCAAACCAGTACTAAGACCAGGATCATCACTTCAAAACTGGGACTAAACCCTGACCTAAACCCATAACAAATAAACAAGGACTTGAACTGGAGCAAACCGAATCTACACCAGGACTAAACTGGGCCCAAACCAGGATCATCAATTCAAAATTTAGACTAAATCCTGACCTGATACTGTAATAGACCAGGACTAGAACCAACCCAAACCAAATCTATACCAGGACCAGGAGGAAACTGGGTTCAAACCAGGACAAAACCAGGATCATCACTTCAAAACTGGGACTAAAACCTGACCTAATCCTGGACTAGACTAGGTAAACAAGGACTAAAACCGGACCAAACCTAATCTACACCAGGACCAGGACTAAACTGGGTTCAAACCAGGACAAAACCAGGATCATCACTTCAAAATTCGAACTAAACCCTGACCTAATACTGGACTAGAACCAGGCCAAACCAAATCCACACTAGAACTAAACTGGGCCCAAACCAGGATCATCACTTCACAATTGGGACTAAACCTTGACCTAAACCTCAACTAGACCAAATAAACAAGGACTAGAACCGGACCAAACCGAGTCTACACCAGGACTAAACTGGGCCCAAACCAGGACCAAACCAGTCCAAGAGTCTGAGTATGAAATGTTTTTTTTTTGTTGGTTCATGTCCTGGTTTTGTTCTTGGTCCTGAAAGATCCTCAGTTCAGATTCTGTGTTGTTCTTGATCTCCTTAGTCCTAAATTAGACCTGGTTTAGTCCCGGTCTCACTGCTCGTTGTTAAAGTTTTGATTTATCTTGTTTAATCTCTGTTTATTCTCTAGAAATTGCAGTTTTTTTCAGACTTCTCTGCGTTATTGGGTCGCCCCGTGCCGCAGTATGAATCTAAACTAGGGCCACTGCACTGAACCAAATGCAAATCCCACACTTTAAAAAACTGACTCGACAAATCTACTTTTGTTCACGAGGAACTTTCACAGCGTCTGAAACTCCAGCGCACGTTTTGTGTTCCGGAGAAGAGATGGGCTTTTCTGAAACACGACACTTCGTTATTCAATTGTGTAGAAATTAATGCTCCCAACGACACGAGGAGGAGTGTAGCTGTAGTGTGGGAAATAAAGGCAGGTGTACAGTCATTTGGTATTTTTTTATTATGGTGTAAACGTAGAAATAGATTATGGGTCATTCCTGAAAAAATTCTAGGAGGTTTACTCACTTTCCAATAAGAAAAGTCCCAAATTTTAGCTCCCAACTCCTTACAGTTTTGTCATTAAAAACAGTTTTGTCGACTCTGCCCTGACCTGTTTTGAGCAGAGTTTTTCAGATTATTGCATCTAAAAAACTATTTTAGGTCGAGTTAAAATTTGTCAAATGTACTTGTAGAATCTGGACTTTTACACGTGTGCATTTGGTTTATCACAGATTTCTAGAGGCTTGAATTTGCTCGAAAATTTTACTCTTCAAATCTGAGAGCGTCTTTGAAGGACTGTGAAAAGTGCAAGAGGTTTGATATTGAACATAAATCTTTACACTAGAGGTGTAACGATATCATCACAGACAGTGTCGGGGAGTAACAGATTACATGTACCGGAGTTAAGTAATCTGAGTACAAATGATGAGTAACTGTATTCAGTTACAGTTACTGTTTCAGTGAGTGGGAATTGGATTACAGTTACTTTGTTGAAATAAATGGATTACACAGCGGGATTTTCCTGTTTTCACCTTTTGGGCTAAATCGCTTTTTTTTTCTTTTTTTTTTTTTCCGGTAATTCCACTCATTACTGGAAACTAAACCAGGTCTAAACTAGATCTAAACCAGGTCTAAACCAGGACTAAACCAGGTCTGAAACCAGGTCTGAACCAGGTCTAAACCAGGTCTAAACCAGGACTAAACCAGAACTAAACCAGGACTAAACCAGAATCTAAACCAGGACTAAACCAAGACTAAACCAGAACTAAACCAGAATTAAACCAGGACTAAACCAGGTCTGAACCAGGTCTGAACCAGGACTAAACCAAGACTAAACCAGGTCTAAACCAGGTCTAAACCAGGTCTAAAACCAGGTCTAAACCAAGACTAAACCAGAATTAAACCAGGTCTAAACCAGGACTAAACCAAGACTAAACCAGAATTAAACCAGGTCTAAACCAAGACTAAACCAGAACTAAACCAGAATTAAACCAGGACAAAACCAGGTCTAAACCAGGTCTAAACCAAGACTAAACCAAGACTAAACCAGGACAAAACCAGGTCTAAACCAGGTCTAAACCAGGTCTAAACCAGGTCTAAACCAGATCTAAAACATTATTTATATTATATTTGGAGATCTTCCCACCGAGACAGAGTGAGACCCTTGAGCCTCTGTTCTGCTCGTGTGTGAATATCTTGGTCGTAGATGAACGTGTCTCTTGTGTTTTAGATGAGAAATGACAATTTTAGTCTTTCTGATAAACATAATTTTGTCATTTAAAGGCGTTCGGCAATAAATGGGAGTAAACATGCACTGTCTGCCTTTTTATCCCACCACAAGCTCCAGATGAAAATACTCAGTTCCACCTTGTGATGTCATGTCATACTGGATGGGCTCCACTGTGTTTTTAAACTCCACACACATTCACTATTCACGATATCAGCCTTGGAATTAATTGGGTCTTTCCACGTTAAATCTCTTAAATGTCCCTGCCCGACCATCTCAGATTTGACAGGAAAAGTCCCAAGTTTTAGTTCCCAGCTCCTTAGTTTTGTCATTGTCCAGTTTATGTTGGTGTGTGCTGTCATTTTTTTGGTATAACATGGTAAAGATGGTACCAAATTTATTTTTTTCCATTTTTTACACTTAATATCTTCAGGATCGTTCGTCACAGAGGCTCAGTTTTAAAATACAAAGTCCACAGTGGCTTGTGTGGGAAGGTTTATGTTCAGTATCAAACCTCTGTCTTTGAAATTGCACTTTCCACAGTCCTCAAATTTGAAGAGACGAATTTTTTTCAAGCCTCCAGAAATCAGTGATAAACCAAAAGCACATGTGTAAAAGTCCAGATTCTACAAGTACATTTGACAAATTTGAACCCTTTTGACCTTCAAATAGTTTTTTAGACGCAGCAATCTGAAAGTGTCTCCTCTGAAACTCTGCTCAAAACAGGTCAGGAGGAAGTTGACAAAATATTTTTTAACGACAAAGTGTGTGAACCTCCTGGAATTTTTTTTCGGTCAAATCTGAGACGGTCTGGTGTGGGCGTTTCGGAGATTTGGCGTGGAATGACCCAACTGTTTCTACGTAACAAAAGGAAAAAGGAGCTGTTAACTTGAATAGTAACTTCGGAAATGTAGCCAGACAAATAATAAAGACTTACTCAAACACGTGAATGAAACAAAACTCAACTCCAGGTCTGTTTTTGATGACGCGATGTGCAATACGGGATCATTAAAGTTTTGTTTTTTGTTTCGCAGAGAAGTGCGAGGACAGCCTGGCCACTCCTCTGCCCTACAGCTTCTTCAGCAGCTCCTCCGTGTTCGGTCGAGATTACGGCGCCGGCTACGGAAAACTACAGCGCAACCAAGGTACGTGTGTCAAACAAAGAGTCGTCCTCCCTCTGAGCCAGATGTTCAGACGGCGACAAGCGAGCGAAAAGTGAAAAAGAAGCCCCAGTAACGACTTTAAAACGTATCACCTTGGATTTTTGTCACCTCTACGTCTCTACAGTTAAAGAATTGACTCGGAGTGGCTTTATTTATCGCCTTAAAGGGGTAACTCGAGCTTTCTCCGGAGTCAGAGAATTCACGCTCGACTGTGATTGGTTAAATCCACCTGTCAGTCACTCAGAGCAGAGGCTGGAGGAGTGACGCGGCTCTGAATCGCTCTTGAACACACTTCTGGGGGTGGTAAAATATATGAAATCAACTGTGACACTGAAATAACATCATTTCTTGTGTGAAAAACTACAGAGGATTTTCAAATAACATGAAATCCCGGTCTATTTCAAACTTAAAAAACACTTTAAGACAGAAATTGGTCGACCCAAAGGACAAAACACAGAGCCACAAACAAAGCAATGTGGTTTACTCCATTCAGTGTAGTGAAGACTGAAGTGGAGAAAACGAAACAGACACTTCACAAGAGACGAGAGAGCAACACAGGACCTCAGTCTGATGTACGTCTCCATCTAAAAACCACGGGACACTCCTTTGAGGACAGTGAGGAACAGAGCTGAGCCAGAGAAAAGATTTGGTTTGAGAGGGGAGTTAAAGAGGCTGTTTTTGTTCGGAAAGATAATGGAGGACTTGGACACCATCTATAACCTATTTACAAGTCCATCCTCAGACCTAAATTAAAACAAAGGGAACAAAAGGTGTATCCAGGTCGGGTCCAGAGGTGTGAAAAGCTCCATTTTGGTCCTGAATGATTCTGCTAATCAGGACCCCACACTCACCCGGTCCAGATGAACAGGCCGAACTACAAACAGACAGTGTCGGGGAGTAACAGATTACATGTACTGGAGTTAAGTAATCAGAGTACAAATGATGAGTAACTGTATTCAGTTACAGTTACTGTTTCAGTGAGTGGTAATTGGATTACAGTTACTTTGTTGAAATAAATGGATTACACAGCTATATCCCTTTTTTTTTCCCGGTAATTCCACTCATTGCCAGACACTAAATCAAGTCCAAACCAGGTCTAAATCCAGATCTAAACCGGGTCTAAAACTGGGTCTAAACCGGGTCTAAACCAGGTCTAAACCAGGTCTAAACTAGGTCTAAACTAAACTAAGAAAACCAGGTAAACCAGGTCCAAACCAGGTCCAAACCAGGTCTAAACCAGGTCTAAACCAAAACCAGGTCTAAACTAGGTCTAAACCAGGTCCAAACCAGGTCTAAACCAGGTCTAAACCAGGTCAAACCAGGTCTAAACCAGGTCCAAACCAGGTCTAAACCAGGTCTAAACCAGGTCTAAACAGGTCTAAACCAGGTCCTAAAACTAGGTCTAAACTAAACTAGGTCTAAACTAAACCAGTTCTAAAACCAGGTCTAAAACTAAACCAGGTCTAAACTAAGAAACTAAAACCAGGTCCAAACCAGGTCCAAACCAGGTCTAAACTAAACCAGGTCTAAACCAAAACCAGGTCTAAAACTAGGTCTAAACTAGGAAACTAAACTAGGTCTAAACCAGGTCTAAAACCAGTTCTAAAACCAGGTCTAAACCAGGTCTAAAACCAGGTCTAAACCAGGTCTAAACTAGGACTAAACTAGGACTAAACCAGTTCTAAAACCAGGTCTAAACCAGGTCTAAAACCAGGTCTAAACCAGGTCTAAAACCAGGTCTAAACCAGGTCTAAACCAGGAAACTAAACTAGGAAACCAAACCCTAGGTCTAAAACCAGGTCTAAACTAAAACTAGGTCTAAAACCAGGTCTAAAAGGTCTAAACAGGTCTAAACCAGGAAACCAGGTAAACCAGGACTAAAACTGGGTGTAAAACCAGGTCTCAAACAGGATTTAACAGGACTAAATCATGCCGTGCGGTCCGTGTCTCCTCCTCTTCTATCAATAATATTTTTAATTTGGTAAAGTAAAGTCTGGACTTTTTATTATTTTTATTTTCTTTTATCAGACAAAAACTTCTTATGTGAAGATTTCCTCGTCTTTGCTTCTCTACAGCAAATCAAGTAATCCAAAGTATTCAGATTACATTACTCACTTTAAGTAATTTAATGGATTACGTTACAAACTACATTTTGGTGTATGTAATCTGCAACCTGTAGGGGATTACATTTTAAAAGTCACCTTCCCAACACTGCAAACAGAAACTGTAAACATGTAGGTGTGTTAGTTTCAGAGTAGTTTCAGTGTAGTTAGCTCCTCCCTGCAGACAGATGATAAGGAAGTTTGCACCAACATGCATATTCTGATTATTGGACAAGAAAACCCTTTATATTTCGACGCGGACAGTTCACAGCAGATTTATTTTGACCTCAAGAGCTGCTTTTACAATAAATCTGTACTGGAATACGACTTTTAGCTTGAATACTTGAGAAAAAAAACACGTACAGGGTTTTTAAATTTGAACTACTTGATAGATCCTTCAAGATCCTCTCTGAAAACCATCCTTAAGTACCAGACGTTTGTTAATCTTCTGCTCTTCTGTCCCGCGTCAGGAGCGGGAGGATGGGTGCCCCTGGACTCGGACCGGTCGCCGTGGTTACAGGTGGACCTCGGGGGGAGGCGGGAGGTGGTTGCCGTGGCGACGCAGGGCAGGTACGGCAGCTCGGACTGGACCTCGAGGTACCGGCTCCTCTACAGCGACACCCAGAGGAACTGGAGGCCCTACCTGCAGGACGGGAACATCTGGGTGAGGGGGACTTTTTGTCAGCGTAACGGACGTTAGTTCAGACGCACCTGAGTTATGGTTTTATATTTCTGTAAAACAAAAAACGGTACAAAGTTCAACGTCTTTTCTGTCAGGAGAAATGAACAAAAGTCTTCAGAATGGATTCAAATGGATTCTCGTGAGATTTGTTTGTACACATTCTCACGAGAAAACATCTTGAGATAGTTCCACTGTGAAGTTAATATTGGCCAAAGCAAACAAAACAAACATGGCAACGCTGTGTCCTGTCGATTTGAGCTCCCAAACGCTACTGCGCATGTGCACGACCCCCAAGCTCTGTTGTGGTCCGTTCAGACTGCAGCATCAAAAACGCCCCAGACGCCTTTATTTGGACGCCTTTGCATTTGAGTTCAGACACTCCTGACGCACGCCTTGAACGCCGTGGACTAACAGGAGAAAAATACTCGATGCCCTGGAAGCGCCCAGTCTCGGTCTTTTCCCAGAACGATGGCAGACCAGGCTGAGAGTGACTTTAGTGTATTTATTATTACAAGATGCAGACGTGTTATTATTTGCCAAAAAGTAATATAAAAAAAAAAAATAGGCCATGACAACTTTTGAGGATTGCCTCATGGGGGCAGAGGGGCTGGGGGCCGGTCAAAGGGGCGTGGTGGGCCAGAGTCGGCCCGCGCGCCTTAGTTTGATGACCCCTGGTGTAAAGTCTGATCACCGTGTGCAAACAGCATCAAGCCCAAAGAAATATGTTGTAAAACTGGGGAGATTTGGTTTTATTGGCTCTATAAATCTATAAACGTTAAAATGTAAGGTCGCTTATTTTGACGGGGGTAGCGTGAATCGATAGACGTCACTGTCATTTCGATAGAACATGTCAGACTTACTCCATTTTAGTGAAAATACAGATGATTTTTTTTTTTTTTTTTCACTTTATTTTTATTGGATATGATAAATTTATAAACATAACAAGAAAAACGGGAACGGAAACAAAAGCCTTGGTGACACTTTTGCATAAATAATGTCCGTTTTTCCCATTTCTTCTTCATTTGTGCTTCTTGCAATCTCAGTCTATAAGTTATTTTTTCCATTAGATAGAAGTCTTTTACTGATCCTTTGATGGCACAGAAGTTTGAATTTATTTGTTTGGAGCATAAGCCCCTTGAGATGTGTCACCATCTGGTTTTCGAGGGGGTCCTCATAAATACAACAACAAAAGACAGAAACAGTCGGGCAAACAGTAGGAGACAGAAATTCAAATAAGCATCAAAACAACAAAATCAACACAACCACAAACACACACACACAGTCACACTCACTCACGCTTGACTGTTTCACACATAATAAAACAAATTTGAAAAAAAAAAAAACTAGAAAAGCACTCAGAGAGCGCAGACCTCCGCCAAGGACTACCCCCATTTTTTATATAAATTGCGATAAAATCAGTCTTCTGGATCAGATCCGGATCAGCCTTTGGAATATGAAAGAGGATCCCATTGTCCATCCCTGAGTCAAATTTCATGGGGTTTGGTCAATAATTAACCGAGATATTGAGAAACAAATTTTTGGCCCCATTTACCACAATGTTAACTAAAATTTCAAAGTGATCCAGAATCCAGGATTTCTTCCGGATCACCCCCAAAATGAAATCAGTTCTTCCTTTTCACATTTCCAACAAATCCTGAAAATTTCATCAAAATCGGTCCATAACTTTTTGAGTTATGTTGCTAACAAACAGACAAACAAAAACAAACAGACAAACAGACAACACAGACAGAACAGACAACAGACAAACAAACAGACAAACAGACAAACAGACAAACAGACAGACAAACAGACAGACAGACAAACAGACAGACAAACAGACAGACAGACAGACAGACAGACAGACAAACAGACAAACAAGACAGACAAACAGACAAACAGACAGACAGACAGACAGACAGACAGACAGACAGACAGACAGACAGACAGACAGACAAACAAACGCCAGCAAAAACATAACCTCCTTGGCGGAGGTAATAAACAGAGTTCAAAGATAATCACAGGATACAACAAGATAAACAACAAAATTCAACAAAATAATCAAAAACAATGACATGTGTTATGTAAATGTTGAACCAGAGCATTTTTAAATAAAGGGACAGAAGTTAAAGATTGTTCCAATCAGAAGCAGCTTTATATTTAAATGAGTATTTTCCAATTAGTTTTTTGACTCTTGGGACAACAAAAAATATCTGATCTGCATAACGTAAACTATAAGAGGATCTGAATGGAATTAAATACTGTTTAAGATATTCAGGAAAAGTGAGATTAATACATTTAAAAATAAATAATAACCAGTGAAGTTGACGTCGGGAGGACAGATGAAGCCAGGACAGTTGGTGATACGTCGTACAGTGGTGAGTTCTGAAGGGACAGCGGAGAATGAATCTGCACAGACTCTTCTAGATAAACGTTGAGTGGCTGGAGAATAGAAGTTGTAGTATTTTGATAAATGATATCGCAGTCTTCTAAAATGGGAAGAATTAGTTGTGAAATAATCTTTTTCCTAACAGAAAAGCTAAAACAACTGATGGACTGATAAAGTCATTTTAAGCGATATGGAATTTTGTGCCTCAGTTCCTGGTTATTGATTTTTTTTGGCAGCTAATGACATGACTTTGAACAGATATACATCGCTTTGGTGAATAATGTTTTCTGAGAAGTTGTATAGGACAGACCAGTTCAGGTGACGAGGGGACAGAATATCCCAATATCACAAACCATTTCCCAAAATACAGTCATATTTGCACATTTCCAAAATATACGAGAACGGTCCACATTGATCTCTCCACATTTCCGCCAACTCAAAAATACAGATGATTTTGTTTGTGAAAAATGTAAAGAGGGAATATGGAGTAAGAAAGCTGTCAAAAATATTCGTGCGCATAAAATAGAAATCTGTGCATATTTGTCTGTAGTTGCGCATAAAATAAATATTTGTAAACTCTCAAATGAGTCCAGTCGTACATAAAATATATTGTGTGTATTTTGTCCATCAGAATACGAATTGAAAAATTACGACGTCATGAATTACAATCACGAAATGAAAATTTACGATTACGCTTTCATCAGTACGAATACGAATTCACAGACGGAACTTTACTGTCAAAAATACGTCATCACTTCACAGACATTATCCATCGAGCAGAAGAAACATCGATCAAGATCAAGACTGTGCAGCTCAAGTTTGTATCAGAGTAAAAACAAAAACAGAGTAATGACACAAGGAGCAACAACAGAACAACAAGTGGGTTCATTAAAATATTGTAAAAATGTCTTGTCTTGCCAATTGAATTCAGGAACCAAACGCTGCTGTATAATATTGTGTAGAAACACCTCCTCTGAACGGGAAATTGCACCTATATGTTAGAAAACATAGTGGAGCCAGTTGGTGAACATCAGACGTAACGTTATCCCAGGGATCATTAGCAAATATCAGGTTCTCTGTATGTTTAGATTAAAACATTCACGGCTACAGCCACAGCGAGCATCAGTCAGTCTGAACCTTCAGCTCAGCTGCATTTCTCGCATGAAATGCCACCAAAAGTTCCTCTGGACGCTGAAATGTCCCAGTTTACACCAAACACGACCAAACTGTCCTGGTTACAGACGTCACAGCTAATGAAATGTTACCACATTACAGTTTAATGCAGCTTCCAGCATCAATTAATGTTGTGTTTACAGGCAACACCTTAGTATGTTTACAGTATTTACCGGTAAGTTTAACGTCACCGTGACGTGGATGGATTTGCTCATTATAACCCATTATAACTCATGTATAACCCATTATAACTCATGTATAACCCATTATAACTCATGTATAACCATTGTATAACCCATATAACTCATGTATAACCCATTATAACTCATGTATAACCCATTGTCTGAAATGCAGCTGAAGGTTCAGACTGACTGATGCTCGCTGTGGCTGTAGCCGTCAATGTTTTAATCTAAACCTACAGAGAACCTGATATTTGCTAATGATCCCTGGGATAACGTTACGTCTGATGTTCACCAACTGGCTCCACTATGTTTTCTAACATATAGGTGCAATTTCCCGTTCAGAGGAGGTGTTTCTACACAATATTATACAGCAGCGTTTGGTTCCCGAATTCAAGACATTTTTACAATAGATTTTAATTAACCCACTTGTTGTTCTGTTGTAGCTCCTTGTGTCATTACTCTGTTTTTACTCTGATACAAACTTGAGCTGCACAGTCTTGATCTTGATCGATGTTTCTTCTGCTCGATGGATAATGTCTGTGAAGTGATGACGTATTTTTGACAGTAAAGTTCCGTCTGTGAATTCGTATTCGTACTGATGAAAGCGTAATCGTAAATTTTCATTTCGTGATTGTAATTCATGACGTCGTAATTTTTCAATTCGTATTCTGATGGATAAAATACACACAGTATATTTTATGTACGACTGGACTCATTTGAGAGTTTACAAATATTTATTTTATGCGCAACTACAGCCAAATATGCACGGATTTCTATTTTATGCGCACGAATATTTTTGACAGCTTTCTTACTCCATAATGAAGCTCTGTTTGCGTTTGTGGAGGGAAAGACGTCTGTGCTTTTCTGGATGTAACTAAAGTCAGAGATTTCGCTGTTTCACTGTTATAACTTCTCTTCCACAAATCAGATTCAAAACTCAAATACATGTTCTTCCTTTCCTCTTCTGCTGCGGCTCATCCTGTTTGTGTCTTTCTCCGTCTGTGTGTTTTGCGCTCAGACCTTTGAGGGAAACGTGAACAGTGAGTCCGCGGTGCGTCACCAGCTGCAGCACTCCATCGTGGCTCGCTTCCTGCGCCTGGTCCCGGTGTCCTGGAGCAGAGACGGGCGCGTCGGGGTCCGGCTGGAGCTGTACGGCTGCGCTTACTGTGAGTCACCTTCACGACAGCTCTGACGGTGTTACCGCGGCGACAGGAGACGGAACGTTACTCACACTCGCCGTCTGTGTTTACATGATCCTCAAAATAAGATGATGAACTTTTGCACCGAATATGGACTAAACCAGAACTAAACCAGGACTAAACCAGGACTAAACCAGGACTAAACCAGGAACTAAACCAGGACTAAACCAGAAAACTAAACCAGGACTAAACCAGGACTAAACCAGGACTAAACCAGACTAAACCAGGACTAAAACTAAACCAGGACTAAACCAGACTAAACCAGGACTAAACCAGGAACTAAACCAGGACTAAACAGAACTAACTAAACCAGAACTAAACCAGGACTAAACCAGGACTAAACCAGAACTAAACCAGGACTAAACCAGAACTACTAAACCAGAACTAAACCAGAACCAGAACTAAACCAGAACTAAACCAGGACTAAACAAACCAGGAAAACCAGGACTAAACCAGAACTAAACCAGAACTAAACCAGGAACTAAACCAGGACTAAACCAGAACTAAACCAGAACTAAACCAGAACTAAACCAGGACTAAACCAGGATAGAACTAAACCGGAACTAAAAACTAAAACCAGGACTAAACCAGAACTAAACCAGAACTAAACCAGAACTAAACCAGACTAAACCAGACTAGGAAAACTAAACCAGAACTAAACCAGAACTAAACCAGGACTAAACCAGGACTAAACCAGGAACTAACCAGAACTAAACCAGAACTAAACCAGGACTAAACCAGAACTAAACCAGAAACTAAACCAGGACTAAAACCAGAACTAAACCAGGACTAAACCAGACTAAACCAGAACTAAACCAGAACTAAACCAGAACTAAACCAGAACTAAACCAGAACTAAACCAGGACTAAACCAGACTAAACCAGAAATAAACCAGGACTAACCAGAACTAAAAGGAAACCGGAACTAAACCAGAACCAGAACTAAACCAGACTAAACCAGAACCAGAACTAAACCAGGACTAAACCAGGAAACCAGAACTAAACCAGGACTAAACTAAACCAGGAACTAAAACCAGTAAACCAGGACTAAACAGACTAAACCAGGACTAAACCAGGACTAAACCAGAAAACTAAACCAGAACTAAACCAGACTAAACCAGAACTAAAACTGAACAGGACTAAACCAGAACTGAACCAGAACTAACCAGGACTAAACCAGGACTAAACCAGAAAAAACCAGAACTAAACCAGGACTAAACCAGAACTAAACCAGACTAAACCAGGACTAAACCAGAGTAAACCAGGAAAATGAACCAGAAGACTAAACCAGAAAACCAGGATCTGAACCAGGAATACTAAAAATCAGAAACTAAACAGGTCTGAACCAGGACTGAACCAGGACTGAACCAGGTTCTGAACCAGGACTGAAACCTGAGCTTAGTCTGAACCAGGTCTGAACCAGGACTGAAACCAGGACTAAACCAGGTCTGAACCAGGACTGAACTGGACTGAACCAGGACTAACCAGTCTGAACTAGGACTGAACCAGGTCTGAAACCAGGACTAAACCAGCACTAAACCAGGTCTGAACCAGGACTGAACCAGGACTAAACTAGGACTAAACCAGGACTAAACTTGGACTTGAAAGAGAGCGAGAACCCCGAGCATGTGGGATGTGGAGTTCTGCACCTGTATTTCTCCTGCGGTCACCCGACGGTCTACACGGGAGCACATCCAGGCCCGTCCTGACACTCAGTCCTGGTTCAGTCCTGGTTCAGTCCTGGTTCAGTCCTGGATCAGTCCTGGTTTAGTCTGGTTTAGTCCTGGTTTTAACCTGGTCCTGGTTTAGTCCTGGTTTAGTCCTGGTTTAGACCAGTCTGGTTTAGTCCTGGTTTAGTCCTGGTTTAGTTGGTTCCTGGTTCAGTCCTGGTTTAGTCCTGGTTTAGACCTGGTTTAGACCTGGTTTAGACCTGGTTTAGTCCTGGTTTAGTCCTGGTTTAGTCCTGGTTTAGTCCTGGTTTAGTCCTGTTTTTAGTCCTGGTTTAGACCTGGTTTAGTCCTGGTTTAGACCTGGTTTAGTCCTGGTTTAGTCCTGGTTTAGTTTTCCTGGTTTAGGTTTAGTCCTGGTTTAGTTTAGTCCTGGTTTAGTCCTGGTTTAGACCTGGTTTAGTCTGGTTTAGTCCTGGTTTTAGTCCTGGTTTAGTCCTGGTTTAGTCCTGGTTTTTTAGTCCTAGTCCTGGTTTAGTCCTGGTTTAGACCTGGTTTAGTCCTGGTTTAGACCTGGTTTAGACCTGGTTTAGTCCTGGTTTAGACTGGTTTAGTCCTGGTTTAGACCTGGTTTAGACCTGGTTTAGTCCTGGTTTAGTCCTGGTTTAGTCCTGGTTCATGTGCTGTAGTCTATGGTTTATGTTCTGTAGGAGATGATGATTTTATGTGAAAATGAAGCTCAGATTAAAGTCTGTCAGAGCCTCAAACAGAGCAGTGCCTCCAGTTAGCACCACAGACCCACAGAATCCCAGCGCGGCATTTCCTCATTCGCTCGTGTGTGTTTTTTTTTTCCTGCAGGGGGCGACGTGATCAGCTTCGACGGCCACAGCGTGATCTCGTACCGCTTCAAGAACAAAAAGTCCAAGCTGGTGAAGGACTCGATGGCCCTGAAGTTCAGGACCACGGCCGGAGACGGGGTCCTGGTCCACGGGGAGGGTCAGCAGGGAGACTACGTCACCCTGGAGCTGCACCGCGCACGACTGCTGCTCAAGATCAACCTGGGCAAGTGTCTCCCGCACACGCGACCAACGCAGAAACACACGCAATGATCCTTATGACTTGTTACTGACGTTTCAAAGTCATTAGTTACATTACAATATTACTGCATTTAAAATGTCAAACATGACACGACTATTACAGCACTTTTAATATGGACTAAACCAGAACTAAACCAGAACTAAACCAGAACTAAACCAGAACTAAACCAGGACTAAACCAGGACTAAACCAGAACTAAACCAGGACTAAACCAGGACTAAACCAGGACTAAACCAGGACTAAACCAGAACTAAACCAGGACTAAACCGGACTAAACCAGACTAAACCAGACAGAACTAAACCAGGACTAAACCAGGACTAAACCACCAGACTAAACCAGGAAACTAAACCAGAACTAAACCAGAACTAAACTAAACCAGGACTAAACCAGAACTAAACCAGAACTAAACCAGAACTAAACAGAACTAAACCAGGACTAAACCAGGACTAAACCAGAACTAACCAGGACTAAACCAGAACTAAACCAGGACTGAACCAGGACTAAACCAGGACTAAACCAGGACTAAACCAGGACTAAACCAGGACTAAACCAGAAAACTAAACCAGACTAAACCAGGACTAAACCAGAACTCAACCAGGACTAACAGGACTAACCAGGACTAAACCAGAACTAAACCAGGACTAAACCAGAACTAAACCCAGGACTAAACCAGGACTAAACCAGAACTAAACCAGAACTAAACAAACCAGGACTAACCAGGACTAAACCAGAACTAAACCAGGACTAAACCAGGAAAACTAAACCAGAACTAAAAGACTAAACCAGGACTAACCAGGACTAAACCAGGACTAAACTAAACAGAAACTAACTAAGGACTAAACCAGAACTAAACAGAACTAAACCAGGACTAAAACCAGGACTAACCAGGACTAAACCAGAACTAAACCAACTAAACCGACTAAACCAGGACTAAACCAGACTAAACCAGGACTAAACCAGAACTAAACCAGGACTAAACCAGAACTAAACCAGGACTAAACCAGGACTAAACTAAACCAGGAACTAAAACCAGGACTAAACCAGACTAAACCAGAAAAACCAGAACTAAACCAGGACTAAACCAGAACTAAACCAGGAACTAAACCAGGACTAAACCAGGACTACTAAACCAGGACTAAACCAGACTAAAACCAGAACTAAACCAGACTAAAACTAAACCAGACTAAACCAGGACTAAACCAGGACTAACCAGAACTAAACCAGGACTAAACCAGACTAAACCAGAACTAAACCAGGACTAAACCAGAACTAAACCTAAACCAGGACTAAACCAGGACTAAACCAGACTAAACCAGGACTAACCAGAACTAAAACCAGGAACTAAACCAGACTAAACCAGAACTAAACCAGAACTAAACCAGACTAAACCAGGACTAAACCAGAACTAAACCAGGACTAAACCAGGAAAACCAGGAAAACCAGAACTAAACCAGACTAAACCAGGACTAAACCAGAACTAAACCAGACTAAACCAGACTAAACTAAACAGGACTAAACCAGAACTAAACCAGGACTAAACCAGACTAAACCAGGACTAAAAACCAGAAATTTTAAACCAGGACTAAACCAGAAATCTTTTTTTTTGTTTGACACTAAAACAGAATAATGAAATATTTCCCATTTTATTGTTTTTTGTTCTTAATTGAAATTGAAATGACTGAATGATCCACAGCCTGATGTCCCGTGTCCTAAAACTGACCTGCTTTTTTTCTCTAAACCTTGTGTGGTCCGTGTTCAGGGAGCAGCCAGTACGGCTCGATCCAGGGCCACACGACGGTCTCCAGCGGCTCGCTCCTCGATGACGACCACTGGCACACGGTGAAGGTGGAACGCCTCCGAAGGAACGTGAACTTTACCCTGGACCAGCACACGCAGAGCTTCAGGACCAACGGAGACTTCGACCACCTCGACCTGGACCACGAGGTACGACCGTAGACTGTAACCCGTACGTTTCAGACAGGAAGTGAGCACGGACGCACTTCCGGCTCCAAAAAACGTCGCCCCTTTCTCTCTGTAACTGCTACTGTCAGGCTTCTTCTTTTGGTTTTAAAATGTTCAGATTTTTTTGCTTTAATTTACTGCTGCCTCTGTGAGCTTCATTTGACTGGAGCTTTATAAAGTCAGTGTGTAGGACTGGACTCGAGTGGGTTGCCAGTTTGTGACTGGAACGTTATTTGAAAGGATTGTTTGAGCTCCAGCTGACTCAGTTCTAACTCAAACTGTGTGAAAACTCAGATTAAAACTTCACTAACAGAACTTCAGACAGAGCAGTGCCTCCAGTTAAGCCCAGTTTATGGTCGTGTTCTTTTTTTTTTTAACTTATTTTTATTAAATAATTTTTGGTGCAAGCCACATAGTTCAATTATTTAATAAAAAATACCGTGTTTTCCTATTAGACGCGCTCTTAAGCCTCTAACCGCATCAGAAAACGACTGCGCCCCACAATCCAGCGCGCCCCATACACGAATCCTCTCAGGTGTCGCAGCTCGACTTCAGTAAACTACAAAACCGCAAACACACACGGAGCAGACACAGACACACTCATCACTCCACGCCGACGAGGAACGGAACGGAGGAACGAACCGAAAAAGCGACGAACGCGACGTGCCGCTTCTAGACACGACTGAACAACTGAGTCACTGCGAACACGCCGACAATCCGTTGGTCCCAGACAGCACCTCCCTACACGCCACAACTGAACAAAGCCCAGAGTCACCGTGAACGAACAAACAAACAAAAACCACTCACCCATCACACTGTTGTGTTTCCTTTAAAGTCCCACACGGTTTATTTGTGAAAAAAGTTCAGAAATAGACCATTTAATGACAGTGCGCCTTATAATCCAGAGCGACTAATAGCCCAGAAAATACGGTAAGTGCCTCAAGTGGAGGAGTTGAAGTATCTCGGGGTCTTGTTCTCGAGTGAGGGGAGGATGGGGCGTGAGATTGACAGGTGGATCGGTGCAGCATCGGCAGTGATGCGGTCGATGTATCGGACCGTTGTGGTGAAGAGGAGCTGAGTCAAAAGGCGAAGCTCTCGATTTTACCGTCAGTTTATGTTCCTCCCTTCACCGTTGGTCATGAGCTCTGGGTAGTGACCGAAAGGACGAGATCGCAGATACAAGCACTTGAAATGAGTTTCCTCCGCAGGGTGTCTGGGCGCTCCCTTAGAGACAGGGTGAGGAGCTCAGTCACACGGGAGGAGCTCGGAGTAGAGCCGCTGCTCCTCCACATCAGGAGGAGCAGCTGAGGCTCGGACCTTTTGGGCATGTTCCGGACATGTCCCACCGGAAGGAAGTCCCGGTGAAAACCCAGGACACACTGGAGGGACTATGTCTCTGGGCAAACCTGGGAACTCCTCGAGGTCCCTTGTGTAGAAGCTGGAGGAAGTGTCCGGGGTGAAGGAAGTCTGGGAGTCTCTGCTTAGACTGGTGCCCCTGCGACCCGGCCCTGGATAAACGGAAGAAAATGGATGGAAGGGCCACATAGTTATGAAACAGCAGGAAAAATACAATAAAAGTAAAATGACAATAAAGTTGCAGTGTAGATCATACACACCGTCTCCTCATTTACGATTCAATAGTCCAATGAGATTCATTTGGTCTTCCAATATTCTATGTTATTAGGTTCTTTTTTTCAGACCTAGAGTGTTATTTCATACCTGACAGTTTCGACTGCTCACTAGCGTCTTCCTCAGAGTCACGTGATGTTGCTGTGACGTGTCCAGTCAGCTGAACAGGTTTTGGCGCTGTCTTCCTACCGGTGGAGGCTCTGCAGAACAGATTGTGTGCACAGAGAACGATCAAATCGGCCATTTCTGTTGCAAAGAGAGAACCACGTTATGGATTGGTGACAAACATCATCGCCAAAAGGCAAGAAATGCGCCCACTGTAACGTCGCTTTTTTACTGGGATGCTGAGGAAGTCGGACTGAGCGCTGACAGCGCGTTAAATCAGCGCTCACAGCAACATCACGTGACTGAGGAAGACGCTGTGAGCATGTCGAAAACTGTCAGGAATGAATAAACCTAGGTCTGACGATTCAAATATTGCGACGCAACTCCTCCTCCATGACAAGTGTAAAACTAAAAGGGCAGAAATGTGTGATTGGTCATTCTCACTTCATTTTGTTTACACGAATGCCAGTTTTAAATCCTAGCCCTCTAGAGTTGTGGCGGCGAATTACGTCGTGGCTCTTAGACCTCGACGTAGATCCATAAATCAAAAACAACGGCAACAAGGCGACGGCGGCAGTGTGCGTTGAGTCGATGCAGAACTGTGAAACGGCCTTTAGTATCACACTCCCGAGGATTTTTAATGACATTCGTGGGCTGGATTTATTAAAAGTTTCTGATAAAACCTCTCAAAACTCTCTGTCCGTCTCTCTGTGTGTTTCCAGATCACGTTCGGAGGCTTCCCCGTCTCGGCCAAACCCGGCTCAGGTCGCGGGAACTTCGTGGGCTGCATGGAAGGAATCACGTACAACAACGACAACATCACCACGCTCATACGCAGGAAGAGAGTCGACACCTCCAGCTTTGTGAGTGCGGCAGAGTGGTTAGCCTGTGTCCTCTTCTCAGGCAGGAGGTTGTGGGTTTTGACTCAGACGGTGCAGATAAACGAACAAACAAAGCCGTGGTCCAAACAGGAAGTGAGCATGGGGACGCTTCCGGCTCCACTTGGTTTCACATGTTTGGTTTTAAAATGTTTAACTCGTTTGTTCTGATACCGATACTGCACATTTTTCAGGTATCGTATCGGCAGGGACTCGGACCAAATCAAATACACTGCGCCTCTAAACCAGGACTAAAACCAGGACTAAAACCAAACCAGACTAACCAGACTAAACAGACTAAACCAGGACTAAACCAGGACTAAACAGGACTAAACCAGACTAAACTAAGGAAATAAACCAGACTAAACCCAGGACTAAAAGGACTAAAACAGGACTAAACCAGGACTAAACCAGGACTAAACCAGGACTAAACAGGTCTAACCAGGACTAAAACCAGGACTAAAATAAACTAAACCAGGACTAACCAGGACTAAACCAGGACTAAACAGGCTAAACAGGACTAAACCAGAACTAAACCAGGAAACAGGTAAAACCAGGACTAAACAGGACTAAACCAGGTCTAAACCAGTCTAAAACCAGGACTAAACCAGGACAAAATCTAAACAGGTCTAAACCAGGAATAATCCAGACTAAAACCAGGTCTAAACTAGGACTTCTAAACCAGGACTAAAACCAGGACTAAAAATAAACAGGTCTAAACCAGGACTAAAATCTAAACCAGGACTAAAACCAGGACTAAACCAGGAAACCAGGTAAACCAGGCTAAAACAGGACTAAACCGAGATAAACCAGACTAACCAGACTAAACAGACTAAAATCAGGTATAAACAGACAGATAAACAGAACTAAACAGTACTAAACCAGAACTAAACATCAAGCCTAAAACCAGGTCTAAACCAAAACTAAACCCAGGACTAAACAGACTAAACCAGGACCAAACCAGGTCTAAACCAGGACTAAAATCAGAACTAAAAGCAGGACTAAAACCAAGTCTAAACCAGGTCCAAACCAGGTCTAAACCAGGACTAAACCAGGACTAAAATCAGGACTAAAATCAGGTCTAAGCCAGGTCTAAACTAGAATTAAACCAGAACTAAAACCAGGAGGAACATGCGAGTCATTTTCTTTGTGATTTGGTCGTTTTTAAGCAGTTTTTTTTGTTTTTTCTGTCTTTACTGTTGGCAAGGATCAGATTGGTCAAAAATAGGGACACCTGGGACATTTCTTGTATAAAAGTGTTTAAACTCTTCACTCTCTCTGTCTTTCTTTCTCTACAGCGTAACCTGACGTTCTCGTGCGCCGACTCGGACTCATTCCCCGTCTTCTTCAACTCGTCGTCGTTCGTGCTTCTCCCCGGGCAGTCGGACAGCGACACTCTCTCCGTCAGCCTCTCGTTCAGGACGTGGAACCCTCACGGCCTGCTCCTGTTCACGGCGCTGGCGGACGGCTGGGTGGAGGTGGGTCTGTCCGAGGGCCGGGTCACCGTCTACATGAACGTCACGCAGAAGAAGAACACGCACATCGACATCTCCTCAGGTGAGACGCCAACACAGATGAGTTATCTAACAGACTTTATCTACGCTCACGAAAGAAGCCATGACAACTTCCGGCGGGTTCTGTTCACGGTCGTAAGTCTGACAAATCTAGAAAAAATTAGAAAATCTCCATGTCATTGTAGCGTTCCGTTATGTTCGACTAATCAACAATTACAACCACACCTCAGTTTAATAATAAATAAATAGTAAATACATAAATACTTCATAATTTATACTCAATTCATCTCAATTTGCTGGCAAATAATACTTACCCTTGTAGCCAAACAAGCATTTTTCTACAAAGAACTTGTGGTCTTTCTCTGGTTTCAATTCAATTTCATTTCTCTCCAGCGACTAGGTCAGGAATCGGAAGACACTAGACAGTTTGCAAGAACCCTGGAACGACTGGAATTATTTTTAAGGAGAATAAATGTTTACATAAAAAGACAGAATTTCTAGGTGCAGTCAGGGGCCGGAGGGGGTCCGGTTTGGGGACCACAGGATCTCGTCTCTGCTGTTCAGAGACGATGTTGTCCTATTGGCTTCATCGAACCAGGACCTGCAGCACTGGGGCAGTTTGACCCGAGTGTGAAGCGGCTGGGATGAAGATCAGCTCTCCCAAGTCTGAGGTCATGGTTCTCGACCGGAAAAAGGCGTCTTGTCGTCTCCGGGTGGGTGGAGAGTCCCCTGTCTCAAGTGGAGGAGTTCAAGTATCTCGGGGTCTTGTTCTCGAGTGAGGGGAGGATGGAGCGTGAGATTGACAGGTGGATCGGTGCAGCGTCGGCAGCGATGCGGTCGCTGTATCGGACCGTTGTGGTGAATTTACTGTCAATCTTTGTTCCTCCTCTCACCTATGGTCATGAACTTTGGGTAATGACCGAAAGGACGAGATCGAAATGAGTTTCCTCCGCAGGGTGTCTGGGTGCTCCCTTAGAGACAGGGTGAGGAGCTCAGTCACACGGGAGGAGCTCGGAGTAGAGCCGCTGCTCCTCCACATCAAGAGGAGCAGCTGAAGCTCGGGCCTTTTGGGGGTCTTCCTCAGGAGGTGTTCCGGGCATGTCCCAACGGGAGGAAGTCCCGGGGAAGACCCAGGACATGCTGGAGGGACTATGTCTCTGTACTGGCCTGGGAACACCTCGGGTTCCCCTGGAGGAGCTGGAGGAAGTGTCTGGAGTGAAGGAAGTCCGGGAGTCCCTGCTTAGACTGCTGCCCCTGGATAAGTGGAAGAAAATGGCAGAATGGATGGATGATCGAGGAATAAATTGATTCGGCTTTAAACTCGGAATAAACCACCCACTTACTTCGGAATTAAGTTTAATTCCAAAGAATCATTTTCATTAAGAATTAAATGTTTACATGGTCTTTTTTAAAGCAGAATTCATTTTTATTCAGAATTAAAGCTCTCGTGTAAATGTGGCAACTCTAATAGAAATGTGATTGAAAACATTAGAATATAAGTGTTGGTGGTTTTTATTCTTCTTAGGTTCGGGTCTGAATGACGGACAGTGGCACACGGTGCATTTAAACGCTCTGGAGAACTACGCCATGCTCACAGTGGACGGAGACGAGGCTTCCACTGTCAGAACTGCCATCCCCATCCAGATCCAGACCGGAGGGACGTACTATTTTGGAGGTAACACTTCATCTGACCCTCACCTCTGCATCTTCATCCTCTTCCTCTGCTCCTCTGTCTCTGTTTAAAGTCTGTTGTTCGTTTCGTTCCAGGATACTTCGAGCGCACGAACAGCCTGTCCCTGCAGCGCTCGTTTCAGGGCTGCATGCAGATGATCCACATCGACGATCACCTGGCCGATCTGAAGGCCGTGGAGCAGGGGCTGATGGGAAGTTTCGAGAACGTCAGCCTGGACATGTGCGCCATCGTGGACAGGTGACGATAAACGAAAGAGCACGTAAACATCCACACCCTGTACCCGTTCAGGACAAACAGTTCATTAAAAGTTTAAATATCACATTTCTAAAGTGATTAGTGTGACTCTGGGGCATTTCCTGTTTCTGATCACTGCTTAATCTGCTTGTCTCGTCTGTTTCATTGCTTCATTTTTCTGCTTTTCTGATTTTGAGCTTCAGAAAATCACTTAAACTGATCTTCCCTTTGTGTTCCAGGTGTGTGCCAAACCCGTGCGCTCATGGAGGCCTGTGCTCTCAGACCTGGGACTCCTTCAGCTGTAACTGCTCCAACACGGGCTACACAGGAGCCATCTGCCACATGCGTGAGTCTGTAATGTTTGCTCGTTACTCGTTAGTTCTTTAAAAAATAATCCCCTACTTTACTTTGTTACCCTCTGTGGAAAGTCACTTTTTACATACATTTTTTGGTGGTAAACTAGTCAGGCTGGTGCCGCCTAGTGCCTCCGCTCAATTTCATTTCTCTCCAGCGACTAGATCAGGAATCAGAAAACACTAGACCAGGGGTGTCAAACTCAGTTTGGTCCAGGGGCCGTATCCAACCGACTTTGATCCCAAAGGGGCCGGATCAGAAAACTCATGTCATATAAACCCCAAAAATAACAATAAGTTCAAATATTTGTGCAGAGAAACACAAATCTATTACAGAAATCTTTTTTAATTGATGAACTCTTTCTTATTATAATATTTTAATATTATGAACAACCTGAAACTTTAAGAAAAATACAATTTCAACACAATGTTTTAAAATGAACTTGTTTGCAAACAGGAATAAGTCAATTTTTGTTGTAAAATCCTGCACTCGGCTCCACTTTTCTCATGTTGGACATTTTTCTGATGAGGGTGTCACGGTCAACAGTCAAAACGATCGTCCTTTAAGAGCGTTTGGAAAGAGACAAGTCTTCATTTGTGCTGCTCTGGTGGGAGGGGCCACGTACAGAGACGCTGGAGACGCTGCTGTGATAAACACCACAGAAAATTAACAATATTTTAATAGAAAATATAATTAAAATATTTTAGTAGAAAATCACCCAAGGGCCACATTAAAGGGCCTTATGTTTGACACCTGTGCACTAGACGGTTTAAAAGACCCTCGTAATTACAAGTTCAGGCACCAGCCAATCAGCGAAGAGGCAGACATTCTGTGTTGTCAATGATTCCCGAGATCGAGGATTTAAAGCCGGAACAAAGGGAATTTTATCAAGAGGAAAGACGTTATTGTTCTTCTTCCTACAGGATTTGGCGCTTTACAAACATCACAACCAAATAGCAGTGATTGGTTAAATGAAAAAATTACCCGCCTACTGTCGAGGGAACAAATTCTAATGATACGAGGTCGTACGGTTTCCACAAAGTGGGAGCGGACTCTCCTCAGCAGGGATCTGCCCGCGTACACGGAAAAGTAACGTTGCGCCAATTGAAAAAGGAACTACGTTTTGTTACCAGATTTTCAGTAGTATCACATTACATTATTTTTACCCGAAAAAAGTAGTTACGTTACTTTAACTTCTTGGGTTCTTTTTAAAGATAATACAGTGAAGTGTATTTACCTTGTTGACATGTTTTGGCTATTCAAACTTCCAACGCTGGATCGGGGAGTCTATTGAAATCAGGAAAACGAGGCACGGACAACATTAACCGTAATGACGGAGCGTTCCTCCTTTCACACACCTGGGATGTTCCTGCGCCGTCCGGATGCCCTCCCTTAGTGTTTGTTGCATAATTCATTCACTTCATAAGGCAGATCCGTGTCTCAGCTGCCTTGGAACAGACTGAAACAGATGCGACTGCCGTTCTGTGCCGAGGACTTCTCTGACCTTCAAACATAACACGTTCTGTTGTGTAATAATGCAGTGTTAGGGAGTCATTTGGTTCTGTCGCTGCTGTTGTACTAATGACATTTACGAGTGAAAAACTGCAGCGAAACAAAATCTACAGGACACTATTCCAAACAGAAACCTCCTTCTTTTCTTTTGTGCGTAATCGTGTCTCCCGTGTTCCTGCTCCACAGCCTTGTACCAACAGTCCTGTGAAGAGTACAAACTGAGAGGGAAAGGATCGGGGAGCTACCTCATCGACCCGGACGGCAGTGGACCTATCGCCCCCTTCAGGGTCAGCTGTGAAATGACAGGTGAGGACCACACGCCTCTGTTTGTCCAAATACAGTAAAAAAAAAAAAACTGGTCACTACAGATGATGCGACTTTCATTTGAAGAGATTTGAAGATAAGTTTTTTTGTCAAAACTTTTGTCATTTTTTTATGTTTCAGGGGACGAAGTTTGGACCATTTTGAAGAACAATGTTTCAGCTCAGAGCCCGATGCCCAGACCGGACCAGAGCGGGAAGGTCGTCATCCACATCGACTACAACGTCACCGATGAACAGGTCAAATTAAACACACTGTACAGGCTTTGATTTAACTGTGGTAGTGACAAATATGACCAATGTACTTTTTAACTGGCCTGTTGTAGAAATTAAATCTTTTGTGAACTGGAAAAAGTGTATTTACTGTTAGAAATTAGACTTAAATTTTGTATTGTAAAATATCCAATGACAAAAGCTCAAACGTTATCCCCAAAGATTAGGTGCTGTAAAACAACCCTGACATCTAGTGGTACTATGTGGTACTACCAAATGAAACAAAACGCAAACTGAAGTTTTTGTAGAGATGCAAATGCAAGGAACAGTAAAATAAAAGTGAAAAAATGCATAGCACATTCAGACGGCCAATGTCCAAATGTTTTTTTTACCTTTTAAATAACATTTTGTCATATATTTTTTAAATACTTATACTTTTAAATAATATTTCCTCAGATATTTTTAAATACTTATACTTTTAAATAACTTTTCATCAGATGTTTTTAAATACTTATATTTTAAATAACTTTTCGTCTAATATTTTTAAATACTTCTACTTTTTAAATAACTTTTCTTCCAATATTTTTAAATACTTATACTTTTAAATAACGTTTGGTCAGATATTTTTAAATACTTATACTTTTAAATAACGTTTTGTCCAATATTTTTAAATAACTATTTGTCAGATATTTTTAAATACTTATACTTTTAAATAACTTTTTGTCCAATATTTTTAAATACTTATACTTTTAAATAATTTTTGTCAATATTTTTAAATACTTATACTTTTAAATAACTATTTGTCAGATGTTTTAAAATATTTATACTTTTAAATAACTATTTGTCAATATTTTTAAATACTTATACTTTTAAATAACGTTTTGTCCAATATTTTAAAATACTTATACTTTTACATAATGTTTCCTCCAATATTTTTCTTGCTTTGGACCACAGTATGAAGGCTTTTTGCCAAAACGTTATTTAAAAGTAAAAAAAATCTTTTGGACATCGGCCGTCTGAGTTTGCTATGTATTTTTTCACTTTTATTTTACTGTGTGGTATTACTGTTTATCTGATATGATTCTTGTAACATGACAAAACAAACGGCTGTTGTTCTCCAGGTGCTGTCGGTCACAAACAGTGCAGATTACTGTGAGCAGTACTTTGGCCTACGCCTGCAGGATGTCGCGCCTCCTCAACACTCCAGGTGCTGCTCCTCTGAGACTCTCACATCCTCCTGCAGAGTTTATTTATATCTGTGTCTTTAACATGAGTTATGTCGAACGCACGGCAAATTTCTCTGATTTAAAAACTTATATCAGGTTATTCATCTTGTTTTCAGATTTATTTTCTACTTACTAGTTCAGAGATGCGTCATTCTAGCCTAGAGGTTGTTTATTTGAAGATAATTTGTCAAGTAAAATGATCTTGCCGCATGGACATGGATCATTTCACTACTTTTATGTCATTTTGTGATAGATTTAAAGGTTGTATAGAGGATTTTTTAAAGGGAAAAGAAATACAGCAACAGTCCTTTTTCAAATGTTGTGCATGCGTGACACCACCTTCCTCTTCCACAGCCTCAGTAGAAACATCTCCTCCCGCCTCCTTGCTCTAGAAATCATGCTTGTTTACATCCAGCACGTGTTCAGAATTACTGCTGAAGTGACCTGTCTAGAAATAATTTAACGACCGGCATGTCAGTTTTTAGACTCTTTGCTTCATTCGCGCAATCGCTGGAAGAGATCTCCAAGAATCACGTGTTTGGCTTTGCTCCTTTTCTTCTTCTCTTCTTCTTTCAGCGACCTCAAAAACGGACTTTCGTTTGTGGCGAACTGGTCGTGGATTTTTGTCCATCATCTCAACAAACTTTGTGCGAACTGCGAGGAAACTACAATTTAAAAAAGCCTCTAAGAACTGCTGCATAAACCACATAATCCCTGCGCATCAGTTACACTAGAAAGGCAGGGAGTTTGACAACCTAACAGCCAATAGAAAATGAGGTAGACTTGTTGTCTATTGGCTGATGTTTATCTGCCCTCACTATGTCCACAGGTGACAGATTTTCATTCTTTTTTCTTTAATCAGCATAATTACAAGGCTGCTGCATTTCTGTAAGGGTATTTTAAACTTTCATTGACAATTTGAAACAAAAAAAAATCCTCCATACAACCTTTAAGTGTTTATATCGTAAATATTGTCCAAGTGCAGAAGTTTATTTTATACAGAGTTCCCACGGTCATGGAAATCCTGGAAAAGTCATAGAATTTTAGTATCTCTTTCACACAACTACAGCGTTCTGTTAAGTTTTCATGAGGCTCTTGTGATTATTTCTAAACGTTTGCACCTTTTGTTTAAAAGAGACGACAATAAATGCACTGACAGGATTTTGAAAGTTAAAAAACTATAATCCCAAAGCGGAAAGAGTTCACATTTCATATTTAACCCTAAAAGTCTGTTAATTTCTACGGTTGTAGGTGCTGTAAAGTCATGAAAAATTCACTTTAGGTCATGAAAAAGTCATGGAAACGTTTTGAAATTTTGTCAGTGAAAAGATTTTTATTTATTTATTTATTGAATAGGGACGGTGCATATTAATTGCAGTGTAAATATGACAGATTATAGCAAGAATGTTCATTTCCATCTGGAGTCCCTTGGCAACAGGGAAAAAAACTACAAAAACAAGTGACAGTTCTAAATTAAAGGTTGTATAGAGGATTTTTCAAGGAACGAGAAATCCAGCGACTGTTTGTCCTTTTTCAAATGTTGCGCATGCGTGAAACCACCTCCCCTCCCCCACAGCTCCTACGTAGAAACACCTCCTCCCTCCTCCTCCTTACGCCACAAACAGGTTTGTTTACAGCCGCTGCACATGACTTGTAAACAACTAACTACAGTGTTGGTTAGACAAGACGGAGAAGTGAGGAGCGGGGGAGGGGGTGTGTGGACATTTCGTGCCGAAAAGAAGTGAGGAGCAAGGGAAGAGTGGATCGGGCAGCGGGGAAAGGAGCAGTAAGGGGTGCAGAGAAGGGTGCGCGGAGATTCAGTGCGAATGAAGCTACTACTACAACACGCAGCGGCAAGCGGACTCTTTCTTTGCCTTGAAAATTACGTTTTCAGACATAGGATATCGCATTCGTGTCCTGAAAAACGTTTGTCTAGCTCTTGGAAATAAAGTACGTTTTCATAATAAGCAGAAGTTTCCTGTCCAGGAGTAATTTGTGGACCAGTGCGTCAGTCTTTAGACCCTGCGTCTGCTTCAGTCGCGCCATCGCTGGAATGAATCTTCAAGAATCACCTTAGTTTGGCTTCGCTGCTTTTCCCCTTGTCTTCTTCTTTCAGCGACCTCAAAAACAGACTTTCTTTTGCGGCGAACTGCTCCTGGATTCTTGTCGCCATCGCAACAAACTTTGTGCGAACTGCGAGGAAGATATAGGTCAAAAAAGCCGCTAAGAACTGTTGCGTTGGTGGAGTAAACAGCGTCTGTGCATCTTGCGTCTGTGGACTGCGTGACAGACGTACGTAAACCACGTAACGGCGGCGCGCAGGCAAGTCAGTTACACTAGAAACGTAGGGAGTTTGATTGACAGCCTGTCAGCTCACAGATAACGAGGCAGTGTCGTTATCTATTGGCAAATGTTTAGCCCCACCACGTCCAGAGTTGATGAATTTTTATTCTCTTTTTTTTGGTCATCATAATTACAAGGCTACTGCATCTCTATAATCTATCATTGACAATTTGAAACCAAAAAAAATCCTCCATACAACCTTTAAAAGTGTCCACAAGTCTGGTTTTCCTTTAAAAGTGTCCAGTGTTGGAGTCTCTTTTATTCATGTTCCCTGTGTCCAGACGGCGTCCCGTTCTCCTCGTGGGTCGGTCGCTCCAATGAGAGACACTTGTACTGGGGCGGCTCTGGACCCGGGATCCAGAAGTGCTCCTGTGGAATCGAACACAACTGCACCAACGCGGCTCACTACTGCCACTGTGACGCCGACCTGCGCTCCTGGTCCGGACTCTAAACACAAACACGGCTCATGAGTCTGTTCACTCGTGTGGCTCTAAAGCGACGTCTCTGTTTGTTTTAGGAAAGAGGATTCGGGTCTGCTCATGTACAAGGACCACCTCCCCGTCAGCTCTGTGGAGGTGGGAGACACGGGGAGAGCGGGATCTGAGGCCAAACTCACCGTGGGACCCCTGCGCTGCCGAGGAGACAGTAAGACACAGAAAATAACAACTACTTGACTTTAAATTGTGTTAAAATAGCAATAAGTTGGAAAAACAGTGGACACTGATCACTTTGTTTGTAGTCCTGTTATATATTTTGGGTATTTGGAATCACTGTTGGGCGAGTGACTTCAAAACTGTTATGTGTTTTTTATTTATGACTTGTTCCTGTCGTTTCAAAGTGATTTTTTTACATTATAATATTATTGTGTTTAAAATACAAAACATGACACGACTATTACAGAACTTTAACTCTCACCAAAAGAACTGAGAGAAGATGAAGAACTTTTGCAGCGAATATGGACTGAACCAGAACTGAACCAGGACGTAACCAGGACTAAACCAGGTCTAAACCAGGTCTAAACCAGGTCTAAACCAGGTCTAAACCAGGTCTGAACCAGAACTGAACCAGAACTGGACCAGAACTGTCTAAACCAGGACTAAACCAGGACTAAATCAGGACTAAACCAGGTCTAAACCAGGTCTAAACCAGGAACTAAACCAAGAAACTAACCAGGTCTAAACCAGGACTAAACCAGGACTAAACCAGGTCTAAACCAGGACTAAACAACAGGTCTGAACCAGGACTAAACCAGGTCTAAACCAGGTCTAAACCAGGTCTAACCAGGTCTAAACCAGGTCTAAACCAGGACTAAACCAGGTCTAAACCAGAACTAAAGCAGAACTAAACCAGGTCTAAACCAGGACTAACAGCATTACAGTAATTTGTTACTTTTATAACGTGTTACTCCCAACACTGTTTAAAATTATTAATTTATTAAATGACACCAAAGCAGCAAAAGCAAGACTGTCAATAAGAAAAAAAGTATTTGAAGGGTTAATAACAATATCTGTACAGAGATACTCGCTGACTTTAACAGTCCATAAATACTGTGAAGTCCAGGATATTTTGTAATAATGTTTATTTTTCTAGAAAACTTCTGGAACTCTGCGTCCTTCTCGAGTCCGGCCGCACACATGCTCTTCCCCTCGTTCAGATCCGACCGCAGCTCGGACATCTCTTTTTACTTCAGGACCTCCTCGTCTCACGGCGTCTTCCTCGAGAACTCCGGACCCAACGACCTGATCCACGTCCAGCTCAGAGGTAACACCTGCCGACACGAGAGAGAGGAGCTCTGTTTAACAAAGGTTCTACAAACACATCTGAACCTGGGCTGTCACTGACTTAACCTGCAGAATCATTCTCAGCACATGTCTCGTGTGAAAGCTCAGAACCTAGAATCCACTCCCTGAGCTGCAGAGGCTGCACTAGCACTGACTCAGCAGGTGCTGGGGTTCAGGCTGTGATCATTCAGATCAGAGAGAATCTTTTTTTTCTTCAGATAATTATAACATGAACAACAGAAAAAGTTTACCAAACTCTCCATCTCACTCCAAATCACTAAATCCATTCAATTCTTCATCCTCGGTGTCACTTCTGAACAACTCCTCGACCTCCGGAGGTAAACAGAGCGCCGCTTCCTCTTCTGTGTCGCTGTCGTCAGACTCAGCATCAGTTCCAGTTAGAATTATTCGGGTCTTTCTGAATCCCGACAGGATGGTTTCGGTGTCACTGAAGTCCAGACTTTGTCCATCCATCCAGTGACTTCAGGAAAGTTTCATGGTGCATCCTCCCGGTGTCACAAGTTTCTCTCTCACTCCAAACTTTCTTTCTGCTGCTTGATTATCGTTTTCAGCTGCAGATTTTGCTACTTCTGCAGAATCTGATTTTGTTTTTGGGGGCATTTGTGTTCAGTCTTCTCAGTCTTTGTCTTTATAAGTTTGTTTAAATGTTAAATTGTTCAGTGGTGCAGAAGTAACGGTGCGATCGACTGACATGATACAGACAGGACAGAGGCTCTTTCTGCAGGAGACATGCGCAGTAGAGCCGAGTGACAGTGGTACAGGAGGAACAGGAGCAGCAGATACTCACACACAAGACTAGAACCATTTTAATATAGAAGTCGCACCGGAGAATAAGTCACAGGAAACACCCAAACCGTGAAAAAAAGTGCCACTTATAGTCCAAAAAATACGGTAATTGGTAAAAAGTTAATGTAATGTATCAAAAACCTTAAAATCATACAAAGACGCCAAGCATGTTGGTCAGAAAAACTGTGAGTTTCATCAGACTGCAGCGCATGTGGAGCACAGGAGGGTCCTCTCTAATGTAGCCTACCCCACAGCGCCCTCTACTGGAGACGCACACAAGGCACATGGCTCCAACACACAAAATACAGAATGAAACAGAATCGTTATCAGTTAAACCTACATTTATCTTGTATGTGGTTCGTGAGTCGTGTTTATGGTTTTTAACTTTTGTCCCTGCACTAACCCTCCTGTGTCCTCTCCTGTGTCCTCTCCTGTGTCCTCTCCTGTGTCCTCTCCTGTGTCCTCTCCCCTCGTGTCCTCTCCTGTGTCCTCTCCCGTGTCCTCTCCTGTGTCCTCCCCGTGTCCTCTCCGTGTCCTCTCCCGTGTCCTCTCCTGTGTCCTCTCCTGTGTCCTGTCCTGTGTCCTCTCCTGTGTCCTCTCCGTGTCCTCTCCTGTGTCCTCTCCTGTGTCCGTGTCCTCCCCGTGTCCTCTCCCGTGTCCTCTCCTGTGTCCTCTCCCGTGTCCTCTCCGTGTCCTCTCCGTGTCCTCTCCTGTGTCCTCTCCCGTGTCCTCTCCTCCTGTGTCCTCTCCCGTGTCCTCTCGTGTCCTCTCCGTGTCCTCTCCGTGTCCTCTCCGTGTCCTCTCCCGTGTCCTCTCCGTGTCCTCTCCGTGTCCTCTCCTGTGTCCTCTCCCGTGTCCTCTCCGTGTCCTCTCCTGTGTCCTCTCCTGTGTCCTCTCCTGTGTCTCTCTCCGTGTCCTCTCCGTGTCCTCTCCTGTGTCCTGTCCTCCGTGTCCTCCCCGTGTCCTCTCCGTGTCCTCTCCGTGTCCTCTCCTGTGTCCTCTCCCGTGTCCTCTCCTGTGTCCTCTCCCGTGTCCTCCCCGTGTCCTCTCCGTGTCCTCTCCGTGTCCTCTCCTGTGTCCTCCCCGTGTCCTCTCCGTGTCCTCTCCTGTGTCCTCTCCCGTGTCCTCTCCTGTGTCCTCTCCCCCTCTCCTCCGTGTCCTCCGTGTCCTCTCCTCCGTCCTCCTGTCCTCTCCCGTGTCCTCTCCTGTGTCCTCTCCTGTGTCCTCCCCGTGTCCTCCCTGTGTCCTCTCCGTGTCCTCTCCGTGTCCTCTCCTGTCCTGTGTCCTCTCCTGTGTCCTCTCCGTGTCCTCTCCTGTGTCCTCTCCCGTGTCCTCTCCGTGTCCTCTCCCGTGTCCTCTCCGTGTCCTCCCCGTGTCCTGTCCTCTCCGTGTCCTCTCCTGTGTCCTCTCCGTGTCCTCCTCCGTGTCCTCTCCTGTGTCCTCTCCCGTGTCCTCTCCTGTGTCCTCTCCCGTGTCCTCTCCTGTGTCCTCTCCTGTGTCCTCTGTCCTCTCCGTGTCCTCTCCTGTGTCCTCCCGTGTCCTCTCCGTGTCCTCTCCTGTGTCCTCTCCTCCTGTGTCCTCCCCGTGTCCTCTCCGTGTCCTCTCCGTGTCCTCTCCCGTGTCCTCTCCGTGTCCTCTCCTGTGTCCTCCCCGTGTCCTCTCCTGTCCTCTCCGTGTCCTCTCCTGTGTCCTCTCCGTGTCCTCTCCGTGTCCTCTCCCGCAGCCTCCTCGGTGGTGTCCTTCTCCTTCGGCGTGGGCTCTTCTCAGACGGAGCTGCTCGTTCGTTCTCCGGTTCCTCTGAACGACGACCAGTGGCACCGCGTGGAGCTGGAGAAGAACCAGCAGGAGGCGACGCTGCGCCTGGACGGACAAACCGAGAAACCAGAACACTGCCCCAAGGAAACAGCCGCCCAGAGGAATACACACAACTCATACTGGGTGAGACGAACGCACAACACACACACACACACACACGACACACACACACACACACACACACACACACACACACACACACACACACACACACACACACACACACACACAACTCATACTGGGTGAGACGAACGCACAACACACACACGACACACACACACACGACAACACACACACACACACACACACACACACACACACACACACACACAACACACACACACACTGGGTGAGACGAACGCACAACACACAAACACACACAGGTGAGACGTATACTTGATATTTGGATTTATCCGTATTTATAATCCATAAACTGTTTATAGAAATGGAGAGAGAGAGAAGAGAGAGAGAGAGAGAAGAGAAAAGCGAGGGGGAGAGAGCGATGGAGGGAGGAAGAAAGAGACGGAAGGAAGAGAGAGAGGGACAGAGAGGAGGAAGAGAGATAGGGGGAAGAGAAAGAGAGGAAGAGAAAGCGCGCGAGAGAGGAGGAAGAGTGAGAGGGGGAGAGAGAGACAGAGAGAGAGAGAGAATGGGAAAGAGAGAGGGGGGGAAGAGAGAGAGGAGAGAGAGATTAAGGGAGGAAGACAAAAGCAGAGAGCGAGGGAGAGAGGAAGAGAGACAGAGAGAGGGAGCAAGAAAGAGACAGAAGGAAGAGAGAGGGGGTAGAGAGAGGGAGAGAGAGAGGAGGAAGAGAGAGCAAGGCAGGGGAGAGAGAGAGAGAGTAAGAGAGAGAAGGAAGATAGAGAGAGGGGAGGAGAGAAAGAGGGAGGGGGAGGAGGAAGAGATAGAGAGGAAGGAAGAAAGAGAAAGACGGAGAGCGCGAGAGGCAAAGAAAGAGGGGTGAGAAAGAGAGAAGGAGGAAGAGTGAGAGGGGAGAGAGTAGAAGAGAGAGAAAGAGAGGAGGGAGGGAGGAAGAGTGAGGAAGAAGAGAGAGGTGAGACAGAGAGGAGAGAAAGCGAGAAGGAGGAAGAGCAAAAGGATGAGAGAGGGGAGGGAGGGAGGAAGAAGAGAGGGGAGAGAGAGACAGAGAGAGAGAGAAGAAGGGAGGGAGGGAGGAAGAAGAGAGGGGAGAGAGAGACAGAGAGAGAGAAGAAGGGAGGGAGGGAGGAAGAGAGAGGATGACAGACAGAGAGAGAGACGAAGAGAGATGAGAGAGAGAAAGAGAGGAGGAGAGAGAGAGAGAGAAAGAGAGAGAGAGAGGAGGAGGACGAGAGAGAGAGAAAGAGGAGGAATAGCGAGAGGAAGAGAGAGAAAAGGAAAAGAGAGAGGAGGAAGAGAGAGTAAGAGAGGGTAGAGAGAGAGGAAGAGAGCAAGGGAGGGAGGAAGAGAGAGGAGAGAGAGAGACAGAGAGAGAGAGAGAGAGAAAAGAGAGAGGAGAGGAGAAAGAGAAAAGGGAGAAAAAGGCAGGGAGAGAGGAAGAGAGGCAGAGTTCCAAACAGGACATGATCACGGTCACACTTGAGCTCCATCGACACTGGTCCTGATTCTCTCGTCGATCTGCGTCGTCTGTGGTTTTTCCTTCACGCCCGTGTTTGTCGTCCAGGTGCGTCGAGCGGGCAGAGGGCGTTCCTCGGCTGCATGCGCGCCCTGAGGATAAACGGCGCGACCTTCGACCTGGAGGAGAGGGCGGAGGTCACGGCGGGGGTCACGGCGGGATGTAGGGGCCACTGCAGCAGCTTCGGGGTTCACTGTCAGAACGGAGGCCGGTGCGTGGAGCAGTACAACGGATATCACTGCGACTGCACCAACACGGCCTACGACGGACCCTACTGCACCGAGGGTAACACACAACCACACTAATGTGGTTTTTATTGCACATATTCAGAAACAAACAAAAATGGCACCTTGTAAAAAATATGGGCTCGGTCAAGCAGAAGTAAACAACAAGGCCAAAAATTCAGGTTAATTCATCTGATATAAAAATGTATTGAACAGATACATATGTGCTCTAGTTTATGAAACTGTTGACCTTTTTTCTGTACCATTTTTGGTTCTAAAGTTCCATATGTTTTAAACAGACCATGTATGAAACATGGAACAAAAATTATTTCCCAAATTTCAAAGACCTGAAAATCATGTAAATAAATGGATGTATTTCATCATATCTTGTGTTATTCCATCTTTGAACTGTTGATGAAGGTTCATGATTTTTCAAAAAAAAATTTATTTAAAATGATAAAAATTTGCTTGGAAGGACTGACATATTTTATAGAAATAGTTTCCTTTCATTTTGAAGTAATATTAAAGTATTCAGAAGAAAAAAGTGACAAATTATGTAAAATCCTGCACCTTCTACTTGTTTGACAATTTTCCTCCGTTACTTTTCCCTCCGTTACCAGGACTTTTCTTCATAAAAAATCTCATGAGTCAAAAAGTAAGAGGTTTTTCAACCTAATCTTGTACCATATGGTAGAAAACTATATGAAGCAAATATTCAAACCAGTTTGTTAAGGATATGTAAGTGAGAACCAAGAGTTATCACTGTTTGGATTTATTGTCCAAAAAGTGCTGCATATTTCATTCCCTCCATTACCGACATGAGTTTTTAAATTTTTTGTCAACAACTTGAAAGAATATCACAGGTTTAACTTGACCCTGTTGGAGTGTAACTCTTTCCTACATTCTGATACTTTACTTATTTCAATAGTTCCTCTAGTTTCTGAATAAGAGACATTTGAATGTAAAAAAATCTGCCCGTTTCCCTCCGTTACCACTTGACCGGATCCAGATACAGGTTACATGAAAATAAAATGAATGCATAAAAAAACAACAGTGAATAAAAACATATTCACATATAAAAGGGGCAATTTCAAAGCTCTAATTTGAAGGAATTAATTAAAATTATTCCAAAAATCTGCCTCTTTTCTCTCAATTATGCCCAGTGAGATAACAAAAAGTTTCAGGGCATTCTTCAAGTAAAAAAACGACATTTGTGAATAAAATGTTTACCTAAAATCATTAAATTGTTGATACCAAATTCCATTGTTTTATCATCTATTAATACACCAGATTTATTTATTTTTTTATGGTTAGACTGACAGCAAACTGAATTCTCCTGGACTGAAACCAAGATTGAAAATCAAACCAAAATTGTTTCACAAAATACATTTTTGTTCATGGGACATTTTAAATTGTCTCTCCTTCACTTTAGAGAAAACTGGAAAGTAAAGATAGTTCTAATTGTTTGAATTTCTTTCTTTTTAACAATTTTTTAAAGAATGTAATCGCTTTTAACTGATCATTTTGTAAGGAACATGTTAAAAAATGTGTTATTGCACTTTGAATCACAAAATTTCAAAAAGACGAGCCTTCTACAGTCTGGCTCCTGATTGGCTCTGTAGTTGCCATGATACTTGTGGGTGGAATTGAAAATATGGAACTTTACTGAACATTTTTGTTATGTAAATATCACTTATCGCCTGAACCAACGACGCACAACTGCTCAACATAACAGCTGCAAAGGTTTTTGGACTTTGTCAATTTGATACTTTGATTATCAAAAATTATAGTCAACAAGACTAATATTTAACATTATACTTACTTTACTTTTTTACTTGTTACTTTACTTTTTTACTTTACTTCTTTACATTTTTACTTTACTTTACTTACGTGCTTGCTTTACTCTACTTTTTTACGTTTTTTAACTTTACTTCATTACTTTACATTTTTACTTTACTTACGTACTTATTTACTTTACTATTTTACTCTACGTTACTTTACATTTTTACTTTACTTTACTTTTTTGTTTACATTTTACTTTACTTTTTTACTTTACTTTTTTAGTTCTTTACATTTTTACTTTACTTACGTGCTTGCTTTACTCTACTTTTGTACTTTTACTTTACTTCATTACTTTACATTTTTACTTTACGTACGTACTTACTTACTTACTTAATGTTTTTGCTTTATTTTTTATTTTGCATTACTTTGCTTTACTTTTTTAATCTGTTACTTTACTTTGCTTTACGCTACAAAATTTTTTACTTTTTTACTTTACTTTTTTTTTTTAACTTTTTTTTTTACTTTACATTTTACGTTACTTACGTACTTACTTTAGTTTTTCTCTTTTTTTTATTTTACATAACTTCGCTTTTTAACTTTACTTTTTGCTTTATTTTACTTTACTTTTTTACTTTACTTACATTACTTGCTTTATATTTACATTAGTACAACTCTCAGGGGGCCTTTCTGTGTGGAGTTTGCATGTTCTCTCTGTGTCTGGTGGGTTTACTCCAGGTAAGGTCCAGACCAAGACTAGACCAAGATCTGGAGCTGGTCCCACTGCTCCTGACAGGTGTAGCTCCTGACAGGTGTAGCTCCTGACAGGTGTAACCCGGCGACCCTGAAGTACGGGTCAAACGCAGAGGATGAGTTTGTCGTTCTTGTTTCTCTGCAGATGTGGGCGGTTACTTTGAGACGGGGACTCTGGTGCGTTACGACTTCCTGTCGGAGCAGAGTCCTGGACTGGAGACCAACCTGACCCAGGAGGATTTGTCCTTCAGCTTCAGCACCTCCAGCGCCCCCTCTGTCCTGGTGTACGTCAGCTCCAGGACGCAGGACTACCTCGCTGTGGTCCTCAGGCACAACGGTACGACTGCAGGTTCATCCACGTCAGCGTTACACAAAACAAATGAATAAAGAGACTTCCATTTGTGCGTACTGTTGTTGTGTCGTTTGGCAGCACACTTCACTTCAGTCTCAGTCACTCACTTATTTTATCAAGTTAAAATACTGCGTCAACATGGAAACACAAAACTTTGGAAAATTATTTATTTGAGCAACGACTGAAATTTTATCTGCTCATTTTTAAATCTCACTATCCATGTGTCATTTTTTCATTCGTCTTTCAAAATAAAAACAAAAATAAGAAAATTCTCAACAACAAAACAACCATTTGTCTCCAAAATCAAAATGAAAAAAAAAAAAAAAACAGATAATGATTTGTTTTTTGTTTTTTTCAGTTTTCGATTTTGTGTTTAAATGAAGAACGGAAAAAAAAAACCCAAACCAGGACTAAACCAGGACTAAACCATCTAAACCAGGTCTAAACCAGGACTAAACCAGGTCTAAAACCAGGACTAAACCAGGACTAAACCACTAAACCAGGTCTAAACCACGTCTAAACCACTTCTAAACCAGGTCTAAACCAGGTCTAAACCAGGTCTAAACCAGTCTAAACCAGGTCTAAACCAGGTCTAAACCAGGACTAAACCAGGACTAAACCAGGTCTAAACCACCAGGTCTAAACCAGGTCTAAACCACAAACTAAACCAGGTCTAAACCAGGTCTAAACCAGGACTAAACCAGGTCTAAACCAGGACTAAACCAGGACTAAACCAGGTCTAAACCAGGTCTAAACCACGTCTAAACCAAAACCAGGTAAACCACATCTAAACCAGGTCTAAACCAGGTCTAAAACCAGGTCTAAACCAGGACTAAACCAGGTCTAAACCAGGTCTAAACCACGTCTAAACCACATCTAAACCAGGTCTAAACCAGGTCTAAACCACCAGGTCTAAACCAGGTCTAAACCAGGTCTAAACCAGGTCTAAACCAGGTCTAAACCAGGACTAAACCAGGTCTAAACCAGGTCTAAACCAGGTCTAAACCAGGACTAAACCAGGACTAAACCAGGCCTAAATCAGGCCTAAACCAGGTCTAAACCAGGTCTAAACCAGGTCTAAACCAGGTCTAAACCAGGACTAATCTTGGACTTGAGAGAGAGAGATGGGACCCCGATGAGATCCTTTCACCTGAGGTCACCTGACGTCTACGCGGGCAAACCTCCAGGCCCATCCTGACACTCAGGTCTGGTTCAGTGGTTCAGTCCTGGTTCAGTCCAGTCCTGGTTCAGTCCTTGGTTCAGTCCTCAGTGGTTCAGTCCTGGTTCAGTCCTGGTTCAGTCCTGGGTCAGTCCTGGTTCAGTCCTGGTTCAGTCCTGGTTCAGTCCAGCATCGCAATTTAAGTCACCGGATTATCAGTTTTTTTCATTTAAACACAAAATTAAAAACTGAAAAAAATGACTCATTATCTGTTTTTTTATTTTGGTTTTGGAGACAAATAATGAATAAAGAGATTTTAGTTTTTAGTTAGTTTTTTTGTTTTTAGTTTTTTTTTTTTCTTATTTTTGGTTTTATTTTGAAAAACGGATGAACGAACAACACACGGATTCAAATGGAAAGTTGAAGAAATAAACATTACTCAATCTATAATTTTACCGTTTACAAAATACATAACTGTTTTCAGATTTGTTTTCCTTCTCTCTGCAGGGACTCTCCAGATCCGCTACAGTCTGGGGGGACTTAAAGAGCCGTTCACCATCGACATGAGCCACAGGAGCCTGGCCAACGGGCAGCCTCACTCCGTCCGAGTGTCCAGGAGGCTCAGGGACGTCCGCCTGCAGGTCAGAGGGGGAACTGAGTATTTTAATTCAGAACAATTAATTCAGAATTAAAAAACACCATGTAAACGTGGCCAGTGTGTTTATAAATGTAAAATGAGTCTAATATAAACCTTCTCTCGTGAACAGGTGGATCATTACCCAGAATCTTCCTACACTTTACCTGCCGCCTCCGACTCTCAGTTCAACCTCATCAAAAGCATCTTCCTCGGAAAAGTGTTTGGTGAGTCACACTCCAGAGCCGGTGTCTGGGCGTCTCATTGGTCTTGTGAGGAGAAGGGGTTTAGTCGAGAACTTTTGGTCCAATTTTTTGCACTGAAAAGACTTTCCCAACTGTAAAGGGAGAGCAGAAGTTTGAACCCCAAACTATTTAACTTACACAGGGGTCTCCAGCCTGTAGCTTGAGAGCAACCAGAAGCTCAACAAGGGATTTCGGAATTACACGTATTGTCCTGAATAACTCAAATTTCATGAATTAAATACCTATTTTTACTGTAAATCCATTATTCATAAATAAATACTGTATTTTTCAGACTGTAAGTCGCTCCGGAGTATGAGTCGCACCAGCCAAAAAATGTGTTATGACGAAAAAAAAAACATATAAGTCACACCGGACTATAAGTGGCACTTTTTTGGGGTAAATTTATTTTATAAAATCTGAGACCAGGAACTGAGGGATGGGCATGATTAGTCGATTAATCCATAATTGAACATTAAGAATTTCATCGATTACATTAATTTTAATCGACAAACCGAATGTAACAGTTGCTGGTGTGTTGTGACAAACAGGTGTTACATGTGTCTTGCATCAGAATTAGCATAGACACAAACAGTGGGTCAGTCTGTCAATATTTACCGAAAGCACAAATGTGTATTTAATCGATGATTTATACAAGAAATTCCACACTTTCTGTTGTGTTCGGGACAAGTGTGAAGTCCATGTGCACAGTGTATAAAGCAGCACATATGTTTCTGTGTCCAGTGGGAAAAACTGTTTTTCCAGGTGAGAGTCGCTCATGTGGATGACGAGTCCCCACCTCCCTCCCCCGTACACTGTCCTGGTTTTACAAACATCAAATCTGTCACACTAACCTGTATTCACCTGAGTCGTGTCCTTTAATCCTACAGAAATTGAACCACATCAGCGACACAAGAGCGTGTTTTTTTATTTCTTCGCTTAGTTTATGCAAATTAGTGATGTGGTTTTAAGTTTTGTTTCTGTGAGACTTGAACAAATCTGAATTAAACACATTATAATGTCAAACGGGCTGATGTGGCTCTAGAGTCGTTACGGTTTATATGTTGTAAAGTTGAATTTATTTATGCAGATTAGTAGTGCAGATAGTAATAATAATGATGATAATTTTAATATAAAAACGTTAATGATTAATCGATAAATCGATTGTTAATTCTCTCGATGATCGATTAAATGAAAATTTCAAGTCGAATGCTCCATTCCTAACCAGGAACCACCATTTTCGGTGAGATTAAAAGTCAAGTTGTTAGTAAAAACAATTAGAAGAGAGAACAACAGACGGTTAATTTTTCACATATTTGAACAGTTCAGATAAACTATAACATAAGTACAGGTACAGGAGGAACAGGAGCAGCAGATACTGACACACAAGACTAGAGCCTCTCGACGCTTCAGTGTGAACATTTTATAAGTCACACCTGAGTATAAGTCGCTGGAAACTCCCAAACCATGAAAAAAATACAATTTATAGTCTGAAAAATACAGTAATGGTAACTGTACTTCATCTAAGTCTCTTATGTATACTTTATTTCCTGTCACCACTAAAATTTGTATCTCTCTGGAACCCATTTAAAAAGGTTGGAGACCCCTGAACTAACACATAAAATCAAAGCAAACCAATCTGCAAACCTTCACATCTCCATTAAAATGACATTAACAGACCAGGACTTCTTTCTGTTCTTTTTTTACGACAGGATCGGTAACACTTGTGGACGAATCTTTGCATTAATCTTTCTTCGTTACTGTGTTGTTTCAGAAACGGGCCAGATTGACCCGGTCCTGATCGAGCGTTACAACACTCCGGGCTTCGTGGGCTGTTTGTCCAGAGTCCAGTTCAACCGTCTGGCTCCTCTAAAGGCAGCGCTCCGATCAGGGCAGAGCTCACCCATCAGCACCCACGGGATCCTGGTCCCGTCCAACTGCGGCGCCTCGCCCCTCACCATCTCGCCCCTCACCTCGCAGGACGACCCCTGGCACGTGGAGACCGGTACGAAAAAATAACACAAGAGCCTCATTAAAACAGATGAAAGAGGAGTTTAAATTCAGCTTTTAGTTTAGACGAGTTTAGTTTTAACTTTAAATTCTGTCCCACAGCTGGAGTTCACCTTCCCTCCAACACGGACAAGGCTGTTTCTGACGGAGGGGATCGAAACTCAGCCGTCATCGGAGGTAAGTTTACGTGAAAAACTTGATGTATAAGGTAAGGCACAGGTGTCAAACATACGGCCCGGGGGCCAGATCCGGCCTTCCAAGACCTTTAATGTGGCCCTTGGGTGATTTTTCTACTAAAATATTTTAATTATATTTTCTATTAAAATATTGGTGATTTTCTGCGTCGCTGAGCATAGCAGCGTCTCCAGCGTCTCTGTACGTGGCCCCTCCCACCAGAGCAGCACAAATGAAGACTTGTCTCTTTCCAAACGCTCTTAAAGGACGATCGTTTTGACTGTTGACCGTGACACCCTCATCAGAAAAAAATGTCCAACATGAGAAAAGTGGAGCCGAGTGCAGGATTTTACAACAAAAATTTACTTATTCTTATTTACATACAAGTTCATGTTAAAACATTGTGTTGAAATTGAATTTTTCTTAAAGTTTCAGGTTGTTCATAATATTATAATATTATAATAAGAAAGAGTTCATCAATTAAAAAATATTTCTGTAATAGATTTGCGTTTCTCTGCACAAATATTTGAACTTATTGTTATTTTTGGGGTTTATATGACATGAGTTTTCTGATCCGGCCCCTTTGGGATCAAAGTAGGTTGGATACGGTCCCCCGGACCAAAATGAGTTTGACACTCCTGACGTAAGGTATGAGGTGCACATGTTCAGATCAAATGCAGCTTTTACTCTCATGCGGATTTATTCTTAATTACAAAAACATTGCCCACGTTTACATGATGTTTTTTAATTCTGAATTAAGTGTTCTAATTCCGAATTGAGGTTTACATGGAAAACGTTAAATTGTCTTTATTTAATTCGGCTCAGTGTCTGGGGGTGGGGAAGGGTTCTGATTGGACAGAGACGCCAACGAAAACACACACTTCAGCTGCTACCGGCTTTTCTGTCATCTCGGTTTGTCGTTTCGCCGTGGACACAAACACAATCCAAACTTTTTTTTGCAGTTGTTCCGATGGTAATTACGCAGCAGCTGGAGAATTCTGTCATGACGCTTTATTCTCAAGATGTGCATACAGTCCTTCAGTCGTCGAGGTAGAATCCATGGCAAAAGAAGAAATGAAATTTGTCAACTGGACAAAAGTTTATTTGGTTTCGCTGCGAAAAACTATTCGACCAAATACCGTATTTTCCTCACTATTAGTCGCTCTGGATTATAAGACGCACTGTCATTAAATGGTCTATTTTTGAACTTTTTTCACAAATAAACCACTTCGGACTTTAAACGAAACACAACAGTGTGATGGATGAGTGGTTTTGTTTGTTTGTTCGTTCACGGTGACTCTGGGCTTTGTTCAGTTGTGGCGTGTAGGGAGGTGCTGTCTGGGACCAACGGATTGTCGGCGTGTTCGCAGTGACTCAGTTGTTCAGTCGTGTCTAGAAGTGGCACATTGGACTCACTTTTTCGGTTCGTTCCTCTGTTCCGTTCCTCGTTGGCGTGGAGTGATGAGTGTGTCTGCGGGTGTGTTTCGCTGTGCGGTCGCTGTCTGCTCCGTGTGTGTTTGCGTGCGCTGGGGCTGGTACGGATTTGTAGTTTACTCAAGTCGTGTTGGGACACCCGAGTGGATTCGTGTATGGGGAGCTCTGGATTGTGGCGCACGGTCATTTTTTGATGGGGTTGGAGGCTTAAGAACGCGTCTAATAGCCCAGAAAATACTGTAAACTTTGTCCAGTTGACAAATTTAATTTCTTCTTTTGCCATCACACTTTACGTCATTTTTACGAGGAGGAGAAGGGAAGAAGAAGACAAACTGAGTGGGAGGCTGCTCTACCTCAGCCCACAAATCCAAAGAGACGTGGATGAAAGTCCAAAGCCAGGACTGGTGGAGCCGGATCATCCGGATCACGTCAAAAGTTCGACCCAACGAGCATGCACTGAACAACCGAAATTATTTTTAAGAAGAATAAATGTTTACATGATCGAGGAAAAAATGTATTTGTCTTTAAAATCAGAATAAACCACCCACTTACTTTGGAATTGAGTTTAATTCTAAATAATCATTGTCATTATTAGGGGTGTAACGGTTCATGTATTCGTGCCGAACCGTTTCGATACAGGAACTTCAGTTCGTGCAGGGCTGTACATAAGTGAATTTGCGCAATCTGTGTGTGTTTTATTTTCGGCCACTACATGTGCAGCTACAGCAAAGGCTCGGCTCTTTAATATTCACGAGGGAACTTGTCTGTGATTGGGGCAGTGTTTCCTGCAGCGCTTTATAGTTAGGGCGGCCGCTTCGACAACAACTGCCCCCCCGCCTTGACTACATCCCTCCAAACCACGTGAATCCTCGCAAAACTACGGTCGTCGCGCCCGGGCTTCACTTTCGACTGTATTTCGAAACGTATTTTCAGTCTCTGGGAACGTTGTAACTGTAACAGATCTGCTCTTACTGCAGACAATGTGGACAAGTTTGTTTTTTCTCGCCAAAAATATGAAGATTGAGTAAAACTTCATGCTGAAACTGTTAACGCTTCACTTTTTGAAAAGCTTTCTTTATTGTTTACAAGGAATATATTTTTTATAATATTTCACACATTTGTCGCTTATTTGAGAAGATTTTATTAGTATTACTGTATTATTATAGGACTACTTTACATTTAATTAATTTTACTGTTTGTATAATGTTAAAACAAGTTGCTGGTTTAATAAACACACAAAAAAAAAAAAAAAAAAAAAACACGCACATGGTTTTACATTTTATTCCCAAACTTTACTGAAAATGAACCGAACCATGACTGCAAAACCGAGGTACGTACCAAACCGTGATTTTTGTATCGTTACATCCCAAGTCTTTAGGAATTAAGTGTTTACATGGTCTTTTTAAAACAGAATTCATTTTTATTCAGAATTAAAGCTCTCATGTAAACGTGGCAAATCAGAAAAATCGTGTTCAGTTGTGATTGTTGTACCTTTGTTAAAACAGTCAGACTTCGTACAGTTTCCTTTAGGTCCATCAAACTCTTCGGTCTCCTCTTCTCTCTCCTCAGGCATCGTCTCCGTGGTGATCTTCCTGGTCCTCTGCTTCCTGGTTTTCCTGATCCGGCACCTGTTCCGACACAAAGGCTCGTACCACACCAACGAGGCCAAGGGTCAGGAGGCGGCGGACTGCGCGGACGCCGCCATCATCGTGAGCGACCCGGCGTTCACGGAGACCATCGAGGAGAGCAAGAAGGAGTGGTTCATTTAACACAGATCCAACACGGACTGGACGAGGAGGACGAGGAGGAAGAGGAGGAGGAGGAGGAGGGGGGGGTTTTTAGACAGACGTAGAATTAAAGTTGGACCACGAGGATGTTTTTATGGATGAACGTCCGTAGGAGCAGGACCGGGTCGACTTTGGCAGTGCCTGAGGGAGTTCCGTTCGTGTTTTTTTTTTTTTTTACAATGGATAAAATGAGACTCTTCAGATCATGCAAATAATGGCCTTGGGAGGATGAATGCTCACTGTCTGTACTTAACTTAAGCTTCAGTTTGTCTTACGTAGAAGAGCGGGGATAGTCCGGTGTTTTGTTGGATACGTAAGGATTTGTCAACGGAAAACCTTTCACTTACACCGAATTATCGACTTGTTTCATGTATCTGGTAAATGTAGTAGATTATCCAGCAGAGGTGAGGACCTGGACTTGGACTCGATTCAGACTTGAGACACTATTTTTAAATCCGTGTGCCATTCGTTCATTCGTTTTTTAGTATAAAACCAAAAATAAGCAAACAAAAAAATAACTGTCTTCTTCATTATTTGTCTCCAAAACCAAAATGAAAAAACAGATGACGATTTGTTTTTTCATTTTTCGATGAATAATGGAAAAACCAGGACTGAACCAGGACTGAACCAGGACTAAAACAGGAATAAATTGGTCTCAGTCCTGGTCCTGGTCCCGGTCTGGTCCTGGTCTCAGTCCTGATCACTTGACAGTCTATGCAGACGAACCGCCGGGCCCATCCCAACACTCCTGGTTCAGTTCAGGTTTAGTCCTGGTTTAGTCCTGGTTCCTGGCTCAGTCCTGGTTCAGTCCATTATCCATTTTTTCCATTCTTCATTTAAACACAAAATCGAAAACTGAAAACAACAAATCATTATCTGTTTTTTTCATTTTGGTTTTGGAGACAAATAATGAAGAAAATAATTGTTTTTTTTTTGTTTTCTTATTTGTGGTTTTATTTTGAAAAACAAATGAACGAATGATACATAGATTTTTTTAGGACTAAGACTTGGACTTGAAGGTCATTGACTTTGGATTTGACTCGGACTTGAGGCCTGTGACTTGAGAAAACTTGAAGACTTGAAAAGCATTTTTAAATCTGAATTTGTTTTGCTATTCTGACTGTAATGATTCACTCTAAGATCTTGTCAAGACATTTTAAAAGGAAAAAATTGCCTTTCTACAACTCTTACATACTCTATAAATACACAAATATAAATATACTATGATTTTTGAAGTACAATTTTGTTTAAAATTCATATAAATTTCAAAAATCTGAACTATATTTGGTACTTTTTTGGTTTAAAGACTTGAAATGACTTGAAGCTCAAAGCAGACGACTTGGACTTGACTTGGACTTATGGGTCAGGTGACTCGAGATTCAACTTGGACTTGCCTGTATTTGACTTGGGACTTGACTCGGACTTGAGGTCAAAGACTTGAGACTTGCAAAACGATGACTTGGTCCCACCTCTGTTATCAAGACTCTAAACTCTGGAATAATTGTGGTTCTAATCAATTTAAATTGACAAAATCGGCAGAAAATCTGAGAAATTCCTGTGTAGCACCAAAAAAGAGAGAAAACAGGAACAAAGAGCGTATTTCATTAGTCATTCACCCAAGTAAGTTAGTAAAACTCTACTTCCGTTTGAGCTACATTTATGTTCTTCAAATTGAGAATTTCCATCCAGAAGTAATTTTCAATTTGAAGACTCTGGTTTGAGGAGCTAGAATTAATACTCCCCTTTATCAAAAACAATGAAACACACTCATTTTGAAAGTTTTCGTCCTGGATTATTCCAGAAAGAAAGAAGGATTACGCTGATGAGGCTTTTCTGTACACAACAAAAAGTGGAGAGTTAAAATTGACTCTCACAGAATCATTTTTTACATTTTCTCAGAGTTTATATGAGTCCAATCTGTTCTAGAGTTAATTTAACTTTCTTGGAAATTTTAACTAAGTAACACTGGACCAAAGTTCCTGTTTAACCCGAAAATCAAGAGTTATATTAACATTTTCAGAGTAAACGGATAACACTTTGTAGAGTTATCCTGATTTAATTAAACAACACACAGAAGTGTTTTATTTTTATACTTTTTTTTAAAAGATGAAATTATTAACAAAACTGGTTCAAACTGGTCTTTTTCCAATTTAACACTAGAGGAAGTTGAATTAACACTAAGGGATGCTGAATTAACATTAGGCAAAGTTGAATTAACACTAAGAAAAGTTGAATTAACACTAAGGAAAGTTGAATTAACAGTAAAGAAGTTGAATTAACACTAAGGAAGTTGAATTAACACTAAGGAAGTTGAATTAACACTAAGGAAAGTTGAATTAACAGTAAGGAAGTTGAATTAACACTAAGAAAAGTTGAATTAACACTAGAAGAAGTTGAATTAACAGTAAGGAAGTTGAATTAACACTAAGAAAAGTTGAATTAACACTAGAAGAAGTTGAATTAACACTAAGAAAAGTTGAATTAACACTAGAAGTTGAATTAACACTAAGAAAAGTTGAATTAACACTAAGGAAAGTTGAATTAACACTAAGGAAAGTTGAATTAACACTAAGGAAAGTTGAATTAACAGTAAGGAAGTTGAATTAACAGTAAGGAAGTTGAATTAACACTAAGGAAGTTGAATTAACACTAAGGAAGTTGAATTAACAGTAAGGAAGTTGAATTAACAGTAAGGAAGTTGAATTAACACTAAGAAAAGTTGAATTAACACTAGAAGAAGTTGAATTAACAGTAAGGAAGTTGAATTAACACTAAGAAATTTGAATTAACACTAGAAGAAGTTGAATTAACACTAAGAAAAGTTGAATTAACACTAGAAGTTGAATTAACACTAAGAAATTGAATTAACACTAAGAAGTTGAATTAACACTAAGGAAAGTTGAATTAACACTAAGGAAGTTGAATTAACACTAAGGAAGTTGAATTAACACTAAGAAGTTGAATTAACACTAAGGAAGTTGAATTAACACTAAGGAAGTTGAATTAACAGTAAGTTGAATTAACAGTAAGGAAGTTGAATTAACACTAAGAAAGTTGAATTAACTAGAAGAAGTTGAATTAACAGTAAGAAGTTGAATTAACACTAAGAAAGTTGAATTAACACTAGAAAGTTGAATTAACACTAAGAAAAGTTGAATTAACACTAAGGAAGTTGAATTAACAGTAAGGAAGTTGAATTAACAGTAAGGAAGTTGAATTAACACTAAGAAAAGTTGAATTAACACTAGAAGAAGTTGAATTAACACTAAGAAAAGTTGAATTAACACTAGAAGAAGTTGAATTAACACTAAGGAAAGTTGAATTAACAGTAAGGAAGTTGAATTAACACTAAGAAAAGTTGAATTAACACTACAAGAAGTTGAATTAACACTAGAAGAAGTTGAATTAACACTAGAAGCTGAATTAACACTAGGGGAGATTGAATTAACTTCAACCTTATCAACTTTGGCAAATAATCCCAAATTGAACCACCATTTAACTTTCAAATAGTTAAAATAACACTTTTTGTGGTTAAAAACAGCTCTGAAATATTTTACTCTGAATTTACTCCTCCAGTTTTTGTTGTGTAGCCTCACCCGCCGAGTCCTGAAGTGGCTCCTGTCGTTTTTTGTTTTTTTTAAATCATCAAACGTTCGCTCTTGTCTCTTAAAGGACCTGTTTTCTAAATTTAATCCGTCCTGAACGAAACAAAACCCCGGACTGTCCTTTGCTTTTTTAATTTCACGATTGCCAAATCTCCATGCGTTGCCTGTTTTATGAATATTGCTGAATTATCGTAGGAAATGTCGGACCGTTCTAATGTACGTGTGGTTTACAAACGTCCTTATTGTTTTTTGAATCTGAGAATGTAGCAGATCTTCCAAATCCGGGACCACTTTACAATAACACGCTGGATTTTATTTGGAGCGTCACGAATGTCTTTGGAAAATATTTAAAACCCTCTCCACAGTTTCGCCTCATGAACAGCACAGATTGTGAATTTACTGGGTTAACGTTAGAAATCTGTGGAGCTTTTACAATTTTCAAATGCTTTCCAAAGTGATCTGCAATTTGCTGCTTTATTTATTTTATTTATTTAATATTTATTTAATTGCCAAAACGTTTTAATGAGCTGAACAATACTGAACTTTTCCAACTCATTCAGCTGTTTACGAAAAACAATTTGAAAGATACAGTTTGTGACTCAATCCGTGTGTCAGTCGTTCATTTGTTTTTCAATGTAAAACGAAAAATAAGAAAACAAAAAAACAACTATTTTCTTCGTTATTTGTCTCCAAAACAAAAATGAAAAAACGGAAATGATTTGTTTTTTTTCAGTTTTCGATTTTGTGTTTAAATGAAAAATGGAAAAAACGGATAATGACCGTTTTCTGTTTACGTGACTTAAACTGCAATGCCGGACTAAACCAGGACTAAACCAGGACTAAACTAAACCAGGACTAAACCAGGACTAAAACAGGACTACACCAGGACTAAAACAGGACTACACCAGGACTAAAACAGGACTACACCAGGACTAAAACAGGACTAAAACAGGACTACACCAGGACTACACCAGGACTAAAACAGGACTAAAACAGGACTAAACAGGACTAAACAGGACTAAACCAGGACTAAAACCAGGACTAAACCACTAGGACTAAACACCAGGACTAAAACAGGACTAAACAGGACTACACCAGGACTAAAACAGGACTAAACCAGGACTAAACCAGGACCCAGGACTAAAACAGGACTAAAACAGGACTACACAGGACTAAAAACAGGACTAAAACAGGACTACACCAGGACTAAACCAGGACTACACCAGGACTAAAACAGGACTAAAACAGGACTAAAACAGGACTACACCGTTTTCAATCCCGATCTGGTCCTGGTCTCAGTCCCAGTCTTAGCCTTGGTCCTGTTTCCGGTCTCAGTCTTGGTCATAGTCCTGGTCTGGTTCTGGTCTCAGTCCCAGTCTCAGTCCTGGTCCTGGTGTCCGTCTCGGTCTGGTCTGATCTGGTCCTGGTCTCAGTCTCGGTCTAGGTCCTGGTCCCGGTCTGGTCCCAGACTCAGTCCTGGCCTAAGTCCTGGCCTAAGTCCTGGCCTAAGTCCTGGCCTAAGTCCTGGCCTAAGTCCTGGCCTAAGTCCTGGCCTCAGGCCTGTCCTGGCCTAAGTCCTGGCCTCAGGCCTCTCCTGGCTCCTGGCTAAGTCCTGGCCTCAGTCTTGGCCTCCTGGTCTTGCCTCAGTCTTGGCCTCAGTCCCGGTCTGGTTCTGGTCTGGTTCAGACCTTATTCAGTCCTGGTTCAGTCCTGTTTTAGTCCTGGTTCAGTCCGTTATCCATTTTTTTCCATTCTTCATTTAAACACAAAATCAAAAACTGAAAAAACAAATCATTATCTGTTTTTTTCATTTTGATGAAGAAAATAGTTTGTTTTTTTTCCATTTTCTTATTTTTGTTTTTATTTTGAAAAGTGAATGACCGAACGACACACAGATTTGTCTCTTATTGTAACGTGGTGCCCTTCGGTGTGTTCTTAAGTTTTTATTTCCATCACGTATTTATTTATTTATTTAGATAATTTATTTTTATAATATTTATGTACTTTTATTTATTGACCCGTGTATTTATTCGAGTGATTTCTACAGCCTTAAAGTGGACGGAGAGCCTCGCTTGTGTTCATTCTCTGCCTGTGTCCGATTCTGTTGTTTCTCGTTGAAGCGTCATTACGGCTTTGCACACACCGTTCCAGAGCACAGAGCTCCCGGGCGCTGTCCGAACGGGGCCCGGACACGTGTTTACAGACCGGAGGGGGGTGTTCTACTTGCATGTCTACGGCGGAATGTTCAGCAATTACACCATGGTGACACAAAAACGGTTTTAAAGGTGCATCGAGTGGCTTTTCTCGACAGAGATCTTAAACGTGCATCACGAATTTTGGACTTCTGGTCATCGCGCAATCCAAACTGGGAAGGATTTTCTGAAAAAGTGAGCATCAATTCGTCATGTTTGTTTTCCCAGTGCGATACGTCGATCTTTTCAAGTCTTTTGAACCATATCGCTTTTGTTTCTGGTTCTGATATTGTCATATTTTAGTTTTGGGATTCGGACATCGTTAATTGTTGTGGTTGTTTGATCCTAACAGCGGAAAACGACTCGAGAAATGTGTTTGTGAACTTCATAAATGCAAAAGTGAATCAGATGTGTGTGACTCAAACCTCTGTTCAAACTGTTTCTCTTCCCAACGGAATTGAAAAATAGTGAAAGGTGAAGGTGATGGGCAGGATTGATCCACAGGAAGAACCAAAAATGAAACTTTTGACTGACTGAGAAATCATCCCGAGTTTGCAGCGAACATTTTGTATGTGGAGCGAGAACAAAACAAAATCCTGATCCCTCGCTCAACCTCGGTTACAAATTTAAAAAGTCAGCGCCAAAACGAAAGGCGCCGAGAAACACCTTCCACTGCAAAGAGACCAAGACGTGATGTTGCTGTAAAACCACAAGAACAAGAAAGTGCAGCTCAGTCTGTTTGTCTTCTGCTTCCTCTCACTTAACAAACGGGATTTTGATTTGTCGTCGCTCCACATACAAAATGTTCGCTGTAAACTCAGAATGATTTCTTAGGCAGACAAACATTTCCTTTTTGGTTCTTCCTGTGGATCAATCCTGCCCATCACCTTCACTTTTCACTATTTTTCAATTCCGTTGGGAAGAGAAACAGTTTGAACAGAGGTTTGAGTCACACACATCTGATTCACTTTTGCATTTATGAAGTTCACAAACAAATGTCTCGAGTCGTTTTTCGCTGTTAGGATCAAACAACCACACAATTAACGATGTCCGAATCCCAAAACTAAAATATGACAATATCAGAACCAGAAACAAAAGTGATATGGTTCAAAAGACTTGAAAAGATCGACTTTGTCAACAGACACATCCCACTGGGAAAACAAACATGGAGGTTTGATGCTCACTTTTTCGGAAAATCCTTCCCAGTATGAACTGAGCGATGACCGGAAGTCCGAAATTCATGATGCATGTATTGCCTTACCTCTGATATATTCCAAAGTATGGCATTAAAATTTAAAATCTCCGTAGAAACAAGCAGGAGACGTCACTGGGGCGAGTTTACAGGTCAGATCCGCGAAGAGTTGACCCCACTTAAAGCTATTTTTGAGCAAGAAAAACACCCGTAATTGAATAAATGCATCTTATATCATTTAGGAAAACCTCCAACATGAAAAGTCATGCAGTGCACCTTTAAGATCATCTGAAAACTACAAAAAATATAAAGTTAGTTTCACACCCTCAGGGAATTTTGAGATATCAGCAGCAAAGTATCAATAAATAACGATCTCCAAATTTCTTCTGATCCACAAATGTTTGGGGTCGGCTCCACAAACTTGTCATTTTATAATCTTCGGGTTTAAAGTCCTTTCAGCTGAAACACTCACGTTTTTCTGAAGCTGTTGTGAAGAAATAATTGGACTTTAGTTTAGAAGACGCTGAACTTTGATCCAGTTTTTGTTTCATATAGATAAGCACAGGAATTACAGAGATATAAACCATAAACGAGGTCAACAAATCTTGGTCTGACAGTTATGGGTCAAATGCCGAGGACAATAAAGTCGACCTTAAACTAAAAACCCTTTTTTGACAGAAAATCTCGTGTCTTGTTTACATGTTTCCAGGCCCCTTTGTGAATGTCGCCGCGTAAACCAGGTCTGTGCAGTGTCCGGGAGCTTTCCCTTTAAGTTTCGAGTTTTGAATTTTGACATTTTTTTAAAAAATGTGATGATGTGTATTTTACTTTCTCTTAGTGCACGGCTCACATGCGGATATCTCACTGTCCCAGAGTTTTTTAAACAAATAAATGAATGAAACTGAAGTCTCTCTTTTTCTCAGCCTGTTTAAGCAAGACTTAAGTATAAATATGTTTACTAGTGTTTAAACACACATCTTATATTGGATTTGGTCTTCATATTATTAAAGAGAGGGGTTAGTTTGACTATTATTGTCTACATGATTAAAATTTTAAGTTACTGTTTATGATAATGCACTGTTATTATTATTATTATTATTTTATTTTTTTAAATTTATTTATTGCTCTGACAAAAAAAATATAATGTGACAATAAATAACTAAAACGAGGATTTGAATAATGATAAATGCATTATAAATCATGATCTAAAGTAAATAGATTAAATTATTATTATTATTATATTATTATTATCAATCAATCAATCCAATTATTTATTTATTTATTTATATATTTATTTATTGCTCTGACCAAAAAATGTCACAATAACTAAAATAGGGATTTGAGTAATAATAAATATAAGATAAATGCAATATAAATTATGATCTAAAGTTGTAATATCAAAACTTTTTATTATTATTATTTATTTATTTATTTATTTTACAATTTTATTTATTACTCTGACAAAAAATAATAATGTGACAATAAATAACTAAAATAAGGATTTGAATAAAAATAAATATACGATAAATGCATTGCAAATGTTATATCGAAATAAATTAAAATAAGGATAAAAATATAAATTAACGTATGAAATATCTAGAAAAATAGTCTCCATTCCTCACATTTTTTCAACATTATCTTATTTACGAATGGTAGAACTCTAACAGCAGAGGGCAGTATCGCGCGTCCGAAACGTCAGACTTTGGACTACAGCTCCCATGATGCACCGCGGCACCAGAACCGCACTCAAGGGCGAAGGGAAACATGCTAGGTACGGTTCTCTGTTTATAACGCGTTTTTTATTCTATTTTCATTTAAACAACGCGGTATTTACGCACAGAGATGTATATTTACGCGCAATTACGTCTACACGTGTCGTAATTAAGCGAAATGTTGTAGTTTTTACGTTTAAGGGCCATGCTAAGAGGTAGTTCCACTCATTGTTATTATACTCTACGCAGTATAATATTTATCTTTGTAAATGGCAGCGTTGTTCAAATATTTGTATTTCGTAATATTTTGTTAGGTTGATAAAAGTAAAAACAGATTAAAAACGTGTTCGGGGCTCACGAGACGTTCATAACAAAGGGGCGGGGCCAGGACTAGAAAAGGACCAATCACAAACCAGCTCATAGTGAAAGTATAAATATATCTAAATACTCGTAAATATTCTCCATATATCCAGAATGCTAAACTCTTTCCCTCCAACTTGTGACGTCATCTGGTGGTACTAACTAATGCACAACTGCTCCTCTGTGTTTTTAAAGTCAATAAATTCTCCACTGACATGAATGGGATCCTCGATTAACCAGAAGTGCCTCCACAAAAAAGCGAGATTTCCGGAACATTTGTAAACAAAAGTGGGCGGGGCGGAATAAAGTGGATTATCGTCGTGGTATCAGAATCAGTATTGAGTATCGAGTCTAATCCGTGTATCGTTCGTTCATTCGTTTTTCAACGTAAAACCAAAAATAAGAAAACGAAAAAACAACAATTTTCTTCATTATTTGTCTCCAAAACAAAAATGAAAAAACGGATAAAGATTAATATTTTTCATTTTTCGATTTTGTGGACTGAACCAGGACTAAAACAGGACTAAATCAGGTCTAAACCGGTCTCAGTCCTAGTCTCATTCCCGGTCTCAGTCCCAGTCCTGGTCTCAAGCCTAAACCAGAAGTGAACCAGGAGTGTTGGGACTGGTCCAGACATGCGCCCGCGTAGACTGTCGGGTGATCAGGAAACTGGGACCAGACTGGAACCAGACCGGGACTGAGACCTGGTTTAGTCCAGGTTCAATTCTGGTTTTGAGCTAGTTTAGACCTGTTCAGTCCTGGTTTTAGTCCTGATTTTAGTCCTTTTTTGGTCCTGGTTTAGTTCTGGTTCAGTCCTGGTTTAGAACTGGTTTAGTCCTGTTGTAGTCCTGGTTTTGTCCTGTTTTAGTCCTGGTTCAGTCCTGTTTTAGTCCTGGTTTTAGTCCTATTTTAGTCCTGGTTTAGAACTGGCTTAGTCCTGTTTTAGTCCTGGTTTAGTCCTGTTTTAGTCCTGGTTTAGTCCTGTTTTAGTCCTGGTTCAATCCTGTTTTAGTCCTGGTTTAGAACTGGTTTAGCCCTGTTTTATTCCTGGTTTAGTCCTGTTTTAATCCTGGTTTAGCCCTGTTTTAGTCCTGTTTTAGTCCTGGTTTAGTCCAGTTTTAGTCCTGGGTTAGTCCTGTTTTAGTCCTGGTTCAATCCTGTTTTAGTCCTGGTTTAGTCCTAGTTTTAGTCCTGTTTTAGTCCTGTTTTAGTCCTGTTTTAGTCCTGGTTCAGTCCTGGTTCAGTCCTGTTTTAGTCCTGGTTTTGTCCTGTTTAGTCGACAAATAATGAAGAAAATCGTTGTTTTTTCATTTTCTTATTTTTGTTTTTATTTTGAAAAACGATTGAACGAAACGACACACACATTGACTCGGTTCGTTAGTTATCGAAATCGAGTTTGAAATTCCCGTTTTCGCGCCAACACTCTCTTAAACTCTTTCGTGTTTTTGTCAGTGTGGGTGTGTTATAACCAGGGAGCGCCCGTCGCCGTCGAGGTCGAGGACGAGGCCAAAGTGTGCGACCTGAAGCGAGAGGTCGGAGGTCGTCTGGGCGTCCAATCAGATCGTCTCCGGGTCCTGTTCGCCGGGAGAGAGCTGCTCAACGGCGCCACACTCAGGGTACTAAAACTCAAGTCAGAACTAAACCAGGACTACAGCAGAACTAAACCAGGACTAAAACTGCTCTTTTTCCTCAGAGCTGTGACCTCCCGGAGCAGAGCACGGTTCATGTGGTTCTTCCCCGGACTAACCCAAGACCGCCGGACCAGGATCTAAACCGGGAACAAAACCGGGGGCCGGTCCAGGGTGCGGTCCGGGATCTAAACCAGGACTACGTGAGTCTGACCCGAGTGGACCTGAGCCCTCCTGAAGAGAGTCCAGAGTCCGGAGACGGAGCGCAGGAGCTGAGAGCCGAGGAGGAGGGGCAGGGAGGTGAGTTTGGTTTGTTTTATTTTAATAATATTGCAAAATTAAATTAAAAGTTTAAAAGTCAACGTACTTTTTCCGTGTTTATCTCCTGTCGTTTAAACACCTGTATCTGATGAATTTTGAACCGGGACTGAACCAGAACTGGACCAGGGCTTAACCAGGACTAAACCAGGACTAAATCAGGACTGAACCAGGACTGAACCACGTAGGGCTGGGCGATATGGATCAAAAAATATATCTGGATATATTTTGCTATGTCTCGATATACGATATATATCTCGATATGTGTACAGGAAAAAATAACTCCCCAAAACTGAAAACTGCAAAAACAAATATGTCAAATTCCACAGTGTCTTTTTTATTAAAGTGCAAGAGGCAGTTCATGTAGGAACAAAGTGCTTCTGCCATTTAAGATTACAGAAAATCCCTAATTATATAAATAATAATTTAACTGTAAAATAAAAGAAATAATACTTATTTCCTTCTTTTCATTCATAAATAAAACAACTCAAGCTCATCTTTGCATTAACTCTGTGATCCAAACCATAACCAGAACCATGAGCTCCTTCAGCACAGGAAGCTCGGGAGGTTCCTTATTTTAACAGCTCTCTCCTTGTGCGCTGATGCGGTTCAGCTTCTTTCGGACTAAAGGACACGACTCATTGGAATATGAGTGTTTTCTCTGTGACTGAGGATGTGCTGATGATGTTTTTGTCTGTAAATGGTGGAAAGGTTTCGTGGTGCTTGAAGCTTTTCATTGGCACCAACTTTGGGCGTTCACGGCGGTAGTGAGGAGTGAATGAGACACAAGCAGCAAAATCAGTGCGGCGGGGACACACAGAGGTGACGACAGAGAAGACAAACAAGCAAACTGAATAAAAGCATTATGTCGATATATATACGATATGTCAGAATCCATATTGAGTTAAAAAAATATCTCAATATATTTAAAATATCAAGATATCGCCCACCCCTAGAACCATGACTGAACCAGGACTAAACCAGGACTGAACCAGGACTAAACCAGGACTGTACCAGGACTAAACCAGGACTGAACCAGGACTAAACCAGGACTGAACCAGGTGTAAACCAGTGTCATTAGCGGACCATGATGTGTTTTATGTAATAAATACACCAAAGTCACTCTCGACCGGGAAAACAAGGCACTCGCCGACCGCAGCAGACACCCTGGACGGACGTCAAGTATTTTTCTCCCGTTCATCCACGTGTTGAGGGCGTCTGAACTAGAATGCAAAGGTGTCCAGGGTGTTTTTTGAGGCTGGGGTCTGAACACAGCATAAGTGTCAATCTTGATAATACACCATGATGGAAAATCTAGTGTTTTGGATAAAGTCAGGCACTTTTTTCTATGATTCTTAGTAACAGGCTGTGTTACTTAGTGCTTGATTGGATGAAAAAAGGTGTTCCTGACAGTAGTTTCCTGATTAGTTATTACTCAACGTGTATAAACTACATATTACGGTCAAATTTTTTTTCTTATTTAGGTGCTCTGCTGCTATAAAACATGACATAAGAGCATTTAATTCTCAGTTTAATGGTGTGTTTTTGCGTTTTCTTTCCTCAGGACGTAGTTCATTCTTCGTCTTCTGCAAACGCTGTGGAGGAGTGAGGGAGGGGAAGCTCCGAGTCTGCTGTAAAACCTGCCAACAGTCCACGCTCACGCTCACACAGGTCAGAGCGCACAGCGTGATGTCAGAGAAGCTTTGATTTCAGGCTCCAGACGGTCCGTACAGAACATTTAAAACAGACACAAGACAAACACGACAGGAAGAATAATCGTCTATCGCATTTTGAGCTTTAGAGATGTGGACAAACTAATAATAAAGAGTTACTCAAACCTGAAACATGAAACAAAACACAACTCCAGATTTGTTTTTAAGGAGGTAACAACATTAAAACATAACCTAAAGCTCACAAGATTCTATTTTACGTAATGTAGGACCTTTTTATTTTAGTACTCTTGTCTTGGAAAGTCGTGTTTTTTATATTATGTAATATTTATTGTGATTTTTAGCCAAACGAGATGAATGAATGAATTATTTATGGAGCAAAACCATTCTGTCCTGTAGCTCTGTAACACTTTATTTGTAATTGTGTTTTTATGTGTGTTTATTGTGTAGATTGTGGATGAATGAAATGTGAAATGTGGGACGAGACTCTTAAATCAAGCAAATTTACCTACAGATACGAATAAAGTACTGTAATTTTTGGATTATAAGTCGCTCCAGCCAAAAAATGTGTAATGAAGAAGAAAAAAACATATAGAAGTCGCACTTTTTGGGGGAAATGTATTTTATAAAATCAGAGACCAGGAGCAGATATTTACTGTGTAAAGTCAAGTTGTAGTAAAAACAATAGAAGAGAGAACAACAGACTGTTAACGTCACATATGAACAGTTCTTCAGATAAACTATAACATAAACAACAGAACAGAACAAGTTTAACAAACTCTCCATCTCACTCCAAATCACTAAATCCATTCAATTCTTCATCCTCGGTGTCACTTCTGAACAACTCGGCCTCGACCTCCGGAGGTAAACAGAGCGACGCTTCCTCTTCTGTGTCGCTGTCGTCAGACTCAGCATCAGTTCCAGTTAGAATTATTCGGGTCTTTCTGAATCCCGACAGGATGGTTTCGGTGTCACTGAAGTCCAGGCTTTGTCCATCCATCCAGTGACTTCAGGAAAGTTTCATGGTGCATCCTCCCGGTGTCACAAGTTTCTCTCTCACTCCAAACTTTCTTTCTGCTGCTCGATTATCGTTTTCAGCTGCAGATTTCACGACTTGCAGTTTGTGATCTGCAAAATCTGATTTTGTTTTTGGGGGCATTTGTGTTCAGTCTTCTCAGTCGTCTTTATAAGTTTGTTTAAATGTTAAATTGTTCAGTGGTGCAGAAGTAATGGTGCGATGGACTGACATGATACAGACAGGACAGAGGCTCTTTCTGCAGGAGACATGCGCAGTAGAGCCAAGTGACAGTGGTACAGGAGGAACAGGAGCAGCAGATACTCACACACAAGACTAGAACCTCTCACCGCTTCACTCAAACATTTTAATATAGAAGTCACACTGTTTGTTCTTTCTCTGTTCCCAGGGCCCCTCCTGTTGGGACGATGTGCAGACTCCGGGTCGGATCAGAGGAGTTTGTCTCTCAGACGGCTGCAGCGGAGGAGACGCGGTGAGGGAGTCTGTGTTTTAAAGTCAATACTGTGGAACATTACAGGCAAAACCATAACATCTCTAAAATTAACTTAGACTTAGACAAACTTTATTGATCCACAAGGGAAAGAGACCAGAGTCAGATAAGGCGTAATGATATAAATGTATACGCACAAGTCAAAATAAAGTAATAAAAATATCTCAGCTGTATAAACACTTGCTCCAGAACTAATTTCCCTACGGGGAACATACAATCTACCACAACATTAACATTCACAGCCCTCGTCTCCTTTTATGGACGGACGATCAGATATTTACATTTGCATTTGTTATTCTGGTGTAACGCGGGGCTCAGTGTTGGAAACCGTCCCATCTTTTACGTGAAGGTTTTAGCATTTTTTTCGGAGGACCTTTTCTTTAAAATGGAGGTAATAGTTTTGGATTATTTTATTGAATGTGTATTTTTTTGCATTGTGTCACTTTCTTTGTGGGGGAGTCGGGAGATTTGCTCTTCAAAAATACAGTATGTTTCAAAACTTGCGTCGTAACTCTGAACGGGGTTGCCTCTCCGTAGATCTGACCCGTAACTTGGTCTAGTGGTGTCATCTTCTTGTCTCTGTATGCCGTGGGGATCAGTATAACCTGTAAAAGTTACACCGTGCATCTTTAATTTAACTCTCAAACTGCATTGTTCCACATCGTAACAAGAAATATTTTGTCTTGAACACAAAAAAAGTCTTAGGATAACAGTTGGGTTATTTATTTATTGGTCTGTGTTGTGTGTTAAACGGTGTATTTTCTTTTCTTTTTTTTGCAGGAGTTTTTCTTCAAATGTGCGTCTCACCCGACCTCTCAGGACGACCGCTCCGTGGCTCTGGACCTGGTCACTCTGAACAGCCGAAAGGTCCCCTGCATCGCCTGCATGGACGTCATGTGAGTGACTTTGCGGCTGATGTCATGAACTTTCACTGGGGCCTGTTACGATGTACAGTTCTATATCGAGTTATCGTTCAATATATGCCAGATGGACCAGTCATTTTTTAATCATTATTTATCGTGGGGACTTTTTCTTTGTAATCGACCTTTTTCACAACGGCCGGAAGTGCCATGATGTAGGGTAAACCTCATTTACGTTGCTTTAACAATGCTTTTCTATGGTAAAATATCTGTAAATATCTGGCGTATTTTCCACCAGCTTCATAAATCTGCCACCTAGTGCCTCCGCTCAATTTTATTTCTCTCCAGAGACTAGGTCAGGAATCAGAATACACTAGACGATTCGCAAAAACCTCAGAGGTGCGAGTTCGGTCACCAGTCAACTAGCGAAGAGCCAAATATTCAGTGTTGTCAACGATTCCCGAGATCGAGGATTTAAAGCCGGAACAAAGAGAATGTTTGGTGAATTTTATCAAGGGGAAAGACGTTATTGTCCTGCTTCCTACGGGATTTGGGAGTTAGTTTTGCATCGACTCAGTGCGCACTGCCACCGTTGCCTCGTCGCCATCGTTTTTGATTTATGGATCTGCGTCGAGGTTCATGCACCGCGAAGTAATTCACAGCCAAAACGCTAGGGGGTGACGATATCTGTCCATTCATAAATACGGTCTATGCTTGTGACCTGCAGACGTATAATCTCTGAAAAGTTCCATCTCCAACATGATAAAAACACAGAACAGACTCACCATTAGTACAATATCCCTCTGTCTCATATTCCACTGAGTCGTGTCCTTTTAAAGTCCGACAGAAGCTGAACCGTGTCAGCGCACAAGGAGCGAGCTGTTTTTTTGAGCGCTTAGTTTATGCAAGTGAGCCATGCGATTTTAAGTTTCGTTTCTGTAAAACGTAAAGACATATGCGCAAAGCTGCATTAAACACATTATTACTCAATGTATACTGAAAGAAAGAAAAGCCGAGTACAGGAAATGTCTGTAGTGCGGTGGTAGGGACGACCAATCACAGCCATTATCGTCCGCGTCGCTTCCCCTACTGTCTGCGTTGTTTCGATGCGTAGTTAGAAAATTTCGGAGGTGCATGTCGGTCGACACAGACTCTCTGTGTCATGACGCAGACGATTTGACGCTGGACCGTAAACTGGCCTTTAGCGGTGCATTACATACGTCACGACCAAATAACATCGATTGGTTAAATCAGGCATGTCCAAACTATGGCCCGGGGGCCAAATGCGGCCCTCAGACAAGTTTTTCTTGGCCCTCAGACTTCCAGGTGAATTGGCCCAAATGACCGTGCATCAATTAAAAAATATTTTTTTACTGCAAGTTTTTTGAAAATCGACCTTGATAAAGTGAATATTTCATATTTAGTTTGTGGTTTTAAGGATCTTAGCGTGAATAAAGTGTGATGGCTCATTCTAACGTGTTAAACATGCACATATTTCAATTATTCCCTGTACTGAGCATTAGTCTACGGCCCTCGATCGGCCCTCTACTTCATCTGTGTTTAGATATGTGGCCCTTGATGAAAAAAGTTTGGACACCCCTGGGTTAAATGATAAAAAGTACCCGCCTACCGTCGAGAGAATGAATCCTAATGCTGCGAGGTCAGATGGTTTCCACGAAGTGAAACCGGCTGATGAATCAGGCTGGGGTTGCATGGCACAAGACTGTTTGAAAATGAGTCTTTCTGTATTTCTGAGCCCACTGGAGCCATTTCTGCTTGTGAGTTTTGTTTAATAGTGGCTGAACAGAAGGTTTTATACATAACAGTGTAAAGTCACTGTGAAGTATCAATAAGAAACACTGGAATAAAAGGGTTTATATCTTGGTCAAAACACACCTGGATAGTAAATGTTACTAAAACAACATGACATGAGGTAAAATATGACCTGAGTGTATTTGTGTGTCCAGGGACGTGGTGGTGGTTTTCCCGTGCGCCGCTCGTCATGTGATCTGTCTGGACTGTTTCCGTGGTTACGCTCAGACACGACTAAACGAGAGACAGTTCGTTTACCACCAAGAGCTCGGATACACGCTGCCCTGCCCTGGTACCACTAATACTACATACAGATACTTCTACTACTACTGCAGATGTTACTACTACAACTACTACAGATGATGCTACTACTGCAGATCAAATTACTACTACTACTACTACAGATGATACTACTACATCTACTACTACACATACTACTACTACTACTACTACTACTACTACTGCTGCTGCAGATACTACTACAACTACTACCGATGATACTGTTACTACAGATGATACTACTACTACAGATACTTCTACAGCTACTACAAGTGATACTACTGCTAGTACAGATACTACTATTGCTACTACTACACATACTACTGCTACTACTACAGATACTACTACTACTAGTACAGATGATACTACTACTACAGATACTTCAACAACTACTCCAAATTATACTACGACTACTACAGATACTCCTACTGCTACTACTACACATACAGATGATACTATAACTACAGATAATACTATTACTACTACTGCACATTCTACTGCTACTACTACTACTACTACTACAGATACTAGAACTACAACTACTACAGATACTACTACAACTACTACAGATACTACTACAACTACTACAGATGATACTACTACTACTACTAAGGATACTGCTATTGCTACTACTATTACTACTACTACTGCTGCTGCTACTACTACAACTACACATGCTGCTATCACTACCACTACTACTCCTACAGATACTATAACTACTACTGCTGCACATATTACTACAACTACTACTACTACAGATACTGCTACTACTACTTCTACTACAGATACTATTAATATTACTACTACAACCAACAGCCCACAACGACAAAACATAATACAGACTCTCTTCTGTCTCTAGGCCAGAAAAAGATACATTACTGCTTTTCTTTTTTCTAAATCTAGTTGTAAATTTTTCTATAAACACATAAAACTTGATCAATATTCACTAAATTCTGTGTTTTTCAGCCGGTTGTGAAAACTCTCTGATCAAAGAACTGCATCACTTCAGGATCATGGGGCAAGAACAGGTGAGTGTAACAATTTTACACTGTATGTAAAGGTGCACTATGGAACTTTCCCACGACTCCGGCTTGTCTCCATGGTTATTTCTTTGTCAGGATTGTTCCACGGCATTGCATTAAAGGTTGTATAGAGGATTTTCCAAGGAACGAGAAATCCAGCGACTGTTTGTCCTTTTTCAAATGTTGCGCATGCGTGAAACCACCCCCCCTCCCCTACAGCTCCTACGTAGAAACGCCTCCTCCCGCCTCCTCTTTACGCCAGAAACAGGTTTGTTTACAGCCGGTGAGCTGCACATGACTTGTAAACAACAAACTACAGTGTTGGTTAGGCAAGACGGAGAAGTGAGGAGCGGGGGAAGAGCGGATCGGGCAGCGGGGACAGGAGCAGGAAAGGGGAGCAGAGAAAGTTGCGCGGAGATTCCGTGTGAATGAACTAGCTACAACACGCAGCAGCAAGCGGACTCTTTCTTTGCCTTGAAAATTACGTTTTCAGACATAGGATATCACTTTCGTGTCCTGAAAAACGTTTGTCTAACTCTTGGAAATAAAGTACGTTTTCATAATAAGCAGAAGTTTCCTGTCCAGGAGTAATTTGTGGACCAGTGCGTCAGTCTTTAGACCCTTCGTCTGCTTCAGTTGCGCCATCGCTGGAATGAATCTATAAGAATCACCTTAGTTTGGCTTCGCTGCTTTTCCCCTTGTCTTCTTCTTTCAGCGACCTCAAAAACGGACTTTCTTTTGCGGCGAACTGCTCCTGGATTCTTGTCGCCATTGCAACAAACTTTGTGCTAACTGAGAGGAAGATATAGGTCAAAAAAAGCCGCTAAGAACTGTTGCGTTGGTGGAGTAAACAGCGTCTGTGCGTCTGTGGACTGCGTGACAGTCGTACGTAAACCACGTACCGGCGGCGCGCAGGCAAGTCAGTTACACTAGAAACGTAGGGAGTTTGATTGACAGCCTGTCAGCTCACAGATAACGAGGCAGTGTCGTTATCTATTGGCAAATGTTTAGCCCCACCACGTCCAGAGTTGATGAATTTTTATTCTCTTTTTTTTGGTCATCATAATTACAAGGCTACTGCATCTCTATAATGCTATCATTGACAACTTGAAACAAAAAAAATATATAAAAAATCCTCCATACAACCTTTAAACCCATTTATTTCTCCATTTTCATTTTACATCGATTCAGTTGCAGGTGTTTTATTACAAGAAATGTCTCAAAACAACTTGCTTTCGTACTGTGAGTGGGCCTCGCCTCTCCACAGATCTGACCCGTCTCACTACGTCCATTTACAGACAAGCAGGAAGAAGCTATAAAAGTTACACAGCGTACCTTTAAACATCTTCGTAACTGTTCATGGGGTTCTGCTTCCTTTTTGTTTGCAACGTTCTGTGGACTTTTTACATTTTTTTGTTTTTTTAATTGTTAATCGCTATGGCAACGGTCCTAATTTGTTGTGTATTCTTTCTGTTCCCTGCGCAGTACGACCGTTACCTTCGCTTCGGGGCGGAGCAGTGCCTTCTGGGGCTGGGCGGGCTGCTGTGTCCGGGGGCGGGCTGCGGGGCGGGGCTCGTGGCTCAGGGCCGGAGGGTGGAGTGCGACGTCCGAGCCGGGTGTGGCCTCGTGTTCTGCAGGGACTGTCGCCAGGACTACCACCAGGGGGCGTGTCCGACTGCGGAGGGGGCGGGGGCGGACGCTCAAGCCCCGCCCACAGAGCAGGTGAGGATGAGCTGTGGGGTGTTTCCGCGGATTTATTAAAATAACTGGAGGGTGTTGATGCTTGTGGCTACTTCAGCGGAAAAAATCCCCTGGGCTGAGAGAGGATTTTTCTCATAGAGGCAATGTAATCATAAACTGCTCTTGTTCGGCTGACAGGGCACCTATAACTTTCAAAAATGTTGGATTTTGTGCTGATTTTTACCTATTTGTAGATCATAAACTTTTTCTCAGCTCAAAATCCTTCAGTTGTCTTAAAATAATCGTTCGCTCCGGCTCCGCTCTGGCTCCTCTCGCTCTGATTGGTCAAAACAATCTCGTGATACATGAGATTGACCACAGGAAAAAAGAGCTCTACTGCACATGCTCAATCGGCCCAGAGCCACCGGAAAGACGAATCTGGAATCATGCACCATTGAGCTTGACCCATTGACTTGAATGGGCGACCATTTTGAAAGCTCGGGACTTGGGTGTTTCCCAATGTGCAGGATCCTCGGCTTCTGAATCACTTCGAACAGATCCGCCAAGTGGTGTTCCAGTTCCCCCAAAGTCCTCACGTCCTCCATGCTCGACTCCTTTTCTTGGCTCTTTTACCAAGGATGCACAGGTGGATCCTTAGACGATTGAAATCGCAGACAACTGCAACTTCCTTTTTTATGAATATTATTTAAGCAGTAAAAAGCATTTTAATAAAATAAAACTCACTTAACAATAAAACAAAGTTAGTATTTTACTGTTTTAGCCACACTATTATTAGATCAAATGAATTCAAATCAGGACAAAAGCAGCAAAATCTCTTAATGAAGGGGACTGGAAATACAATTAGCCTATCATCCAAAAATGTTTCAGCCTGTGCATTTATTTATTTAGGCTAATAAATTTTAATTTAAAATTTACCCTAAACTGTTCAATAACAGATTAACTCAGCCTTTATTATTCACGTTTCAATTCCTGTGATACAGAAAAACACCTCTGAACACTTTATATTTGTAGAAACATTGCACTTTAACCACTTCACTGCTGATTGGTTTTGCTCTTGGATTTCCAAATATGGTCACTGGTTGCAGATTAGCCACTCTAACTGCCACCCTCGATGAGCTTCATTTGACTGCACCCGAACGCTTTGGCGACGTCACACTCCCTTAGTTCTGCTGTACAGTCTGTGGGGTGAACTCAGTCTCTCTGTGGTCGATCTGTGGTTGTTTACAGTAGATGTGTTGTGTTTTAGTCACGTTTATAATGTTTATTCTGTTTATTTTCTTTATTCTGTCTCTTCAGAGTTTCCCTGTGGACAGTGAGGCGTCTCTGCGGTCGCGTTGGGACAGAGACTCTCTGCTGTTTATCAAAGAATCCACCAAACCCTGTCCCCGGTGCGCCGCCCCAGTGCAGAAGAACGGTAAACACACACAAATGCACACACAGACACTCATATACACACACAAAAGTCTTGTTTTCATTGGTTGGGTGTGGAGCGGGTCAGTTTGGTCAATGTCTTCGCTGAGTAAAGTGACCTATAGCACCGCGTTTAAAGGGTCCAAGGGGCACTGGAGAGACGAGCTCCCAGAGAGGCCTGTGGCTAAATGATGAAACAGACGACTGGACACTGGACTGGAGAGAACACGAAAACGAGACGTCATAAAACAGAACAGAAACAGCCAATAATCATTTCAAAAATATATTTCTTCCAGTAGATGATGCATCAAACATGAGCCAAACCTAAAGAGACGTTTATAATTCATGGATTCGATTTAAAAGGTGCCAGGCCCAGAGGAGATTAATCCGATATTTACTCAAACACCAGAGCCAATCAGAATATGGATAAAGAAAATACGTGTTTGAGTATGACTCCTCCAGCTCCAATAAATAAATTTAATACAATAAACTGATATAAATTCATGTTATTATTATTGTGTATTGTTGCTGCCTGAAAAATGAATTTCCTTCAGGATGATAACGTATTTTCTATTCTAAATATTTTCATATTTTCTTTTTATCTAATAAGTCATGACACTTAAAGGTTGTATGGAGTATTTTTGTTTTGTTTTTTTAATTGTCAATGAAAGTTCAAAATAGCATTATAAAAAAAAAAAAGAATGAAAATCCATCAACTGTGAACATGGTGGGGCAGCTCAACATTGTTTGGTTGTCAATCAAACTCTGTTTCTAGTAAAACTTACTCGACGGCGTGCTAGGATTACGTGGTTTACGTTAGTCTCTCACGTATTCCACATAGGCAAGACGCCGTTAACTCGACCAACACAGAGGTTCTTAGCGGCTTTTTCGAACCATTGCTTCCTCAGTTTCCACAAAGTTTGTTGCTACGGCAGACAAGAATCCTCAACCAGTTCGTGGCAAAAGAAATTCAGTTTTTGTGGTCGCTGAAAGAAGAAGAGAAAGGGAAAAGGAGCAAAGCCAAACTGAGGTGATTCTTGGAGATTCCTTCCCGCGATGGCGCGACTGAAGCAGACGAAGAGATTAAAGACTAAATTAAATTACTTCTGGAACAGGTAATAACAACAGTAGTTTCATTCAGTGATTCATGCAGCAGCTGTAAATAAGAGTGATTTCTAGAGTAAGGAGGAGACAGGAGGAGGCGTTTCTACTTAGAGCCGTAGAAGAGGGGGGTGGTGTCACTCAGGCGCAAAATTTGAAAAATGACAAACAGTCGCTGTATTTCTCTTTCCTTGGACAATCCTCCATACAACCTTTAAACATGAAAAGAAATAGACAGTATCAGAAAGCATCAGCAGTAGTCAGTAATAATATTTGTTTGTTTGTTGTTTTGTTCCAGGAGGCTGCAGTCACATGCGCTGCCCTCTGTGCCATACCGAGTGGTGCTGGGTCTGTGCTGTGCCCTGGAACAGAGACTGTATGGGCAACCACTGGTTTGAATGAACTACAGTGTAAAACGATCACATGACACCACTCTGAAGTAAAAGTACTGCATTACATAAACCACTGTGTTTGAATAGGACAGTAGAGGATTTACCACTGCTCCCACAGACTCTAGAAAAGTCTAACTGAACGCACACACACCAACCATTATTTAACACTGACGTAACAATAAGGGAAATATTGTGTTTTTTGTGTTTTCAAAAGTGTCACAACATCGAAGGACAGTGACAAAAAATATCGTTATTGCTGGGCTTCAGATGACGTCACGTCGATGTCACAAAAAAGCAGATGGGAGTCAGGAAGTAAAGACAGACACAGAACCTGGTTTACCTCTGCTGACGCGGCGCCAATATGCCTAAATTCTGTGCAGTCTGTGGTTGCTGCAGCCACTCTAATTGGGAGAAAGACAAAGTTTTTTTGTGTACCGAAAGTGTTGTGTCACAAGTAGGGATGGGCATGATTAATCGATTAATCGATAATTGATCATTAAGAATTTCATCGATTACGTTAATTTTAATCGACAAACTGAATGTAGGTTGTTGTGTGTAGTGTGACCAAACAGGTGTGTACATGTGTCTCTGCATCAGAAGGAGCGAGACACAAACAGTGGGTCAGTCTGTAACGAACTGAAGCACAAATGTGTATTTAACGATGATTTGTACAAGAAATTCCAGGCTTTCTGTTGTGTTCGGGACAAGTGTGAGTCCATGTGCACAGTGTATAAAGCAGCACATATGTTTCTGTGTCCAGTGGGAAAAAGTTTTTCCAGGTGAGAGTCGCTCAATGTGGATGACGAGTCCCCACCTCCCTCCCCCCGTACGCTGTCCTGGTTTTGACAAACACAAATCTGGTCACACTAACCTGTATTCACCTGAGTCATGTCTTCTAATCCGACAGAAATTGAACACCACATCAGCGACACAAGAGCTGGAGTTTTATCTTCGCTTAGTTTATGCAAATTAGTGATGCAGTTTTAAGTTTTGTTTCTGTGAGAGTTGAACAAAACTGAATTAAACACATTATAATGTCAAACGGGCTGATGTGGCTCTAGAGTCGTTACGGTTTATATGTCGTAAAGTTGAATTTATTTATGCAGATTAGTAGTGCAGATAGTAATAATAATGATGATCATTTTAATATAAAAACGTTAATGATTAATTGATAATCGATTGTTAATTCTTCCGACGATCGATTAAGAAAATTTCATCGAATGCCCGTCCCTAGTCACAAGGGAGTTAGTTTAAAAAAAACTTACAGGAAAAAGACGACAAAAGTGGATCGACGATCTCCGGCTAAAAACAGGACAATGCTCGAGTTTGCAGCGACCACTTTGTAACAGATGAGGATTGTGTCATTCATGAATTCATATTTTCAAAGTTTTTTTGGACATTGTTTTTAGAAAGGCAAGCATCGTAAGTGACAGGTAAACTGTTATTGGTCCTAACTTGTCACACGAAAAGCTTTATGTGGTGCTCATTTTATTAGCTTACTGCTGTAATTTGGCATTTTATATTTTTTTATTTACAGATACAAAATAGTTGTCGCCTCCAGGCTTTTATTTCAGTCTTTCATTTGTCTCAGTGTTTACGAGGTCTGCAGCACCACATCATTTATTATATCCATCGCATCAATGCTGGGAAAATCATCCAAATTGTATGAAAAGTTTGACTTCTCCAGATCGTACGGGTCATAATCGATATTTAGACTTATTTTTTCGTGATTGCGGGTCTGTGTCGGCCCGTTCAAACTTTTATCAAACTCTCTGTCACCCCGTGTGTTGAGTTTTGAAGCAGAGCAAACACTTCCACACCTCCTGCCCCCATCTGAATTTCACGCATCATCAATGTCACGTGATTGAAACCCAGCAATAGAGTATTGATACTGGTATTAGAACATATTACTGCTTTGTCTGGAATGTTTCCCAGTATGGCATTAAACTATCTACTCTTCTGTCTTCATGGAAACCAAACCAGACCGAGTTACAGGTCAGATCTGTGGAGAGACGACCCCGCTCACAGTCAGAATGTTTGTTTTTCTAGGTATTTTTGAGCTATAAAACGGTGATTAAATAAATGTAAAGTAGAGCTGTTTAAAGGTTGTATGGAGGATTTTTTTTTTGTTTCAAATTGTCAATGAAAGTTTAAAATACCCTTACAGAAATGCAGCAGCCTTGTAATTATGCTGATTAAAGAAAAAAGAATGAAAATCTGTCACCTGTGGACATAGTGAGGGCAGATAAACATCAGCCAATAGACAACAAGTCTACCTCATTTTCTATTGGCTGTTAGGTTGTCAAACTCCCTGCCTTTCTAGTGTAACTGATGCGCAGGGATTATGTGGTTTATGCAGCAGTTCTTAGAGGCTTTTTTAAATTGTAGTTTCCTCGCAGTTCGCACAAAGTTTGTTGAGATGATGGACAAAAATCCACGACCAGTTCGCCACAAACGAAAGTCCGTTTTTGAGGTCGCTGAAAGAAGAAGAGAAGAAGAAAAGGAGCAAAGCCAAACACGTGATTCTTGGAGATCTCTTCCAGCGATTGCGCGAATGAAGCAAAGAGTCTAAAAACTGACATGCCGGTCGTTAAATTATTTCTAGACAGGTCACTTCAGTAATTCTGAACACGTGCTGGATGTAAACAAGCATGATTTCTAGAGCAAGGAGGCGGGAGGAGATGTTTCTACTGAGGCTGTGGAAGAGGAAGGTGGTGTCACGCATGCACAACATTTGAAAAAGGACTGTTGCTGTATTTCTTTTCCCTTTAAAAAAATCCTCTATACAACCTTTAATGTCACACTGTGGAACATTCTTAGCAGAGCGATTACATATCCATAGAAATAAGCAGGTGAAGGACCTCTAAACACAAAAGTCACACAGTGCACCTTTACAGCACAGAAGTTGAGCTGTAGATGTGTTTTTATGAGAGACGATCCAGAATGTTGAAGACAATGAGTTAAAAATGAAGAGTATTGAGTGTTTTATCTTTATGAACGTACCTCAGACAAATGTAAAGCTATGAACAGCTCCAAAGATGTGAAAAATTGTGAAAAATAAACATATTTTTTCAAGACTTTCTTCGTTTTTTGCGGATGTTGTGGTGGTGGTTGGATAAATACAAACAAGAGTGGACTTAGTTTTTAATAGAAATGATTACGGGAAACATTTGTGGATATTACAGTTAAAATAGACATAATTCTGGAGGTGTTCAACATGTATGATCAGTGTTGGGGAGTAACAGATTACATGTACTGGAGTTAAGTAATCAGAGTACAAATGATGAGTAACTGTATTCAGTTACAGTTACTTTGTTGAAATAAATGGATTACACGGCGGGATTTTCATGTTTTCACATTTTGGGCTATTCCGTTTTTGTTTTTTTTTCTTTGGTAATTCCACTCATTGCCGTAAAACTAAACTAGATCTAAACCAGGACTAAAAAAAGGACTAAAACCAGGTCTAAACTAGATCTAAACCAGGAAACTAGAACTAAACTAAACCAGGATAAACTAAACCAGGACTAAACCAGGATAAACCAAAACTAAACCAGGACTAAACCAGGTAAACCAGGACTAAACCAGGACTAAACCAAGACTAAACCAGGACTAAACCAGGTCTAAACCAGGACTAAACCAGGTCTAAACCAGGTCTAAACCAGGACTAAACCAAGACTAAACCAGGTCTAAACCAGGACTAAACCAGACTAAACCAGGACTAAACCAGGTCTAAACCAGGACTAAACCAGGTCTAAACCAGGACTAAACCAGGTCTAAACCAGGACTAAACCAAGACTAAACCAGGTCTAAACCAGGACTAAACCAGGACCAGGTCTAAACCAGGTCTAAACCAGGACTAAACCAAGACTAAACCAGGTCTAAACCAAGACTAAACCAGGTCTAAACCATGTCTAAACCAGGTCTTAACCAGGACTAAACCAAGACTAAACCAGGTCTAAACCAGGTCTAAACCAGGACTAAACCAAGACTAAACCAGGACTAAACCAAGACTAAACCAGGTCTAAACCAACCAAGGTCTAAACCAGGTCTAAACCAGGTAACCAGGACTAAACCAAGACTAAACCAGGTCTAAACCAGGTCTAAACCAGGACTAAACCAAGACTAAACCAGGACTAAACCAGGTCTAAACCAGGACTAAACCAAGACTAAACCAGGTCTAAACCAGGATTAAACCAAGACTAAACCAGGTCTAAACCAGGTCTAAACCAGGACTAAACCAAGACTAAACCAGGACTAAACCAGGACTAAACCAGGTCTAAACCAGGACTAAACCAAGACTAAACCAGGTCTAAACCAGGTCTAAACCAGGATAAACCAGGATTAACAGGACTAAATCCTGCTGTGTGGACGTGTCTCTTCTTCTTCTATCAATAATATTTTTAATTTGGTTCAGTAAAGTCTGGACTTTTTATTTTCTTTTATCAGACAAAACATCTTATGTGAAGATTTCCTCGTCTTTGCTTCTCTACAGCAAATCAAGTAATCCAAAGTATTCAGATTACATTACTCACTTTAAGTAATTTAACAGATTACATTACAAACTACATTTTGGGGTATGTAATCTGTAATCTGTAGGGGATTACATTTTAAAAGTCACCTTCCCAACACTGTCTGTATGTGTTTGGTAGAATGTTCAGCAGTTACCGCAGTGACACTAATGCACGTACACATTAGCAAAAAACTGTCAAATAAGTTTTAAGATTGCCTGAAAACTCAAGAATAAAACACAAAATGGATTCTAAGAGAGCATTTTCAGGAGTCTGTGATCAGTTCGTGCGTTCATGGTCCCGTTTAGGAGTTTTATTTTCAACAAAAAGCTCAGAGTGACACTGAAAAACTGCATTGCAAAAAAGCCTGGCCAAAATTTAAGATATAAACGCTTAAATTTATCAGAAAATAACTTAAAATAAACCTCTAGACTAGAATTAAGCATTTCAGAAATAGTGAGTACATAGTAAATGTGAAAACTAAAGAATAATCTGATATAAGTTTTAAAATCTGAGCTATAAAACCACCTGTAATTGAATAAACGTAAAGTAGAATTGTTTAATGTCACACTGTGGAACATTCCAGGCAGAGCAGTGGCGTATCCATAGAAACAAGCTGGTGACGGACTCCCAACCGTAAAATAAAAAAAAAAAAAAAGTGCTTCTGAACTTTTAGACTTTTAGTGTGACGTCAAAAAGGGGTCAGCCTCATCATCAGAAGAGCCTCTAGTCAGAAAATCCATGTTCAGGTCGTGTTACAAATTGTTACAAATGAAATTTCAAGTTTTAAATATTTTAAAAAGTAAATATTAAAAGTAATAAATATATTAAACCCTTAAAATACAGCAAAAATGTTTGAGGAAATAATGATTTGGGTGGAAATGTCTTAAGTCTTAAGTGAAACAGGGTTAATAATTGTCTGATTTTCAGGCAACAACTTGCAAAATGTTCAGTAATTCGAGCTCTACAACCTTCATTTCAATTTTATTTTAAATATTTTTCTTTTAATAAAGCATTGGTGGGTTTGTAAACCAACAAATGAAGTCATGCTGGCCTTAGCTAATGCTGTTATACATGATTATGTGTTTTCCTGTCAATATCTCAAAAAATGTTGATGTTGCAGCCATTTTTAATTGGTAAACATCCAAAAGTTTACTAATTCTTCCCTGATATCCAGGGATTATTCCCTGTTGCTTTCATCAAATAAACATTCAATTGTTCAAGAGAAATGTTGCTGACAAACCAATAGAAGAGGGAATGATTTTCTGACTAGTGGGCTTTCTGACTTTCTGACTGACTACTGGGCTTTCTGACTAGGGCTTGTCTGACTAGGGGCTTTCTGACTACAGGGCCTTCTGACTAGGGGGCTTTCTGACTAGTGGGCTTTCTGACTAGTGGGCTTTCTGACTACAGGGCCTTCTGACTAGTAGGGCCTTCTGGTGCTTTCTGACTACTTTCTGACTAGTGGGCCTTCTGACTAGTGGCCTTCTGACTAGTGGGCCTTCTGACTACTGGGGCTTTCTGACTAGGGGCCTTTTCTGACTACAGGGCCTTCTGACTAGTGGGCTTCTGACTAGTGGGCTACTTCTGACTAGGGCTTCTGACTCTGACTAGTTCTGGGCTTTCTGACTAGTGGGCTTTCTGACTAGGGGGCCTTCTGATGATAAGGGTGTAACCGTCAAAAATATGGAAAACTCTCAAATAGAACTGTCTACTTTCTTTAATTTTCAACAAATTTTTCAACTTTTCTTCACAAATTTTTTCTTGATTGGCGCAAAACTATAATTTACATTTACAACAGGATTTATCCCGTCAACTTAAGTCAAAAATTTGAGAACTGAGTTGTAATAATCTGAGCTGGAGACAGGTGAGAGTCTCAGGCAACGGTGAGATCACAGATTTGTCGACCCGGTTTATGGTTCGTATCTTTTTAATTCCTGGAACTATCCACACGAAACAAAAACTGTCACAAAGTTCAGCCTCTCCTCTGTCACGAGAAACAAACGAAAGTCACGTGATTTCAGAAAGCGGATCCGTTATTCAACCCCCGAGGACGAGACATGACGAGTTCGTGGAGACGATCCCGGACAAATAACGAGAAGGAGAAACATTTGGAGATTTCTTTCAAGAACAGTGAGTCTCCAGAGAATGTTTAGTCCTGTATGTTTTGCTTGTGTTGCTGTAATTTATCAGATAAGGCTACTTGACTTTTGAACTCTCTGCACCAACACCCAAACCCTGATCACTAAGTATTTTATTGTTTTGTTTGCACTTAAAGGTAAAGACACGTGGTCGGTGAGCAGCGTCTAGATCTACTCTGAGGATTTAAGTATGTAAGTGGAAAGTTTGGACTAAAGTTTGGGTTCCACTTTGTTATTTTTCTTTTTTTGTGGAGCGTGATGGACCGCGTGAGGATGATCAGTTCTCAGGTCTCCGGTTCTGGACTCCGGGGAGTGGAGAATAGAGGTTTGGAGATGGAAGAGACAGGAGGAAGTTTCAGCGTCTCCAAAGAAGACGAACAAAATAAAAATAAAGAGCAAACTCAAGACCCAGTCCAGGTGAGGACACAAGAATCTGTGTGTCAGTCGTTCATTTGTTTTTCAAAATAAAACCAAAAATGACGAAATAAAGGAAAAAAACAACAACTCCAAAACCAAAATGAAAAAACAGATAACGATTCGTTTTTTCAGTTTTCGATTTTGTGTTTAAATGAAAAATGGGAAAAAAACGGATAAAGGACTGAACCAGGACTAAACCAGGACTGAACCAGGACTAAACCAGGACTGAACCAGGACTAAACCAGAACTAAAACCAGGACTGAAACCAGGACTAAACCAGGACTGAACCAGAACTAAACCGGGACTGAACCAGGACTAAACCAGACTAAACCAGAACCAGGACTAAACCAGAACCAGGAAACCAGGACTAAACCAGGACTGAACCAGACTAAACCAGAACTAAACCAGGAACTAAACCAGGACTGAACCAGGACTAAACCAGAACTAAACCAGAACTAAACCAGGACTGAACCAGGTCCAGGACCAGACCGGAACCAGACCAGGACTGAGACTAGGACTGAGGCCAGGACCAGACCGGGACTGAGACCAGACTGAGACCAGAATTGAGACCAGGAGTAAGGCACCGACCAGACCAGGACCAGACTGTGACTGACACCGGACTGAGACCGGGACCAGTCCAGAACTGAGACCGGGACTGAGACCGGGACCAGACCAGGACCAGACCAGACCAGGACTGAGACCGGGACCAGACTGGGACTGAGACCATGCCTAAGACCAGGACCAGTCCAGAACTGAGACCGGGACTGAGACCAGGACCAGACCAGGACGAGACCAGGACTGAAACCAGGACTGAGACCAGGACTGAGACTGGGACCAGACCAGGACTGAAAACAGTTTAGTCCTGGTTTAGTCCTGTTTTAGTCCTGATTCAGTCCGACATCTCAGTTTAAGTCACGTAAACGGGAAACGTCCGTTATCTGTTTTTTCCATTTTTCATTTAAACACAAAATCAAAAACTGAAAAAACTAATCATTATCTGTTTTTTCATTTTGGTTTTGGAGACAAATAATGAAGAAAAAAAATAAAAATTAAATTATCTGCCATTTATTCAAATACAGGTGTTTTATTGACAACAACATTTTAGAATCTACTCCAAATAGAGACGATGCATCTCAAAGGACGATCCTAAATAAAAAAATAAAAAAATTTAATCTTTAAAAACGTACATTCAAACTGAACATGTTTCTGTGGAATGATGCTGCCGCTGCCAACTACACTGAACATTAAACAGAAAAGAGCGTGTTTGTATTTCCAGAGTTTTAAATCCGGTTCGTGCGGTGGTGAAGTCGGCCGCTCGCTGGGCCTCGTACTCCTGCGGCCGCTGGAGACAGAAGAGGAACAAGCTGCTGGGTAAAACTCTCAACGTGTGGTTTCACTTTTACAATCCTTCTGAATCATAAACAGTTTTACATTTTATTTCTGTTTACGTTTTTGTGGCACAGGAGTCACGCCCGAGGTCCGGTACAGAGGACTCGCCGGGGACGCAGACGACGAACTGGACTCGAGCATGAACCTGAGCCAGGATCTGAACCAGGATCTGAACCAGGGTCTGAACCAGGGTCTGAACCAGGGTCTGAACCAGGGTCTGAACCAGGATCTGAACCAGGATCTGAACCAGGATCTGAACCAGGGTCTGAACCAGGATCTGAACCAGGATCTGAACCAGGACCAAGCCCAGACCCAGTACCTGAATAAGAGGCTCCTGAACCACTTCAGAGAACTGGCAGCTCATGACCAGGACACAGACCAGGTGACACAGATAAAGTTGTTTTTTACTCTTACAC